AATCGACTTGTATTAACTATGGTCCTCTGGTTTTGAAATGTACATTGAAGCATGTTTAGATAAGATAAAAAGTCAGAATAACGAAAATATCCTCTTAAGTGCCATTTGACAAAATTATTCATTACAAGCTTGCTTTCTCCAACGCTTTCCAAACGAGATAATAAGGATGGTACATAAAATACTAGGGATCACAGAAAACGAAAATATGCTAATGCACCAGCCATAACCAATTACTTTCGTTAAAGGCTCCACAGAAGCTGAGGAGATCGTTGCACCGACATTTCTGAAAAAATTTCCGATTGAAACAAAAGTTGCCAGTTGAGCCTTGGAAAACTCAGATAGGTAAGTCGTATTAGTAATGAGAACAGCAGACATGCTAAAAGCTCCAAAGAACACAGAAATAAAAAGATACCCAACTGGAACATGAGAAGAGATTAACCAAGCGTAAGAAAATAAAGCTGCTAGAAATACTAGTTGCCCGATTAACTGAATAAAAAATCTCTTCTCTGGGCCATTGTTACCTCCTGAGTTACTTCGTAGGTAGTCAGATACTCTTCCGGTGATAATGGAGCCTGATACTAAGGCAAAACCTGGGCAGAGGAAGCAGATGCACACATCTATGTCTGAATAGCCGTAGTCTGTTGAAAGTGCTTTGGAAAAGCTGAGAATCATGGCATAAAATGCAGCAAAGACAATACCCCCGCTCAATGAACATAAAAGGACAGGTAACTGACAGAGGGCTTTGTAATAGTTTCTTATATCTTTTCTTTGTTTGGGATACTTTGATTCGATTATCTCATTTGACCTTACAAAATTCCCTTGAAAAAGTGATTCTGATACCACTGACCCATTTCCTACTAGTGAGCGTAGGGTCTCTGGCAAAAAACAAACATTAAGCGTAAAGGAAACGAGTCCCAAGATGGCCAATAATCCAAAATTCCACCTCCAATTTGTTTTAGCTCCTAATATTCCCACAATTGGACCAAGAATAGGTCCTAATTGAGGCCCTATCATATAGTATGAAATGAAGGTTGCTCTTCTTTTTGGTTCAGAAATATCTGCAATACATCCAATACCGACGGCCATCGTGGAAGCCCCTACTGCTTGAAGAATCCTCAATAAGTATAGAGACCAAACATTCGCGGGTATTAATGCCAATAATATATTCGCAATCACAAAGATACAGAGGGCTATGTTGAGGATAGGCTTTCTTCCTGTGGAGTCTGCCAAGAGTGACCATACCAAGGGAGCGATGGCAAAAACAGCCATAAAAACTGAAACTGTACCGTTGATTACTTTGATTGAAGTATGGAACTTTTCAGCAGTAAGTTTTATGAGCGGAATATAGATGTTTCCTGAAATAGGCCCTAAAAACCCAGTAAATGTGGTGAGAAGCACTATTAACAATTTCTGCTTAGAGCTGAAAGCACTATAATTCTCCTTTTCATTAGCCATTGTGGAACTACTCTGAATCATAAGGGGACAGTGTATTATAATATATTATTTATATGTTATGCTCGTGTTCAGAGCATACCTTTTTTAGCATGACAGATAACTTCAAAGGACAAATTGGCCCTGCCGGAGTGAGTTGCTCTTTCCAGGAGGGGTCAAGACTAATCTCGAAGTTTTGCAATATCTCAATCACGGCCTTCCTTACTTCTGCTAAAGCAAATTTCTCACCTAGGCAAGCCCTACTTCTTCCGTGGAAGGCAGGTAATGTGCACTTGCTCTTAGCCTCAGCGTACTTTTCTTCTATTTTTTTTCCGTCATTTCCCCAACGTTCTGGACGAAAGGCGTCGGCATCATCCCCCCAGTAGTTCCTGTCTCTTTGTGTCCCGAAATTGTTGTATCCAACATAAGTACCTTTCGGAATAAATATACCGTTACCCAAAATCACATTTTTTCTCGTTTTCCTGTTAACTATTAGTCCCAAAGGTGGGAAGAGCCTAATAGTCTCATATACAACTGCTTTCAATAATGGAATTTGCTCTTTAACATCATAATTGGAGGAATTCATCTCACTTCTTAATTGTCGTTGGATTTCAGGATACTTTGCGATGACGTATATGAGAGATGTTAAAAGCAACTGGGGGTTTTCATGACCAGCGATCATGGCTATCATGGCATTATCTTGGAACTGTTTTTCAGTGATATCGCCTTGTTTCCAAAATGTTGCAAGGTTGTGTCCCAACCTTCCTTTATTCTCCTCATTTAGCTCATTCAAAATCTTGTTGCAATAATTTCTCTTGAAAGAACGTACCAATTTTCTTGCCCGGATTCTGCTTGGAAAGGGAAGTAAGTCCAATAAGGGAAAGTTGAGGAATAAGGGACGAAAAATCTCCTGTTTGACCTTTTTGAGGCTGGTAGAAATGTCAAAATTGTCAGATTTATGGAAGTTTGTTCCTATGACACAATCCCCTACATTATTCAACGTGTATGCTTGAAGTATATCTGCAATAGGAAAGTATCCGTTATCTGAAGCTGCAGATAAATTTTCAATCAACACTGTAGCATTGGTTTGCAAGGGTTCCAAATTTGGGAATTGGATGCTATTGGTCACTGCTTTGCGATAGAGTTTCCAGTACTTATTTCCAGTGCTAATAATATTGTCACCAGTGTATTCTGCTAGTAAAGAATATGGAATTTTGTGCTGATTACCACTCTTTTCGAAAATTTCATTTTGTTTAAAGATTTGAGCAAGGTATTCAGGTTTGGTCACTAAGATATTCCATCTAGACGCAAAATAAATCTTAGCAGCACCATACTTCTCTAAATTTTCACGATAGTAATGGGCGTATACTTTATTTTGGTCCCATCCTAGAAATGAACTCACAAAAGCTGCGTAAAATGGAATAGTGGGTATATTTTTAGGGAAGTCAAACGGTGGATAAATAATTCGGAAGATTTTCCATGATAGGAAAAAGAAGCATAAGCACCAAAAACTGACACTTATATTGGAAATAATTATATCAATCAACATTTAATTAATTATTGTGATTGATGACACTCATCTCTGAAAAAAAAAAAGTATATATAACTGGATGGTTTGATTACAGTGTTCTGGCATAACAAATTTTTCTAATTTCTGTCAATTTTCTGTTCCGCTTTCCGTCTTGTAAAAATATGATAACATGGCAAAAATTAGTCAAATACGTGGTAGAAGAGCTAAGCGATGAAGTCATAACAGATGAAAGATTGTTGGCAATAGAAAGTTGACAATTAATTTCGGACTTTTTTTTTTTCCTCCACTGCGAGTTTTTGGTATGAAGTAGGAATTCTGAAGACAACTGTACGAAAAATGATAGGATTGATCGTATGTTTTTTTTCCTATCCCTATTTTTATATAGATTATGAACAGTAGTGAAATTATGATAGCGAAAGTGCTCTTCGTGCAAGCATTCTTAAAGTTTGTGGACAGTTAAAAAAGCAAGCATTTGAAGCATAAAACAACGTGCCGTTCTTAATTATCGATGAGGTATTAATACATGTTCACGCTCTATTGAATGAAATGGGCTGATATGACATTTCATGACCTATTGTGTATGGTGCTGACGCGAATACAATGGAGACCATATCATAATATTGTGCTAGAAAAGACTATTAAATGCAGATATTTGAGAGAAGTTTTTTATCAAAAATGACGCTCCATCCAAAATCTTGAGAGTCATTGTTGGCAATCCAAACTTTCTCTAGGAAATCTGCAATTTGAACTAGAAAGGCTGCATGAAACTTACTTGCGCAGCGGTATAAAGAATGGATAAGGAATGATCGATGATCAGGCTGAATAGAATTAAGTCCCGTTATCATCATCAGCCATCCAAGGATGACCCACAAAGGCGAATCTTCCGACAATCCTTTCATCATGTCATAGATTAAAGCTACTTTTTGCTTAATGGAAATATGCAGCAGCTCAAGGTTGGGTATAATTAGCCGCATTAATAGAAGTTGGCAGGAGTGTCTTACGATTTCACTAACCGTAACACTCTCCTGAAGCATGAAATATGATTGTGAACCAAGACGAATTTCAGCGTCAGGTGCCATAGGAGGATATCTTATCTTGTATGTCTCTGAAAGCAAGTTACAAGCTAAAGCCATATCTGCATCATTCAATGGATACTGCGATAGTAGCCATGACAGCTTAGCGGCTATTTCCACCGTTTTTGTAGCTGCTCCAAAGACAGGATTCTCCATCCATGGCACAGGGCATTGATAAGGATGATAATCCAAAATCAGCCTCACCTCATCGAATATTTCAAAAGGGCTCGGAAGAAACTTCAGCACACTTTCTCCTCCAGTGATGATCATCACACTGTAATTGAACAAAAAGCTCTCAACGAAGACCTTGAGGTTGACCGATACACCTTCAGTACTCTTTCGAAGTTCACGAATGAGTCGTAGCGTTTTAGCTAAATGGATAGCAGATATTTCGGGAGTTGTGCCTATGAATTTGTCTCTCAAACAAAGAAGAAGTGCAACAGCAACCATCCAGTCTTGAGCGTCACCTACGCTCTGGTCAACCCTATGAGAGAATTGCATTAGGCATTGCTCATATTTCTCTTGTGCAAGTTCTCTCATTCCTGGCACAGTATTCGAGAGATAAGCAGCTCCGCATGCATAAAAGACCTCTTTCAAGAGTGGGTCCGCCACAAATTGTGGAACGAAAACAGCGCTCGGGGAAAGTCGAGGATCACAAAACTGAGGTGAGACACTGGGTAGAAAACCACCGAAAAATGAGTCCATCAAGACAGAATGCTCGGGCATTTCTGAAACACCCATCCATCCGCTAGGTCCACTCAAAGGTGTTGTACCCAAAGTCACTGCAGACGAGCCTATTAGCTGAAGATTCTCTGAAGATACCGGGTCACAAGATTCCGTTGCATGATTGCCCACGGGAGGTTCAAAGCCTTCCAAGGAAACAAGCGGCCCAGTAGATGGGATGGGGTGTGCTGGAAGAGGAACACTATCTTGCAAAGTGAACTGTTGTATCGACCCCGAAATGTAGTCCTCACGAGAAATCTCTAGAACGGGATCTAAGACAGGTTCTAGTAGGGTCGTTTCTAAGGCGACATTACCCATAGGAGCGCCTTCGGACTTAAACGAAGCGTGACCATTATCAATATAATAAACAACGTCCAGCTTTACCACATTTGCTTCATTGGCATGCAAACTTTGGGAAGTCCCGTCATTACCATCGCTGCGCCAGCGACATTGTAAATTAGACTTGGTACAGCCGAAGCAGATAGGTTTTTCTTCGTTGCATTTGATTTTCCGTCGGCGGCCTGGAAGATTCCGTTAGTATTGGAAAAAGAAAAGAGCTTATGTGAATGATAACGTACAAGTTAGGCAGCCGTTGCGGCTTCGTTTTCTTGTTGCCTCTTTCATGCTAGATGAACCACGTTTGTCGGAAATGCTGGATCAAGAACGAAGGGTTAGAGGAAGGACCTCATTACTAATTTACCTTATCGCACTTTGTTCGCGAAGGCGCATACATTGTAGACACGAAAGCATACCTTCCAAAGTATAGGGGCTTAAATAACGGCCATTAATCTGAGGTATGCTTTCTAGAACACCAATTCCCGACATGCATACGTGGCTTTCTATCATTGGGTGATTTTTGCGCGGCCAAGCATGGAGATGTAAAGAATGATTTTTAAGAAGATAAGGAAGGTAAGAAAGTGAAGGTGTGATTTGCAACGGCTGATTTATATATATTGACTTTTGTAGGCAACTATATTGAAAGTATATTCTCTTGTGACTCAGAAAATATTCCCCGGCACAGTTACGAACTTTTCCGTGAATGCAGCTCATGTGTCAAACATGCTTGCACAAAAGACTAAAAAAAAATTATTTTTTGCCTGGCGTAGTTCTTGGTTATACGAACATACAAATGCAGAAGTAAAGAAAACAATAATTGTCCTCGCCTACGCATGTAACACTTTGGGCCATTAAGCGAATATTTGTTGGCCCCTGTTCTAGAAGCACCGTATTTCCTGCACTTGTTTCCCTTCCATCTCAAACTAAACCAATGAGTGCTTATGCTGCTTTCTTTTCCAATGACGAGGACGATCCGAAGTACGAGATCCCCTTCCATAATAGTGTCTTACTGAAAGAGCCAGTCTCTTGCTCAAGTTTCCGTTTGTCAATTGAAAACTCCATCCATACAAGCTCTTCAATCTTCTTGGGTCTCAGATGCGATGATTACATTGTTGTCAATGGATCTTTTGAACTTCGGGTTCTTCGAGGAGGCTGTTTGTTAAACAATGCACATCATATTGATGAAAATGATGCTCACAAAATCATTACTTCCAATTTCCAATCCTCTCCTGTCATATGTTCAACGAAGTCACGACTAAATATGAGTACATCACGACTCCTTCCCTCTTTTGATACAGTAATCGAATTACGAAATCTCGACACTGGGATTGAAGGTATCAATGATATACTTGATGGCATCAGCCCAATGTACTATACCCCTACAACTAATTACACTTTCGAGTTAGTTCATGAAGAAAGGGAAACGGTGTTTGGTATTTATTATGATGCGGCTACAACAAAACTTCTCGACAGTCTAAGTGCTTCTTTATGCAAGAAGTCAGAGCCGCCCCAATCTGTTCTTATCTTCGGCGCCAGCAACTGTGGGAAGAGCACCTTTGCCAAAGCCTTATGCAATAATGTTGTAAAGACAACGCAGAATCCCATCGCGTTAATGGATCTTGACCCTAGCCGCTCCGAATTGTCTGTTCCTGGGTGCTTATCCTTAACGGTTATCGATGAACCAAATTTCGGCAGTTTCTTTCCCAGCCCATGGTGCTACGACAAAGAGAACGATTTGCAGTATTACTTTGGGTTTGGATCGCCGCTCGATCAGCCCCTAAGATTTTGCCAAGGTTTGAGGACTCTCCTCGACCATTATAATGACCATGTTTCGCCCAAAGGCATTCCTCTCGTGATCAACACACCAGGATGGACCCGTGGATTCGGTAGAGAGTTACTTGAGGAAATTTTAGACAACATAAGTCCCTCACATCTGGTTTATTTCAGTCACAACAATGCGATAAACATCGATAATTATGAGCCAGATATGTTTGAGGCGCAAGATAACCCTGACGATGAGATTTTGGCAGGCTTTAGCTTTTCTAAGATAACCACTCTTCGTGGTGTGAGAAGAGTGTCAGGCTTTACGCAATCACAGTTGCAGATGCATGATAAGATGGTGTACTTTCACCAACGTAAAGTGGGAGCTTTTGATTTCAGTGACCGCCTTCTTTCCAGATCACCACTTAGATTGAACTACGAAAGAAGCGGTGACATTACGAATCCTGCTTTCGTAGGTGCCTCTGCTATAAGCGTGCTTGATTACGAAATGGACAGCAACGTTAATCCAAGAGATATCAAACTATTGGTGGACTCCTGTGTGATGGCCATGTGCTTGGTGGAAGAAAAATCGTTCACGGCCCATGTCTTACCCGAGAGGCACGAGTTCAAAGGGCTTCCGCGAGTTTTTCATGGTTCTTCTATCTCTCATATGAATCCACGCTTTCTTTCCCTTTGCATTATCCAGTCCATAAATACGGAGGAAGGCTTCTTCAACGTGTACGTTCCGGGGGATCCCAGTCAGTTATCAACTGCTATACTAGACGCTGCAGACTCCAGACTAGTTTTGGTGCGGGGAGAAGGAGAGATCCCAAAAGCAGAAATCCTACATCCGAGACTTTTAGGACGCAACTTACCATATGTGGATTTCGAAACCAGAGCTAAGATAGGCGGCGTATGGAAAATCCGTCATAACATTCGCCGGAAAAACCAGCAGTAGTGTAAATACAGGGAAGAACAATGCGTCGAAATTCATACGTAAGTGCAGGAATCTCACCTAGACCTACGTCAACCTTAAAGTAGAGATTAAATAAAGTCTCGTCTTTACCGATGAAGTTACAATGCATTCTTTCCACAGTCTTTACTTTGGCACCCGTCTTTGCCATCCTTCCTGAAGCGCAGATTGCGTTAAAAGAGGACAGAAATCAGCCTGGACCACAGTCACTTCCGAATTTGATGACCGTCGCGAACGTCGAAGAATTGGAACTGAATTGGGAAATAAAGGGATCCATGGCGCTTGAGGCCGGTCGCTTGCTCGTTGATAGTGAGACCGGCTCTTTGTGGTCTAGAAAGTTGTTGGAGAACTCTAAGGATGAATGGACGATCGACTTGGTGTTCAGGAATTCGGAGCAAGTTGACGTCGATGATCATTCTTTTTATGATACCAATGGAATCTCGTTCTGGTTGCTTGATTCAGACTCCCCATTTGACACAGATGTGCTGAACTTTGGTGGACCAAAGTCTTTCGATGGTTTCCAATTTCTTATGAATAATAAAGAATCTCGTGGCTTGAAGATATTTTCGAATGATGGTTCAAAGTCTACAGAGAACACGCTCGATCAAGCTTTGGGATTTTGCGCTATCAACTACTTGGATTCTATGGTACCATTCACCCTTCGTATCTCTTATTCTGCTCCACGTAAGTGGTTTAAGATTCAGATAGATAACAACTTGTGCTTCAAAACAGACTTATTGTCTTTCAATGAGATCAAGAAGGACTTGAAATTTGGTATTTCTGCATCTACTGACCAAAAGTCGAAAGAATATTGGGAAGTCTTAAAACTCAACGTTTACCCATACTTAACCGAGGATGCAATTGATGACCATGGAATAATTGCAGATGGTGGAGTGAAGTACATCACTGTTACTCAGGATGAGGAGTCCACAGAAACTTTCCACCCTTCCACCAATAGATTGTCATTGCTTGAGAGAGCCAGGAAAATGAAGGAGGAAATACTTTCCAACTCGGAAAAACCTGCGGCACAAGATTCTTCGGTAGACAACTCGTTGGCGACTATCAACTCTAAGCTAACAGTCTTGGAAGAGATGATGAACCAAATTGATGCCAAGAAGATGGACGAGTTTTCCAAGACTCTTGAAGAGGTCAAAATTATTCAAAACGAACAGGTTAGCATTCTCAATCATATGAAAAACACTTATGGGGAATTCGAGACCCTTCTCAATGTTCAGTACAAGGAAATGAATCAGGCTGTTGTGCAGTTGCACCAAAAGATGCTCGACGAGATAAAAAGTCATCAGAGGGAAGTGCTCAATATTGGTGACAAGGTTGACTTGCTCATGACTAACCATAAAGAAATTCAAGAGCAGTACAGAAACAATGAAGCGGTGGTTATGGCTCCTGAATCTTCCGAGCTTTTTAGTGTTATAATTAAGTGGGTGTTGTTCCCGATTGTCGTTGGTATTGCCGTCTTGAGTGTCATTTTGTACAGAATTAGAAAGGACATCAAACACTCAAAGTTGCTTTGAATATGAACCGTATATAATAAGAACATGAGGAAAAGATAAATGTAGTACAAAGATTAATCAGAGAAGCTGTAGACTTTTTGGTACAGTATATATTGTTCAAGACAGCATAGTTTTTTTGTTTTTTGTTTTCAATATCAGAAGATTGCATCAAACATGAGACGTGTAGTTCCCGCTACTCAAGCTCCTAACACTTGGTACATCATTGTTATCAGAATCCAAAATTTTAGCAAAGGAGAACGGAAGATTATGGACAGTAAACTTTGCTTGAATACCTTTAGGTGATTCTCTCCCTTGTCCCTCAGTCATTATTCTAGCGATCAATTTTTCTTCAGGAGCGCTAGGGCTCAATGTCAATGGCTTTGAGTATCTCCATGTAATTCTGTTGTACTCCTTATTGAAGGAACCTTCCGGCTTAGAGGACGCGGAAGTAGACAGCACAGAAGTGTCTAAAGCTGCTGAGATCACAAAGTTTTCAAGGTTGATAGCAGCCTTGAAGGTAGGATTCAAAGAAATCTTGACAATGAGACTGGCCTGGTGAGGCTCAAACTTCCAAACTTGCTTGATAATAATAGGAATGTAAGCAGGATCTAAATCCATCATGTACTTAATACCTCCCAAGGTTCTGCCAGTGACAGATGGAATATTCACAGAAAAACTATTCGTTCCAACCTGTTTCATCACTTGCTCATTTAACAAGTACTTATTGAATTTCGTTGGGATAGTGACAACATACGAGCTAAGCGGCGTCTCTGAATTGTAGTTGAAGGCCATCTCTCCAAGAACTTGAGATTTGGAAGGGGTCCCAGCACTGAATGTTACATTCAATATCTCAGCAACAGAAGTGTTCAAGCCTTCAGATACTTCGGACTGGCCGAAGTGCTTAAAGTACTCATTGTGTTTGAACATGGAGTTCCCGGTCGTTTGTGTCAGCAAAAACGATCTTTCTTCGGAATGAGGCTGAATAACGGACTCTCTAGCACTGTTCAAGTTTTTGAACTGAGAACCGGTATCCTGTTTATGGAGCGAGTCATGCTCTGGAACGGGGTGAACTTTTCTCGATGGAGGTGGAGGAGGACGAGCGGTTGTTGACTGTAATAAAGGCTGTTCCACTGGAGCTGCTACATGAGGAGAAGTCTGTTGTTCGCTTGAAGCAGCTGACGAAATTGTAGGGAAGCTGACAATATCGTTTGATCTTGGCGTTTGCTTTGGAGTAGTAGAAATTGAAGCATCTTCATCGCCATACTCAAAGCTGTATTTACCCGAGGAATTGTTTCTGGAACGAATATTAGATTCGGCTTCGAGCTTTGGAGGATGGCCCAAGTCGTGGGCTTTAAGCATTCCCATTCTATTTCCATCGACATCAACAGGAACATCACTGTCTTCATCAGAAGAAGCATACTTCACTACGTTAGGACTTACATCCGTGGAATCCTTAGTAGGGGAAGTGAGTGGAGGAACTTCATCTTTCTGCGGAGACTCGTTTTGGAATGTTTTTGGCTGAAGAGGTTGAGTGCTCATGGATGGAAGTGTTGCTTCCTTCTTCGGCTCCACAACGTCCTTGTCAATAGGGCGAGGTGCATCCTCCGCCTGCTTTGTTGGCGAGTCATAGTTCTCTCTCTGAGGGAAGCGATCCTTTGTGGGTGATTCAGTCTCAGCATGGGAGCCTCTCTGTTGAATCAGTGATGGTCCGTAAAGGGAGTTTTTAGCACCAATGGTGTTCTGTCTAGACGGTAAAGACGACATTGATTCATTCTCAGGAATGGCCCCTGCTGGATGGAAACCTGATTCCTTCTTTCTTCTTCCGAATATCGAGCCGACTTTCGACCTCAATTTGGATTTTCTCTTATGTGAGGGAGAGGTATTGCCCGATGTAGCAGAATGAACCGAAGCCCTAGATGAGTGAGAATGTTCACTCAAAGGCGCATGGTTGTTTGGACCATTGTGGGAGGCGGAAGAAGGAGGTGGAGGTGGAGGAGCAACATGAGCATTGACCATGTGCTCTGTATATTTCTTCATCTCATTGTCAAGATTGAACTCTTTCAAAATAAAATTAACAGCGCCTTCGTTTTTGGCCAACATGGCCGAATTCTTGGAGTTGACAGTGTTCAAATATGCGATAAAAGCATTGAAAATCACATCCTTTTCAAAGCGCTTGAAGTTTTCAAGGTTAGCCAAAATAGCCGGTGCCTTGACATTCCAATTGTATGCACCATTCGGGTCGTCCATGTGTTTCTGCATCTCCAACAACTCCTCTGAGTTGACAAGAAGTTCGGAATACTTGAAGTCATTTTTGAAGGTATTGGAGAATGGCGCAATAACGTCGTTCTTGATAACTCTAATCAAAGAATCGTTCACATTGATTTGTGACATCACACAAGACGCTACACAATTCCAAATCTTGTCGAGTGAGCCGAATTCATCGTCAGAGTCAGCGAAAAAGGTTCGACCGTTCGACACGAGCACATTGAGGTCCAGATTATACTTCATAAGCATGTTGGCATAATTGGTAAACCAGACAATCAAGTTCTTTTGAATCAACGTCGAACTCGCCGACAAGGCCCGAGGAAGAAAGTTGGCGACTTCCTCGGGGGACTTGGATGTCAAGATTGTGGTAGCAAATTCTGAATCTTCCATTCCGCCTGGTTGTCTTCAAAGATAGAGAATGAACGGTGGAATATTATTGAGAAAACCGAGCCGACCGATGTGCAGGCGAGACGTGGGGCAAATAACAAGCTTCAGCTTGAGGCTTCATCTACAATTCAAGACTATTAATACTAGAACAAAGGAAGAAGTCACAGTGCCAACCACGAGGTGAAATGTCAAACGAACTACAAATTCATATAGAGTGTTGACACCAATAAGAAGGGCTGTCTGAGACATCAGTCGAGACGGGGGATGTACGGGTGCCGGACATAAAAAGGGGAGATAATCGTCTCCTTCCATCAATGGATGAGACTAGAGAAATGGCCATGCAAGACGCGTCGGGACGAAGTCTACAAGTAGAAACATAAGCACGTGAGGTAGCGGTCTAGCGGTCCAATGGAGGTAGGTCAAAGTTCGCGGTCATCCGTTGCTCCATTCTTCTTGGGATCTCAAGACCAAGCAAAGAAAAAGTGCCGGTGCTCACAACATTGTCCCTAGGAGGAGAGCAAAGAAAAATTGTTTCGGAAGGGCCAAGGAAAATAGACGTAGAAAGCTTACTTTAGTCATGCAACTCATGGTATTCTTCGTATCACACGTCTCTTCCACCTTCACACATGCATGATAAGACAGATGTGGCCAATGCGAAGTGCGTCCGAGTGTTATCTTTTCTGCCCGATGGAGTTCGCTGAGAATCGCCGCAAACATGTTATCTCGGCGGCAGTGTGCAGTCAATATACGAGGCCCGTTTTCGCCGTATGAGCCGGTCTAGCCGCGTAACGGATAAGAAGCGTACGCGAGCCAATTTCATCCCTCGCCACGGCAAGTTGTGTCCAATAGGGACACGCAAATCCCAATGCGGAAAGTGGGTAGATCGATGAGTGCGTCGTGGCCTGCATGCTAGGCGCGCGATTCATCTTAGTCATAATTCAGGTAAATTCAGGTAGATTCAGAGAACATTCAAAGAGTAACAGGGAGCTTCCAAGGAAAGAGAGAAGACCACAAGAAAAAAAATCCAGGTGAAATGTATCCATGCCTGGAGCAAAACCAAGAAAAGACATCAATATCCAAGAGATACTAGCTGTTTGAGTTCACGTGACGGATGCAGATCTTATCAGCGCGCATGCCATATGATTGGCTAATTGCTTATCTTTGGCAGTATGCAACATTCAAACAGACTCACATATAAGTACGAACGCACCTGCTGGTTCCACACGTTAACACTGCAAGCACTATGTCAGATTCTGGATTTACAGGTACAGGTACTGGTGGCGATTCGCTCAAGGTCAACTTGAATAAGCAGTTCGATCCTGCAGACATGGTCTGGGTCGGAACCTCCTCCGTGCTTGTGTGGATTATGATTCCAGGCATTGGCCTTCTTTACTCGGGTCTTTCTAGAAAAAAGCATGCACTTTCGCTTTTATGGGCTTCTATCATGGCCGCTTGTTTGACTTCGTTCCAATGGTTCTTTTGGGGTTACTCGCTCGTGTTCTCGCACAGGACTAGTAGCCACTTTTTGGGCACTTTGGATAACTTCTGTTTGAAGGAGGTTCTTGGTGCTCCTGGTATTGTCACCACCGTGCCAGATATTTTGTTTTGTTTGTTTCAAGGCATGTTTGCTGGTGTGACTGCCATTTTGCTCGTTGGTGCCGGATGCGAGCGTGCTCGTTTGGGCCCAATGATGGTGTTTCTCTTTATCTGGTTGACTGTCGTTTATTGTCCAATTGCATACTGGACATGGGGTGGTGACGGATGGTTGTTCAACTTGGGTGGTTTGGATTTTGCTGGCGGAGGACCAGTCCATGAAAACTCTGGTTTTGCTGCCTTGGCATACTCTCTCGTTTTAGGTAAGAGACACGATCCTTTGACCTCAGGCAAGGTGCCCAAGTACAAGCCACACTCAGTCACATCCATCGTGTTTGGTACGATTTTCCTTTGGTTCGGCTGGTTCGGTTTCAACGGTGGAAGTACCGGTAACGCTAGTATCCGCTCTTGGTATGCCTGCGTCAACACCAATCTTGCTGCAGCTACTGGTGGTTTGACTTGGATGTTCATGGACTGGTTCCGCACTGGTGGAAAGTGGTCTACTGTTGGCTTGTGCACAGGTGCTATTGCCGGTCTCGTTGGTATTACTCCTGCTGCTGGTTACGTGCCAGTCTACACTTCTATTATTTTTGGTGTTGTTCCCGCCATCATCTGTAACCTTGCTGTTGACCTTAAGCTGATTTTGCAGATTGACGATGGTATGGATGTTTTTGCCTTGCACGGTGTCGGTGGTTTCTGTGGTTCGTTCTTGACCGGTCTTTTCGCCGCCGACTATGTCGCTGCAACAGACGGTGCTACTGTCATCGAAGGTGGATGGATGAACCACCACTGGAAGCAGTTGGGTTACCAATTGGCCGGTTCGACCTCCATTGGTGCATGGTCCTTTGTGGTCACTGCCATCATCTTGCTTGCCATGGACCGCGTTCCATTTTTGCGTTTACGTTTACACGAAGGATGAAGAATTAATGGGTGTTGATTTGGCTGAGATCGGCGAATACGCCTACTACAATGAAGGAAGAAGATGCTACTGGTTTGGGTCCTAGCCTGTCACCTTACGTGTTAGAGCCTATTCGCTCCAACGATCCAAAGGTTGCTCGTTTGCGGAACGCCGCTCAAGAAAAGGCAGTGCAAGGCACTACAGTGGATGGCGAGGTACTTTCACCTGTAGAATCATCGAACAATAGCAAGAAGTAATGGGAGGGGATATTTCGTACTAATATATTTGTCAAAAGAGTTTAATGTAACTTAACATGAGAATAAGCTGGGTAGGGAAGAAAGCATTCTTTTGTGTGTTTATTTTTTTTGGTCAGTAACGTATTACGTTGGTGTCACTAAATCTGCCAAACAGATCAAACATAGCTTAATACAATCAAGCTCAGTGTCCAAACAATTTCGCAACAGCACTGGATGATGCTATTGCGATTCCCGTAGTGTGTCAATACTTTAGTGTTCAGGTGAACTATTATCGAAAACGCCTTTGTCGTTTCTCTTTTTCATCAAACGTTATCTTTAACTCAATCATTCCGAAGATATCCTCGTAGATTTATATTATTTAGCACAGAAACACAAATTCTGCGAAACTTGAAAAAACAAAAAAATACATCACAGAGATCAATTGATGACTTTTCTTGCATAATTATTACTGTCTTCATAATTGTATCTTTCTTTCACTTCTTTCTTTCTTTTTCTTTCCCTCACATTCTGGTTTCGATCACACTTTTGTTAGAGTGTTCACTCATATATTGATAAGCCTGCAGATACTTGCATGCCCCTTATCAGTCTCGGACCTCCTACTTTACAAACTTCCAAGTCAACCACCTAAAACAGAGTTTATAACTTATTGACTGAATAATCTTCTTAGAATTATCACGTCAAAGCACTAAAGTAACTGCAAAATCTTTTCCACTTGACCCCACAGAGGCAGAACCAGAATGGTTACGACTAACATCGTTCCTGGGGAAGGCATTGACAACAATTTTGTATTGGGAAGCTCGCTTTATGATACAGTTTCACGAATGAGAAAATACAAGGAGCCTTTGAAGATATCCTATAGTTCCAAAGCCTACCTCGACACGCCCATTTTGGTAACTTTACCTAACTTGGCGGTTCGCCTCATGTTCCACAGCTCAGGCAACCAAGAACTTATGCTCATCGAAGTGTTAGATTTTTCCCATAGCAAATTGTGTTACAAGGGAACGTACTTGAACGATATTGTGTACACATACCCCTCAGACGAGGAACTCTACACGAATGGTCAAAATATTGCCAGAAAGAAACAAGTTCTGCCGTGCACACTTAAACACATTTACAACAAAGTCTTTGGGCCGACTTTCCCTGGTATTTTGGACTGGAAACGCAAAACGTATATCCTCAGCTATCCAGGCATCGCCTTCCGCTTTTCTATAAACCTGGCGGACTTGTTGGGTCGCGTTCTGAAATTGACAGATAGCAATGATATTTTGTCTGCCTTGACGAACTGGGATCAACCTACTGATATTCTTTGCCAATCGTTATCAATTTATAAAGGTGAGAGCTATCCCGAATTCCATCAAAGGCTAAGACTTCTTCTGAGATCAAATCTAGTAAATTACGAACCAAAAGTATCAGAAATTACCGTGAAAAACGTGAAAGTTGATTTGGAAAGGGGGATAGCAGAATTGGAACGCAGTCTTGATGGGCCATTACCAGCAGCAGTCCTAACGATTGGAAGAACCACACAACAGGATATCATCCGGCTTCTTGGTCCCCCAGATGCTTGCTTTAACAAGTTCGACTCGCGTTTACTGATACACAAGCACCTCAAGACAATTGGTGTGTCATGTGAGAATCCAGGGTCAGTGTACAAGCTCCACAATTATTTCCGCCATGGTATCGATTACTTGTACAATTTGAATGCGGCGCACCAAAGTGGTGGCGTATTAGAGAAAATAATCATTCATAATGGCGGGATAGCCGAGTCCATGGATTTTCTACAGTGGAACAAATGCAACTGGAAAATCCTGACAGGAACAGAATCTCCTTCAGTTGTGGATTCTTCGATGTACTTCAGCGATTTCGGTTCCGATTTTTTGGAAAAAGTGGATAAAAACAAGACTGGACCTGTCTTATTGAATAGGAATGAGTCTGAGATAGTCAGTGGAGATGATATGGAATTCGTGGAATTACCAGAGATCGAACGTTTACTGATAAATCTGCTCAGCCTGGATAGCTGTGAAAATTACAAAACATGGGGACAGCTGAAGCTATACGGATTTGACAGGTGCATCTTCGAAGTCGTGAGCACTAATAACTGTGTTTCTATTGTTACTGTCTACTAAACTACTAAAAACGCCAGAGGAGATCATGTTTGGTAATACAGTGGCCAAAACTTATGCAAATTATACGACCTATTTATGATTTATCAGTAGTACTAATTAAATTCTAGTAACATTGATCACAGTATTACTAGAACCACAGCTATTGTCCATAGGAATCAAACATTTCACTAAAGATGAAAGGAAGCATCATATTCTGGAGATATTCTTCATCTGCATTTGGCGCGATACTAAATAAATCTCCTGTGCGATGCGATTTGGCTTAACCTCTGAAACATCATGAAGCTAACTCCACAGATTCTCCGAAATGCTACCCGCATGATAAATCCCGAAGGGAAGTTAACTTTACTTCTCCGAAATCTTGAGTTGACCTATATTGAGAATCTCGAGCTCACAACGGACGATATTAACGTCATAGATTTGACAAACAATGACATTGGTGAATTATCGGGAGTCCCGACACTTTCAAACTTAGAAGTACTATTGTTAGGTAACAATAACATCAGCAGCATTGATGAAAATGGCTCTTTGCCATCTTTGCACTCTCTCCTGCTAATAAACAACAACATAAGGACATTCTCAGAACTAGGAAAGTTGCGCCATTTTGGACAAATTCAAACCCTCCTAATGATGGGGAATCCAATCAGTACCGACAAGAGGTACCGGCCGTTCCTCATCTGGCTTCTTCCGTCCTTGAAAGTGCTCGATTGCGAGAAAGTGAAGTCTGCTGAAAGAACAGCGGCGGCCACACTATTTGGCGCTTCTTTCGAAGAAGCCAATGCCTTAGCTTTGCAGCTAATGAATGGGGAAGATACTTCTGTGGAAGTAAACAAAGAAGCGTCGAAGGGAGAACGATTAATGACTACAACGGTGAAGAAACTCAGCGCCGAGGAAAAGGCGAAGCTCATTGCAGAGTTAGAAAAAGCCGAGTCCATGGAAGAAATCGAACGAATCCAAACCGCATTGAAGAACGGCTACGTTGGGTGAACCCAAAACAAAAGGCATTCCAAAAAGATAGAATGAAATTGACAGGTGCACCTCTGAAGTACCTTCACGTAACAGCTCCGCAAGTGACCAACAGGAATCATGAATTGATACCGCTAGGGACGAGTGAAAAACAATAGAGAGGAATTAAAGAACAGTGATTATTTATTAGGCCAAGGTTGAAGCTCGATGCCTAGCATCACTATTCATGTATGCTTTATTGTCTACGTGAAAAGTAGAGGGATACATAGAGACAGCAGATTCTGTTCACAAATAGACCTGTAAGATTCCATAGAGAAAGAAAACGCTAATCAAAGACTTGTTGTGGTGCAATTTCTGTGGTACGTTTGTTCCACGGATATTTCAGTCTCATGTCGGTAGCGCACCCATTTCCAAATTCTCCCACATTTTCTTTCTGGCCAACCAGACATCCGCTTCTGGCATTGCATTTCTCCGGGTGTCGAACCTGTGCCTACAAACCACCTACTTGTGGAACCGCTTCTTGTTCAGGAAAATTCTGTGCCCCGATCGCTTCTGTTCAAGTTTAGAGGACCAGATTGCTAGCATTGAAAACTCCACTGCGATCTTCGGCACATTTGCCCACCCCAGCCACACGCCCATTGCAAAACAGAAAAAATGGCCCAGTCCCGGCCAAAAAGAAAGGCCGCATGCAATAAAAACTACTCAGATGCCATTATCGAGTCTCGATTCGATGACATCGTCAAACCTGCTCAGGCCAATCCTAGAAATGGATCTCGCCGAAGAGGAATCTCTGCGTCTCCGTCCAAATCAACTGGCTCTCCTTCAGCACAAAAATCGACCGGTAAGGTGCCTTACAATTGGCAGCCGCCTCCACTGGACGCGGACGTTTTTTCTCGGAGACTTAACTTGACGGATGCCACAGTAGACACCAAGAAACAAGTCTTGCTGTGTCCACATCAACCATTTGAAGCTTCCAGTTTCAACATTCTAGACGAGGCTGAGCCGTTGGCAGCATTGCTTCTGGAACATACAGGCCAGAAACAGCCAAAACCTCGGAGACTGCCGCAGACAGTTTTCCAGTTAAAAAAGGGCGATTTCATTTATATGGTGAGCGAACCTCCAGGAGAGCCGTACTATATCGGGCCGGATCATGGGTTTTAAGGAAAAGAAAAAAGAGGAAGTAGATGATGATGCTTCCAAGTATCTTTTTCAAATTCAGTGGTTTTACCGGCCACGAGATATCTCGAAACAGACAAGCGATTCTCGTTTGCTTTTCGCTTCCATGCATAGTGATACGTGCCCACTAGCCAGTTTCCGAGGCCTTGTTACAGTTAAACACAAGGCTGAGGTTGAGGAAACGTATACGCCGCCCAAGAACATGAAAGACCTGTCGCCCGCGTACTCATCTGCTCTCGAATACTACTGCTCATTTCCAAACCATTTCTATTTCGACAAGTTGTTTGACCGCTACATGATCAAATTCTACGATATCATCAAAACCTCCACATTGCTTCAGTACATTGACAACACGACCAACAACAGCCGCAATTTTCTTCTTGCATTAAACAAACGCTACGAGTTCATTTTTATGGAGAGTTCACGAACGAAACAGTTTCTAAACAATTTCAACTCCACCTCGAGTTCTCACTGCCATGTTTGCGCTGAATGGTGTTCCTCGAACGAATCTGTGGTTTGTGCTGGCTGCAACAAAAACTTTCACATGCTTTGTCTAGATCCACCACTATTGAAGAAACCCAGCCGTGGTTTCAGTTGGTCTTGCGCAGTGTGCACGAAAAAACACGAATTAGAACATAGATCGAGGAAGACTCTAATGTTATCGCACGATAACAAAACAACAAATGAACAAGAGCTTTCAGAGGCAAGCGCCCCTCCTTCTCCAAAGGAGGCAGAAGAGCCGGAAGCGGCAGAAGAAAAAGCGCACGAAACCATTTTACCCAAATATGAGCTAATGGCCATCGAGTACTTGCGAAACGATGCAAGTGTATCCGTGGAGGAAAGAAGACTTCGAGAAGAGTGGGCTCTTCGTTACTTAGGTAAACATGCTCGATTAGAGGATGCTGTGGATCCAGACGATCGATCGCCTTATCCGCGGGCTTGCACAAACTTGGGAGCTCGTTTTCAAGCATCAAATATCCCGGAGTTCGAGGGCCATCCATTAGTTTATTATGACCCGGAACGACAAGAGCGCACAAACAAGACAAAAAAAAGCTCTGGATCGAACAAGAGTATTCAGAAGAAGGAAGAACACGAAGAGAAAGAACTTGAAAAATTACCTGTCCCAAAAGAGTTCCAAAATGTTCCTCCGAGGGACTTTCCACAGTGGCTTCAGCCTCGCCCAAAAGGTTATATCGAAAGAGGAGTAGACGATGGAGAGGGAAAAACATGTACTCTCATGTGGAAGGCTAGCGAGGAAGACAAGGCAGACGATTTCAAGAAATTTGACGCATACATCGATTCATGCAAACCCATAGCGGCGCGGCTAGATATACTAGCAAACTCTCCAAACTTCATGGATGCCATCGTTAAGTTCTACATGGATTCTCATGGAGACACAACTAAAGCTTTCGAACTTTCTAATACACTTACAAGGGAGTCATTAAAGGAGCCTACATTTTCAAAAGAAGAAATCAAGAGGTTTGAGGACGGTGTCAGGAAGAATGGAAGTGAACTTTACCCAACTTATAAGGAGGTTAAAACTCAGCCGTGTTCGATGGTTGTCCGCTTTTACTACCTTTGGAAGAAAACGAATCAGGGCCGCTTAATTTGGGGGGAAACTTTTCGGGCAGAAAGAAGAAACCGTCAAAGGACGAGAAGACAGACATGAAAGTGACTTCAGTAGTTGATGAATACGCGGACAGCGACGACGACTCATCCTACGAGAGTGAAAATAATCGTCCGCAAGGAAACAAAATGTTTCAGTGCAAGCATTGTGAATCTTACCAATCTCAAAAATGGTACAAGATTACCGGCTCAGATGGAGTGCAAAATAATCAGGGGAAGAAAAATGGTAATGGTGGTGTGATCTCAGCCTTGTGTTTCAGATGTGCAAAACTATGGAGAAGATATGCCGTGTATTGGGAAGATCCACAAGAAATCCAAAAACGAAACTCCAGAGGTATTGGAGGGTACAGAAGAAAGGTAGAACCGGAATTGATTGCTGATGCAGAGAAGATTATCCAATATGGAGATAAAGAGGGAGGTTTATGTTATGAAATCGACAAGAAACTGGTTTCATCTAGTATCCTTCCTTCACCATCTATTACCCCTAAGAAGGAACCATTGTCCGTTCCACAACCGGTTTCCCGGAATGGAACCAATGGTAAAGAAAACCAAGTGAAAACACCCGTTGCAAAAAGCTCACCAGATGCTAGCCGAAAACCCACACCTAAGTTGACATCGAGACAGCTTTCACTTTCTACGAAGCAAGCTATAAAAGAAGAGCCCAAAGAGGAGCCTGCTCCCAAAAAACGGAAACAAAACTCTAGTTCATCCTCAAAACTGAAACCGAAGACGGAAGATAAAGACAAGTTACAAACACCAGCAGTCAAAAAGACAAAAACAGCAGTACCGAAGGCTACTGCTATTGATGAAGACCAGGCTGAAAAAGTTGACTCTGACACTAAGAAGAAGAGGAAGTCGCCTCCTGATGGTGAAAAGAAAGCTGCAACGCTTGATAACCAAAGAGTAAGCAAACCTGGATCTTCGGGTGCCAAAAGACAAAAGAAGTCTACAACAGAGGCAAGCGACACTGTCAGCCCAATTTTCAATGCCGCATACCGTGCTGATCTTCCGAGAGTTGCGTCCGTTGGCAAGATAGACAAGAGGCTGTTCCCTGTGCTCGATAAATCTGTTTTGGAAGAAATTGTCGACAACTACAAGCTTCGACAGCTTACAGACATGAAACTGCTTACACTTCAGAACCAGACTCCATCGAACGCCAAGGTGGATCAACCCTTCGCAGTTAGCGAACGAAATTGCTCTGTTTGCATGGAGGTGTCAGCGAATGAGGAGTCGTTCCAGGAAACACTCATTTGCACAAATTGTGGAGTGAACATACACGCTTCATGTGGCGGGATTACTGTATTTGGGAAGCAAAAGCCAATTAAACATTGGATCTGTGATCCATGTACTAACGATCTAAGTCCCAATTTTAGTACAAGTTACTCGTGCAGTCTTTGCTTGGCCAATGAGCTCAATTACGAGGGTTCGATCCTCGGATCATCCACAGTTAAGCCCGACTATTTAGTGCCAATTCTTGATTCAGGGAAGTGGTGTCATCTAACATGCGCAATCTTCGCTTACAAGGATATATTTTTCCGGAACTTAGCAGTGGCACCTTTTATCACCAAGGAGGTTTTGCATGCTTCGAACACACGCAGTTGCAACACTGCAATTGAGAGTGTCTCGAACGTATTTTTGGAAAATTATACATCGAGCTGTGGAATCTGCGAGTCCTTGAGTGGAGCTTTAGTGGCTTGCGACATGTGTGACGAAAATCGCAAGTTTCATGTTACTTGTGCCCAAGATACTGCGGGTTTCGGGCTTGGATTCAAGTTGTGCACCAAGAAGACGCTAAAGGCCAACACAAGCACGCATATTGGAAACGCTGTCGGCAAGTTGGAGCCTGTGCTCATTTGCTCTCAGCATGAAAACGTCAAGTATTTCAAAATGAGAGAATATGGGCGTCGTACTCCCACGGGTGAACCGCGGCCCCTCATACAGCTTTTCCTTGAAGACATTGCCAAATCAGTGTCTACCAAATCTAATGGCCCACAACTAAAGGCACATAACTACATCAGCATGATCGAAAAATTTATGGATAAGGAAGACGTCCTGCCTCAGAAAGCTAGGAAAGCCCCACACGCTCAGGAATTGGCGACAGACATAGCTTGTGCAAAGTGCAAAGTAGGCTCCTCGCCTAGCTGGTGGGCGGTGTCTGGTGAGCTGTCTGTACACTGCCAAAACTGCCACTTCAGTGATTCAAATGGGGAAGAAAGCCAGGTTCCAGAGGGGCAACTGCTACGGAAAGAGCTCCACGAACCTTTAGGGGGAGAAATTCACGGAATAAAAAATAGTAAGGACCACATAGGTGCGGTCCATTCGACTTTTGAGCCAAAGCCTCTGGATATCTTGGCTCACTTAGATAGCATTCTCTCACGGACATAGATATTTTGGTCACGTGCACAATACACAAGCTCAACTTTGGCTGAGAAGATTGTTTTTCTAGTAGAAAGCCTCTCCAACATACAGCACCGGAAGCCATGCTAAAGCTTTCGGAAAGAGACATGCCGGTTATTCCGGGCACCAAGATTGAAAATGGGGAGCTACAAGAGTTGCGGCTCATGTTGGCTGATTTGCTAAGAAGAAAAAATACGCAGTTTCCAGGGTCTCAGCCAGTATCGTTCGAGAGAAATCACATCGAAGTATTGAAGAAAAGAGAATACTTTGTGTGTGAGAAGTCCGATGGTTTACGATGCCTTTTATTCTTGATCAACGATCCAGTTAAGGGCGAGGGTGTCTTTCTAATAACGAGAGAAAATGAGTTCTACTTCATTCCCAACATTCACTTCCCATTGTCGGTGAATGAGGAAAATGGAAAAACTTACCACCATGGTACTCTATTGGACGGGGAATTGGTGTTGGAAACAAAAAATGTGCTGGAACCATACCTCAGATATTGCATCTTTGATGCTCTTGTAATCAATGAAAAGGACATAACAAACAGACCTCTACCTAAAAGACTAGGCTACATCACCGAAAATGTGATGAAGCCTTTTGATAGCTACAAATCAAAGCATCCAGAAATCGTCAACTCGCCTGATTTTCCGTTCAAAGTTAGTTTCAAAATGATGAAACTGTCATATAGAGCAAATGTTGTGCTTTCCATGCAAGATCAACTTTTCCATGAGTCAGATGGTTTAATTTTCACATGCGCCGAAACACCGTATGTGTTTGGTACGGATGCCACATTGCTCAAATGGAAACCAGCTCATGAGAACACTATCGACTTCAAAATGTACATGGAGTTCAAGCAATTCCAAGATCCCGATATGGATCCACGTGACCCTGATTCCACATATTTAGACTACGACAGCTTACCGGAGCGGATAAACCTTAACGTTTGGAAAGGGGGCAAAGAGTATGAGCAGTTTGCTCAAATGGATCTTTCTGAAGAAGACTGGGAACAACTCAAAGGCTTGAACGAACCCCTTCAAGGCCGCATAGTCGAGTGCCGCAAGAAGATCAGCAACCCACCATATTGGGAGATGCTCCGGTTCCGGAACGACAAGAGCAATGGCAATCACATAAGTGTGGTAGAGAAAATCCTCCATAGTATCGAAGATGGAGTGACAGAGAAGGAGTTGATCGACGCATGCCCTGAAATCGAGAAAGCATGGAAGGCCAGAGAATACGAAAGACACCAAAGGGCGAAAAACACCCACCACGATACTCATCTACCGGCGCAGATGAACACTCAGCCGCGAGTTCCGCCAAGTACTCAACCGCAGAATAACGTTCACAAAAGACCGCTCTCGTCAGAAAATACGGAGCAAACAAAAAAGCCTAGAGTAGCCGAGGAGCAAATGCTCAAGGACATGATGCCTGATTACGAAGAAGATAGCGAGCTGGACTGATAGTCAGGTCACGAAATTGTATTATTAAATTTTCCACATACTGTAAAATGTACGTACCATTGCACAAGCCTTGCACAATATAACTATCGTCTATCGTTCCAAGTTAATATTCTGGCCAAATTTGCCATATAAGTGTGCTTTGAGCTGCGCTAGCTGTTGATCGATTTCATCGATTTCGTCAGATAATTGTTCGACTTTGGTGTCCAAGGACTCGTTTTCTTTTTCAATATTCTCCACAGCTTCAGTGACGCTGAGAAAGACGAAGACATCGCCCACTTTGTACTGGATTTTATCGCTCTCGTCTAAAAGCTCAATTTCTAGAGCTAAGTCGTCGACGTATTCTTTTTCAGTTTTGAGCTTCTGGAGTTGTTCAGACAACGCATCTTTTCTATTGATGAGGGAGGAAAATTTGTTGATTTTTTGCTGATCTTCCCATAATACTTCTATAGTATTTTTTTGACCGGAAGGAAGAAGCTCCATGATATTGACTTCTGGTCGACTAACGGTTAGGACGCCTTGAAGATATATCCAAACGGGAAGGTGCAGGACCAAACTACATCTGCACTTCTAAGTTCATAAATTTGACATGATTCAAGTCTTCCATAATGCGACAAATATGTTTCTACGTAGTCTTCAGTTCGTTTGTGCCATTAGGGCAATTTTTCATTTTGGTAATACTTTTTTGTGCTTCTACCAGCGCTAAAACCAAGGCAACTTGTTGTTGTTCTCCCAGAGAATCTCGCCTTTCTTCAACCTAGAGTCGTCTTCCTCGTTAACGAAAGAGATGGCACCAAGAGAGCTGTTGTTCAAGCCATCAACACTTTGGAAGAATTTGCGCAAGTCGCGGAGCACTTTGGAACTGACCTCAGACTCCCAAAGTACAATCTTGTGGAAGTTTGCCAACTGCGGAATCCCGTGGTCCGCTTCGACGTAGTTCTTTAAGTTTGCAATAAGCTGGAAAGCCACTGAATCATAATTAGCGCGAGTAGTGTCGACGTGGATTTTAAGAATTGTCACATAGTTCTTCGGTTTTTCGGTTTCCTTGTCAAAATCGTACTCATAGTGCCACACAATAAAGCCTTGTGAATCACCTGTTTCCGGACACCGAAGGATCATGCCATAGTAATGTGGTTGGATGCTCAGAAACTTGGCCACAAGATCATCGTATGAATCACGATATCCATCAAATTTAATGTGCTGCTCGTACAACTTGGCTACGAAGAACTTCAGTCTCAAGTGGTACCAATCAATGTAATCAGCGGTTGGGTTGATTGTAATACGGTCGAGTCCATCAGTGGCAGTTTTCTCGCGCATTTCTGAATCAAAGTGGGCATTGTACTCCTCGAACAAAGGCGCAAATTCGTGGTACTTGACCAAATCCACATTCTCTGGTTTCTCGTAGGGTTTATTTTGAGCCACAAGCGGGATGTTTGCCAATGGCACATGGAAGGACTTGAATCCATTACGCGCATAGTATTCGCCAACTTCCGAATACAAAAACACGAATCCATCCTCGCCCAAAACGTCCGGCGTTTTGGCTATTTGCATGAGCTTGTCAATCATGATGGACGCATATCCTTTGCCTCGATGGCTTGGATCCGTGTAGACACCACCAACGCAACCGCTTAATACGGATTTTCTAGCGACGGAACCATCAGCCGTCTTATGAAACCTCCACGATTCTCTTACCAACAACTCCACAGAACTGACAATGGTGGATGGGTCTGACTTATTCTTCAAGCCAAAGACAAGAACACGGTTGGTCTCCGAGGAGGCGATCTTCGATAAGCCCAAAACGTGTTCTCTTTCCACGTACTCTTCGACAGAAAGAAAGTTCCGCCATGCAGCAGCATTCGCTTCTCTGGTTTTGTTGATGGAAGGCAAATCTTGCAAGCGATCCAAGTAGTAGTCCGATGGGTTTTCTTTGGCTTTAGTCATGTTGCCTGGTATATGATTTTGGGGCTTATCATGGATATATATCGCGACCAGATAAGCGTGTGGCTCCCAAATGGGTATACGCTAACGGCAAGTGAGAGAATGTATGTACTCTAACGGGAAGACGCTGCGAGAGACGCGGAAAACGGCACGCTGTATGCAGATGAACGGCCGTGATTTTAGATATGAACCAAATTTTCGGTTCAGCAAGTCCTACAACCGGGATCGTTGAGATGATAGCTTGACAGCAGTTTGCAAGGCATGCATGACATTGTATGTCGCACGTTGCACATTGACACGTCTAATGTTCCATCCGAGCCAAATACTTTGTCAAAAACGGCAATTTTCCATGCTTCGCCTACTTGCTTTCAAATTTCTTGCGGAGATCATTCCGATTCGTAATCCTCAGCATGCAAGTCACGCATCTTCATCACCTCGTCATAAAGACACTTCTGTGTCTTATCTTGCAACCGTAAGATAATGTCGCTGGGGCTCCATCCTTTGTAGCGGTACTCTTCGATTTTGTCGCTGATGTCCACCAACTGCTTGTAATATTTGGGCATCTCGTCAATCAATTCTTGAGAAAACTTTGGGATTTTCAGGTTCTGAAGTAGGAAATCACCGCCCGTTTCGCCAACCGTATTGAGTATTAGACTGAGAACCGCTAAAAGCAGCTTCACGTTTGCATTTTTCTCCTGGTTCAACTCGTTCAAGTTGACTGGATGCTTGGAAAGTCTCTTGGCCACAGAACGCAAGTGGTACCGTGCCGGATCTTCCTCAATGTCGTGGCACAAGTCATATAGCCACGTGAGATCAAACACGTCGCCCTCGGGATATGGAATAAGCTTAGAGAAGGGCGAATCAGCTATAATGTCAAAGGATTTGCGGAGTAAGGAGTATTTGGACATCCCACTGGGGTAGCGATCGTAAACGTTACACAAAAGCTCCTCGCACGGGTCGGGCAAGCGGCGGAAACTGTCTTCTTCTTCTTTTGAAATATCAATATTGGGCACTTCCAACTTGTACAAGAAACCTTTGATGTTGGCCCAATGCACAAAACTTTTGAGTGCCACAAGTACCGTGGGCAGTTCCAATGCCTCTTCACCAAAGTACTCTTGTACGTAATTTCTCATGTAATGTCCTTCGAGCTTTGTTCCAATGTGGTGGTCTGTGTGAAGAAAGTTCAACTTTGCGCAGTACAAGAGGTTATAACCTTGGATCAAGTGGGTCTTTGTGACACCTTGCACAAAAGAGAGGGCCTTTTCTCTTTCTTCGGGTGAATACTCGAGCCGCAGGACCTTGTGGTTGATCACAGACGAGTTTTCTTCTTCGTACCAGCCATTCACTTCCAAATCTCTGGCGACACCAATTATAGTGAGGCAAACGTCTCGGAACTCGGAAAAAATGTCGCTGCTGATGGAATCTAGGATACGGTACGCCAGCACCGTTGAGAGATTGAGTGACAAGTCTTCAGGATGCACAATCAAGTGTTTGTCTTCCTCTCGGATGCGTTGAAAATTGTTGTTGACAAACTTATATTTCCGGCCCTTTTTCGAGATTTCGATGGTGGAAAGAGCATCTATTTTCTGGAGAATTGCATCTGCGACAGCAATCAAGGCATCTGAAGTCGAAAGTAGCGTAGTCATGGTAGGTTGAAAAGTACACTTAGACGGTATTATGCTTAGTAGCGCTAACCTGCAGGTCCCATATACTGGAAGTGATTAGAGTTCCCAAAATGGGGCGAGGAAATGATAACGAAACAACCAAATCGCAGGGATATATCTTAGCTTCTAGGCAATGTATTCACTCAAAGCCAGGCTTCCCCAATCTTTGATCATCAAATGGTTAGATCATAATCGCTCTGTAATTTTTCGGAAGGTACGGATGTGTCTACTTTGAAGAAGCATTTGTAGACGTGGTGTGAAGTACTTGAATACGAAAAACAAAACACGAACAGAAAAATAAAGTAAATTAAAGAACGAAAACAATTAGAAGTGTCATTTCCAAATATAAATTACGCAACGAATCTAGGGGTGTTCGGCTCATCAAGTGACTGCAAGAGGAAGCTCGTTCCCCTATTTTAACCAAGCTTTTCTGGGCGAAGAAAATCTCTCACTGTTTACACATGAACGAAAATATTCCGCATGTCGCGAGGACAGGATGACGGCCCATGAGGTATTTTCCTTGTCACTAATTCTACGTTAATTACGCTAATTATTCCACCAGGACCCATGCATAGCTACCCCCACGCTTTTCCTCTGCATTCTACGCAACAAATGGGGGAGTGCCAATGCAGTATGTATGTGCGACATAAATAGGGCGTAGATGAAGTCACCATGCACAAACGCATAAAGCACATTTGCATGCAACAGAAAGTCGGCCATTTCCTATTGTGGTCTACATCCAAAAGGGATCCGATTACCCAGCCCCATATATTCGTAATAAAGACATAAATGTTAGAGTCACACAACCAGTGGAATGAAAAGAAGCAGCATTGTAGAATCGCCGCACAAACCAGTTCGTTTGCTGGCTTACTCCGATGCCAGCTTCTTTTGCCGCAACACCTTAATCTTTCTTCTGCGAGCATTAATGAACCAATTACTCAATTGCTGTTGGTTTAATCCCGTTGCCATCATTAACCGCGTCTTCTCAAAAGAGTTAGGATATGGATGATTGAGATGGTCATTCAACCACTTCAACAAAATGTACGTGGTCTCTTTAGGCAAGTTGTTTCTTGTTCGCGAACGAGAGTGGTGTTGGATGTTGGCTGATGCCGAAGAAACACCTCCCTCCAGCGTAGGCGAAGTGACAGGAGACACAGAAAGTTGTTCCGACCCACTCCGCGTTCTTTCCGTGGCGGATGGACCCGACGTGCTTCCGTGGACGCTTCTCGATACGGAAGCTGGCATTTCAAGGGCAGGAGGCATGGCTGTGTAAGCGCCAGAACCGTAGTAGTTGTAGGAGGAAGGGGCTGTTCCGTAAGTTGCCATAACGCCAGCGTTAGGTGGAACATAGTTGTAAGGGTAAACCGGCATCGTCGTATACGGTGGATTAGGACGAGGGTGGGTGGGAAAGGGGCCCAACGACACATCCTTGCCAGAAAATATGTCGGAGATTGGGGGCAAGGTGACTTTGTTATTCATTTCGGAGTAGAATTAAAAAAAGGTATATGACACGAATAATTTATAGTGAAAAGATGAAGTGTCACCGATAAAGACTTCAAAGTCAAGTTTGAATTAAAAAATGATGCTTGTCAAAAAACGAAAAGTTGGAGAAGGGTTTCTCAAAGGTGATTACGGAGGAGTTAAATAGTTAAAGCGACATTTTGAAACGCCAATGCACTTTGTACTACCGCTTTGCAATTTTCTTGGTATGGTATGCCCGGATTTACATTTCATGGGCCGGAAGTACAACGGCTGCACAAACATTTAGGGTGAAATGGATCGAAAGTGCAGGAAAGAGGCTAGAATTTAGGCACCAGTGCATGCTAAGATGGCCTAAACTTGGCTGTCCTTCCATGCACGCGATTCGATCCTTGAAATCCCGATTTCCATTTTCGGCCACTTCGGAGAAAAAAACAAGCAGGAACGTCATAGAGAAGCTTATTTGCAGCCGGTGGCATCGACCGGCTTTCACATTCCTTGATACAATATAGCCTTTCAACCCCCTTAGAAATAAGTGAAAACTACAAGAATAGCATTCCCATACAAACAAGGCGCATTCATTGTGGCAAAGTTCGTAAACGTGTGCCAAGGAAATGTCAAAGTGTCAAAAACGTCAAAGTACAGTGTGCCAAGAAAACTTCAGAGCGCCTGCATGCGCAAATTTCTTGAGTGCCGAGTCAACCCTCGGAATTCAGGAACCCTCGGAAAACCCGTGCTAGACGCCTCTGAATAATCCCGATACGTCCAAGATGTCATGGCCAATCTACATGACACCAAGCAACTGCCAAGAACCGCATATTGGCAATCTTAAGTATTCGCCCATCGTCCCATTTACGAGTAAACAGATCCTAGTTAGGAGAGAAGCTTCTGTGCCGATACCCTAGTTTTCAAACCATTCAGCCGTCTCTCAAAAGTTTATTGTCTAGATTTTTCACGGGTATCGCTTGCGTGATAAGGGCCATTTAGGCACATATTCTTGACAGGCAAACTGTACACCTGACTGCACGGAATGCACCCACGCGTAAGTCGAGTTTGTCATGCGACAGCTACATGCAGTTTCGACATCGGACCGCATGGCAATATCTTGTCACCCTAAAAGTCAACACAAGCACCTACTACAGCGAGACATTTATTTGCCTCTAGTTGGCACACATAGACAGCACGATGGCAGTTTTTATTGGGGATTTAGCCGGCGCAGCCGCTAGCTTCACATAGCCATTCATCATATCAAACGAGAATGTGTCAACAGATCAGTATGGTCTTTATGCAGGTGTCATGCATGCTATCTTTTTCTTTGCTTCCTGTCGGGGCCAGGCCCCTTTATTGCCCTTGACATACCCTTTTTGATGCTGGCACAATCATCTAAAAAGGCGCTCGATCGTGCTCGCATTATAGTCGCGTCCATTTTGGGTTGCACACTTCTGCTTCTATTCTGCCTATTGTTCTGATAATCCATGCCATGTAGGCTCGTAAATCGTATTCGGGGCTTTGAAAGGCGAGGTGTCACCTAAATTTTTCGCCAAGCTTCGCGCGCGAAATTCTTGGTATTTTGTGGGGTGGCGTATCGAGCACAACGTCCTAAAAGAGATTTTATGTTGGACATCCGTAATTTAGAATCTCGTAATTTCTATTAGAGACGCTCATTCAAGAGACGCTCGAATTGCAGCTTGTCGTACTTAATATACTTGGCCCTGTTTTTTGTGAACTCCCCATTGCCATACTTGTCGTAAAGTTTGTTGTAGGCGTTGATGATGAGTTTCTTGATTTCTCCCGACAAGTAAACCTTGAGATCCTTTTCTTGGATATTGAACTTTTCATATTGTTTAAGTGCTTCTTCAAATGACTCGTTGAAGTTCTTAAACAACTCTTTAGTCTGTTCTCTTTCTTTGGTCGAGTGCTGTCCTCCGTTCATGGCATTGGTAGTTGTGATTTGAGTCATGTCACGAATGATGATGTAAGATGCGTAATTCCAGTCATCCAAGAACAATTTAAGGAATCGGTTCTTCAATCTCTGGAGACGCTCCAAGCCGATCTGGCCCAACTGCTGATAAAACGACTCCAGTCGGTTGATGATTGTTTCAATCATCACAAGATTCTTGATCAACAAAAATCCCTGCGACAGTTTTCGTAAGCTGTTATCACCTGTCTGCTCCTTCAAGTTGATTTCAATATTCACCATGAGCTCATCTATAAGGTCCAGAATGTATGACGAAGCTAAAAACTTGTTCAAATCTTCTGCAGATGCTTCAGCCCCAGGGATAACAGACGTGTAAACGGAAATGAAACGAAGTGGAGGTTTGATATCGAGCCAGCTTCCAAGTTTTTTGCCCTCAATCAACAATTGTAACGAGTTGAACTCACATATTCTTCTGATCTTAGAAATAACGTCCACGATAACTTCAGGAATGCTAAACTCGTTGAATCGCTCAACTTGGGACACTCGTGCATCCACATACTTGACCCACTCAATGAGCAATGACAGCGCCTTGTTTCGTAACTTGCCGTATTCTTTTGTGACTGATGCGCAGGCAGCAAAACTACACTTATACTTCGTCAATGCCGCATCCATATGAACCAATGAATCTAACAATTCCAAAGTGGCAATGTCATAGGTAAGTGGGCCCAGCTGGTCCAAGGACGTGTTATAGCGGATCAAAATTGGGGTAAGTCTGTTGTCAAGATACCCACAAAGCGTGTTGGAGAGAATCGGAGATCCAGATACCCGGAGTTCTTCACATACCGTACTAACGCTTTTGGCATACAAAAGAAGCTTCTCCGTATACTTTTCGATTCCTGAAGAGCCCTTTTCGTATGGAATGTTGCTTTGTCTTTTTGGAAATGTACAGGCAGGCTCAGAAGCTGCCATGAGCTTGCAAAGTTGGGTGTAAAGAGCCTTCTCAACGGCCGCGTGAGCATTGCGAAGGTTTCCTTGCTGTGTAAAGTAGGCCAAGACAGCTAGAGCGTCTTGTTTCTTGGGGATAACACCCGTAGTCAAATCGACTCCATTCATTACTTGACTGAAGTATTTCACCACACTCATTTCCGCCTTATCCACTGCATTTGCGAAGCCAATCACAACACCTTCAAAGTCTCTGATGTCCCGCTTCATATCGTGGAGCAATTGCGCCGAACTTTCAAGACATGCCAAATACTTTTGAATTCCAGTGGCTTCAACTGGTCCCGTAAGAATACGCTGAGATTCGGCTGCCTCGGCGGAGTACCGTGAAACATCCTTCAAAAGAGCAAGCCCTTCTTCAACAGATTGTTTTTTCGCTGTAAGGCTATTGAATTTCGCTAGCACAGGGCGAATACTCTGAGAACCCGATTGCGTTTTCTGTCCGATGGTTCGAAGCAGCCGTGAGAGATCCTCAAAGACCTGTTTCGATCGGGCAAGATTCTGTGTTAGAACAGCCACATCTGCCTCGTCCACATCCACCTTGAGCATATTAGTGTTGATGTTGGTTGAGTATTGATACTACAGGCGTCTGGATGTAGAGTCGAGGCTTACACACAGGACGAGACAGAAGTCACATTCAGATGATGACATGAAAGACTAAAAACCATTATTGTAGATTGTAGGGTGTGAAATCGTGGCATTAATTCGAATACAAGCCCGAGCCACGTGTGTTTAGATGCATCAATCCAGGACGACATCGAGTGAGAGCAGAAAATAAATATCGAAGGTTCAGAAAATAACCACCACAGCAGTAAGTCACGCTAAAAATACCAAAACTGACCCAGAAGCGAAGAAACGGATTGATTTCCGGTCTTCAGAAGACATAAAAAGAGCAGCTGTCACATTCACATGACTACAAGTCGTTTGACATGGAGGTGTACGAATGTGCAGGCTAGCTCGATGAGTAGAAAGCATATAGTACTATCAAAAATGTTTGAGCCATTGCCAGTTTTACGTGATAGCAAAGAAACTACTGATCGCTTTGTGGCTAGCTTGATTGAGGCCTCAGAAAGGAAAGATGCTGGAAAAGCCCGTGTGCTGAAATGGACAGTTGAGACTTCTACGGGTCCTGTTGAAGTGGATAGCTGGAAGTTCAAAGAGTTTGAATATTCTCGCTCGAACATCCAATTACCATGTCGGGCAAGGGGGTTATTTATGCAAGGAAGTCGGATTCTTGCCCGGGGCTATGACAAATTCTTCAACCAAGAGGAAGTTCCCGAAACTAAAATGGAAGCGTTGAAGAAACTAGAAGGTCCGTTCAACGTATCAACAAAAGAAAATGGCTGCATTATATTTATTTCAGGGTTGGAGGATGGCACACTTTTGGTGTGCTCCAAGCACTCGACGGGAGAACGAGACGGAGAAAAATCAAAGCATTTCATTCGAGGCCATCAAGAAACACTCTCCCAATTAGAGCGGATAGGGAAAAGACCAGAGGACTTGGCCCGAATCCTTTTCGAGTTGAACTTGACGGCCGTGGCAGAGTTGTGTGACGACGATTTCGAAGAGCACGTCGTTGAATATCCCAAGGAATTGGCTGGTCTCTATTTGCATGGGCTTAATTACAATACCCAAAAGTTTCATACGTATCCAATGGACCGCGTGTCGGCCTTCGCTGAAGAATGGGGCTTTCGAAAGGTATCAGACTTTACTTTCGACTCTTTTGATCGTCTTTGGGCGTTCCTTGAAAAGACAGGTGAAACTGGTACATTCAACGGTAGGGAAATCGAAGGTTTTGTTATCCGAGCTAAAAAAGACGGTCTGGACTATTTTTTTAAGTATAAGCTCAAGGAGCCTTATTTTTTATACCGGCAGCTTAGAGAAGCCACGTTAGATTTGATCAACCCAGAGGCGCCTCAGAAGATTCCTCAGATTGTCCACAGACGCCCTGCTCACAAAAAGATTACCTTCTCGTATTTGGAGTACGTTGAAAAGCTTTTTGAGGAAAACCCTCAGCTCAAAGAAGACTATTTGAACTCGTTGGGGATTATAAAGGTTAGAAAAATGTACCTTAAACACATGGGATTCGGAGAATTAGATGGTTTGGGATTAGTGAAAATAGAGGACAAGGATGAGAAACTTTCTCAGAAACTTGACAAACTTTTGAAGGCAACAACCTTCCACTACGGAATCGTTCCTATTGCATCTATAGGATGCGGAAAGACAACTACCATTAAAACCTTGACCAATTTGATACCAGAGTGGGGACATGTTCAGAGTGACGATTTCTATAAACGAAAACTTAAATTCACCGAGACCTGTCTTCTGGAATTAGGCACACACAAAGTTGTCTTCATTGATAAAAACCACCAACAGGCGAGAATCCGGAAGGAACATTTCAGCTCTTTTCACGCCAATGAGGGAAAGTTTGTACCTCCTAATATACTGGTGAAATACGTTGGTATAAACTTCATGAGCAAAGGGACATCAGCTGAACATTGGAAGTTTCTTGAAAAGAGACTTATAGCAAGAGGAGATAACCACCAAACGCTTAGAGTTAAAAAGGAAGGCGACAGCGCATCTAAGAAGGCAAAAGGGTTTTACGACTCGTTCTCACCACCAGAATTGAAGGCTAAACTAGAAAATGAGAGCTTGCCGGTGGTGGTTGAAGGTAATAAGTACGAAGATCCAGATAGTAACTTCCACATGATAATCAACTTGGATTGCACTCAGGAGAACTCTTCTTTGGAAAATGCAAAAATAATTTTGCGTGAATTGACGAAAGCATTTCCGGAAATTCAAGTTCCTAATTTCACGGAAAGTCAATGGATGGAAGCTTTTGAATCTGCGAAAAACCACGAGGTAAAGGTAGTTGCGCCACCACCTGCTCCAAAAGCCGGAAAAGCGATCTATGTGGGTATTGAAATAACCCCATCTGCAATCCAAAGCATAGCCGACAATTGCTTACGTGAAGATCCAACGTGGAATGGCCTAGTTGAAGCCAAACGAGTCCAGCAAGACTTTCATGTCACTGTGGCTCACTGTATGGCAGCCAGAGATGCAAAGAAAAAGGCGTCGTGGGCAAAAATAGCCAAAAAATTCGATTTAAAAGCGAACGGAAAAGTTGCCAAAGAAACAGGGAGGTTTCCATTGCGTTTTTTCGCCGACTTGAACATCAAAAGTATAGTTGTCGTTGAGCAAACATTGATTACCCTCAGAGTGGAACTTTCAGCCATCTATACCCAAAATGAGCTGAGCTTTATCTTGGATGAAGACAAGATAGAGCCAACAAATACGATATTGCATATCACTGTTGGTACTATGAGCGAAAAGATTCGGCCTGCCATGTCAAACACATATCTTGAAAAGTTGGTTGCCTCTCACGAAAATGTGACGAAAGGAGAGTACATTTTGGATGATAAGAAGTTCAAGGTGTGGGATGTGGATGTTAGTTTAGAAAAGCAACAGCTCTTTGTTTATTATCAGTTCGACTGATCAGAGGGTACCAAATATAATACACAAATGCGCTTCGTTACTATATTTACGTATTGGTTATTCAATCTCCGACTAGGATCTGCAGCTAGAGACAAGGCACTGGAAAGATATTCGAAAAAACTGAACTTGGACTTGAACTGATTTGATAGAAAAATAAAAATAAGAATTTCCTAGGGTAAATTCCAGCACTATGTGTGCAAGTAACTGAATATATCACCAACATTATCGCAGGTGCGCAATGCCATCATGAAGTATCTTCTAGTGCCAATATCAACCATAGGATGCGGCAAATCTACAGTTTTCCGCATTCTTAAGGAGCTTTACCCAACGTGGGCGCATGTGGAAAACGACGACTGTGGATCGAAAAAAGAATTCTATAACAAGATCTCCCACCTGCTTGAAAACCACCAGGTTGTGCTTTTGGACAGAAACAATCACCTTGCTCTTCACCGCAAACAGATTGTCGAGCTCTACAAGAAGCCAGATGTCACCTTGATTGCTCTTGTCTTGGTAAGGGCAGATTCTGATCGCAAACACTTGTGGAATACTACATTCAAAAGAGTCGAAAAGAGAGGCGACAACCACCAAAGCATAGCCGGAAGTTCACAGAAGGGACTCGCCAAGGCAATAATGAGTAAGTTTTTGAAAGATTTTTGTCCATTTGACCCCACGAGCGAAGCCGACGCTGCGTTTGATTATTATGTTGATTTGGAACTCGGCGACAATTCTTCTATGGCCAACGCTGGACACGTTATCAAGTTCTTGCACACTTTGAACCCAGAGCTTGTTCCTTTAATACCAGACCCAGATACGCTACGAAGATTGTATGAAAAGAGTCTAGGGCAGGAAAAGTCGATCACACCCAGACAACAGAAGATGAGACGAGAAAAGAATAGAGAAAGCCATCCTGCGAGCCCAAAGACTCTTAGTAAAAGAAGAAACAGGGCCAATGAGACGGCGTAGTTTATACATTTTCCATCGTTTAGTGGTCATTGGCGGTGTGCACACATCAACCCCACACCACGAAGTCCGAAGACCCGAAACTCCGACCGTGGCCGCTATACGAGAGAGTACATGGTGATACTTTCAATTTCAGCCGAGTTTAATGGAGACAGAAACTGAAAATTGTAGAAACGTAGACTACGCTGTGACTTCACACGAGATTCATGACGCGACTTCCCCAACATTCGACGGGCCAAAAAAAACACGAAGAAAAAAAAATAGCTCGAACGAATTCTGTGCAAGACAAGATTATCAGGCTGTTCGTTTTCCATCTGTGAGCTTGCATCATTTCCTAATTACAATCCTCGGCTTCTCTCCTGCTTACATTTTCTTTGCCGTCTTCAGCTACTTCGGGCCTCCATAGGTTTTGTCATTCCCATACTAATAGAGCTCTGATGGTCAAGCAGCTGATTATCGACAATATCGACTTTGGCAATGTGCCCATCGGCACAATCAAAATCGATTGTTCTGGGGCATACATTGCCAACGACCACTTATTGCGAGGCCACGGTTCAGTTTCGTCTACACCGTCGCCTCTTACTTCGGACAATTCTTCAGAGTCCGAGGACGAAGAGTTGCACGCCCTGCCACTAGACGGGTCGCTTTCTGTTGACTCTAAAAACCAGAACATCACTTTGCCCAAACACAACTCGGAAGTTGTTCACATATCGGTGGACATTGGTGGAACTTTAACGAAATTGGTATATTTCACTGCGTCCGGTCAGGACGGCAGCAAGAACGGAGGAAAATTGCATTTCCAGGACTTCCAGACAGGCAACTTTGAGCAAGAAGCGCTCTCGTTTATGGTGAGGCTTGTTCGCAAGAGTATAGTGAAGAAGAATCTTCCTCCAATCACATACATAATGGCCACAGGTGGCGGAGCACATAAATTCCACAAGGTGATGATATCAGCGTTCAAAAAACACAATTTGCCGATGCACATCGTGAAAAAAGACGAGATGGAATGTCTTATAAAAGGTCTTGACTGGCTCATTACCAAGATCCCCAACGAGATATTTACATACGACCTTGCAGAAGACAATGTTCGCTTCATCAAGAGCCCATACACCGAGGACGACCAGATATATCCATATCTTCTAGTTAACATTGGCTCTGGCGTTTCCATGATCAAAGTCACCGGTCCTGGACCGCAAGGTTTCGAAAGAATTGGCGGTTCTTCCTTGGGAGGAGGTACGTTGTGGGGTCTTCTTCTGCTTCTCACAGACGCCAACGATTACAACGAAATGTTGGAAATGGCCCAGCGAGGGAACAACGAAAATGTGGACTTGCTAGTTGGCGATATCTACGGAACCAGCTACAACAAAATCGGCTTGAAGTCGAACCACATTGCGTCTTCGTTTGCCAAAGTATTCAAGAAATTGCGCTTCAGCAGGCTGAACAAGAAGCTTTCCGTGCCGGAGAAATTGGCGCTTTTCAAACAGGAGGACATTGCCCGATCCTTGTTGTATCTGATATCCAACAATATAGCGCAAATTGCATACTTGCAGGCTCGCCGCTTCGATTTGAAGCGTATCTACTTCGGAGGCAGCTACATCTCAGGACACGTGCAAACTATCCATACTTTGAGCTACGCCCTGAATTTCTGGTCTAAAGGTGAAATGCAATCCTATTTCTTGAGACACGAAGGCTATTTGGGAAGTGTGGGTGCTTTTATGATGGGGCCAAATGGAGAACACGTAAACGGAAAGAGCTACGACGCATAACGACATTCATTTCGACTGACTTATTTATTTTAATAGAACCATCGGCGCTTTCTTTGATTGTAGAGGTCGGAGAAGTCTAAATGGCCTCCTGTAATATGTACCGAGGATGATAGTGGCAAACACCACAGACGGAATATATGTTGCGCCAAAGTCGACACCGATAAAGTAACGAAGAAACTATGAGAGAGTATGTAAATGAGAAGAGAAATAACATGTAAACATCTTCATGACGAAAGTACTCCGTCTTTGGATGTTGACTCATTTGCTGCGAAGTTAATAATCTCATTGAATATTTCGTTTCCTTCTATCTTTAGGACCACACGAGTTAGTTAATCCTATATTTCACACATTTGCTTTTCCTCAACGTTACACATATTGGCGCCAATATTTCGATGTACCTGTATTGGCATACCTTTACTCTGCAAGTTCCGAAGTAACGTTGCACTAGTTATCGCGCTCAGCGCAGTGCATACACACTTCTCCTCACCAACTCCATTTACCAAAACACATAATATCAAAATCTTCCAGCGGAAGTTGCCAATCACTTGCTTGTCGATTGAAAGTGTCCAGTTGTTGTTCTTTACATAAACTACTTTAAGGTGCTATTACTTACTACCATCAATCAATTCGGAAGACCACTCCCGCGTACGTCAGATTATGGAGCCTGTTCAGATACAGCCCAATATTCCAACATCGGGGCCAAACGGTCCTGGAACAAATTCAATACCACCTTATTACTCGGCTATCAAACAATATAGCAGCCCTTTACCTTTCTCGAGCGAATGGGACGAGTCTTTTGCCCAACAGCAATCTCCACTCAAATCAAAAATGACGTATACTATGGCCCAACTTGCAAGCAACGGCATCGCAAAATCATCAGAGAAAAATGCCCGAGCGCTGCCAGCACATACTGTGACGCTGAATTCCATGCGCTCGCCGACCAGGGCGGAGGAGAAGATTCGTTTACCGAAGGCTGATCTGGCAGAACCTACGCCTCCACCATCAGATTTATCCCCAGAAGAAGTTCTGCCCATAGATGTGTTCTGGGCTATGGTCAACGATATCACAGGCAAGGACAAGTTGGCCAAGTTTGGGCAGTATTCCTTGAGATTGTTACTCCATCATTCAAAACAGGCAGAAGCGTACTTGAGTGATGAAAAGTTGAACATCCGGCTGATCAACAAGACGTACCAGGGAACAGACAAAATGTTGGACTTGATTATCAACTTTGTGCGTAATCCCCGGGCGTTTGCTCGAGTGGTAGTGATTCTAATATGCTCTACATTCACGCTGAGACTATCAGGCGTTGTCCCAGCTTTGGCTATGTTCAGACAGTTTTTGCGTTTTGGCAAATCGCCTTTCCGGATTAATGCATTACTCAAAAAGGTCAGAAACCACTTATACTTCGACAAGACCAGTAAAGTGTGGAGAATTCAAGGCTCCTTTTTTTCAAAGAACACTTTGGGTGAGCTTATATCCCTTTACTATTCAGTGAATGATGAATCTTTGCTTCTATTCAAGCTTAAGTTTTTGCAAAACAAAACTTGGAGAAGAATTGCCGGACGTCACGAATCATATGCATGGTACTGTGATTCGTGGTTTGCGTTGTATAATGCATGGTCTAGTCTTCAGAGCCTCTCACAACAGGAAATGGATATCCAGATCCAAATAAGGGTCAAACAAAGGGCTAAAGCACTTTCTAAGGAACTTTTGGGTGGAACTGCACTTCACGCCTCTCATTTGGATGATGAAACAGATGACCAACAATTGTTGAAAGAAATCAGATTCAAGAAATCGAATGCCATGTTGGACATTTACAAAACATTGTCAGACATTATTTTCAACTCATATACCGTGTTCAACATGAAGCTACACTTTGCGACAGTCCAAATATGGATGGGAATTAGCGCTTCGTTCTTAAGTTCGGTCAAGTTGTATCGCCAGAAGAAGCAACTGCTCGAAAGCAAGTAACCAGCCGCTTTTTCAATAATAGACATAGAATCAGTCCTGCGGCAAACATTAGTGGTTGCGAACATGTTACAAACTTTTATGAGAGAAGCTTTTGCCCAAGCACTGCAGTTTTATAAATAGGGACAAGAACATTTAATGACTCATGGTCAGACTATTTTGAATAAATACCGTGTTGATCGCCACGGACTCGCCTTTCTGACGTGTATGGTGGGCAAAAGAGGTATATGCTTTGAGATTAGGCAAGTCAACGTATTTGTTATTAGGGTTGTTGTTGAATGTTACAGTGACATTTTGTGAAACATATTTTGGTGGCGGTGAATCAATCGTAGGCACCAAATTAATTATCCTTAAAATGCGTTGGCACAATACACAACAGCGTAATCGCAATTGCACGTTAGTCACCTAATAAACGAAAAAAGGGTAATGACCAAAAGCCTTTTTGAATACTAGAGAAAGAAGGAGAGCCATCTATTATATAAGCATGCATACCCTTATGATGATAAGGTACAAATTATTTCATAGTACAACTATTCATAATTCAGCTTCACCAACATTACAGCTTCATTCATTTCTATTGCATGACTTCATCGAGTGTGATTGTCGCTGGAACTTCGGCGGCCACTTTCCAAAATTTCAGTAGATGTCTATCGCCCAGATCACAGGCCACAACCACTATGCGTTGTCCGGGACCATACTTTTGGGCAATCCGAACAGCTGCAACGCAATTAATGGCCGCCAGCAGTCCCCAGAACAAACCATCATTTGCACAAAGAAACTTGGCCATTTTTGTCGCCTGAGAATCCGTCACACGAATAGCTTCATCAACAAAGCGCTCCCCTTGTGCAAAGTTCCATGTGAGCCTATTCAAACCAACACCTTCAACCATTGTGTCCACCTGATGACGGCGCCGCGTGCCTTCCTTTTCAACCGAGTCGTACATTACGCCGTGGTTGATTCTGTTGGCAAGCCCAGACCCTTGCGGATCAGCCAACACAACACGAATCGACTTGTCCTGTTCTTTGAGAAAGCGAGACACACCGGAAATTGTGCCACCCGTACCGGAGCCTGTTATAAATGTGTTGATATTGCCTTCGAGCTGAGTCCAGATCTCGGGACCTGTAGTCTTGTAGTGCACCCGCCAGTTGGCGTCATTTTCGAACTGATCAGCGAAAACAGCTCGCCGGGGATCATTTTTGTCGTTGTTGATGCGCTCAGCACCCTGACGTGCCGCATTCGTGTACTGATTTGGGTCGACGATTGGAGCAGGTTTCACAGGCTCCAACTCAGCGCCCAAAGATCGGAGCAACTGGATTTTCTCAGGCAGTGTGTCATCGGGAAGACAAATGTGCGCCGTGTAGCCCAACGCATTGGCCAAAACCGTAAAGGAAATGCCTGTTGAGCCAGAAGTGCCTTCGAAAATCACATCACCACTATGTGGACGTAAGCGGCCCAGTCTCTCGTGTTCACGTATAATCGCTAGAGCCACACGATCCTTGGCCAGCCCCGCAGGATTCATAAGCTCCAATTTGGCGTAAATTTTGCAACCTGTGAGCCGAGAAAGCGACTGGATCTCAATCACTGGAGTATTTCCGATGAGCGATGCAACACCCCGGGTTTTTGGGCGGAGCATGGCGGTGGGTGGTTTCCGGCTCCTATAGAGCGAATAAATGGCAGCAGCTACTGCGGCTGCTAGCGCCCACTCCTTGTAAGAACGCATGGATAGGAAATTAGAGTCACGATGAAGTATGAGTGCGAACTTGTGCGAAGACGTCGAAGATTGGCAGTGCGAGTAGTATGTATCAGTAGATAAGAGTCTGAGAATATCCAAACGTTATCATCATGAACATGGCAGATGGAAAAGTAATTCCTATAAATTCGGAGGGTTGGTGTCTTAGAAAGGCAAGCCAGCACATGGGTTCCACTATAGTCTTGTTTGGGTGCGAAATCGGAATACCCATCAACAGAAACACAGGTGTGCAATGCCTTGTCTTACAGACCAGGGGTTAGTGAGAATGGTTGAACTCGTGATTCATCTAGGTGATTAAGCCATACGTTTTACTAAAAAGGAAAGCTCTTGTTCAACGACTCTAATACGAAGAGATATTGCAATACGTGTACCTGGATTAGATGGTCTGACAAAGAGGCATTCCTTGGTAGCACACAGTAGATATATCCTCGCCAGTGAGGGCTTGAACATGATCAAAAGCTCGAAAGTATTGATCAGGTCAACATATTTCATCATTATTCTGTGAATGACTATCTTATGGTGGCTGAACGTGGCACTTTCCAACTTGCATCATTGTACACAAGGTGCCAGTCATTTCCAGTTGCTTTTCTTGCTGAATGAGACCTTTATCTAATCAATAGGACCTTCACTCATCTTTCATATCACTAGTATTACTCTCCAAAATAATGGGCTATATGATGATCATAGCCGCATTGGATACGTAAGAGTGAAAAATCGAAGACCTGTCATCGCCATGCACCACAATCATCACCTAAATACTTTTGAGATCGGTTTAATCAGAGGTTACCATAGATATTAGAAAGAATGTGGATACAGCGCATAATCTGACTTAACAGGCTCCACAAAATGGCACCAGTCGAGAATGTATTACGGTTTCTACACTATCCATTCATGGCTAGCATTGCATATGCTCCACATAGTAGCCTCGGACCATTTACTCACAAGTCCGGAAATTCTCAGCGAAACTTTTTAGTTTCAGCAATCAAGCTATCATAGTGCTTTTGTATGCCACTGCTCGCGTCCAAAACCATTGTTTCATCTTCACATGTGAAGGTCTGGACTGGTTTTCCAGACGAGCAGTTTGGCCGCCCCGCACTTGCTTCGCAACTTGGCCTTCTCTAGCCTAATTGTCGCGCGCCTGACCTTCTGCGGCCTCGGTTGCTAGCGATAGAATGATGCAGCGAGCGCTTTGGCTCCTAAAACGTAAACGTATATAAAACCGTCTGCGCCGTTGCAGTCTTTATGAACGGTTTGCGCGCCGTACGGCCAATTAGTCTGTCTCAACCACAGCCCCTTCACCAAACAGGCAAAGCCAAGTTTGCTCTACTGGCTACGCTAGTATACATTCATAGCTCGGGCGAAACCATGCAAATACAACCGACTTCTGAAGTTTCTGGGCTATCCAGCATAGCCGCGCAAGCCACGCCAAAAAACTCCGGGTGACTTCCCATGAGTGGCCAAACGAAACAGGCAAACCGCTAAAGTCGCCTATTGGCCACGCTTCTTGTCCACTTGAAACTGACCAGGCGATTTTTGTGCCTCCTATTTCACTCGGGCAAACCATTGTTCTTTCATGCGCGCCTGTAAGCATAATGCAACAGCGTGCTACATCCAGGTCTTCGGCCCAGGCGTTTTCTCCGTTGCCTAGACTGCGCCAAAGAAACCACGCCGAAACTTTGCCCTTGCCGATACGCATGGCCCGAAATGTCTGTGTCCGCCCACGCTTTGTTGATTTCGTTCTTTCCTGATGCTTTTCCCTTTTGCTGAGGCTCTTCCAGTTGTCCAATATGGCGTTTTCCGTTGTCCGATGCACCCCGCTCTATTGAAATGCCTGCACGCACGGTCGGTTGCGATAACGTTTCCATCAACTCTTGACTTCTTCCCACTTAGCACTTCCAACGCCCGCGGCACAAGTTCAACAGTGAGACTTTTCATCCACACAGCAACCGCCTCGCACATCTGATTTTTCTGCTCGCCATGGCTAGAGTGAAACAAGAACATGCGTCTCCGCCACCAGAGAAACAAAAGGCATACACCATCAAGTACAAGCGACCCCGGGGCTCCCGAGCTTGCACCGTCTGTCGGGCCCGTAAAGTTCGCTGTGATGCCGAGATACATATCCCGTGCACCAATTGCATAACCTTCGGGTGCACATGTGTTCTTCCGGAGATGAAAAAACGCGGTTCGGGCAACGACAAGTCCAAACGCCAGGCTTCGAGCAAAGAAACTGCCCCGAGCGGCAAGGGCAACGAGAACGCTGCCGACATGTACTCGGGTAACGAAAACACGCCGCCTCCTGCCCATGGAACTTCTGCTGCTTCCGCAACACCGGCGGCCGCTTTTGAGCCCATCCACAATATCTCACAAGTTAGCGTGCCTCCGTCGCTCACGCTGAACTACAAAAACAGGCCGTCGATGCACAAACGTGAACTAATTGCAAGCAAGGCCAAGTCCTCCCTCACGTTCATTGGAAATCTGAGTATTAGTCTCATGGCCCAGCCGGTGGGCCAAAATCACGTGGAACTCCCGCAGGACTTGTTTGAAGTTTCCGATAACCTGTCCCTCGACTTGGTGGAATTGGAGATTTTAAAGTTGCGGGGCGCCTTTTTGTTGCCACTGCAAGAGTTGGCGCGGGATTTGGTTGAGCTGTACTTTGAGCATGTGCATCCGTTGATGCCTGTGATCAACCGCACAGAGTTCATGGCCAAATTTAACGACCCTGACGACAGCCCATCGCTCATGCTTTTGCAGGCCGTGCTTCTTTGTGGCCTGCGTGTTTCGACGAATCCCCTTTTGTATGATAACAAGGGCCTGAGCAATTTGGCGTCGCTTACATTTTTCCGCCGTGCAAAGGCTTTATACGAGACGAATTACGAAAGTGATCCGGTGCTGATTGTTCAAACAGTGATTTTAATTGGCTCCTACTGGGAGGGTCCGGAGGATGTGACTCGAAACTCCTTTTATTGGACTCGTGTGGGTGTGGGCTTGGCCCAAGGTTTTGGCTTTCACCGCGACACCTCAGGCTCTCCAAACTTATCAGCAGTAGAGAAGAAAATATGGCGCCGAATCTGGTGGTGTCTTTTTGAAAAGGATCGCAACGTGGCTATCGCTTTTGGGCGCCCACCTACCATCGACTTGGCGGATTGTGATGTGCGCATGCTAACTATCGACGACTTCGACGAAAATGATCCCCAAGAAGGTGTGGTATCACCTTACCCAGTCAACAAAACTCATGCTCTTTATTTCATTCACTTGGTCAAATTGGCCGAGATCACTGGTATTATAATAAAGTACCAGTATACAGTCAAATCCGAGCTGATGAAGAAGACGAATAAGTTTTCAGTTATTCAGCGCTGTGACATGTTGATGGGAATCTGGTTCACAAACTTGCCACCCGAGCTCCAGTTTTCTTTGACAAACACGTCAAAGCAAAATTTTTACGCCTGTCTTCTCAATGCCCAGTACTACAACCGGCTCTACTTGATCCATCGCGCTAACTTGTTAAAAATGGCACGCTCTTCGTCGACAAACCCAAATAATTATAAGTATCCATCTTGGGGAATCTCGTTTCAGGCCGCCCGCATGATTTCAATTGTGTCCAAGATTATCCTCGACAAAGGCATGATCAAAGATTGCCCCGTCATGTTTGTCTACATTTTGTTCAGTGCGTTGATTATGTTGATTTACCACATTGACTCTCCAAATAATGTCATTGCGCTGGCTGCATCAGATTCACTCTTTATCACTCGTGCAGTTTTGAAGGAACTTGGAAAATATTGGCCAATTGTATCAGTTCTCCTCAAGCTTTTTGACAAGCATGCTAACGACAAGATCAAGCGTGCCAAAGTTATTGAAAGAGGCACTCGCATGCAAGAACGCAGCAATTCACACTCTGAAACCGGTGTTGGAGAAAAGGCAAGCCAGATGCACGAGGAAGATACTCCGAATCTGGCATCATCGGCTATTTCACCTAAGACATCTTACAATAAAGCTATGTCTCATAATCTAGATGAGAATGACACTGATTTTCAACACAACGATAGTGAACAGCCGAACTTTGAACAACTCGTCTCTCAGTACAAAGAAAAGCCCGACAATGGTCAGGCAAACAAGCGGCACAGCCATTCACAGCAGCCAAATATACAGAACCGCGAGACTACTCCATCATCTCAAACATCTTTCCCAGATATCCTGCTTGTCACGGAGCAGTTTTCGCTTAATAATAACTTTGTGGAGAATTTCGAACCAACCCAATTGTTTCCTGACGGTGGAGTCAGCTATCCTCCATCAAGGGCATCTCTGCCTTTACAAAGACTAAATATGTCGAAAGAGACTACCGAAATGGCTGATAACCCTTCGCCGTTTCCGTCCGTTCAATATCGGCCAGGACCAGCCTCAGGCTTGGATGTCAGTGATCCTTACACTAATTTCATGGATAGTGCGTTCATCAATATGAACTTGCAGGCGACGGCCGATGAAGACAACTACTTGAAGGATGATTTGGCATCCTTTATAAGTATGTCCTAGTACATAAGGTTAATTATTATTCAATATGATGAAAAGAGGTTGATGTTGCATTTCTTCCTAATTATCAAAAAGTACGTTTCCCCTTTTTAGATTTTCCCTTACTGAGGCTCTCTAGAATTTCATTACGCTGAAGTTTCTGACTGTAACCCACCAAATTTTGCACGACTGATTCGTAGATTTCCTGACTGTTTTGGAGTTCGCGGATCTGGTCCTGCCATACCGAACTTAGCTCAATTAGCTGGGCGTAGTTATCTCTCATTTGCTTCAATTTGGCATCTAATGAGGAGTCGGAAGAATTCTGTAAGAATAGTTCTGACGTATTATTCAAAATGTCTTCTTCTATGCGAGACAATGTTTGTTGGGTGGAGGACATGAGCTCCTGTTTTTTCTCATTCGATACATTTAGCGTGCTAAATTCTGGAATCTCAAAATGGCTCCAGTCTATATCCTGGACACTTATAGATCTGCTTCTATCACGAGCATTATTCTGAACTTTGGCCAAAAGAGAAGGCGCATCCAACTCATCCAAGTTAATCGGCACCCCCAATTTGATTAATAGACTGTGTCGAATCTTCAGCTTTATCCAGTTTGGCGGTTTGAGTCGAGGACTCTTGGATATTATTGAAAAAAGCAGAGATTTATCAGATACAAGCTCTGGATATTCTGGTTTGCTCTCGGTTGTCTCAGCTTCTGGAACAACCAAATTTAGTACTTTTTCTAGTTCATCGTCAATAGCGTCTGGGTTATTAGAAAGGGTCCATAGTTTGTCCAACGCGTCCGTGGTTTCTGGAACTTGGAATTCTTCAAATGATGCTTCGTCAAAAGACCCAAAATCATCATCGTCCATTTCTTCATCGCCATGTTCTCCTTCAGCACTTTCATCAGCATTGCTTTCAACATTTGCCTGATGCTCGAGGTTTCCCGTATTCTTGTCGTAAGATGTCAGTGCGTCTTGACTTGATTCTGCGTCTCCGGAATCCAAAATTTCAGATTGAGTCCCAACACCATTTTCAGAGACTTCGACTATATCATCACAAGAATTGGCGTGCTCAGAAGCTGCATACTGGCTCATTCTGATTAAGAAGTATCGATTAATGGAAGTTGACAAGCACCTAAAGAAATGCACTCTGGGTGTACGGGTGTGCGGTAACTCTTTTCTTTGTCTCTCAATAAGAAACCCAGACATAAAGTACTTCAGGCATGCAGATTGTTTTCTTTTCTATTGGGAACCCTGGTCGAATGAACAGACATTCGACAGGCCACTATGTACTTCAACATCTTGTTCTGGATTTCGGCGCAACACAGTTGGTGAAAAAGGGAAAATATTCCATCACTTCGCTTGACAATGTAATGTTTGTCAAATCTAACGCATACATGAACGAATCTGGCGAGCTGCTACGGGCTTTCCTTGGGAATGAAAAAATTCGCCAGTGCATCCTTGTAGTTTTGTTTGACGATTTTGAACTAGTGATGCCCAAAGTCAGGCTACAACGCCTTAAACAAAACGAATCTCACAATGGAATCAAATCAATTGGACGAGAGATCCAACTGCAAAACATCGAGGCCTTGAAATTGGGGGTAGGGATTGGGCCAAAGCCTCAAAATGCCTCGCGGGATTCCATGGCATCGTGGGTACTTTCAGATTTCAAATTGGAAGAAAAGCAGCTACTTTCTACATCTTTGCAAACCATATACAAATACGTGGAGCATATAATTTCGCTGGACGGCGAGATAGGGGACTGTAATAAGCTCAATTCCCGCATCACTAAACAGATGAGTGTGCTGGATTGAACGCCAGAATATGTCATCTAAAAGATTGTGTTTCTGCGGTGTGAGAGTTTCAGATCTTCGTCTTCGCTTAGATCAGCAGCATCTCCATTGATCTTATCCTCAATACTCTCTCTGTCGGCTAAATCGATTTCGCCTTCACCCTTTTCTTCAAAAGTGTCACCAATTTCTTCATCATTGTCGTCAATGTCTTCTCCACTGTCATCGGATGAATTACTCTCTTCGGTTTCCTGGTTGAAAATTTGGTCAAAAGGAGAGATGGTTGTTCTGTTCAACTCCTCATCGCTGGAAGACAAAAGATGCTCAATGGCTCCATCCGAGAGCTCCATATGGGCTTTCTTTCCGTCATCTGATGTCGCCAAGCTCGCTGAAGGCAGTCGGGACATTGCTTGAACATTTTTAATGGCCATGGTTGTTGCTCTGATAGATTTTTTGCCTCTCTCTATTGCCCGTTCGATGCTAAGACGATGCCTTATAAATAAAAGACGAGGGAACATGCTTCTCTGGCCCTTGAGCAAAAATTCTTCCATCTTCGCTTCATCAGGATCCAGAAGAATGTAGAGAAAGTCTTTTAGTCTGTACCGGGGCCAAATGGTGATAGAACCAGTAAACCTTTGAAGGAAGACATTCAGCCAGTCCTGCTTCAGCAACCGTGGCAAGAGATCAAGGAGTTTAATGATCTGAAACCACTTCTTAATCTCTAACTTTAACAACTGTTCCGAGGCAGTTGCGAAGAAACCTCCTCTGAATGCCGCATACTTTTGTTTTCTTGTTCTTTTCCTGGAGACTGTAACCGGTCTACCGACGGTACCCTTAGGAGCGTAAAAGAATAAGGATATATGTGGATTCACCTGGGAGACAATCAGAAAGTTAACATTGTAATATGTGTTCAAAGCATCCAAAGGAATATCTGTCCTTAGTGACCCATCCCTCCATTTGTTTCCCATACTAAAAGGGACAACATCACCTGTTCTCGTTTCCTTCATCATCAAAACAACAGGATTCAAGATTCCAGGGACTGCTGAAGAGGCCAATAAAGACGACCAAATAATACAGTTGGGAGAAGTCACTGTGTTACATAAAATAACTGGTGAGTGAGGCTCAGCAGGAATAGTTGAGATATTGAGTTTTCTGCCAGTAGCTTTGTATGCCTCTTGGAAGGTTGTTGATCCCTTAGTGAAAAAAGCTGCTTTCTTTGCCCATGCCACCGCATCAAATCTCGCACCTGTTTTCAAAAACCTAGGGAACCAAACGTACCATGGATCCTCGCAAGCAGTGATTTTGCGGGCTAACTCTGGAACTAGAAGCTTTCGTAATTCTTCGTCACTCCTCGTGCAAGCTAACGAAGCTATGATACCTCCACCAGAAGTACCGGAAATAATCAGAGGAAGCAAGTCGTTGTCTAATAATGCTTTGACTATTCCAAAATGAGTATAAGCAAAACAAGCACCACCACTAAGGCATAAAGCGGTTTTGCCATAGTTCTTGGACACGGTCTTGAAGAACCGCGATTTTTGTTTTAGGGGTACGAGCAGATCAGGAGCATCAGTGACGCAGTTGATGCATTTTGTAACTTCAGTGACATATTGTTCAACCAATTTTTTTGTGCCATAATAGCGATGCGAATAGAGCTGTCTATTCTCAATGCCTGCAAAGTTCTTTTTGAGACAGCTCTGAAGAAAAACCATAAGTTCGGGTATATCACCGTTCTCTCTTAAGGCTCGAAGACGTTTCACGGTCTTTTGAATGGTGCGATAGTCGTAATATGAGAACTTAGGGTTATCAGACCACTTATCAAGCCCTAAATATTTGTCAAGCTTGATAGCGTTTTCAACCCACTCGGCATAATCCTTAGACTGCCGAAGCTTGTCCCGAAGCCTTTTTCGTTCACCAGTCCACGTGAATAGAAACTCCAGTAGTGCAACGTACGCTCGTACTACGATGTAGATAACGCAGAGGAAAGAGATCCATGCAAAAATGAGAATAAGGGCTGGCCACCGGAAAAACGTGTAGGAGGCCAGAATGCGGAACTCGTTCGTGAGCTTTTCTGTGGTGCTAGGTTTCCTTTGCTTCTTCTTTCGTGATCCCACAACAGGGAACCAGTCACTTTTAGAAACAATTTTGGCCGGGCGTTCTTTTGAGTGTGCACTGCTTTCTTGGGTATTCAGGGACACGGGGCTTAGTTGAGCTACAGCAGCATCAAAATCCGTCAGATCTAGAGCCGAGGCTGTTTTCTTCGCATCCTCATACGAAGGCAGGTTGTAGCCGGTAGAATAGTTCCCTGAATGAGATGTTTCGGCGTCTTCTTGGTCATCCCACACCAAAGCCCTTGCAAAAGCATTGATGTGCTCCTCGTTTACGTAGTCGTTTTCTTCGTCGTACAACTTTCCCATATTAGTTAGCGATAAAAAAACTTAAGCAAAGTAATATAGCAAGATAAGAACGCTTTTTGCAACCAGCAAGTCTGTTGCGTCGAGTTTGTATCAGGAAAGCGTATTCCTAGTGCGTGGGAAAAACAAGTTAGATGGAACGTAAAGTTCGAATGACGGTGCTTTTGTGAATGTCAATAGATAGCAAGCTGCACCTTACAAGTGTGCAGGAAACACGTTATCTCTAAAAGTTTTGATGTCTACGAGCTCCAGCATGTGGATTTTCCCGTACTTGTAAGGATACAAAGCTGCAAATCTCCTGCCACATGAAATTTAATATTTTTTTGCCCTGTCGGCTAAAAGTGATCTTTAGCCAGCATCTGTAGATGCGATCCTGCAGGCTTTGTTTAATCAGGTGGCTTTATCGTAAGTCACTTCTCCATGTCAATTGCCCTTTTGGACATCGAGGGGACTGTGTGTCCCATAACTTTCGTCAAGGATTGTTTGTTCCCCTATTTCTCTAAGCAATATCCTAGCTATTTGCGCGATGTCTCTTTTCCCATTGACAAAAGCGATGGTGGGCTCGCAGACGTCTTGGCTGGCTTCCCGAAGGAAGCCGTCGCCAGTATAGACCAGCTTAAAAACCACATTGACGATCTTGTTGCAAGAGATGTTAAGGACCCCGTTCTCAAGTCTTTCCAAGGTTTGGTCTGGAAAGAAGGCTATGCTAAGGGAGATTTGAAAGCTCCCGTGTATGAGGACGCAATTGCTTTTATCAACCGATCGAAGTCGGTGTACATCTACTCGTCCGGCAGTGTGGGTGCTCAAAAGTTATTGTTTAGCCATGTGGATGTAAATGGCGCTCTGGTGGATTTGACACCAAAACTCAAGGGCTACTTTGATATCACCACCGCTGGATTCAAGCAGGAAAAAGACTCGTACTTAAAAATTGCCGCTGACATTGGATGTGATCCAGCCGATGTAATCTTCTATTCTGATAATGTTCTTGAGGTGAAAGCGGCATTGGAAGCTGGAATGGCTAGCAAAGTCGTCGTGAGACCTGGAAATGCGGAACTAAGCGAATCTGACAAGAAAAGTTATGAGTGCATCTCTTCTTTCACCGCAGAATAGTTAGGTTACGAAGAAATATAGAAAGAAAAGCATAAATATGGAGGTGTATACAAATGCATCTGATTTCATTCCTGTTGACAACGCTACTTGCTTGAAGGACCATAGAGATTAGGAATAAGACTAAGTCTGTTCACTGAATTCTGTACCTTCGAGAGTTATGCCTCACGACAGTATTTCCTTACTTTTATCCAGCCTTCACGAGATGGAGAATATTTACAGCACTGACTTGTTTCACCTCTCACTAATTTACTTGGTCAAAAATATTAGCAATCGGATCAAGCTCTTTTTCACATAAGCATACCCAACGAAATACTTTCCGTTATGGCATGGTCAAAGAAATGTATATGAATACCTTCACGGACATCTAACAAGTGACGCTTAGTCTTCATGGTGATTATTACAATGCTCACATTTTCACCAAGTACTACATCCCCGCTGTATCAGCTTGAGCTTATGACAATAGATTACAGTATGCCAATGCAAACGTTGGCAATCATCTCGCTAACATGAAAACATGAGCCAATACGTGCCGCATCTGATAAGCGGTATCTGACAGTATTCGGCAACACTCCGCTCTTCATCTTTTCATCAACTTTTAACTCTCGGCATTGTCTAATATACATCAGTTGTCACGGAACAAAATGTCCGCAGCCACCTCTTCGTTACGGTCACATGCCAAGTACACCTGGACCACCATGTCACGATCAAAGCCCAACTCGCACAAACGGCGGATGGCGCTTTCGTCTGACTCGCTCAATTGCACACGCACAACACCTTCTTCCTCCTCCTCGATCTCATAGCCAGCATCATCATGTTGACCCAAAAGAGTACTGATGAAAGCCTCTGGGTCCTGCTCGATCAACTGTGCTGCCTGAGGATTGGACGCAGCGATTTCCTGAAGCACAGATTGAACCAACTCTGGCTCACTCTGGATTGCCGCACGGAGCAATGCCAAACGATCCTCCTGTGCTGGCACAGGTTCATCTCCTGCTGCGGCCTCTGCGACATCAAACATGTTCTCGTGAACATTTGCCTCCTGGTTACTCTCGTCCTCGTGCTCTGTCTGCGCCTCTGCATGAGCCGCAGGTTCTTCTTGTGCCTGTGGGGGTTGCTCTGCGCGTGTCAATGCTTCTGGAATTCCAGTGATCAAGTACTCAACAGCACGGTGTGGGTTGTTGAAAGCAGCACGCAATGCACGCTCAATCTGCGGCCGCTCGTAGCCCATTTCCATCATGTTTTGGATCGCAGCCTCGCGGTCCTGACCCAGGGCAAAGTCCGAGCTAGACGCAGGTGTCAGAGCGTTGGCCGCTGTGGATGAAGCAGTTTCTGGGGTTTGCGTTGAGGTTTCTGGCTCGCTTGGCGCCGAAACAGCCTCGCTTGCCGCAGGCGCAGCCACTGGTGCTGGCGCTGGGGCAGGCAGCTTCTTCTGCAGAATCATGAAAATGATGGAGTCGCCCTCCTTGACCTTGAACTCGTCAAAAGTCTTGTCGTCTTGAAGCACTTTTCCCGAGTACACAAACTTCAACTGGGAAGGATCAACGTCGCGGGCAGCAGCCACTTTCTCTTTGCCCACGCGGACAAGGTCCGAGGGCTCGACGCTAACCTGCACCGTTTGCTTTTTCAAGTCCTTGAAAGTCACTTGCATGTTTAGGTGGGTTTCTTTGGTGCGCGGAGAAGTTGAGAAATGAGCGCGCGCAAGAGTGGGTTCACGGGTGCAAGAATGTCTGGCCTCTAGTGGCAAGACCGAGCCACACAGCAAAGTCGTTTGATGCTAACTTCTTTTGTTATTTGTTTGGGATATTGTCTTCTATTCCTGTTTCTTGAGATGTTTTTCTCTCGTTGTGCCCATGAGTAACATCTCCTCTTGTTTAAGCGTTGGGTTTGTACGCTAGTATTGTGGTGTATGTCATATTGATGAAAACTGGCGTATGCTTGGTTTTGTCTGAACCAGGGATTACAGTAATGGCATGAACATTTCAGTACGTATGCGTTTACAGCATTGACGAATTAGTACCTGTTCAATTGGCAGATAGGCTGTCGAGATAATCTATCTTCTAACTTATCCTTCGCCAAATTGATCTTCGTTCTAGACATTTGTAACGCGAGCTTAATTCATATTACCAAGCAACTTGTATTCTCTTCAATACTACTTATTCTGACTCTCGTGAAGCGAGGCGTATACACATCGAAAAGAGTGGCAAACCATGAAAAACGCATCAGTGCCTAAAGGTTGCTCAGTAATACATTCTATATTGAACTTTGGCACCTTTATTAGCCTTGAGCTCTTAGGCAGTGCTACCAACCAACAATGCATAAACACTTAAAGTTGGATGTGTTGCAAAACAGGAAAACGAGTGGCCTTGTCTGCTTTCCTTTTTGGAGTATTGCCCCTTTCCCCATTTGCATACAATGAGTTGTTACCATTCGTCGTCCCACTTATTTTACGAGCGAGTTCCGGAATAAAAATAATACGTTAATAAATGAATGCAATGTGATAATTCGTTAAAGAATGTTCGGAAGCTACATGTACTAGTCTTTCAGCTTTGTCACGCATCTAAAGGGCCCAAATTAAATAGTCGAGGAGAAGATTCAGTATATTTTCATTTAACGTCAATGTTTAAAGACCTTTACCATCTCTGTGATAATTCCAGAGCAGTGGATATGATTGTGACTCGTAAGACATTAGTTCCCTTCGTTTACGTTAATTGGGACTTACTACCAAATTGGGCACCTCACTATCAAAATAGCAAGATAAAGACATTAAATTTATTCAATGCCAAGTAATGCATAAATGGAGAAGCCATCATTACATTCATTGAAAGACTAATCAATTGTTTCCCAGTAGGAATGTTCATGGAATACATTCATTCTGCCTATAGTCACCGCAAAATTCCGTACCTTATCACACTCAATTATTTCGCATTCGTGGCTTATCTATGCGAAAATGTAAACAACCTAAAGAAAACCGCCAAATAGAAAGTGAAAAGAATGAATGAAAGAGGAGCCATCCGAAAAATATGATAGACTCTACATAACCGTCAAAATTAATCCTTGAAGTTATTTTATTCCATCAATATCAACTCGGCTACATACGTTGCCTGCACATAACCACATGGTGATGTCCTGAACACAATACACGATGAGCAAAAAAAAACAGTCACATTGACCTTGTGACTTTCTTATCAGTACCCCATTTACAATGTCAGAGCATCTGCGTCTGCACAGTCCCGAACATAGTCAGATCCACGAAGATACGGGGACCCATCCACATCCATTGGATATGGGTCCTTCCAATTCTCAGACCGAGGACCACAATCTCGATTTGGAGGGAGCCATTGGTGATGCTTTTAAGCAATTTGCATTTCTTAACCAAGACGATACGAAAGATGAGAGCGAACTCCACCATGAACAACTGCAACAGAGTTCCGAGAATCATGATGACAGCATTGATCTCGAGGCTGCAGTTGGAAAGGCTTTTCTGGAACTAACAGAGCTGATGCCACATGCAAGTACTTATGATAGTGGGACGCAAAACGAACCAAGCGAGCATGGAAAAGCTCAAGAAATACGACAAAAATCGTACGAGCATCAGAAGGAGAACGAACATGAGATTGAAAACCCAAATCAATTGCTGTCTGAACATTCCCAGCAACAAGGGTATGAGAATCCAGACGACCAATCTAATTCGCACCCAGCAGAGGAAGACATTGGTTTGGAAGCTGCAGTGGGCAATGCATTCAGTTCGATAGAGAAGGAAATGATGAACCACCACAACGAAGCTCAAAACCATGAATCCAAAGTCGATGGAACACAGGGCTCTGAGACTGAGAAGGTGCTGCATTCTACCTCGTTTCCCATTGAAGACTCTGAAGAATTAGATTTGGAGGCAGCAATTGGCAACGCGTTCAAGAATATTTCCGGTGATTTGCAGGCAAATGACCAAAACGATGTACCCCAAGAGAACGGACCAGCCCAGACTGAGAAGAATACTACGTATGAAGCCAAGCATCAAAATAACCAACCAAATCCTGATGACAACAAACTTGAAGATGCAATTGAGCAGGCGTTCAAAGCTTTAAGTAAGGAATTTGAATTGAATCACGGGCCTAAAGGATCTACTGAGACTCTGACAGGAGAAGATGACAGCATTCTTCATGAAGCGATCTTCGCCTCCTTTAACGAGATTATGGGCCTGGAGAAGCGAAGACAATCAGTTGATCTCCAGAACAAGACAGATACCAGAAACTTGGCTGGAGTAGTCAAGAATGTGGTTCAGCAAATGTCACTGGCGCAAGCTTCTGGAAGTCATGATATGCAGATTACAAAAGACGCAATTCATGACTTGGCCCAGGAAATAACGAACCACGCACATGGTCAAGAGCTTCATAAAGAGCCACTTAGACCAAAGGACATCCCTCATATAGATGAGAATGTGCTTGCCCATTTTCAAATGGAGGCTAATAAAAAAGATGATAAACACAGCGAAGACAATAGGGAAGACTTGGAGATTAAAAATGTGTTTGCATCTGCTGTTCGCAACGCTTTGCAAAAAGGCGATGACTCTACCGAACCTACCGGTGAAAAATCAGAGGCTTTAGAGAAATTGCATATGAACGATATATTACAGAATGCTTTCAATATGGCTATGCTGAATCCTCAGGAATTGTTGACATCCATTGATTTGCATGAAGTTGATATAGGACATTCAGATTCCCAAAACAGAGAAAATTCTCTATCAACAGCGGCAGCCATTGCTGCTCTTTCTGTCAAGGAGGCACTCAGCAAGCAAGAGGAATTTAAAGAATCATCGGAACCTGGCTCTCTGGACAATAATCATACAGTGTCGTCCCAAAATAAATCTCTTTCAATTGCTGAGACTTTGGCATTGCACAGGTCCTCGATGTCGAATGTGCAAAAGAGAGATTTGACGCCGTCTCTGGCAATTGAAGGGACGCCCAGAGTGGATCCTCAGAAAATGTCTGCGATGAATCCACAATTGTCCAGCATTCTTTCCTCGCTCTCTCAACACATCCAATCTGGCAACCAGTCGCAAAATTTGATGATGGTAATACGTCAAATGACTAATGCTCTAATGCTAAACAAATCATCATCTTATTCCATGAGCTCCGCGACTTTGGAACTTTTGCAAGAGGTTAGGGCTCATCCGAATGAACAAAAATTCTATATCGATAGTTTGAACAAAGCCAGGGGATTTTTATCAAAGGAGGCAACAAGCACAGTCAAGAGAAAAGCACTTTCTCTCATTGAAAATGTGATTGGTTTAGTGCGGGGGAAGCCCGAAGCTCAAAGCATGAACGTTGATCCTTACACAGAGAATGAGGGAAATGATGACATTAATTCACCAATATTGTCTCAATTTTATTCGTCAGCATTTTCTACCCTCTCAAACTTCAATAACAGGTTCCGCAGTACACTCGCGGGTGCGAAACCGAATGTTGATTCCAATGAATATAAAGAGAGAATTAGAATTGAAAATAGGGAGAGAAAGAAAAGATGGAGAGAAGAGAATGCTGAAAGGAATAAGGACAATGACTTACGTTCCCGTGTCATCAAAAGGGCAACATACATGTTTGGAGAAGGTTCGACTCCCGAAAAGAAGGCGTGGATTGAAGAAGAATTCAACAAGAGAAGAGCAAAGCGTTTGGCCAAACAGAAGAAGGAAGAGGTGGAAAAGCCAGTCGACACTAGACTATTTGCAGAATCTGCTGGATCAGATACTAAATCTGCACTGACAATTTATGCTCAGGACCCAAAGTTTGTGAAACGGCTCTCGGACTTTTTCAAAATTGTCGCAGAATCGGGCAATGATGAGGACCCACAAGCCTTAATGACGGCTGCTTCCGCAGCAACAGCTGTAGCGGCCACGGAGTATGCACATTCGCATGGCATTTCTGAGGGTCATCCTATTCTGGATGCAATGTCACAGATATTGACCAATGTATTAGATGCCACAGTACGCTCTGGGAATCACAACCGGATTTCCTTCCTTTCAAAAGATCCTCTGTTTCAATCAACCACATCAGCTACAAACACCCAGAGCTCCGAGTTGATTAATAGGATATCCTCTCTTTCTGGGATTCAGGGGATAGAGTTGGATAATAAAAGAGCAGCTATTGACATTATAAGAGACTCAAGAAAGCGATTTGGCGCTGATTTTTTCTCTAATGATCCCAAAAGACCGCATACTGAAAACACGAACACCGGAGGATATGTGGAGAAAGATAAAACAACTATGTCTCGGATTCAGTACGAAATCGATCAATTACGCAACTCTATTACCACTTCCACATCGGGCCACATTTGGGGTTCTTCCACAGGTTTGAAAATGCCTCTGTACAAGAAACCAACTGCTCCGGAGGATAAGGCTCACGATAATATTAGAGCTCAAGTATCGACACCTTCTCTTCCCATTGTTGCATCTCCGTTTATTTCCAACAAAATTGGCATAAAGTCCGATCCTGCAACAACTTCCAGCATCAGCGGAGGGCTCCGAAAGCCAGGAAGTTTTCAAAGACCAGCATTCTCAAGATCCACCAGAGGTCGTAATGTCGAGTTTCCCACACTTTACTCGGCTTCATTTTCACAGAAGTAGATACCATTCATTTCTTTAGTGTATTTTTAATGAATTTATAAACAGTCTCGGTAAAAGCTATTGAAAAATCACGATAGGGGTTGTTTCCTTCATGAGCCACGCGTGTGCTCTTTTCTCCCCTCATACGTAACAACTGTAGGACCAAGCAGAGCCCCTGAGACACCGATGAGAAATTCATTGATCCAGTCCCGCTCTTCCGGTACTCAACAACGTCGAATCAATCAACTATCAGACAGAATGGGACCTTGGTCAAATAACTGAAACCGAGGTACTTGGAGCCATCTCTAGTTTTTACCAAAAGACGGCTCACATTCAAATAATTTCCACCTCACTTTCTACTCTAAAGCCACATTCGCCATCAATGTAGTATCCCGGTTCATCTGTAAGGATCGCTCCTTTCTTGAAATAATTTTCTTTACTCACACCACCTGCCGTAGTCAGAATGTACAATGGGCCCTCATGCACATTCCCAAAACTGCCAATTCCGTGCCCCGTTCCATGATTGAAATCCAAGCCCTCGTTCCATAAGGGTTGTCTCGCATATGAGTCAAGGATAGTGCCAATAGAACTTGAAGTGGAAGGAAACTTGGCGACAGCCACCGCTAGATGTCCCTTGAGAACAAGAGTGTAATACTTTTGATAAGCTTTGGTCAAGCCATCGTTTCCAAATTTAAATGTTCTCGTGATATCTGTCGACCACTTCCAAGTAATGTCCGCCAGAATCAATAAGGTAAGGAAGAACCTTTGGGTCAATTACATCATGCTGTTCAGCAGAAGGTGCATAATGAATAATAGCCGCGTTGGGTCCACTTGAGGAAATTGTTTCATAAGACAAGCCTTTAAAATGAGGGAACTTGGATCTAATAGAGTAGATTTTCTGAGCAGCTTCATACTCATTAATCTCTGCCTTTTTGTATATAAGCTGGTGTTCTAGCCAAGAAGAAAAAATGATAAAAGCCAACGAATCTTTCGTCTGTGCTATTTTTGCATTCATCAACTCCGTCCGGTTCTTGAAAAGCTTCATTGTTGCCACAACAGAATCGAAAACAATAGTGCGCTTGGTGATGGACTGGGGCAAAGCAGAAACAAGTGCATAATTACAAGCGTCTTTGCTAGGAAGAATCAATTTGAGATTCGGATCGTGAATCGAAGCCTTGAACTTGCCCAAGTCGGGATAGAAAGAGTCATACAGTTTCACCAGAAGTCCTTGTATACTCTTCAAATATTCATCAACGTTCACCAACTTCTCCTTCTGGGCATACAATGTAACGTCCGTCAAGGAAACGATAACGTAGCTGAAAAAGAATGGAGAAAATGGAATATCAGTGTCTGCTCTTAAATTCAACAACCAGCCGATATCGTCCAAAGCACTGATAACAATGTGTGTTGCCCCAACTTCTTTAAGGTGGTCACGGACTCTAGCAAGCTTGGCCTCTGTTCTTTCTCCAGAATACTCCAAAGGTAAGTGATACACAGGGTCCATTGTCCTAGGTGGTTTTTCTGAGCCCCAAACTATATCAACCAAATTTGTACCTGCCAAAGGCTTGAACAAGGCACCTGCTGACTTCAGATTCTGTTCAAAGTATTCTCCCCAAGCAAGACTGAGAAACTTGGGGTCACAAGAAATCACATTGGACACCTTGCTTTTCGCCGCCTTCTCAATGGCAAACTTCTGCCAGCTGGGATACCCTGCAGCACCTTGTTTCAATAAACGCCAATACTTCAAGTCCAATTGTTTTTCAGCCTGCAAGAAATACCTACCATCAGTTGACAAAGCTGCTTCACCCTCTAATGTTGATGGATCGTCCAATGTGACGACACAAATTCCAGCGCTTCCAGTAAAGCCAGAGAGAAATTCTCTTCTCTTATCGGAGAGGGCAGTTTCTTCTGATTGATGTTCGTCCTCACTAGGAACCAAATACACTGCTATCGAGTGCTCTTTCATCAAGCGCCGAATTTTTTCAAGCTTTTCAGAGGTTGAAAGACTAGAAGTAACTTTGACATTGCTCCATGGTAAGTCTGGAAGTTGGTCAAAGTCCAGCGGCTGACTTTCGGACATGGCGATATCGAAGCGAGAATAGGTTGGCTTACGTTGCTTCAACAGAGGGAAGCATTGGAAAGGTTTGGAGAGAAACTTGAGAAACGAGGCAGCTTCTTCTCCTTGTTGCAGCTCCTCAGAGCCAAGTAAAGGTTCCTTCTCCATTTGTGGTTTTAAAATGAGGAATTTGCCTGCTGGTTTATGACTTGATAGAGCCATGCGGGTCTATGGCCGTTGTGCACGTGACCCACACCTGATAAGAGATTACTTGCCTAATTATACATGATACAACGTTCAAGTAATAGAAAGTTACATAGTCTATTGGAGGCAACGAAAAGAGCCCCCAGAAGGACGAGAGAATGTGATTAAGGGGACAATGTGTAAAGATTTAGGTCCACAGATGTGCAAACGGATCACAGATAAGTGACTAGCGAGGACATTTTTTGATGGGAAAGGATAGAAGAAGGAATTATATGTATTTTATGTGTGAGTCAAGGAATTCCTTTTATGAATGTAGAAATGGAGTAGTACTTACAAGACAAGCTGTTGACACCTGCACATTACTCAGAAATCGTAACGCGTCTTGGTGTTTCGTATTCCTAGAAACTCCATCTCATTTCCAAAAGCAACAATGGGACGACTTGTGGGCCTCGAGCTCCATAATTTTAAGTCATACAAAGGAACAGCAAAAATTGGATTTGGTGATGCCTCCTTTACCTCTATAATCGGTCCTAATGGTGCTGGGAAGTCTAATATGATGGACGCGATATCCTTCGTTTTAGGCGTCCAGTCATCACATTTGAGATCGCAGAATTTGAAAGACTTGGTGTATCGAGGTCGGGCTGAAATGAGCGCTGACCTGGTTGCTCTAGAAGATCCTAAATCGGCTTCAGTTTGTGCCATCTATGAAAAGGATGATGGCGAGCTTTTGCATTTGAAAAGAACCATCACTCCAGCTGGCGGATCCGACTACAAAATTAACGACATGAACGTGACTGCTTTGCAATATTCCATGGCTTTAAAAGCAGAAAACATCTTGATTAAAGCCAGGAATTTCTTGGTTTTTCAAGGTGACATTGAAAATGTTGCATCTCAATCTCCCAAGGATATCGCTAAATTAATTGAAACCATTAGTGGATCGGCTGAGCATATTAATGACTACGAAAAACTCAAAGAAGAGCATGAAGCAGCTCACGAAATGGCCACTGAGGTTTTTTCACGCAAGAGAAACTTAAATTCGGAATCTAAACAGTACAAGGAACAAATGAAAGAGCGAGAAATTTTTGAATTGAAGTTGACAGAGAAGAGTAACTTGATCAAGACTTTGCATTTGTTTCGAATTTTTCACAATGAGAAACGCCACTTTCAGATATTGGGAGATGTTCGCAGGGTGAAAGCTCTGATTGAAGAGAAAAAATCAAAGTTAGCTGATCAAGAAGCGCAGTACAAAGAATTGATGGCTGACTACGCGGCCGAAAATCTAAGGTCCAAAAAGTCAGAGTTGAAGGTTGCGGAGCTACGGACTTCGATCGAGACTTCAAAAAGAGACTTGATTCCCATCAAAGCTAATACCACATCGCTTGCAACTAAAATCCAATTGACTAAAAAAAAAATTGATGACTTGAACCGTGATCTTGATAGTCAAATACAACAAGAATTGAAATTAAGACAAAAACTTTCAGAAGCGGAAAAACTTTCAGAAGATTTTGAAACAAGAATACGTGAAATGCATAATAAAATTCAGCTTTCTTCTGAAGATGTGAAAGAGTACGAAAGTTTGAGAAACAAGTTTCTTGCTCACGGGGGCTATCAACTCGAAGAAGGTCTATCTCAGTTGACCAACGAAAAAGATTCCCTAGAAGCATCCGTCAAAAGCTATAAAAAGCAGAATGATAATGCTCTTTCTAGGATATCAGAACTACAATCTGAAATTCAGTTTAATTTCGAAGCAACACTCTCTGACTTACAAGCCGAATTGAAGAATCAAATGGCCTGTAAAGCAAATAAAGTACGGGCTAAAGAAACCCTTCTTGCTAAAAAAGAGAAGGCTAACTTGACTGAACTTGAATTGAATTCTGCATTGAAGGATACATTGCTCAAGCTTGAAGAACTCTCTTCGGAGCAGAAAGAATCAAAGAAACAGAAGCGGCTCAGGGAAAATGTTTCTATGTTGAGGAATATGGTGAAAGAAGGAGCCATCAAGGGACTTATGCACGAGCTTGTTAACTGCTCGCAGAAAAAGTATGAAATGGCATTGCAAACAGTTCTCGGAAAGAATATTGATGCCATAGTTGTCGAAAGTACTGCAGTCGCTTACAAATGTATTGAATTGTTGAAAGAACGTCGGGCAGGTACCGCAACATTTATTCCCTTGGATTCTATCGTCAATGATCAAATTAACTTGAATTATTTAAGGTCGCTTCATGAAGATGCACGCCCTGCTATTGATGTGATCAGGTTTGAGGATCTGACTATTGAAAGAGCGGTTCAATTTGTTGTTGGCGATGCGATGATTGTGGACTCAATTGACGTTGCTAGAGAGTTGAAATGGAACTCCAATACAGCACTTAGTAACAAAATGGTATCCCTAGATGGCTCTATTGTTCATAAATCAGGGTTAATGACAGGTGGTTCACAAGGACAGAAAAGTGGTTTGCGCTGGAGTAAAGAACAATGGAACCAATTGAGTGCAAAAAAAGATGAGATTACCGAGCAGTTGGCAAAAGTAGCCTCCGAGAGACCAAGTGCAATCGACATCAACAACTTGACTGATGAAATTAGCCAAATTGATGATACACTTCCTCTCATTCGCAGCAAAATTTCAAGCACTGAAAGGCAAATCAACGAACGGAAGGTTGAAATTGATTTCCACTCAGAAGTTGCCAGTGGACTACAAGAAAAGATCGACGAGAAATTAAAAGATTTATCTGACATTCAAGGTAAGGTTTTCAGTATGGAGAGTAAAATCAAAGAACTTCAGAACAAAGTTTACAAATCTTTCTGTGAACATCATAATCTTGAGTCGATTAGTGATTATGAGTCAATCCACGGTGCAGCATTGAGGGTTCATGCAAGAGAAAGGGCCGAACTCCAAAAAGCGATCTCTTCTATTAGGAACCAATTGGATTTCCAATCTGAAAGAATAAAGGAAACAAATAATAGAATTGAAAAATTACAAACCAATCTTGAAAGCTTTGAAAGCAAATATGCAAAACTTGACCAAGAATTAGCGTCTGTTACCGCAGAGCTAGACCAAAAGGAAGCAGAGTTACAAGCGCATACGGAAGCCATTAGAGCCCAAGCCGACGCACTTTCGCTTAAAATGAAAGAAGGAAAATCTATGGAGATTACCATGAAGGATCTTGAGTCAGATCTTAAAGCTTTAAACAAGGAATTGATGAATTGCGAGGAACTTGTTTTGAAGATCGACTCGGAAAGATTAAATATGTTCAAGAATTGCAAAATTGAAAACGTTGATTTACCATTAGAAGATGGATTTTTGGAGTCGGTTTCGCTAGGAAGTGATATCGATGATGTTTCATCAATTGCATACCAAATACGAGTTGATTACAGCATGCTAGATTTCAAGTATCAAGATCACTATTCGGCTAAAGTCGATGCGGAGATTAGAGTTCAAATCGAAAATATCGAGAAGGAGCTTCAACTCCTTACGCCGAATGCCAAAGCTTTAGAAAGGTTGAAAGAAGTTGATCACAAATTGAAGGAGTTCGACAGAGAATTTACCAAGGCAAGGCAAACGGAGAAGAAAACAATGGAAAAATTCAATAAAGTGAAAAGCCAAAGAAGTGAACTTTTTATGAAAGCTTTCACTCACATCTCAGAAAGAATTGATAGTATATACAAAGAGCTCACCAAGTCAAACGAATCACCTCTAGGCGGTTCTGCTTATTTGACATTAGAAGATGAAGATGAGCCATACCTAGCTGGTATCAAATATCATGCGATGCCACCAATGAAAAGATTTAGGGATATGGATCTACTTTCTGGTGGAGAAAAAACTATGGCAGCTTTAGCTTTGCTTTTTGCAATTCATTCCTACCAGCCGGCACCATTTTTTGTCTTAGACGAAATTGATGCAGCTTTAGACAACTCGAATGTTCTTAAGATTTCTAATTACATCAAAAAACATGCCGGTCCCAACTTTTCAGTTCATTGTCATTTCTTTAAAGAGTACACTCTTTGAAAATTCAGACTCATTGGTGGGCATTTACCGAGAACAAAGAGAAAATAGTTCCAAAACGGTTACTCTTGACTTGAGAAACTATGAGGATGATCACGAAGAGGTTTCACAACAATTGCATGAAGCCTCTCCAGCACCAGCATAGGCGGTTGTTTTTATTCTTTTTCACTGCTTCACTTGTGAGTGGAATCTTTTCTATACCTCGCATGCGATTGGTAAACAGTAGCAGCGCGCGCGATGATCTTCACGATGATCCAAAGTATATATATAGGTATGTGTGTAATATATTGTTGAATATTGTATGACTTTATTCAGTATTCTACCAAAGCAACTCCTGAACAGGTGCCTTCAGATTAGAGCTGCATCATCTTATGCATCGTTATTGAAAAAGAAGACCAAAAGAGGCACCACAGATAAAACTTCCAGAGACCAGATTCTCCATCTCGATATCACCAACTTTCTACGGGAGCAAACAAAAACTCTCGACCATGTTAAGATCCCCGAAGATTTGATCTTCAAGTTCTTATTCGCCAAAAAGTCAGAACAAGTGGACGTACAAGAAGTTCACATCTTAGCGTTAACTAGTGAAGGCGAAGGTCTTGCGCTCATACCAAGAAGTTCTTACTACGGAGAGTCAACATCCGCTCTATATACTGTTGTTAAGGTTCCAAAGACTACGGTTGGGGATGTTGTCACCATAAGACTCCGAAGACACCACGAATTTTATGCAGAGGCTGACTTGACCAATGTAACCGGAAAGCGAGGCAAAAATGCCAAAAGAAATGACAGACTTGTGGTTTGCCAGCATTTTAATGAATGTAATGGATGTCAAATCCAGATGATTTCCTATGAAGATCAGCTTAAATTCAAAGCTGATGTTATTCAAAGGGCATATAGATATTTTCACCCAGAGCTCAAATTAGAAGAGTTGCACGATTTTGGGTTTGTTGTCCCTTCTCCATTACAGTATTCCTACCGGACGAAACTAACACCGCATGCCAAAGTCCCGAGATCGCTTGCAAAGACAGATCTTCCATTAGCCGTGGGATTTGATAGCATCAGAAAAATCTCCCCTTTAGTGGACATTCAAAATTGTCCTATCGCTGCTCCTTCTATCAACAAGACTATTCCGTATTTAAAGGAGCGGTTCCAGAAAACGTTAGAAGAATGTTTGGAAACGGGCTCTAAAAAGAAAATCGACTCAAATTTTTTACTCCGTGATAGCATGCAGATTGATGGAGAAACTGGAAGCCATGAATACGTTTGTCTCACTCGGCGTAACAACGTCATCACTGAAAAGATTGGAGAGTTTCTTTTCCAGTTTGAAGCCAATGAATTTTTCCAAAACAATAGATCCATTCTTCCGACTTTTTTAGAATTCATCAAGTTTCACCTTCTGCAAATTCCTGGTGGGTACACCCATTTAATTGATGCTTATTGTGGATCAGGATTTTTGGGAATATCGCTCTCGGACACTTTACCACAAGATGGTAAAGTTTTCGGTATCGAAATTTCAAAAAAATCCATAGCGTATGCAAAACATAACGCTGGCATTAATGGTTTGGATAGAATTAACAAAGTACAGTTTGTCCACGGAAATTCAGACTCCATGTTCACTGATGAACAGTTTTTGCGCTCTGGAGTAAATAGCAAAGACTGTGTTCTCTTAATGAATCCATCGAGAAAAGGTTCCACTGAAGAGTTTATGGCCCAGTTGTTGGAGTTCAAACCCAAAGCAATCATATATATCAGTTGCAACGTCTTCTCCCAAGCACGAGATTTGGCAACGTTTGAAAGACTCCAGCGAAGATCGTCTGTAAAGTACAAAGTCAAGACAATTACCGGCTTTGACTTCTATCCCCAAACGAAACACGTTGAGACTGTGGCAATTCTAGAACTCGAGAACTAAGTACGCTAGTATTTATTAGTATTATGCACATGCTATTATTTATGTTAGAATGAATTTTCCTTAACGAACTCATCAATGATATCGCTCATGGCATTCACACCCCATTCAATCCTCTTTCTCTGCTTCTTTCCCGTAATGAAGTCGCTGTTTCTTAACCTTTTACCAATGAAATGTTGTATTCCTTGGAGAAGAGCTGGCTGTTCTTTGGCTTTAAGGAGCCGTTCAATAAGGACTCTGTCGTCAAACTTTTGTTCTGACATACTTTTCTTAGACCCCATAAGTCCCACTCCAACAGAGTTCACTTGTGACTTTTTTGCGATTTGATCGAGGAAAGTAACGAGCACGACTTCCATAAAGAGTTTATTATCTGGCGAAGCTGCAACAAAGTTCACAGTTCTTAAAGCATGTAACGCTAATGATCCTTCCGCAAACATGTGTCCAAACAAACGCCCCAAGTTTAAGATCTTTTTGAGTTTGTCATCGTCCTCTTGATCATCATCAAAACCGTAGAACATATCTTCATCATCGGAGTCATCTCCATTTGCACCTTCAAAACTCTTGACCAAATCCCACAACATGAACTGGAAAGTTTTTCTGAGAGAGTGGGAATCACAGAGCTTGGACGCCAATATACCATAATAAGGGTTCCAAGAAGGCTCAACAACTGCGCAATGGATCAAAATGCGGGGAATTTCTCTTTCCTGGACTTTTTTCAAAGCTAGTTTGTCTAGCTTAGTCACCGCATCCATAAAGTCATTTGCAGACATAATGGAGATAAAAATTGCTCTTCTGATATCGGTATTCATTCTCTGGGCCCTGGCCAACTCAAGCCAGTTAGGTTCGGCATTATCTAAGATATCATTCATCACTTCGCTGTTAACGAGTGAATTCTGTTCGTTATTACTATCATTTCCTTTCCAAGCAGAACCAACAAGCCACCATTTACCTTTAGTGTTAACTTCACGGATGTCTTGAAGAGAAACCTGAATTGGGTCAGCAAATTTGTTAGATGTAAATGTACCCAAAAACTTTTTCAAACGGATGGTCAATTGATGAGTGTCTTCATTTTGAGCCTTCATCTTGTTATTTTTTAAAGAGGTGATTGTTTCTACCAAGAACTGCATTCTCATGCTCACTGATTCCTTTGGCAAAGAAGCAGACTTTTTTGAAATTTGCAAAACAATCTCTTTTAGAGCACTAGGATCATCTGATCTCATCTGATTTCCTGAATTTCTTACTATCTTGAGCAAAATTTCTGCGTTCGGTTCAGATAATTCCTCAATGAGAGATCGAATCACGTCATACAAGAGCTTGGATGAAACAAGTTGAAATGCATAAACAGCAGAAAGTAGGGAACTGAGGTTGAGAGTTTCTTTTCCTTTCGACTGGTCAGACCTAAGACTTTCGAACTTTTCAATCAATGTTTGAATGAAATATGCTCCAAAATCAACACCTTGGAGGCGATAGAGGGCCACAACTAAAGTAGCATGCAAATACACAAATGTGTCCAAAAGTCTTCCTTGTTGAATGATACCGTCCAAAATAATAGAAGTCAAATTCTCATTAACTAACTGTCTTGGATTGTTCAAGAAGAGACCATTGATCTCATTCACTATACTACCCACGTTCGATTCAGACAACTTATTGATGGGACCTTTGATCGATTTTTGTAATGCAAGAACCTCTTCAGACATGCCAGAATTTTCCATAGCAAGTTTTCGTCTAAGAGCAGGAGGAATATATTTAGTAGGCTGTGATTCCGATTGCTCTTCCAGGACTTCATTTTCCGTCGTTGGGGCAACAAAAGGGTTTTCCTTCTGTCTGGGCTCTTCATCTTCACTACTGTTGTATTCGTTGGATTCATCCTCGCTCAGTACTTCTTCAGAATTTGCTTCTTGGAAATCAAAATCCAATCCGTCTAGTAAGCCACCAATCACATCATCTTCGGACGTTTTTTCTAATTTTGAGCTTTTTCCTTTTTTCAATCCCAACTTTTTGGCATAAAACTCCATATCGTTCTCCAACGGATCCACAAAGGTAGCTTCAACAACTTTCTCTTTCTTCTTATCTTTTTTGTCTTTCTTGTTCTTTGCTTCCTTTAGAGCTTTTAATTTTTCTAGCGGATTCTCTTCCAAATCAAGGTTATCATCACCTAACTCACTATCGAAGTCGTCAGAGTCTTCCGGCTCAGAACCATTACTTCCCGCTGATAGATAGTCTTCCTCCTCGTTGTGAGTCTCAAAGTCTTCTGAAAAACCGTCCATGTCATCAGAGTCAAGCTCGTCTTCTAAGTCACTTTCTTTGACTACTCTGACTTCCGATTTGTTACTGTTTTTCTTTGCTTTCAACGCTCTTAAAGCCTCCATAGGATCCTCTTCCTCATCTAAAGATTCTTCTGCATTTTCTTCCTCAAAACCATTGAAGTCAGTTTCCAGTTCGTCATCAAATTCTCCAAAGTCTTCATCATCCAAATCACTTTCCTTGATGACTTTAAGACCTGAGGTTTCTTCATGGGAGTACTTGCTGTTCCCATTACTTTTCTCCCCTGATTTCTTGGAGGATGCGTTAATTCCTTCTTTGGAACCTGCCAGTTTTGCCTTCAATGCTGCCAATTGGGCTAATGGATCTGCTTCTTTCTTTTGCTTTTTCAAGGCAGCCAACTTGGCTAAGGGGTCGTCTTGGTCTTGCAGTTTTGAATTCGCTCTTAGCGTCGGGAGCGCCAGGCTTGAATGGTTACCTTTGCTTCTCTTTTGCTTTTTTAGTTGTCGCTCTTCTTTCCGTTTCTCTTTTCTAGAGATGGTTTTTCCCTTTGTTCTCTTCTTTGGGGCGAATCGCTCATCTTTTTTGTAGTCGCCTTTCTCCTCTTTTGTAAAAATCTGGTCTAAAACCCGATCAGGGATGCTTATGCCCCTATTTTCTTCGGAATCAAATCTGCCCATGAGGTGGTGATGAGCATCTGAAAAAATCCTTAGATATGTGGAGAGACCCGTACACCACAATTTACCATTCACTATCCATTGACATCACCTAGTAAGAAGGAAAATATACAACTCTAGCTTAAGACATGCGTGATAAATTGAACCATAGAGGTGACTTTCGAATAAGTTGAGAGGTGACTTTCGAAAGCAACACATCGAACTTTTTAAAATTAATAACAGAAGTAGCTACAGCAAACAAATAGAAATGTTCTGAAATGCAAACAACTTTGAAGGTGGGAATGGCTTGCTTGTTCCAAACAGAACAGCCTGTTTCTCTAGCTAGCTCTAGTTACGAGTGGCGAAGAGAATAATGTGCACCCGTACACCAGTAACTAACGTGCTACTCCTCGGTTTCACCAAGGACTGTGCGCAACATAAATATATAACCACGCTTTTCTTCCACAAAATGAACAGGTTCAAGTTAGAATTCTTGGGCATGAAGCTTGATCTCAAGCTATTGGGTGACATTTTCTTTCTCACAGGGGCTGGGCTTTCTATGTATTATATGATAAACCACCTTCTCAACGACTCTATAGACAACTCTGTTCGCAGCAAGGAACTGAAGAAAAAGAGCTCAAGTGTGTTGAAAAAGATCCAAAACACAAATCCAGACCTTAAAGATATTTCGCTTAATGAGTATGAAAAATCATTACTCAACTGTTTGGTTACACCGGAAGACATTTCTGTCAGTTTTGACGATATCGGAGGTCTTCAACATATTATTGAAGAATTACATGAAGCGGTTATTTTGCCTCTTACGGAACCCGAACTTTTTGCAGCACATCTGTCATTGGTGAACTCCCCCAAAGGTGTATTATTTTATGGACCTCCTGGCTGTGGAAAGACAATGTTGGCAAAAGCGATTGCCAAAGAGAGTGGAGCATTTTTCCTACTGATTCGTATGCTGACTGTCATGGACAAGTGGTATGGAGAGTCCAATAAAATAGTCGACGCGATTTTTTCTTTGGCCAACAAATTGCAGCCGTGTATCATTTTCATTGACGAGATTGATTCTTTCCTAAGAGACCGCTCTTCGGCTGACCATGAGGTGAGTGCGTTGTTGAAAGCGGAATTCATGACCTTGTGGGATGGTCTCCTTTCAAATGGCCAGATAATGGTGATGGGCGCCACTAACCGCCAAAATGATATCGATCTGGCATTCATGCGGAGGTTGCCAAAACGTTTTGCTATTAGCAAACCGGACAGAGATCAAAGGCGCTCGATTTTACAAAAAATTCTCCGTGATGCCAAGTTGGACGACGATTTTGACTTGGAGACTGTAGTTATTGCCACAGAAGGCTTCAATGGCTCTGAATTGAGGGAATTGTGCCGCGAAGCTGCTCTTCGCTCAATGAAAGATTACATCAGACTGAACTACAAGAATGGAAGAAAGCGGAATGAAAATGTCGACCCTTCAATGGTTCGCCCCCTCATGACAAGAGATTTTCTCAGAGAAGGCGAGATCCCGGCAAGCTTGGTGGACTGAAAAGATCTGTATATAGCGCAATGGAATTTTGGATGTGGATGGTTGACATGGCATGGATGTAAGCCCTCGTTGTACGTCTGTACTGCAAGTATCTCTTTATGCAGGTGCGCGAATGTATAAACGGGTCTTCGGACAAGAGAGAAAAAAAAAAATTTTGTCCACTCTTAGTTCAACCTCTCACGGCATTTCGTACACTTATGGTGCCATTGGTCTTAACAGAGACAGAATGACTTCTTTAAGTGTATTATCTAGCCGGCGAGAGCTATTGGCTTCTTCGAAGATTGCTATACCGCCCCAAATGGTATAGTGATTCAAAGCGAAGCCTAGAGAAACATTCACCGTCAATTTAGCTCTGTTCTTAAATGTGTCACCAAGGAAATCCGACACGCTAGGGGAACAGATATGGCAAGTTGTTTGCTATTCACAATTGGCCTGAGACATGTCATTTCGGTCTTGCACACAAGGCACGTAGCAAAGTAGGGACAGACCCTGGGGTATATTGCCATCCACTTTCTCTCACCACTTCTTCGCAAAAGAGCAATTGTTTCACCATTTTGTTAGCGATCCCAAGATGCTACGGATATTAGGCTCACCCGGCAAATCTTTGCCCCTCAGATCCCTTCTGGTGAGCAGACTCAAGATTCCTGGATCTCGTACTATTGGTTCTGATGTGAATGAACTTAAGGAGGAGACAGGAATCAATGACTATGACAAATCGGCAGAGATGACTGGTGTTATGGATTACCGAAAACTGACAGAGGTTCTCATGTTCTTCGATAATGTGTATCCCAGGTGGTATGCTAAACTCTGGTACACTAAACTTTTCAGCAGGTTCAGCGGGGGCCGTAAGAGGTTTTCGGATGCTCGATTGAAGGATAGGGTGTGTAATCTTTTCAATGTTAAGGATGATCCGTTGCCACAGGAGTTTGTGGCCGACGAATTTGTTCCTTTGAAAAGAGACGGTGGAGCTTTCGTCAAGTTTCTTGTTCCAGAAACATCCAGTGTCAAAGAGTTGATCCAGAGAGTGGAAGAAAACTGTAAAAAGAACCAACACTTGTACAATCTGTCAATTCAGCGCTATATCAACTTTTGGATGAAGTACCCACAGGCGTTCCAGGTCAAGGGTACTCCATGGATTGAGGATATGAGCAGATTTCCTTCATCGAGACTCAAAGTTATTTTCGAAGGAGAGTTCTTGACCGAAGAAGAGTTGTATGTTTTGTTCAGAAGATATGGCCCTATAGAAGACATTATTCCTCTGTCAAGCAGCGTTCCATATGCCACAATACTTTTCAAAAGCACAGACTCGTGTATTCGTGCAAAGAACTGTGTTACAGGCATGGTTTTGAATAAGAACAAGACAACTTTGCACTTGCAATATATACCTATCAAGAGGGTGAATTACGTGACCAACTTTATTGCAAACCATCAAAGAATTGCTATTCCTGTTATATTGGCGCTCCTTGCGGCTATTGCTGTTTTCATTTTCGAGCCTATTCGGCTTACTTTCATCGAGCTCAAGCTCAAGAGCTTATATTCGTGGGATGCTCACAAAGACAATTGGTTGGTTAAGGCTATTTATGTTCCATACAGAGCAATTGTCTCTGGTATCAGCGATGGGCGTCATTTCTTGGACGATTCCCTTGAATCCATTACAGGCAGTAAGAGAGGCAAAGTTGAACTTGATGATTTTGAAGCCGATTTCCTCTTGACAGAGAGAACAGAGAAGGCAAAGCAGATGAAACTTTGGATATGCGAGAATGCTAATACATTCATCATTGTGAAAGGTCCCAAAGGTTCTGGCAAAAGAGAATTCGTGTTTGACCATACGTTGAAGATGGCCGATGTACCAACGAAGAGTGTTCTCGAGATTAATTGTACTCCATTGGTTAAGGCTAGAAGTGATAACTTGTTTTTAAAGGCTACGGCAAGTCAGATTGGATACTTCCCTATGTTCACTTGGACTAATTCAATTACCCAGTTTGTCGATTTGGGTTTGCAAGGTTTGACAGGACAGAAATCAGGCTTTAACGAATCGAAAGAAACGCAATTCAAGAACATGCTCCTGTTAGCACAAGTGGCTATTAGAAAAGTCGCATTGGCTGACTTCCCAAGTTACAAATGTGATTTGGAAAGACAGCAACAAAAGAAGATAGAACAGAGCGGTGATATAGATGCTAAGATTCCCGAAATACGAGAAGAAGAGTACTTGCAAATGCATCCAGAAGCAAAACCAGTCATTGTCATCTCTAATTATGCCAGCAAAGCGGATAGTGCAAATGATTTTGCCTACAGAGCTTTAGCTGATTGGGGAGCACAACTTATTCAAAGCAACATTGCACATGTTATTTTCATAACGCAGGACTCTGGAAGTATTCTGCACTTGACCAAGGCGCTTCCCAATCAAGTTTTCAAAACTATAGCGTTGTCAGATGCTTCTCAACAAGCATCGAGGCAGTTCGTTATGAAGCAGTTGAGGGGTGAAAATACGTCCGCTTATGTGGATCTGTGCTTGGGACCACTAGGAGGAAGAATGCTTGACTTGCAGTCGTTTGTAAGACGGATTAAGTCAGGCGAAAGTCCTGATGATGCATTGGAGGAAATGATTAGCCAAGCAGCTGAGCAAATTACAACGTTCTTCTTGAACCCAGGCAAAGTTGATGGGGAGGCAACATGGAGTACTGCCCAAATCTGGGCATTGATGAGATCATTGTCTAAGGCAGAGGAAGTTGAGTTTATTGACTTGCTCAAGTCCCCGTTATTTGCTGCAACTGAAGCTACCACTGCTACTTTAGCCGTTTTGGAGAAGAATGATTTGATTGGGCTCAAGAGAGAGAAGGGAATTATTCGTACCATAACCACTGGAAGGCCACTTTATCGTGCGGCGTTTGAAAACTTGGTCAATGATCATAGGGCATTTAAGTTGTATGAAACTGATTTCTACAAAACTCTAATTGGCCTTGAAAATGCTAAGATTTCCAAGTTGGAGGATGAAATTTCCAAGATATCGTCATTGAGCGATTTAAAGTTTATGAAAGAGAGACTTGATTACCTTTCCAGTAAGATTTCGGCTTCCACGGCAACAGTTCAGGACTATGAGGCCAAAATGAAAGAGGTGGCAAATATGAGCAACACCCCCAAGAAGAATTTCTTAGGCTTCTAATTTTACATACGAATATTAATGCTTGGATTATACAGACATCGTAACTATATAATCATATGGTCTATAGATGGGGCATATCTGTAACGTCATCAAGGAGCCCCTTTTGGATGATCTCGTAAGCCATTCGACGCCTGATAGTCTTCATATCCTTTTGCGAAAAAGTGAGGTCCATGTTTCCCGAAATGTACTTTGCTACCGTACATGTAAATACGCCACAATCATATCCATTTTGCTGTTGCGGCGTCTTTGTACTTGGAAAGAGTTGGTACTCGATTGGTACCACCTGGAGTCTTTCAGCTTCCTTTTGCATATATTGAGCCAAAAGCTGCACCGCATTCATGTTCCCACTTGAGGCTAGCGAGTCATAATATCTAATTTCCTTGGCAACATTATCAACCACAGCCAAAGCCCAATGTGTACTCATGATGTTAATGGGCACAATAATGATGTTCTTTTCAGTCACATTAACCTTTCTTCGTTTCGCCCAACGGGCAACACCCTGATATCCTTTGCTTTTCAACGTTGAAAAAAAATGCGTAGTCCAACAGTAGACGTTGTTGTTTTTCTCCGCCACCAAGGACAAGTAAAAGTCTATAACATTGTCATTTAGCCAATGGCCATCGGACAAAGTGAGCAAGTCACGCGGAGTGATATCAATTGAAAATGCTGATACAATTGGAGTTCCTGAATTGCGCTTTCTCCAGTGCATCTGCACCACTTCCAACTTGTCCTTTGGAAGCTGAGGCACGGACTCTCGGAGCGCGGTTCTTTCTTTTGTAATGAGATCTTGTATATCTTGTCTTTCCTTCCTAAGGAAATCCACACTTGGTCTTGGGAGGGTCGACAAGAGGGCATCAGTAAAGGAGTATTTGGGTTTTGGGAGTGGTATTGAAGGCGAGTAGAAACGAGAAATAGCCGCATCATATTCGTCTCGGGGTAGCAATAAGTCAAAGGGAAGGTCTGCATTAGCATTAGATGTGGTTGTTGATTCATGTGACGGTGCAGCCCGGAGGGGTCTCTTATTGGATAGAAGAGCAGTTCCATACTGCTGGTTTGCTCCTACCAAGTCTTCGTTGCTGTCCACTTCAAAGATAGACAGGTACATATTCGCTCCAAGAGTGTTTTCGATAGAAATAATGCTCATGTCCTCAGGAAGTACACGTGAGTAGTTATTAGGTTCTGGTTGGATCGCATCATGGAACGAGCTTTCATCCGTTTTTCGCAGGCTTTCGTCCTGATCATCTTGGGGGCTTTGTAGAAGGAGCGGGTCCTTCTGACTTCCGTGATGAATCCATGTCAGGAAAAACATGAAGAGCGATCTGACTAGAGAAAATGCAAGTTGTGGGTACGTGAGCCACAGATGGCAAAGTCGTTTTAGATCGCAAACATATGTACACGATTGATGCAAAAAATGGGAAAAAGCATATGCAATGGAAGATGGAACATGCGAAATTGGTGACGAAGTATGTACATTTGTGGAAGGAAAAAATGCTGTTGGTTCAAGATGGGAAAAGTCTTGTGTATCTGGATGTGACAGTTGCATTTCTCCCTCAGCGTTTCCCGCTGTGAGGTCTAGATAGATTTCATTTTGAGTCACCACCGGCGGTTGGGGAAGGGCATAATTTAGTCTGTTTCTCGTGAATAAGGGCGTTTCTAGTGGCATAGACATGGACCTGGTAAAAGAGACTAGTACTTGAGAAGATGGTGCACGGGTGTATGGACTAAGTTGTAGATAGAGGAAATGAAAAGAGAAAGCCGAGCCGACGAGGAAAACGGTTAAACGGCACAAAAAAAAAAAAAAAAATTGAAAGAAGACAAAGAACGAAATTAGATATTACAGCTTGTCGTACATAGATTGAGGGAAAGTCCCGGTGAGCAGGAGTTGTATGGAGATATATGTACGAGAGAAAAAAAGTAGAAATACGATCGAAGTTATCCTTGCAATTGAAAATCAGGCAATATAATGTAGTGAAGAATACAGTTCATATGATGCTGACGGCTACAATCCCCGAATTTTCGAAAATCTGGTATTCTCAGTTAAGGGACAGGAATCTACTGATTGCATCTTATGTTCGATCTTGCACCATCTCTGCGAAACATGTTCTAACCATTGCATTTTATGACCACAACGCAATTTTTTACTACAACTAGGAATACTAAAGCAAAGTAGAAGCAGAAAGTCTTGGGTCCACAAGGCCAAGCTGGAACTCCAGACCCAGACCAATGCCTCAGTTGACTTGATAAAATGATCCACTGAATCTCAATAATTTCTATTTATGTTCGAGCCAGCAGTGCACTTGAAGAATGTATTACCGCATCGGTACTGTAGTTAGGCAGAGCGAAGAATGCAGAGAAAAACAGAAGGGAAAAAGAACAGTACCGAAGCCTTAGACGCATGCAAAACGACTCTAATTGCAATGCCCGAAACATCCCATTGCCAGAGAACAAAAGAAAAAAAAACGAAGATGGCTCATGCAAGGGCGAAGTAAAGCAGGTAAATTGAGTGGGCAAATGCCGTAGTGTGAGGGTAATTCTAACGACGCACCGGCATACTGCTCCCCACTAATAAATGGGACAGAATGCTTGTCCGACAGAATTTCAGCATACTTCCCCAAAGAGTCGTCCATCATGTACAAAGGGTTTCATTTTTTTTCCTCGGGGCAATGCAACCGGCTCGGCTTTTTCAAAGTATGTTTTAGTTTCTTGCCGCTGTATCCCAAGTTGAATTTCCCTCACCACGTGGTAACCTTATCGATTAGTGCGCTTTGGTGCAGGCCGCACGGCGTATTATTCGCCAGACGCAGAATAGAACAGTAGTTTTAATTGACAGACTCTGCCCGAGATTTGTTATAAGCGCCTGAATCTGCACCATGTCTGAAAATGAAGTGAGCGAGGAAACTTCTGTCCCACAAAAAATGCTTTTCGCCAACAAGCTTGAGCTGGAGATATACCCTCCCTGGAAAGACAATTACATCAACTACATCAAGCTCAAGAAGCTTTTGAAGGAAGGGGTCATTTTGCAAAATGCGTGGACAGAAAAGGACGAGCAGAACTTTGTCGCTGCATTGGATCTGGATTTGGAGAAGGTCTACACTTTCCAGTCGAACAAGTACGATGAGTTGAACGAATACTTGAACGAATTACAAGAGTCTACTGAGTCGCCAGAGGCCAACTTTGACGTGCAAAAATTCTCGTCCAAGTTGGATCTGGTGTTGAACTTGGCTCAGGAGTTAAACCATTTCCAGAGATTGAACTACACCGGTTTTGTCAAGATCGTCAAGAAGCATGACCGCTTGCATCCAAACTACTCAGTTAAGCCCTTGTTGAATGTGCGTTTGAAGACCTTGCCATTTCATTCAGAAGACTACTCTCCACTTTTGTTCAAAATCAGTGCATTGTTCCAGTTTTTGCGTGACAACTACGATGTGGACCAAGCTTTATCTAAATTGAGCTCCTTTAACGATGACATGGCCGCTCAAGAATTCCAATCTTTCAAGTTCTGGGTGCACCCAGACAATTTGATGGAAGTCAAGGCCACCATTTTGCGTCATCTTCCTGTGATTGTGTACAACAATGAGGGTCCAAATGACGACGACGACGATGATGATGACGATGACGATGACGACGGCTTTGGAAACTTCTCCAAAAACGACCCCACTATCAACTGCTTATACTTCGATAACCAGAATTTCGACTTGTATAACAACAAATTGGTCAAGAGCCCGAATGCGTCGACTTTGAGAATTAAGTGGATTGGAAAGTTGTATAACAAACCAAAGCTTTACCTTGAGAAAAAGAGCTTTGAGAAAAACACAGACACTTATGACGTGGACGAAAAATTCTCCTTGAAGGAGAAGTACATGGACTCTTTTATCAACGGTACTTTCAACGAAGAGAAATTTTTGCGCAAAATGGCAAAGAAAGGTGAGTCTGAGGAGAACATTGAAGAAGCAAGAAAGCACATTGAGAACTTCTCTAAATTCATTAAGGACAACCATGTCCAACCTTGTCTCAGAACAACCTATAAAAGAACTGCATTCCAGATTCCAGGCGATGATAAAGTACGTATTGTAATTGACTCCGATATCTACTTTATCAGGGAAGATGCATTTGATGAGCAGAGACCTATTAGAGATCCTCAGAAGTGGCATAGAACCGACATTGACTCTAAGGTGAATTCACCATTGTCTTTGTTGAGAAGAGGCGAGTACACTAAGTTCCCTTACGCAGAATTGGAGATCAAAATCAGAGCAAGAAAGAACAAAAAGCTGCCATGGATCGATGAGTTGGTTCACTCGCACTTAGTGAAAGAGATCCCTAATTTCAGTAAATTCGTCCATGGCGTTGCATCCCTTTTCTTGGAGGATGATAAATTGGACAATGTTCCTTTCTGGTTCAACGAGTTAGAATCCGACATTATTGTTGACCCACAACAGGCGTACATCGACACCAAAGAGAAGTTAGCCAAGTTGCAGAGCGACGAGGAAAACTTGAAGAAGTTCAAGAGCATGTTGACGAACTCAACAAACGATTACTCTGCACGGTCTAAGTCGTTCTCGGGCTCGCTATTGAACAGCTTCGAGCCAGCAAGAAACGAGGATGAGAGTTCAACTCTGGAACTCGTGCCTGCTCAAGGAGCTATTCCTGAAGAACCTTCGCCTGTTTCAGGAGATTTAGACCAGTCTTCAGACGAGGAAGATGACTACGAGGAGGAAGACATTCACTCCAGCACCTTCAGTAAAATATTGAAATTGCCTACAACATTTTCGAAGTTGCTTGACGTCGATTCAGAGGAGGAAGAAATTGTGTTGCCTGCGGGAGTCAGTAAGCCCGAGACATACATCAAGAATGCAGGACCATTGAAGATCGAACCTAAGGTGTGGTTGGCAAATGAGAGAACATTCAACAGATGGTTGCATGTCACCACTTTGCTTTCTACCTTGACTTTCATTATTTACTCTTCCACCAGCAGAGCAAACTCAGAAGAATTGGCTACTTTCTTGGCATACATCTACTTTGCTTTGACCTTGTTCTCTGGAATTTGGGGGTACTTCATTTTCATGCGCAGAAGAACCATCATTATGGAGAGATCAGACAAGCACTTGGACAATATTTTTGGACCCTTGATTATCGCTTTTGGTTTGATTGCTGGCTTGGTCATTAACTTCGTGTATGGTTTCAGAGCTCTCTCGGACCAACAAGCTGGCGTATTCACTACCACTGGCTTGACAGAGGACTTTTTCTCTAAAAACCCAATGCAAAAGTCAATTTTGGACTTTATTTTCAGGCTTGTGGGTGCCAAGCTGACTGCATAATTTATCCTAGTCGATCTTTGTTTCTCACCTGATTATGTGAATCACACTCGTGTAACTAAGACCTGGAGTCCTCTGTAAGAGAGTTACATTCAGGTTTTAGCGTAGTCATCTTTTATCTTCTTAATACTGTAAAAATTAAATAAATATTTTATTGGAATTAATTTTGGGAGCAGGCGCACTTTTAATTGTTCATGCAAAGCACAAAGTACTATTACCCGAAGGAGACAGAGTATACCAACGACTTATGGCCTCTATTTGGACAGAGTTTCAGCTTGTCCATTAGCACCAAAATGTTAAAATAGGACTTGGTAGAAATAGTTACAGTTCCGGTTGAAGATCTGTAGGATCCTGTATATATACATCACCATCTGGACACGCTTGTTTTTGGCGAGATATAATCTCAAAATCCTCAGGCGGCCATGTCTTTGAATATTTCTTTGTACACAGTTTCCGCCGTTTTGCTTTTAGGAAACGAGGGCAAACGTTTGTATGCCAAATATTACAGGCCACAAGATGCGAGCCAAGCATACAAAACTGCTCAACAACAGGCAGCTTTTGAACAGGCGATCTACTCGAAAATAAATAAGTTGCATCAGGATGTCATATTATATGACAACCATTTGGTGACTTACAAGCAGACAAATGATGTGATTTTGGTGATTGTTGGAGCGATCAACGAGAATGAATCGATGCTTTACTCATTGACCAACAACATCAACGAAGCTTTGACGATTTTGTTGGACAACTCTTTGGACAAGGCCACGGTATTGGAGAAATACGATATGGTGTGCTTGTGCCTTGATGAAACCATTGATGACGGTGTTATTTTGGAGATTGATCCAGCCATTATTGTCAGTCGAGTGACCAATCCTCCATCTGCGATGGCTAGCGACATGCACATTGACATTTCCGAGAAAGGTTTGTTCAATGCCTTGTCTTTTGCTTCCAAGAAGCTCAGCGAGAGGTTGCAACAGGGTTTGTAACAAAAAAAATACGACGTTCGATACACAATTGTAATTATAGCGCATGCAAGAGTGTTCGGTAGTCCTTGACTGACAACGCTAAAGTATGGGCGTTAATGGACTGACTAAACTAATGTACCTGGATCAATAATAGTAGATATTCGATCGTCTAGAATGAATATCAGTGGCCTCGATATTGACTTTCAAACAACTTTCATTTCTTAAGATGAGATATACGTAGTTGAAATAAATTTCAAGCATTACCAGCTATACCAAAATTCACGAACCAAAAGAAAAAGCATGGCATCACGAGTATTTGTGGTCATTTTCATACTATTTCGGTCTCTTGAGTCTATGTGGTGCATGCATATAATCAACATCAACAACTTCATATACTCGCTTCAACTTCTATACATCTTACCTCAACAATGGAAGAATCCCTCTACTTTTCATTGCTCCGAATATCAGTGGCTCAGATGCTAAAAGCTTCCGGGTTTGATAAATGCAAACCACTGGTACTCAATACAGTCACGGATTTGTACATTCGACATTTAGAGTTAATTTTGAATAGCGCAAAGAAATTCGCTATTGCTCGTTCTAATTGTACAAACGAAATCCTTGCACAAGACCTACTTCAGGCATTCATGGATGTACAATTTCTCAAACCACTGTCATTCGAAAGCTGTTTAGATCCTAGAGATTCCTCAACCGCCCCTACTGCGGAATATAATACGAAATCTGTCGAATCCTTCAAACGTTGGCTACAGTATAGTGATTCCTACAGAACAAGTAAAAAGCTAAGTGAGGTCCCAATTTCCATGATACATAACTTGATTGACAAGCGAAAAGTGGACACATCATCCGAAACAGATCAGGAAAGGAAAAAACGCCGCTTACGTGAGCGACAAGAATATTATAACCAACTCAAGCAAGGTGACGAGAATTTTCAGCGAGACATGGGCAGACTTGTGGATGATTTCGAGGAGGATGAAATTACCAGTGACGACAAGTTGTCATGGCTCACATATATGGCTGAGAAGGACTTGAAATTAGGGCATAATTTTAAGTTCGTCAACACGACTATTCAAGACAGTCTTATCCCTCTTCAGAAGAACAAGAAATTTCACCCGCCTTCTAAAAACGGAGAAGACAGCTATCGTTCTTTCCAGAATCATCTTCGCAATTCCAATAAGTATGACCATGTTGTTATCCAGATACAAGAACTGGCTGATGCTGATGGCTCTGAGAAGACTCCTATCGTACTTCCATCTTCACAGTTGAAAAATGCTTTACCGTACAATGTTAAGTACCCAGACTCTCTTATGAATGATGATCTCGAGCTTTATGTGAACTATGCTCAAACCCATCCTGAGGAAATTGAGAAAATCGTGAACAAGAAGCGGGTCGCTAAAGGCGGTGATGACATTTTATTGGAAGCCATAACTTCAGGTTCAATTCTTGACGTTCCCTCGTTAAGCACGGTAGGCGAGTCTCTTGTTGACACATCAGAAAACAATAATGAGAACGATGAGCTAAGCAATAATGATGAAAAACAAACAGATGGCGTTGAAACCAACAAGCTGCCCCTAAGTCAAGAAGATGCTTCGACAGCATATGAAACAAATAACACCCAAGACCAAGAAATGGTGGATGCAAATGGTGATACAGATCAGGTTCAGAAAGACCCTGAAGTTAATGATCAAGTCGAAAATGCTGGTGAAGATGTCAGTGTCGATGGAAAGGAAGAAGATAGTAGAGAAGAAGTGGAAGATATAGAGAAAAATGCGGAGCCAGAGAAGGAATTAGATGGGGACGGAAAAGAGAACAACGATTAATGAACATTCAAGATGAGTACCCAATTACAAGAAGAGAATCAATTAAGGCAGCATCGAAAATTAGCGTCTAATATATATATCTTTAGGACAATGTTCACACTATTGAAAATTTCTATTGTTGGTTTCCGCCAATGTCTCCGCCAGTAGCAATAAAAAGATACTCTTCTTTACTAAGTTTTGAGATCTTTTTGAAAACGTTTTTATGACTAGGCAATTTGGGATCCTCACAGATGGCTCTCAAATGCATAATGTACTTGTAACACAAGTATGTTTCTTGTGTTATGACCCCCAAAGTTTCAGTCAAGAACAGTTCTGGCATATGTAGGGACGTGAATTCATCAAACTTTCCTTGAGCTTCCTTGACTGTAAGAACAAGCATGGTACCGAGGAGAGTACGAGTATCAAAGGAAACTAATATTGGCAAAGCACTCACCAGCTCAACCTTGGACACAGTATACTTTAAGATATCGGGTAGTTTAGCGAAAAAGCCATTGGATGAGCTCTCATCCTTCTTATCTAATAAACTCTCGAGTATATCGTACGGAAGCTCCACATCTAATTCAAAATTTAGAAATTTCAACATAAGCTCCTCGCGATACAAAAGCTGATCTCTCCACTGCCAGAACAACTGACTGTGCTGATCAATGTTCTTGTTTGGGTTTTTGATGCCACATCCCGCCATGGCTATTTTATCTGGTGGTCTATAGTTGTCATGAAGCTTGCAACTGATGGTGATTGCAGCACACGCAACAAAATACTTGGACGTGGTTATAGGAACTCGCATATAAAAGCGGTTAAGATAAATTGTGGCTGCCAATATCGTTCTTCCGTCGAGTTTCAACTGGGAACCTAGTCGAATCATGAAATCATATATCAGCTCTCGCACTTTGAGATCTTGGGAGAGCGTCATTTGCTTGCGAGACGGCGACTTCGATAGAAATGAGTCTTCTGAGAAGAGCCATGTATTGTGAAACGGCTTAACATGGCTGTCGTTTGACTTTTCAGACATTCCCAAGGAAAACTGGTGTGATGAAGCGAAGTGAACTGTATGCACGCGCTTGTCGTTTTTATTGTGGGTAGTAGCGACAGTATTAGTACTTGCATCTGGCACACTTTCATGTCGAAATAACTTCCACCGTCGATCATAAGCAAATCCACAATGAAAGATGCTACCAAGCATAATTTGTAATATTTATAATAAAATTAATTTAACAGAAGTACAATTGAAGCTATACTAAAGGTTCGTTGGCCTTCTATGCCCAAACCTCGAGGGCATCGTAAAAGTCTACCCGTTTTTGGGACTTATCAATTTGCTGAACGACATTGTATCTTATATCATCCACCATTGCTGGATGTCCACAAGAAATAAAAGCAATGCTGTTGGCTGCCTCTGCAATTTCAGATACAATTATTCCCTCTAGGCATGGACGACCTTCCAAAATCTGAATATGTGGCAACTCAGATTCCAACTGGTCCCAGATACGCAAATTATCCTTGCCTTCATATTTATCTGAGTTGGAGTCCGCTGTGACCAAAGATTGAAATTCGTCTGTGCCCTCTAAAATATCGGGCCGCGTCACGTAAATCGTGGTATCAATCTTGGTGTCTTTCAATGCTTGAAGCTCCTCCCAAAACCATGCCAAGCTCTTAAGCTCTCTTATTATCCAAATAAGTTTAATTGCCTGTTTGTTTGAAGCTCCTTTTCTAGCCAAATCGACCGCTTCACAATAAATTCCTGGAATACCACTTCCGCCCGCCACGAAAACCACATTCGAGTGGCCCTTAATCGGTTTGGTCTCTCCATATGGGCCTTCCACTCCAACATGCATCTGCATGGATTTCCCTGGAATATTTGCTAACTTTTTGGCTAGATTGTTCGTGACTCCATGCTTCACTTTGCAATAGAAGATAATTGTCCCATCATTCCGGTCAACTAATGTGAAAGGATGCGATTGCCAGAAATACCATCCTCCAGCAATATAAAGCCAAGCATGCCCACCAGGGGTTACTTTCCAATATGTGGGTTTTTTAACTCTGACGGTAATAGTTTCGTTTGCTACCAACGACACCGTAGCAACCGGAAATCCAAAAATGAAGAGCCTCACCAAGCGCATAAAACGGTCAAATCCCCAAACAGCAAAGCAAGGGTAAACTAATTGGACGTATCCTAATTCCCAAACGTGATAGTAAAGCCCCACAAGGAAGAATACAGCGAGGAGAATATGAAGCACCAAAAACATTTCATACCAGTTTCGTCTCAAGAACAAAAGACCTTGGAAACAAAGAAGGGCACCACATGTTGTTGCAACTACACCCCAAATAAGGTAGTTTTCAGCCATGCTCTCAGAATAGTCGGATCTCTGGATAAATAACACTGTATAACAAAGAGAATGAATGAAGGCCATAAGAACAACCAATCTTGCAATCCAACGATGGTATACCATGACAGTAGAATACTTCCATCTTGTTAAAAGTTGGACAAAGTTGTTTCTACCTCCAAATAACACAAGTAACGGAGTAAGAACAGTACATATGATACCCGTTCTATCTCCAACAAACCGGTTGATGGCTTGCAGTCTAGTATCAAAAAGGGGATCGTTTTTCACATAGTAAATTTCGGTGGCATTGACGATGAAGCAAAGCCAAAAGAAGAAGAACACTACTAGGGTCTCCAATCTAGATGGAACAAGAAACTCAAGCACATACATGAAGCGTTGGGATTCGGCCCTTTTGTTTTTCCCTAAGGCAGGTAAAGTAAGGTATTTTCTCCACGCTCTGGAAAACTTACCATCAAATGTGTACTTTAAGTTTGGGAAAAGAATGGAGCTCCAGTTGAAAACCATTGCAATGATAATAATGAGCCCCCAGTATCCTAGGCATCCAGCGCCATAATACAACGAGTGGTCGTAGTTCCCCAAGAATACTTTATAAGATTCCTCAAAGAGCTTGATGCTTGTTTCATTGATTTTCAAAGGAACTTTAACTGGAACAGTTTTATTGAAGTTCTCCATTTCACTAGCAGGAATGGCACTCTCTAGGTAATATTTGTAACCTTCTTCGATTTTTTCTTGGGTTAATTCTGTCTCGTAGTTCTCAGCACAATAACCACGCCAATACTTGATACCTGTCTTGTTCTTGTGGTCATAAGCCAAACATCCAGCCATAGTTGCGATACCTATTTCACTAGAGCAGAAACATGCATAACCTTTGAGTTTGCAAAATTTCGCCAGCCTTGAGAGCGAAACGCCACAGGCCAAAAATGATTGACCGCCCACTCCATAAGATTTGTAGTTGCTGACTTCCCCAAGAACAAAAAGAGGGAAGAGAATCCATAAAACGAGACTGGCAAGTCTAAAGTGCATCGCTGTGTGAAGAAATTAATTTGCAACCGGTAAAATTTCGCCTTTTATACTACGAGGCGTCCCTATGGCATGTGGCCATTCATATGAAGACAATCCTTGCCCACAGTTGATGCTGTCCAACTTCAGCCAATAGCCGTGAACAATAGAGGCTATTTTCACCGGATACGTATGTCTTCTCTTCTGACGTGCAGCGCCAAGACCATCAATCCTTGACATAAAAAAAAAAAAGCAGACAAGCATCTATGAGGTGTCAAGAATTACATTGTAGGACTCTACTATTCAATCGCTATCGGTGATTCCTGGCTCATAGTTGGGAAGGGTACGAATCCTCCATCTTCTATCTTAAAGCTATTGAATGCAACTTGCTAAGTAACCAAAACTCCTGTATATAATTTCTCATGCATGTATGCCGACTGATCCAATCAGATAAGTATTGATCTGCGACAATACGAATTTTCACCAGTAAGACTTGATATGCATTCTGCTTTAAATGGGAATTTAGAGAATGTCATGCATAACCAACAGGACCCGGAAGACCCTGCATACCATTTCCGAAACGCCATGAATCGAGATATCTCAAAGCAACGGCAACGAACTTCACAAGAGTAAAATCAGTGCTACATAGAACGGTCGGTCCTTTGACCAAACATTTCAGGCTTTTTAGAATGTAATTTTTTACCACCATCTTTCATGGGGGTGTTAGGTGTTAATTGATGTGTGCATTGGTTCATATGCAAGATCCTGGATGCTATGGACTGTGGTTTGCATGCATCCGTTGGACCTGAAGTAATCGCCCGACTTGAATGGCTTGGGCATAAAAGCATGTGAATCGGCAGATTTTACCGCTCCGTACAGGATTGGCAGAGTCATCCACTGACTGACTTTTTGATGAGGTGTGAAAGTGGCTGGAGATAATTAGCGTATATTTGCATTAAGAAGGAGGAGCGACAAAGAGAAAATGAATGAGTAAGTGAGAAGCAAGATCCTCTTTCTGTAGGTAATTTTCGAGTGAGATTATATGAGTCGATCTTTTAGAGATTTCGCCGAACATCGGACTTGAGAGGTTTTTGACTTCGCTAAATATGGACGGTATGCAATACCATTCTTTGTCGAGACAACGATTGCTTTCTTCGTATATTTCTCCAGCTTGTTTGCCCGTGTTAAGCATATAGGGGAAATCAATCACATTTAAACCCTATTCACAGCGCTGGGTCAGTAGATGCTTTGAAGTAAAAATACCTCATATTTTGCTAGAAAGTACCTGTCAAGTTTTCTTGTTATTATGTCGAGGAAATAGTACGTAAACATCATTTCTGTGACCGCCTGACTTTGATAACCAACTAAATTCTAAAAACTTATGTTCTCATTGTTCTCATGCCTCGTGCTTACAATACCATTTCGGTGTCCTAAGCCCGAATTGTAAAATTGACATACGGTTCACTGGATATTTTGTTCGCAAATTCCACGCGTTTTCTTGAGTCATTCTAAATATCAATCTTTAGGTGATTTAAAGGTGATACGTAGCTAAATCGAAGGTTATTGCAAAGATCCGTTGTTCGAGGATAAAACCTCTTAGACTATAAATTCTTGTAATACATTGGTTGCTAGCAACTTATTAAGATCAAGATGAAACATGTTGAAACTGAATTTTTTTCTTTAGGAAAATTTATTGGATGACTGAAGTTAACGGCCCAATAATCCAACAATCGTATCGTTTTGATTATTGAAGTAACAAGCTCTATGCATGTCAGTTAAATATTTGGTCATTTTACACTTCGTACTGTTGAATGATCAGGCGATCGCTTGCTCCTTGGCAAGTCTAGGATATTGGTTTTACTAGCAGATAAACTTCAGAGCTATTTGCTGATAAATATTTTGTGATGCTTTCTTCTTTCTTTTTTTTGTGTTAGAAGTCTCGCTTGTTCAATGTTTGATTATCGGTTTTCTATTGATTCTCAGTCATGTATCAAGGAAAGTAGCTAAATGCACAAGCTTTGAAATCCATTACTCTAGTGAATGGTATAATTGGTGGTACTCTACCAATTATACTGATTTACTCAAGTTGGTCCTTCCGTAAACCGCTTTAGTCTCACATCGTCCATGATTTTAATCATGTTCGCATTAAAGATTGTCATGGCATACACACATCGAGGAAAGGCGTACATGTATCCCATAGGATGAGTCAAAAACTATTTACGATAAAAAAAGCCTTCCATATCTTCCATTCCTTTTTATCTCAAAGTATGGCAATGTTTATTTCCATTGGCCTAACACGTCGTGGTGCACCAAGTCGCGGCAAAATGTATCATTCTGCATCATCATTTTAACTTAGGAAACACACTATGCGATAATGAAGACAAGAAAAAAAGCTCGTAGAGATACAATTTTGAGCCATACAGCAAAGCAAAACCGTTACATTTTCAACCCCAATTGTTACTGTTGGCAACTAAAACCACCATCATCAATTGGGCACGTGACCAGCGTGCGACTACAGAAAAGCTGATGAAAAAAAAAAACTGGGAAGACGCATTAGAGCCATAATATTTCACCCGATGGCTGACACTTACATGCATTTGATCCGTCCTACGGTGACTGCTCCTGCTGCACCTTCTGCTGCAAGCCCTGTCGGAGTTAAAATCCATAACTCTGCTCTTTTCCTGGTTTTGGAAATTGTTTCCAAACAGGTTCTCGAAGAGAACAAAAGAATCATTGGAACTTTGCTTGGTGTTAGATCAGACGACGGCTCAAGTGTGGAAATCAAAGATGCATTCATGGTTCCTTGTCAAGACACTGGCGACTCTATTGTCATCGAAGAGCACACACACAAAACTTTGTACCAGTTATACAAGAAGGCCCACCCAAAGGAGTTTGTTTTGGGCTGGTTCGACTCTGCCAAGGAAATCGACGGATCCACAGGCTTGATCCATGATTTCTACTCCAAAGGTGCTGACAGGGCATACCCATTTCCAGCTATCTACTTGAACGTGAACTTTTTGAACGGAAACCAAGTTGGTTTGCCAAAGTTGACCACATATATTGGAGCTGCTATCGGTAAGGCTGCGTCCGTGCAAAAAATGGGATGGAAAACTGCAAACACAAACCTGTACATTTTCTCTCCGGTTCCACATAGTGTTGTTTCTAGCACTGTTTCCGAAAAATTGGCGTTGAACAAAATCAGTGAAACGCCTTCGACGAAAAACAACGTTGTGGAGTTTGAGCACGAACACTTGCAAACCTTGTCCAAGGAGATCAGCAGCGTTACTCGCAACATTGATCTTATGTTGGAGCACCTCAGCAAAACCAGCAACTCGGACCAAGATTTGGACTTGTTGAGAACTTTGAGCAATACCTTATTGAATAGACCTACAATTTTGGCAGACTTGGATGCATTGAAGAACCACTTCCAGTCCCACAACCAGGATGTGATTATGATTGAATTCTTGACCAGAGCAGTCAAGGAACAAATTGAGTTGAGTGCTCGTTTGTCTGCGGAGGCAGAGAAGAAAATCGCCTAGATAGCATGGTATAGGATATTCTGTGGAAACCAGCTCACGTCGTATAGAGATTACCTTTGCATATGCTCGTCCTGCGGAGCGAGACATTGTGCGGCTTAATATGTTTTACCAACAATGATGAATTCTCGTGGAGTCGCCTTATCTGGCAGGCTAATATTGATTTGTATTTTTTATCTCTCTTTTTTTTTTTTATTCTGTCTTTGGTTGTTCTTGTGGCTTAGGCGTATTTCGCCATGCTTCGTAGCGAATGTGAACTGCCAAGATTAGTACAAAGAGCAAATTACCCGTACGATACTTTTCACGAAACTTTAATTTTTGAAGCAACAGGGCTGAAGGACTATGCGGTACTTCGATTTGTTTTGGCAACAGTGACATTTGGGTTCTGCATGCCCGTGTTTGGGAAATCTGCTCTACAATAAGCGTGGTTGGGGATGACAGGGAAATGTTATTTTTGGGAAGGCAGCTACTATGCTACAAGTTTTTTATTGTTTTTTTTTTTTTTCTCAACCAGTCAAGCAGGAAAGGAAACACGTTGGTCTCAGCCCAAACTTTTTTTTTTGGAAGGCCATGGAATGTTTGGTGGGTTCCCCAATTATCGTATGTGCACCTCGCCGTATAATACGAATGCACATGAGAGTGCGCTTCGCCACATTAACATTAATCCTGCACTGGTACAATGGGGTACAATAGATCAATCGTAGAGATACAACAATTGTGACAAGCAGCAATATCCATATTGGAGTCAAGAAAAGGCACAGTGGCTTACAACGCTTCCATTAGTACCAGCGTAGTAATTTCAACATCCAACTATGTGTGAGATTTCACGTAGACAAATGCCAATCAATATTTTTGCAGTCCACGCCTAGGTTAAAAGTAAAATCCAGCCTCCTAACAAAAACACTGTACATGAATACGTCGTGCCCAACCAACCAGAACACAATCAGGCAATGTATACGATAAATGTGGCAGCGCCCCTGGCCAGCTTATCTAAAGTTCCATGCAAACTGCGCGGATATTATATAAGTGCGTCAAATTCTTCACACTGGCATCAGCATCAAATCCTCTCAATTTTTCACACTTGTTTACAATTGTGGAATTGCATTATACCATCGACAAATCCTAAACAGCAACACCCGATTGTTTTCGGCCACGCTGATTTCCACCACGATACTACAATGAACGATACTGTTATGCTCTCGCGCGAAAAGACCATCGACTATATGGAAAAGAGACAGGAAGCGACTGTGCTCCGGTATATGCGGCAGATTGCAGAACTTGAAGGCGCCACCGGACCTGGAGGTGCGGTTTCTCTCAGAATGGGGGCTCGTGATTTCAGTACCCTTGATAATGGGGAAATTGCCAGCATCATGGAGTCTGAACAGGAGTTTTTGGAACAGCGGCTCCAACGGAAAGTAGAGTCGTTGACTGGGGCCAGAAGGTGGTCTTGTCCGGCATACAATAATGCTTGAAAGCCCCTTCGGCTGGTTGGGATATAGGTACAGGAAATACATATGGATCAAAACCGGTAGTATATAGGGGTGCTTGCTTGGATTAGAAAAAGGAAGATTCTGGCATGTCTCGCCAAACAACGTGCCTGTAGCTGCATTGATCTTTCAATGACATTGTGCTGTGTACAATCACAACACCGTCCAATTGATTTTTCACAGCCATCTATCATGGCCAAGTTACAATATGCGAGTACTTCATACATTTGCCTTCCTTTGCAGAGCCTCTTTTTAGCCATCGTCAGGGGGAAAAGTCTCAACACCAGTTTGTAGTAATAAGTGTGCAGATACTTGGATGGAACATGCAGCTCATACAAACATCAGTGTTGGATCCATTACTTACTAGAAGACGCCTATTTCGAATGTGATGAAGATGCGCCAGCTCTGACAATCGCAATTTTTGCTGGTACTCGTGGTAGAACAAACAATTAGACCTGTATATGCAGCAGCAACCCTGCCGTGCATTATCTCTAGAAAAGGGAACATCAGAGAGCCAATGTTTCGTGCTACAAATTACACGTATTTGCATGCCCTCGCCACCTCCAGAAGTGCTAATACCAATTTTCTGTTGACACTTCCAAATTGTAAGTCAATTGATTTGTTTTCAGGTTACCAGTGAATAATGATAATGCGCAAAAGCCTGTCAAACCTGCATCGCTATCGCATGATTCAGTTCAGATTCATGCCAAAATGAACACACAAACGATCCACGCTCCAAACCAGAAAACAGGTACAATCGCCATTGTGAACAAATCCACTCCTGTATCTCCCAAGCAACATCACTTCAGGAACACAAGCAAATCAACCCCGATTCACCTGTTGTAGGCAGATCCAAGATGCACGGGTGCGCATTTTTGTGCTGCTCCATTTGCACCCAAACCTGTTGATCTCCATGCTCCTTCTTCTTTTCCTCTGGGGCTTTGCTTCGGCACTTCCTGCCCTAGGTTTTTCCCACGCCCCGCCTCTTCTGCCAACTTTTGTAGCCTATAACACACTCCCTTTCCCGCGCTGGCTTAGCGACTTTACTGGTCTCCATCTGTGGCCAGACATAGATCCGCCATACATTCCCCTTGATTTCATCACTTTTGATGAGAGTTCTACTCTGTTGGCACAAATCCATTTGCAAGGAAATTGCCTGGACTCGCATAACAGGAATAGTGTTTGTTCTTTCGACTGCTTCAATTGTGTATCAAGCGACGACGTGTATACATGCCCTGTTCTTAGCCAAACGTTTGACGATGGGCCTTCTTTAGCTACTCCCAAGCTCGTCAAGGCGCTTCGCAGCCGCTCAACCTTTTTCACAATAGGCCTAAATGTTGTGCGATATCCGGAGATCTACAGGGCGACAGCCAGAGCCGGGCATATTATGGGCTCGCACACTTGGCTGCACAAGTTCTTGCCGCTGCTTCTGAATGAGGAAGTTGTAGCTCAAATACAGTGGTCCGTCTGGGCCATGAATGCAACCTACGGCCACATTCCCAAATGGTTTCGTCCTCCGTATGGTGGGATTGATAACCGGATCCGTGGCATTCTCCGCCAGTTCGGAATGCAGGCTGTACTTTGGGACTTTGACACAGTCGATTGGCGTCTTGAAGCTGGACTGGCTCCTCAGGAGGCCATGATATATTCTGGAGTAAATGAGTTTCAGAAATTGAGAGGAAACCGCGGCTTGATTTTGGAACACGATGGCACAGACACCACAGTCAATGTGGGGATAAACTTGCACAAGCAGCTCGGGCCGGTTCAATTGTCGGTGCCTGAGTGTGTAGGTGGTATAGACTACATCAAGAAGTTTATAGATCCAAGCAAATAAATTGGAACCAAGTTTGCAGGTGAAGCAGACTCTGATCGCAATGACATCCAAGTGTCTGCTTTTTAAGTTTTCATTTCAATATGTCAGTACGTGATTTAAAAGTGAAAAGAAAATCGCCCAGATGTAATTATTTTTCTACAGAAAGCATTGCCACTGTTTGGCTCATTATTGGCCATGAATGCTTGTATTATACCATTTCACATTGAACTATCAGTAAACGTGCGAAAGTGCTTGACTTTCCGGAGCAACGAAAAACTTTTCAGGCCTCAAAATTGCTCCTGAAACCCTCTGAAAGGTTTCAAACAACCTCAAAACCTTCATAGCCTATCGGCCCATTTTTCAGACATCTTTCGTGCAATCTGTGAAAAGATTCCAGTAACATGGTGATGTATTCCCCATATGGTACTGCACGTCGTCTCTAGACATCTTTCGGCGGACCGCGTTTCTTCAGAACCCAGACTCTCTGATTCTTTGTCCCCTGCCTTGGTGGGCTGCGTCAATGAACTCGCACGCAATATGCTGGGCCCGTTTTCCCCAATGATGTCCGGACTGCCTTGTCTCTTGCTCCCTTTGCCCGTAGCTGATAATGATTACAGCTTCTGGGAAAATGGCACTCGATCGCCAGAGCGCAACTTGAACATATTTCTCCGTGTCTGTGGCAACGATCCACAATGGCCTGAGCTTTCTTCTTTAGTCAGCTCGTGACCTGCGAGACCCTGGCTGGTGTTTTATGGGCATTCTTGCTGTTTAAAGAACATCAGTACCTCCCTAAAGACTGGTATCTGTTGGGCCCTGTGACTTGATGTCAATTTCTCCAGTTTGAGAAGTTATGAGGCTTGTTGGGTCTGTTTTTGCGCAAAAGAAGTCCGCATGCGTCTCTTGTCTTCGTCTTTCTACTAGTGAAATGTTTTGCACTAGAGTTTTGCTGGCAGCCTACTAATCTCGAATGCTCCAGCATCATTCCGGCCCGTGCAGGACACTAGAAGATACCGAGTTTGGCATGAGAGGAAGCTTTTGTACAATTGCCGACCCATTTTGTCCGATGATTATTGCAAAAAGTTTATGACTTCCTCGCGCTGCTACTCTTAAACTGGAGATATTTGACGGCCCAACAGCTCCACATTGCGCTGCTGCAGGTTTCGGCATAGCCACATTCCGATATCGGTTTGTTTTTGTTTTTGACGCTTTTGTTTTCTCGCAAAATAGAGGCTCTGTCCTTGCAAAAGCTGATATGCCACCCAGACCATTCTCGTGGGTTTACGGCTTTACCTAAGATACGTAGGACATGTTCAGGGCTAGGGCGATCGAAGGAACCAAGACATGGCTCTAGGCTATCCCTTTTGATGGATTGATCCAATACTCCCGTTGGCAGTATGTTAGAGTCTGTTTGTGAAAAGTTCTGTAGTCATTGGGTTGATCAAGAGTGGTGTCATGCTTATTGGTGTGTACCGGTGCTCGCATAAAGCATAGTGCTGGCATTTGACGGAGAAAGGACATTTTCAGAGAGTCCAATATTTGGTATGTATCTGGTAGTTTAGGAGTAGGGCTGTTACTAACTTTAAATGGCAATGCCAGCTGGCACAGGGCTGCCTTTTAGACAAACCGGGATAGCTCTTGCTGGTCTACTTCAAAGAGATTATTATGAGGGCCAGAAATGGAAATGCATTATTCGCACCCATTCTCCGGGCGGATACGATTAGTTCAATACCGAATGAATGGTCTCTAACTGGCAATCATAGAGCATCCTAGCTCTAAGAGTAGTCATGAACAGGTGTAGAATGCCATTCAGATCTGAGATGGAGATCTTCGATTGATAAAATAAAGCATTTTTCAGAATCGTTCAAGTGTGCTGGTTCATGGTGCCATTTTAACTCCGCTGCACCTTTTGTCAGCAAAGCACGCCATTATGGCCATCCGCCACATCAGCATTGGGGTCTGTTACTCGCAGCTCGGGTTATTACAGCTTATATTGTGGCTAGCACTATATTACAAAAACGTTTTAGGTTCGGTAAGCTTAAAAGTGACAAGCAGTTTAAACGATGACACACTTGACCCCGCATCCTGATTCTTCCTTCTTGTCACTTGAAGGAGCGGTCTGTTGGCTTCTCTTGGCTGCGTCGGAGGCGGGCTTTTCCGCCTTGGTCTCAGCCTCCGTCTCTTTTGACTCCTTGGCCTTCTTTGGTTCCTCAGCCTTTTCGGTCTTCGTAGCAGTTTCGGTAGAACCGACAGAGCTCACAAATCTAATGGCGTTATCCGCAAATGCCTCACCCTGCAAGGTAGCGATTTCCTTTTCCAAAGCGGTAGGCTGTCTAGAACCATCTCCAGCAAAAGTGACGGCACCGTATGGGGTTCCACCGTGAACCTCATCTAAGTTGGTGATTTGAGCGAATGCCTTAGCGTAACCCAATGGAATGTAGATCATACCGTGGTGAGCAATGTAAGGAATGAAGTTTCTCAACGTGGCTTCTTGGCCGCCTCCTGGGGAGCTGACGGAGGTGAAAATGGCCACGGGCTTGCCGTACAAGGTTCCGTTGGCCCAGAGGCCACCGGTAGAACCCAAAAATTCGGTCATTTGAGCTGGCAAGTTTCCAAAACGCGTTGGGTAGCCGAACACAAACGCATCATACTCGGACAAAGTGTCCAAAGTGGCGATTGGGTAATCGGCTTTAGCTGGCGCCTTCAACTTCTCCAATACTTCTTGAGGCAAGGTTTCTGGCACTTGGAAAATGTCGACTTTCGAGGCTTTTCCCGACTTCTCCACACCTTCCTTGACCGCTTTGGCCATGGTGACAATATGCCCATAAGTTGAGTAGTAAATGATAGCGATCTTCATTGCAATAGGGTCAAAAAAAAAAAAATCAGGTGAAGAAATGAAAACCCGCACTTGTTGCTTCTTTTAACACCGCTTACCAAAGTACGGCTTTAGGCTTATAAATTGGGAGAGGAAAGCTACAGGGTTGCAGTATTAGTAACGCCATTAGTAAAGAGGAGGGATGCATTGTGCAGGCAAACTCTGTCCACCTGGGTCAAGTATACTTTAGTGTTTGGCCCAGTTTCAGATAAGTTTAATGTTGTTCTGGGTCTTCATTAAGATATTAGACCGACTTGGACAACAGGTAGACCGCAGCCGCAAGCTACAAGAATAAACAGAGAAGACAACTAACTGTCAAATGTTGTTGACCTGCATTTCCCATTACGCACGTTAGTAAAATTGACTAACCAAATTTGTAAACGGAAAAGGATGGAATGCGGACGCGCATGGACATGTATATATAACCCATCTATTTAAACCTTCGTCAGTCCGTTTGTTTCACACCATCCAACTCAAGAAAACAAAATGGCTCCTAAGGTTGCAATCATCATTTACTCTATGTACCACCACGTGGCCACCATGGCCGAAGCCGTGAAGAAGGGTGTCGAGTCTGCTGGCGGCTCTGCTGACATCTTCCAGGTTCCTGAAACCTTGACTGAAGAAGTTTTGCAGTTGTTGCATGCTCCAGCCAAGCCAGACTACCCAATTGCCACTTTGGACACCTTGACTGGCTATGACGCTTTCTTGTTTGGTGTTCCAACCAGATTCGGTAACTACCCAGCCCAATGGAAGGCTTTCTGGGACTCTACTGGTGGCTTGTGGGCTCAAGGTTCTTTGTACGGTAAGCCAGCTGGTTTCTTCGTCTCCACAGGTACCCCAGGTGGAGGACAAGAGACCACCATTGTCAATGCTTTGTCTGTTATTGTGCACCACGGTATGATTTACGTTCCATTGGGTTACGCTAAGGCCTTCCCACAAATTACCAACTTGGATGAGGTTCACGGCTCCTCTCCATACGGTGCTGGTTCTTTCGCTGGTGGTGACGGTTCTAGACAACCTTCTGCTTTGGAATTGGAGATTGCCACTATCCAAGGTAAGTCTTTCTACGAAACTGTGCAAAAGTTTTAAGATAACGGATCTACGAGATTAAGGTGAGGAAGTTTATTTTAGTAGCAATAGATGCTGTGTTAGAAAAATGTGCTTATTACTGTATTGATTGTCGTCTCTCATCCACATTCATGTGTCAACCTGCGTTTTGGAGTACTTGTCTGCATGTTGTGGTGGGGTTATCTTTACGAGCAGAAGATCCCAGTACGAATAGGAGTAAAATTAGCACTCGACAATTTAGTTCTTTGTTTTCTAGTGTTGACTCTACGACTGTAATCGGTGATTGGCAACCCTTCATCTATTTTTATAACTACTTTAACTTCACTGGATATTTTACCTTCCCAATTCTCAAACAATCTTCCACTTTAGTAGATGTGAATGCTCTTTGTTCTGAGAAAATGAAAGCCGAACTTCTATAAACGCATAACTCTTATCCAACTTTCCCACATCTAGCCTACCGTTTTACCAAACCCAGCCCTTCGATCTAGATTCTGACCTAGACTGGCCCTGTGATTATGTAACTTCGTGTTTATTTCAGAAGACTGATTTAAATTACGTTTTGTAAGATTACCACGAGCACTAGACATTGTCTTTAAACATCCAGAACGCTCCTATGGCGAGATTCTGCTCATGTTCCAGACTCCAGTAGTATCCTCGCGTGTGTATGTGATTCTATCATGCAAACGGCTCATTCCACCTTGCCAAAACTCCACCTCAAGCGGCACTATTCTAACTCCACCCCAGTACTCTGGGCATGGGATCTCATCATCTGCCAAATCACGGAACTTCTCTTCATACTTCTTGTAAAGACCATCAAGCTCGTCTCTCAGAGTGATCTTTTGTGATTGGGGCAGAGCCCATGCTCCGATCTTGGATCCACGGGGCCTGGTCTTGAAGTAGCGTTCAGATGTCTCCCTGGTCACTTTCTCCATCACGCCTTCGACCCGAACCTGCCGCTGGATATGCGGCCAGAAAAAGTTGAGCGATGCGTACTTGTTTGTCTCAAAGTCCTTGGCTTTCTTCGACTGGTCCCAGTTGGAGTAGACAATAAAGCCGTGAGTATCTAATTCCTTGAGCAAAACAACACGCGACAGCACGCGGCCTGATGGCAACCTGGCTGTGGAAAACGTAGTGCATTCCGGTATAGCAGAAGCATCAGTGACGGTGTTCCTGGCATCTTCAAACCACTTGTGAAATTGGTCAATAGGACTGGCCAGAACTTCACTCTCATTCAAGTGGCCCTTTTGGTATTGGTAAGTGGGCGGAGCAAATATTATGGGTTTTTCTGTAGACATTTTTTGCGAAAAAGGACGATATGTGACGAAAGTTCGGAATCCAAGAGACCGCCTCAACATATAAAAATGGTATGATTCATCTGACGCGCGCTCAGTAAATTGGTCACGGAAAGATTCAACTCATATTTATCTATCTTTTTTTTTTTTGTTTCTCTTGTTTTGTTTTTTTGTATATTTCATTCATCAGGTAAATAGTTGTTATCATTGACCGAATGTCGGGATATATACGAGAGTCAGCATTTCCTTTTATGCCAATGTCGAATCGGGTTGTGCGCCAAATCCAGTAATTGGCTAGTGAAATCGTAATTCGTAATTCGTAATTCATGGATACTACTGAGCTGACTTGTATTGCAAGCTCAAAGATTACACTTTCACGTCATTCCGGGTGCTGTTTGAAACGAACGTTGTTGGCCGGCATCTTCGTAAGATTATCCGTAGAACATTATTGTCCATCGAAGCGATACATGAATCCTTGTCGAATATTGCCAATCGTAAGCATTTGCATTCATAGCAAAGGAATCTCAACAACAAATTATAACTGTCAAACACTTTTAAGCATGCAAATGTCTATTCTAAATCTAAATCCCCACCAAAACCAAAACTGAATCCAGTCGTCTCGGTCAACTTCGTCCACGTTTCACTTTTTCCTGTGGATTTTGCCACTTCTGCCTTTTCTATACGAGTTAACTCCTCTAATCCCCGCTTCAAAACAGCGTCGTCTCCGTTAAGCTCCAACAATTTCGTAAAAAGTTCGAAGACAGGCATTGGAGGAAGTTGAGACTCGACTATCTCACCGCAGTCTTCGTTTTGAAGAAAATCTTGTAAATGTAATTCATCAAACTTCTTCGAGTATTCCCGAATCTTACAAATATTTTCATCATCTGCGTCGCCAGCAGCAGATATCACGCGATCCATTACACGGCGAACAGCCAGAGGATGAAAGCCAGACATCTGCGACCGCCTGTTCTTGAGAAAATTCATGGCATTCCCCACTTTCACTTTGGGCACAAAGTTTTGGGTCAACGCCACGCTGTCGTCTAAATTGATGACTGAGTGCCACCACCCACTAGGTACGTACATAACCTCACCAGGAAATGTAATTCCAATTTGCGCTTCTGGGTGTTTCGCTGCATCATTGTAAAAGCCTGAAAGAACCCATTCAGCGATGCCAACAGGACTAGTCACTTCACTTTCGTCTTCGTCTGCTGAAACACCAGGCGGACATGTCCCTGGCGGAAACATAACCCAAAGTTTTCTTCCTGAGAGAGCGGCATTCCATGCGGAAGTATAGTTTGGATCTTTGTGGAAAGTAGAGCCCGAACATTCGGATCCAATGATCACCCAAGCATGGTCAGGGCGACAGTCACCAAAAACAGAAAAATGGTCTTCTTGGAACAATTGAGGTACGTCATATTCTTGGCGAAGAGTCTTCATGGCTTCACTGTTACAATCAAACAAGTAGAGAGGGCTTTCGTCGCTGTTCTTGACCAAATATTGCGCATAGAGCGAAAGAGGCCATTGCACCGCTTCTTGACGGAATTTCACATCTGCAAACCGTCGAAGGAGCAGCTCCAAATTCCAGCGGGGCCAACGTTCTGGATCAGCATTGGTGAAGATGAATGGTTGATTATGCCATTTTGAATCAAATAATTCCTGTGAAAGTTGCGCTTCAGGAAATCTGGGGATTCGGCCCTTGGGCAAAATCAGAAAATCAAGCGGTTGATTTGTTCGTAAGCTATCCATGTGATAAGTTTCTTCTTCTTCGATAACCTTTCCAAAGAGATTATTGTAATCGATTTGAGAACATTGGAACGGCCGGTAGAGAACATCAGAACAGACCAAATTCCCTTTCATTTGAATATCAGCCAGATATTTTGCATCTAGACCTAATACACTAAGACGCCATGATCCACGCCACTGAAGCAAAGGAATATCTTTCCCTTGTTTTTCAGCAATTTGCACTTTCGTAGTGTACATTTTCTTCCATAGATCCTCATCGTATAAGTAGGCATAAAGAACACGCGAAGTATGTGAGAGATTTCGTAATGCATTAGCATCGTCGATGTAACTGAGGATTTCCATAAAAAGCTCTTCCTCAAATCTGGCAAAATCTCCCAACTGTTGTTCCTTTGTTACACCTTCTGTATTCTCAGCGAAAAAAGAGTTGCCGAGTGGACGCACGTTTAAAGGGTGAGCGGCCAAAGATTTGGAAGCGGATATCGTCCGAGGTAGACTGGCATATGCTCTCCTTTTCTTGTGTGTATGCTGAGATGGCATCTTGAACTATTGGGATAGAAGAGAGGTTTTTTTCGCAGTCAAAACGTACGAGATGAGAATACAGTACATGCGATGTGAGTTACAGTTCTACGATCGGGTTTATGGGTAGTGAAAAACACGGCGATGTAACATTTAGAAGCGAAAACATATTATTTCCGGATAATTGCTATTGTCGTGTGCTCCTTTTCCATGTTAGTTTCATAGTTTTGACGATAGTTTTTTTTATTAGGTAGATTAGTCAATCATTGGCAGAATCCACAAGAACCGCGAAAACCGGAGAAGAAAACGTAACATGATTACCATATATTTATGAACGCTTCAATACATAGGGAAAAAAGCAACATATTTCATGATTCTCCTACAAAGTTTACAGAATAAGTCAAATGAGGAATGCCTTAACTATGTACATATGAGCTTACTGCTTCTTGACCTGCGAGGGATCAAACATCAAGGGCTCTTCTCTCTTTGGAACCCAGTCTTTCTTCTTCAACCTCTGTTCGTACTCTCTAACGTATTTGCCTGGGTAAATGATCTTCTCGTCAACAGGGTCCAAGTTGCTTTGAGGAACTTCGGGCTCGCCCAAAATTGCCTTCTTCTTGGCCTTCAAAAACGCCTTGATTTCTGCAAAGCAGTGCATGCACATGAAGTGAGATCTCTTGACGTGACCACATGCGGGACATCTGCCCAAGTTTTCCAAGGGTTGTATTTGCTTGTCTCCTGGAGAGTACAACTTTTCTCTCGTTCTGCGATGAGATGGTCTCTTTTTGGGCACAGCCTTTAAAATTGTTCCATTATCAATCATAAAAGGAGGCTGTCCTCCTTCTTGTAACTTCCTTTTCAATTCTTCTAGTCTGGGGTCGAGACTTATTTGCGTGCTGGTGCTTTGAGGAAAGAGATTGCTGAGACGGGGTAAAAGCGGTAAGATGGGTAATGCAATGGAAATCACGGAGCCAGTACTCGAAGCTGGAGCAGCCAAGGACCCGAATCTGAGAGCCAACGACATTCTTTGATGGGAACTCAGAAAGGTTTTCAATGAAAGAAAAAAACCGGAATCTTTTTTTCTGCGATCGAAGTCACGTGCATGTCACAACCATACCGACGGAGCCTAATCTATCAAAGCAGACAAAAGAGGGTTTTACGATATTCATTCCTATGGTTCTAGAGACTTCATAAAAAATATTGGAATTACTGATTCTAAGTAGCACATCAGTGTAGGATATGATCATAGAGGAGGTCAATGTCTCCGTCCAATACAATATTAACACGACCAGGAAGAGAAGACAAAGAATATCGCATATATATGATGATGATGATAATGATGATAAAAAGAGTGAACATGCTGTGCAGATGTAACATGAGCAACTGAACATTCAATAATCCAGCCAAATTATTGTGAGCTCCTACAGGATTGATGTCTCGTGCCTGGAATACATGACAAAACCCTAAAGACCGATAAATTGGGGGATTTTCGTGTCCAGAATCGTCTTGACGGGTTTTCAGTTAATGCTTGCTTTAAGCACCATAAACCCCCAAACTTAATTTTAGGCAATTACTCGACTCGTCATTCCCTGTGTTCACGTGCATGTTGGAGAAGAAAATGTGTGTGCGTACCGGATACGCGTTCAAATCAAAAGCACTTTGTGAACGACAACAAACTCTAATCCACCAAAGCATAACCTGAGCCAAAATGTCGATTCATATTGACGAATCCGTAGTTCTGCCACTGAAATATGTTGGTTTCGACACTATCACCTCCCAAATTGAAAACAGATTGTTAAAAAGAGGATTCCAGTTCAATATCATGGTTGTTGGCAGATCCGGATTAGGTAAGACAACCTTGGTCAACACCTTGTTCTCATCGAGATTGGCAACAACGCAAGGGCGTCGTTCGGCTGAAGAGCCCATCGAGAAAACCACAGAAATCAAAACTCATTCACACACATTGGTGGAAAACAATGTTCGCTTGAATATTAATGTTATTGACACGCCTGGTTTTGGCGACCAGATAAACAACGAGAGATGCTGGGATCCGTTGGTTAAATACATCAAAGAACAGCACTCACAATATTTGAGAAAAGAGTTGACTGCTCAAAGAGAGAAGTTTATTCCCGACACGAGAGTGCACTGCATTTTGTACTTTATTCCCCCCAACGGCACCAAGTTGAAGCCTTTGGATGCACAGGCATTGAAGAAATTGTCAGAGATTGCAAACGTTGTGCCAGTTATCGCCAAGAGTGATTCATTGACGCTTCCTGAAAGAACTGCTTTCAAAAGGTTGTTGCAGAATGAGTTCATCAAATACAAGTTGGACATCTATCCATACGACAGCGATGAATTGTATGAAGACGAGAAGCAGTTGAACGAAGATATCAAGTCATTGATTCCATTCGCCATTGCCGGTTCTGAACGCGAATTCGAAATCAACGGAGAAATGGTCAGAGGCAGAAAGTCCAAATGGGGCGCCATCAACATCGAGGATGTCTCGCAATGCGAGTTTGTATTTTTGAGAGATTTCTTGACAAGAACACACTTGCAAGACTTGATTGAAACGACGTCTTTGGTGCACTACGAGACTTTCAGAGCCAAACAATTGATTGCGTTGAAGGAGAACGCGTCGAATGCCAACAGACAATCGGTGCCTATTTCTCAAAAACCACAAGCAACTACCAATACCACGCCAATGGGTGTTCCAAGTGCATATGCGCCTACACAATCAATGGTATCTGCTGTTTCTGAGAGCACAGTCTCCGCTTTGGCGAACGGTGAAACCAGAGCATAGAATGGCGATTTGCATGAGCGTCGTATCTTTTTTTCTTCCTTTCTACTGAAAAAATTAGTCAATGTGCAACACGCTTCTGTGGTTCATGCATGGGGGATTCAATATAAATTTATAGTGAAATCAAATTTTGTGTTTCAAGCGTAACCGATTGAAATTCTGCTTGGTAGTTTGAGAACCAACTTTGTGTTGTGTAAACAAAGCGATGCCTCACGAACAGAAAACGAGTGCCGCCCTCAAAGATCCGCCGTGTACTTGTTGACTGAGGCCTTTTTTTCGGCCAACCAAAGTTCTTCGACATTCGTATTTTACACGAACCCCGGTCTTGTGCATGTCTCTGCGTTGTATGCAAGATGAATGAAAACAAACTGCATGTGAAGCAAGTTACCTTATCTCTGTCAAAATCCCAGCCAAATCTTTCGTCTTCATTTTTCTTGAACATCTAATATTCCCACCAGCTTTATCCAAAGAGGCCACAAGTTAACTTTGTACTAGAATAATAGAACAGCGATAGGTCCTACACGATGAAGGCTTATGTTACACTTTTAACAAGCGACTCTTATGTTCCAGGGGCTCTTGCTTTGGGACAGGCATTGAAAGACTTGCAAACTGAATATGAGACTGTGATTTTGGTTGATGTGAAACTGGTATCGCCACAATCCCTTGAACATATAGAATCAATTTTTGATACGGTAATTGATATCAATGACCGCAAAATTTTGGCTCCAATGGAGGAAGTGGTTGAGAAGCTTGGTCGGCCAGAACTCAGTACAGCCATGTCGAAGCTTTTGATTTGGGCGTTGGAAGATTATGAAACTTTGATATACTTGGACTGTGACACATTGCCATTGCGGTCCCTTGATGCTTTGTTTGAGAGATATGCCGATCTTGGGCACAACCAGGTAGTTGCTGCCCCTGACATAGGATGGCCAGATATTTTCAACTCCGGTGTAATGATTTTGAGACCCAGCTTACCTGTTTTTGAAAAGTTAGTGGGTTTCTCTTCTCAGAAAAACTCTTCGTTTGATGGTGCGGACCAGGGTTTGCTCAATGAGTTTTTCCACCTTCAAGGAAATGACTTTTCGTGGAAACGCTTACCTTTTATTTTTAACGTCACTCCATCTACGAGCTATCAATACAACCCGGCCTTGGCTCGCTTTTGGGACGACATTCACGTGTTCCATTTTATTGGCCAACAAAAACCATGGTTCGCAAAATCAGGCGAGAGAAACAGGATCGAAAAGTTGTGGTGGGAGAAGTTCAACTCTCTAAAACTTGACGAGAAGCAATATATTCATATTTTATCAAACAAGAAGCAACCACCAGAGACTAAAACTGGCAAAGGAAACTGGAACCCAAGCACAAATCTCCCATCTTTAGACCATTTGTCACTAGAATCAAATCTGAAAGTCTTTCCTTGGAACCACTCGGAAACAGTCGAGCCCACCCGTGTTTTCCATGATACGGGATTTACAGATGAAGAGCAGCATCAGAAGTCAACGCCATTTACGCTTGAAAAGAGATCAAGATATCAGTCTTCTGGCGAATCATTGGGGGCTTCTTATGGGCAGTTTGATGATAGCGAAAGGTTCGATCCGTCAAAGGCTTTGGATGAAATCGCCAAGATTCCTCTAAAATTTCTTTCCAAGCATTGATCCACAGAAATGATAACTGCTGTTTAGCTATATAATTAAATGAATGTCTAGATACCCAAAGGTTAACAATTCATGTATGACGACCAGAACTCCACGTATGGCATTATTGTCCATATTCCAGGCTCCATGCTACTGCACATGGTTGTACAAAAATAAAGAGGACTGATTATTTTTTTGGAATTCGATTTACACAATGAGTGCGGAAAGTGATGGGAATCAGCCTTTTGATTGCGGATCATTTTGGTATAGAAAAATATGTGATCAATTATCGTTACTTGAATAAAGGAAGAATAATTAAAAAAATATTGCCGGTCCCAGGAATCGAACCTGGGTTTGTTCGGCCACAACGAACTGTACTAACCACTATACTAGGCCGGCTTCTTATTTTCAAAAGTAGGATGGATAGCTATGACGGACAATAGGGCCGCTTAATTAATGGACGTTTACACTCATACTTTCTGTAGAGATTGATATGTTTTATTTTTGAGCGTCCTTCTTCAAAGGCGCGAAACACTGTTTCTGGATGGTTCTTGGCTATACTTCTCCACTGTTGCTAATGTATTTAAGTTCAATGCCTTTGTCCCAACCTTAGAGTATATTTAAGGTGATATCCCCGAATTCAGCAACTGACAATGTTACTTTGAAAATATTTTTGAGCTCTTCCGAACTCAGAAATTGGTTTCAGAACACTCATAGTTGAGTTTTTAAGGATCGAACCTTCATTTTATCATTCGTAATTTCGTACACTAACTATTGCGTTATATGCCAACGGATAACCAGCGAATCGAAGACTGAGTGCAATAAGTTAGTTGCTGGTTTTAGAACCACGTATTTAATTTTCATATATTTCCATAGGAACGAGTTGTCAGATCGTCTCCCACTGGTGTGGCGAAAAACGCCGTTTCTGTCTCTGTATTAACGTGGGTATTTTGCATGGTACCCAACTTGTCTTGTCGAGTTCGTAAAGATACTCTTTCTGTTCTAGTTTCTTAACTTGTTTCGAACTGAGCGAGTTACAAGTTACGGCGCCATATTTTTTTTTTTTTGTACCATGGAATGATAACAAGTCAGGAAAACTGCATCCCACATAAGAGCACTAGGGTAATAGTAACGTTCAAGAAGAACTTAGGCGCTATTATATTATCCTTTTATTCTCCATAGTTCTCCTAGGAGGAAGACATCTTGAAGGAGCGAGATAATATAGCATCACATCTATCTTCGGAAACTCGGTTAATCATTCTGTTGAATTGTTAACAACATGTAACATAACGTTGTTTCCAACTAGGTTTCTAACAAAAGGAAGAAATGAAACCTTGTTAAGTTCAATGTGCTGTTTTCTTTTGAAGGGCATGCAAGAGTGTTTTTGTGCCGTAAATTGCATGCCAGGGAAATGTGATGATAAAAACCACGAAGCGTTAGGTAGGACACCTACTTCAGTAAATTACCCTGGATCTCATTTGTAGCCAATAGAATAAAGATTCGATAAACAGAGCATTAGGAGTCCCCTGCTATCACCATCAAGAAAAACTGCATACTATTGTTTCATTTGGCGTAATGCAAAGGTGGAATTTCCGGACTTGATGGATAAGTGCAGTCATCAAATCGGAAATCGAGTTCTGTAACAATCTATTACCATCTATATCTTATTTGGTATCTCAAAATAAACCTTAATGTCTATTTTGCGCTCTTTTCAAATCGCAACAGGGAATGATGCACGGTATTAAAAGCACAAAGGTATACAGAAATAAAAATAGTCGTGTTAACAATAGACATAGAAAAGGAGTAGCGGTGGAGTCTTTAACCTAGTTTAAGGTTCTGGAAACAAATTTAGAAATGATCCTCGGATTTGCTACTTAATGATCGGGGCAGGGATCACAAATTTCCGCTATTCTTTAATTAATTCCAAATTTAAATGTTAATCGAGTTAAAATATATGAGAAAAAGAGACGGAAAAATAAGAGCCCAGTTGCATTACAGTGCACCAAAGGATTCGTCAACGAGTTGGGATGGAACCAAGTAAGAAGAGAGAATGAGGGGAGGTGTGTCTCTGAAACCATTAGTTACGAGCCGTCGCTAATAATTATTTTGTAGTAGCCCATTTGAAAAGACGAATTGTGAGTCAACTATCAGAAATATATAAACATAGATGTAGATCAATCAAGGATCTGCGCAATAACTATTTCAGGCTCGTACGTTCTTGATTTTCGTGGTGCGTCCAACTGAAAACTCATCCCGTTGTATGCAATGCGTTGCCCTCGTAGGATCTTGAGGTGCGTCACATAATTAGGAGATGGAAAAAAGAAACATCGAGCCCCTTCCGAATGAGAGGTTGTTAGTGATACGCTTCTTCTTTTTGAACCAACTATAGTAAATCAAAGGTGTCATCTACAGGTTAGAATTTTTTTTCCTTCATTTGGGTCCTGCCGAATGTAGCGAATAAATCGTGCTGAGATGGCATTTATCAATTCCGCCCCAACTGAACGCGCAGAAGGGTATTAAGAACTCCTACAGATGTGGCAACGCAGTGCGCAGCGCGTATGCACATGCACATTGGCCAAAGTTTAGCCGATCGTTGTTCCTGCAAGGCATACAGTTTTCACTTGCCAACTTTGTAGTTTCTGGAAAAGTGCGCTAGGTGTTTTCTTATTCAAGAAAAAAGATAGAGGTATCTCTGATTTCACCCGGAATGCAGGGAAACTGCCAGTAGGTAAAAAGGAAAGCTTGGTACGGATTTACATAGCATATATCCGTCCAAACAAAGTGGATGCATAGAGTTCGATATGCGGATCAGGTGGTAGGTTACTTCGAATATCCGAGGCTCACGTCTTGCCAAATTCCATTTTTTCAGACATGCAGATTAGGTTGGTGGCTTGAGTATCTAGATCAGGTTAAAATAGGCGACTCAGGTAGCAAGCTGATCACGCAACTACCCGAGAGAAGCTTTTATAGAAGATGTCTACATCATGTCGCCCGTTCTCCGCATTTGGTCTGTGTCGAACATCCTCTGCAGAATAGACTTTGGCGCATAAGCGCGGAAAAGGACTTGTCGGCAAAAAATAGCATGGGCGCAGATTGAGCCGCTGGGGCCACAGACAGGAGCTCATCCAAGCCCCTTGGTGAAGAAGACAAAGTATGAAGCATTCCATAGAGGCTACAATATTGAAGAACGTCCGCATCACCAATGTGCGTGCAGAAATACCGATTTTTGCGCGCCTAAAGTGAGGGCTGATTTCCAACAGGAGAAGAATAGACAAACAAAGTTTAGACCAGCGGAGCGTGTTAATAAACGGACTCAGTGATGAGTTTTTATTTTTCTTCTCCTAGCTTTCTTTCTTGTTGAGCGGCAGTATTGTCTCAGGTCATTGTTCTCACTTGGTACCATGAATGTTGGGCCACTTCTTTTTCCTGTCCCCTTTGTCGTGGCCAACCAGAATCTGTAGGCGTGTGCGCAACCTTGTGCGGGATCATAGACCAATCTACATGCCTGGACATTTTTAGACCTACTACTGTTTTCAGTAATAAGAACCATGACTGTCAATCTCCACTGCCTAGCTGATGTCTGTCTTATTCCCATTGGTACCGGGAAAACCTCTGTCCTGGATGAGGTGGCAATCATAACCAAATTGGCTCGCAATTCTCATTTGGAATGTACTTTGCATTCTGCTGGGACTACCATAGCAGGACCATGGTCTGAAGTCATGGAGTTGATTGGTCAGTTCCATGTGGTTTTGCACGAGAAGGGTGTTGTTCGGATCCAAAGCGATATCCGGGTTGGTACCAGAACAGACAAGAACCAAAAGCCGCAGGACAAGATTGATGTTGTGGAGCAGAAGATCAAGAATTTATAAATTGGAAAATCTACTATTCATGCTCGAAATGTAATGCTAATATGTATTGTAGGACACAAAGAGAGAAGATAACGATGTCACTGTTTCTTTCTTTATGAGGTGTATACGTTTCCAGAACGCTTACATGGCCAACTCGGGACTGCTCGCTCGCCGTCTCACATAGTTTAGCTGGTCTGTGCCTCCAGCTTGCTGAATAAGACGTTCGGTGATTTTCTTTTCTTTCTGGAGTTCCTCCACTAATTTCTCGTTGACACCCATGGCCAGAGGATTTTGCCAGAACATCTGTCGTGTAAATTCCCGGACTTCGGCCAGCGTGTAGCACTTGCCCGTGGCCTTGTATAATTCCAGAGCAATATAGCGCCATTTCTCCATTTCTGCCGAGTCCAAAAGCTGCTGAAGCTGGTTTCTATCTTCAACTGTCCAACTCAGGCTGTTGTTGTTCCCTTGCTGACCAACAATCACCTGATACCGGTTACGGGCTGCCAAATACGATCCGACACCAGCTAGGTCAGCAATTTCAACCCACAGGCGTCCTTCTTTCTTCAAGCGGACAATTATGGAGTCCTGGAGCTTGGTAAACTTGGATTTCCTTTTGGGCCGTCGCTGAGAATTTAAAAAAGAAACGTCTGGACGAGTGGGCGCTTTGCTTAGCGGAGGCACTGGCAATTCCATTTGAAGCTGTTCAATTAGAGTCAAGTTACTATTGGGTCCACGAACCATCATTGGAATCATACCCATACTATTTGTATTGTCTAGTTGGCCCATTTGTGGCACTGGACCTTGATTAATCGGACTAATTTGAGAATGCAGACCTCCAGTTTCTCCCTGATGGAAAGATGTATTTGGCACCTGCCCCGGTTGAGCCAGATTTGGTTGCATTTGACCCGAGTGTAAGGGGCCAGCTAAAACCTGGTTTGTTCCAAAAACGTCTGGAGCCGCCTGTTGGAAGTACTGTGGGTTTTGGAAGGGCATGTGTTGAGACTGGATCATCTGAGGATATTGTTGAACAGGGGCCTGAGAAACACCTCCAATAGCAGACTGGGGCAACAGTTGTTGAAGAGGTTGCAGCAGAGGTTGCATATGATAGCTTTGTAACCATGAAGGTTGGTTTAAGGAATGATGCATTGGAGGATTGGATGAGTTTGGATAGTAAGCGGAACTCGTATTTTGGATAAACTGTTGTTGGCCAGAGTAGGCGGGGTTATAAAACCGTGAACTGTCGAAGTCTTTTTGACCTGATCGCTGTTCGTTGTATGTCATCATGCTGAAATGAGCCTGGGCAGGCCAATAAAGGGCTAAGGAGGAAAAAAAGAATCTGGGAAGAAGTGTTGGAAACTAATGAATTATAATAATACAACTTGGAGTTAGGCGGTGTTAAATATATTATTGGAAATGACAAGCTCAAAATTAAAGGAATGAAAAGAAAGAGCCGGGTTATAAAGGAAGGGAAAACCGGCAACCTTGACCTTTTTTTCCGTGGGGAATTGCATCTGTTGATATAAGAAGTTAGGCTCTAGTTACAAGTCTCAACGTACGCTCCCACTTTTTCCTTGCATAGAATGATGCTTGCAGCTCCATGCACGCTGTGACAAACAGATGAAAAGCAGGTGGTTTCCCCAAGACTTATGCAGTCAGAATTTACGACAGTTTACGAATACGTCCTTCTCTGGGGGAGTGGCAGCATAATTCTGCATAAGTGGCGTATTGTACATGAAAAGAACAGCAAGCGTGCATGTGGCCTGTTGTAAAATAACGCGGCTTCGCAGCTGTCGCCAGCAAGGCCAGAAGCAAAAAAAAAAAAAAAATACCAAAAAAAAAAAGAAAATACGTCTCTGCAAGCATTCAAGTGAAAAATATGAATAAAGGGCACAGACAAAATTATCACTAGTCACCCTTGCATGTTGGAACTAGTCAAACAACCTTTCGTTGTGCAGTCCATTGTTTTCATTTCTTTTTCGTTACATCACACAGATGCATGCTCTCGAACATTTGGGCTTTTTAGCGCAGGCCTAATATTACATCTCTACGTAACAGTGATATTCTGTGATGCGGATCATGATCACTTGTTCACACAATATGGTAAGTGCCCCCTGTCCTGCGCTTAACAAATACCACTGGCGCATCAAAGTGGTTGAGGCATGCAGCTGCATGTAGGTTTAGGAGTCGAGCGGCATGAAATCCCGAAGAGGAAATCATGTCGTGTATTTGAATGTAATTTTCTAGGACCAAGAGGGAACAAGACAATTATTTTGGCGGATTACCTTAGATCTCGACATTTGGGTCGAAGGAATCCTTCAGTGTTGGGCGTAGTTCTGCCTTGTTACATGTCGGATTGCTTTCCTTGAGGTTACACTTTATCTTTGTCGTGACGCTAGAAAATCCTGCAAAATGCATTAAGTATTTCATTATAATAATTTCGCTTACAGAGATGAATGTATTCCTGTGTCAATCACTAATGAGCCAAGGAAAAAGAGGAGTGTATCGATTGACTTGAATCATTGCATTTGGTTTGATGCTGCAGCCATTGAGAAACCAGTCCTTGGATCTTTGATTTACCCGATTCTATCACGCGAATGACTAGTCATGAGAGAAATTACCCCCCTCACATAATTTTGTTAATGCAAAAGGTTCGACCATTAGATTCAACAATTCAATTTGTGACCACTCTGAATTGTACGAAAAATGATTAATGCGAGTATTACACCTGTTACTATGACGAGAATGCAGCGTAACTGCAGCTCTTTAGTAAATGCTTCATCAATTTGCGACGCGCAGATTTCTTACATGTGTACACACTTAAAATCCCGAGCCTTGAGCGTTTTAAGACCATGTTAGTACTACTGGCCCATTTGCGGAACTATACATTTTTACTTGATTTCTGAAATTGCAAAAAACATTTAGTATAGCCTGCGATGGTTTTTGAACAAAGCTATATTTAGGATAGGAGACGTAGAAGCATATAATACCAAGTGGATAAATCGCGAGAAAAAGTGTGACTCAAGGAGTGTCAGTTCATTTTAGCCACAGGTGACAGATTTTCCTCGGTTCCTCTCGGTTATCTAATACTAGAGATCTTTTTAATCTAATTGCATTTGTCCAATTGAAAGTTTCGCTCTTCTATCGTAAACGACTCTGGCTTCCTCCATTACAAGTTGTCCACCCCTACTGAATAATGATGGGCGATGTATGTTTTACGATTTTCAACTTGACTTAGCCAATTCCAACCGTTCGTCAACGTTCTTTCAATACATCAGACAAACAGGCGAAGAAAACAAACTAAATGAGAGTCTGCTACGCATTAAGCAGTTGTTTCCCTTCCAGGCTACCGTCTCATGCTTATTTCAAATTTACTGAAGGATAGAGAATAAATCTCCTCTCCACTACTAGAAATTTCAAAACTACAATTCAGCGAACATTCTTTTTAAAGCGTCAAGTTGTGTGCAAAAGGGGATAGAGATCAAGACAATGCCAGACCCGCTTTCCCACTAATCTCTAATAAATATGTTTTGAAGTACTCGAAACTCACAAGAGTAACGGCGCTTGCTGGAACAGTGCGTGCTAGGTTAGTTATATAGCCAGCATAAAAACCTTTGAAAGAATCTTTCTTGTAGATCCTTACACATTCTTGTAGCATTTTACCCCTCTTCTCGCCCTTACTATTCGACTGCATTTGCATTCTCGTTCGTAGGATCTCATGAGGATATGTGATGGTGCTGGCTATCATCTTAGATACAGAAGATGCGACCAAGAGTCGTCCTAGTCTATAATCATCTGTGTGACGATTGTTGTCAACATGGAGTAGTTTCTTCAACGCTTCATAAACTGGGAAGTGGATTCCAACATGAACTAATCCCAACAAAGAGGGGATTAGACCACTATAGAAAACTCGTATACCTTCATTTCTGTACATTTTACGAAACGCGTCAATGGTTCCCTTGTACACAACGTCTTCTTTTCCAGTTTGTACCATGAGTCTTGTCTTCACAACCCAAATAGGGTTCACAAGACACGAGGAGGATATTCCTGCTGTGATGGATGCGGCAAAGTGGTTTAAAGAATCAATGTTGATTCCAAATGTGCGAGAAAAGTAACCAGGATAAAATGCTTTTGCTCGCTCATAAACTGTAAAATAAATTGCCCAGGTGGGCAAATACCCAATAGTGACAGGCACAACACCTTTATAAAGGCCACGAATTCCTTCTTCCCGAAAGATAGTGGCGAATGTTCCCAAAAATCCCCGATAATGCGATCCAAAACCTTGCGCTTGCAATCTTGTTTTGACAACATCAAGAGGGCACACTACCACACCAGAAAGGAAGCCTGAGGCAGCACCGGCTAATGAAACAAGTTGATTTTCGGACATTTTGGTTATGAAAGCTGGAGGCGTCAACTGACCAAAAAAGCCAATCTTATGCTTGACCGGAAATGCATTTTCTTTCGAGATTCGAAACTCCATTTCTTCTCCATGGATTATATCCGAGAAGTCACTGGACTTTCGCTGGCCCAACTCAGTTTGTGGGGTTTTCGACATAACGACTTAGTAAATATAGACAAATCAGATGCTGAGAATGGAAAAAATGGAATATTTTGGGGCTTGCGTGGCACGCAAGCGAAACGATGAAGCAAAAAAAAAGATGTAAGAAAAAGACAAGAGGAGAGGACCAGCTATATGTGCATGTCTCGTGGAGCAAGATTAGATAAAACGATGTTCTAAGCGTGAAATTGTGGGATCAAGATGCCGAGTGAACGAGAGGTACGGATGTCCGTACTACGATAAGTAGCCAGTCAAAGACGGATGATTGGAGGAATAGAAAAAAAGAGTTGTTGGCATCGCAGGATGAAAACAAAAGTCACAAGGATATACTAGAGTAGTGCCTGAAAGGAAACTAAGTGAATTGACAAGATTGCGTGGAGTACTAGGCAAAGTGTCCCAAGAACGTTTTGATGAAGAAAAAGAACTCCATATGAAAATGTGTTCGAAGCCTAACCATCAGTTACTAAAGATTTGATTCAACATATACAATTGAGCAATGACAAGTTGCAAGAAGCCAACAGCCGAAACACTAAATATGCACTTTGCCGGTCCCGCTTAATATGTTTCTGTCTGCAGGCTTATCGGCTCAAGCGGCTCAGTAGCAATGAAATAAAAAGGAGACCCTTGTCACGCAAGTAGTTAGAACAATTCTAGTTGAATTGGATTAAAAACCGCGGCACTGTTTAGATTGTTCCTGCTGCTCTTTTTCGTTTCTCATCAGAACTTTTGAACTTTTGAACTTCAGTATATTCAATGGCTAAAGATAATCTTGCAGACGCCATTGTGCAACCTGTGGCAGACAAAATATCTGGCATCACCAATGAACCCAAGAAGGGAATTACCTTATTCTCCAAAGAGTACTATGCTGCTTGCACACTTGGTGGTATCATCGCATGCGGACCTACCCATTCTGCTGTCACCCCGCTTGATCTTGTGAAATGTCGGCGTCAAGTGGATTCGCTGCTTTACAAGTCGAATATCCAGGGATGGAAGACCATTATGAAAACGAGCGGGGACTCAATTTTCACAGGTGTGGGTGCCACATTTATTGGATACTCTTTGCAAGGAGCGGGTAAGTATGGGTTCTATGAGTACTTCAAGAAGACGTACGGTGACTTTGTCGGCCCAGAGAACTATGCCAAATACAAGACTGGCGTTTTCCTTGCAGCATCTGCTTCTGCCGAGTTTTTGGCGGACCTTGCCTTGTGTCCTTTAGAGACAATTAAGGTGAAGACGCAAACGACCATTCCTCCATATGCCAAATCAGTTGCCGAAGGCTACTCTAAAATTGTCGCTGCTGAGGGAGTTGCAGGCTTGTACAAGGGATTGGGTCCCCTTTGGGCACGTCAAATCCCTTACACAATGGTGAAGTTTGCCCTGTTCGAGAAAACTGTGGAGCAGATTTATAAGTTCTTGGGGAAACCAGCGCTGGCGTATACTTCATTGCAACAGACTGGAGTGTCATTCTTGGGTGGTTACATTGCAGGTATTTTCTGTGCCGTAGTTTCACATCCAGCTGACGTTATGGTGTCAAAAATCAACTCTGATAAGAAAGCATCGGAGTCCCTTGGCCAAGCATTATCACGTATCTATGGCCAGATCGGATTCAGCGGCATCTGGAATGGATTGCCCGTGCGTATCGTGATGATTGGAACATTGACGGGTTTCCAATGGTTGATCTACGACCTGTTCAAAGTCTACGTGGGATTACCCACCACGGGCGGCCACTAAATATGCTAATACACACTCAACTCCACACATTCTTGAACAAGTCATCGTCGAGAGGCGTCTGCGAGTAGGTTCCAGTCCACTTTGCATCGCCCCATTCATTATTGCCGATGTTTAAACCTGCAAGCGAGTCTGCGACGTTAGAGACCCCGGATGGAGTAGGAGTCTTGGATTGAGACGAAGACAGAATTACTGGCTGGCTCTGACTAAAGCTTCCAGGAAAGTTCAGGCTAGAAACAGAGTTACTAGGCGACAGAAGACTAGATTGGGAAAAACTTGTCTGAGAAATGCTTGTCTGGGTGTGCAAATTTGTTTGAGAGCTCTGGAATATCGGTTGCTGGAAGCCCTTCTGCAGGTGATTCGCCTGTGGTCTGGCCACGTGAGAAGTGGACAGTTGAGGCGACGAGTAAAGCGACAAGATGGACTTTTTCAAATCTTGACGGCCAGCACGTGGCTCAGGCGCAGGCGAGGGCAGTGGAGACGATGTGAACAGCCCAAAATCGTCTAGAAGCAGACTTGCATCAGCATGCGTCTGAGTACTTTGGGTACGAGATGCGCCTTGGGAGATATTGGCCGTGCGAGCAGCCTGAGTCTGAGGATGCGGTTTTAGCATGAGCCTGAGACTTAGTATGAGTCCTGTTATGGGCGTGACTTGAAACGTGATTCTTTGTAGGAGCCAGGGTCTGCGCAACGCTCAGAGTCTGATGTGCTGCGTGACTTTCGGTCACAGTCGGAGCCAGGGCCAGTGGGCTTGTTCCACTGCCAACCAGTACGCGCAGCGGATCTGGCTCACCCGACGCCGCCCACTTTCGCATGTCGTACTTTGTCCGGATGAAATTTTCGATCTTCAGCGCATCAGGAACATATCCCTCTGGCAATTTAGCTTCCCAGTAGGCGTTGCACTTGGCGTTGCCCCAACGCACCATCGACTCGACTTGCTCATCCGTCCACGCGTCTAAATCCACTGATTTCACCCGCGAGATATGTGTGCCCATTGATCTGTGAATACCCGAGCAGCGAATACATATAAAACAGCCCAAGTTCCATGACGCCCAGCGGGGATGGGTGGCAGTCTTGCAGTCGACACAAGTTTTGTTTGGTGCTTCCCGAAGCAACTGCTTGAGAATAAGCTTGTGCTTCTCACTGTGGGTTTTCCTCGACGAAGGAAGGGCACTCATAGTGGAGCTTTAGTATGTGAGGTTTATGATTCTTGATCGAGTTTGGGCGAGCGCGGACGATGGTGTACGGGTGCACCAACCAAACATTGTTGCATCCAACCCATGGTGGCTAACATTTTTTTTTTTACTTTGCCTCTGCTGTGCATGCTCTATTGCAACAGAAGTGGAAGTGCGTAGGCATGCCCCAAGGAAGAATAAAATGTTTTCGGACATTAGGATCGATGCAAACACCCACTGCATAAGCTACGGAATGCATCACCTGCACAGACGAATAATTTTCACGCGTGGAAGCACCTTCGGCCTTTGGTGATGTGCCGAAGATGCTGATCCATGTATATATTCCAGCACACGCCAAGAAATGGGTTGCAAGTATAAAATCTTTCAGAGGTATAGATGGCGGCTATTTGATAAGGGCCCACTGTTAACTTAAACTAATTGCTGTGCCGTATATGAACAAAGACAAGCATGGAATAGGGGTTTCATTGTTCTCGAGACAATGCATGGAGTTTCCGGAATTTGGGGCAGCCGGGTGGCCGATCTAAACCTGCTACAGAAAATAATTAACCTGCAATGTAATGGGGCAAAGGAAAAAACGGCGCCGGCAAAATGTGCCGGCTAGACCGTCATATCTACAGGACAACTTAAGTCTAGAAAAAATACCCCAGGCGGATGCTGCTTGTCAATATGCAAGCTAATTGAGGACGCACAAACATCAATTAATACACACTGCATCAAGGAAATGTCATTTTCTGTGAGGAAGAGAGAGTTTTCATTGGGGTGTTGAATCTTAAGGTGAAACTATGGCCCCCTATTCTATATGGGGCCTCCTGTCCGACCCCTCAACTGTGCGGGAAAACTTGTTGGGGAGATCCTGCAAAAGGAATGTATCATTGTGAGACATTGAGTGTGTGCAGAATGTATTGCGTAGTGCACGCCTCACACCTGTAGGACACCCATCGATTAATTTAAGGCTGTTGACCAGAACCTCCAAGTTCCATAAAGCGCCTTTTTTTTGGCCCTTTATTAACTTTCCACCAGCCTCCACTACCCGAGCATTTATCCAAAGACCTGGCATCGGTGCTCCCAGCCATATATTCCCATTGATCCTGATATATTCTACATAAACATTTCGACATATCATGGCATCCACATCGAAGAGCCCGTCGATTTATAGCCTTAGCCAAGTCAGCAAACATGCCACGCCCACAGACCTCTGGGTCATCATATACAATAACGTGTATGACATTTCGGACTTTGTCAAAGACCATCCAGGCGGAGCTGAAGTGCTCTTTGATTGCGGTGGAGTCGATGCGACGGAAGCATTTGAAGATGTCGGCCACTCACAAGATGCCGTTGATATGCTTGTGCCCTATTACGTCGGGAAACTAGCGCCAAATGAGTGCAAGGTGTACCGACAACAGGAAGAGAAGATTGCTACGACGAAAATAAAAGCGGCGCCAAGGCTGCGCAAGAAGCCTGATCCAGCAGGATACCGTGCCTTAGCTGTTGTGTGGATGACTTTGATTCTGATGACAGTATTGGTCGTCCTCGGCTTGCAGAAGATGCACTGGATCAATATCACCAGCAAGTAGTATACTACCGCAGCTTTACCCGACCGCAACACATCTTCCCCTCTGCACCATCACACATTTGCATATACGGACTTTGAAACATCTCTACACACTGTCCATGAACTTTTACACAAGTTACTTGGCCCACTAGTCTTTGGTGGTATTTCCACCCTCACGGACATAACAGCGCCACAGGACTGCTATGCAGTCCGCCCGTATTTATTGTCTAGTATAACTAGCCCCCCCTTTTTGGATATCAGATCGCCCGTAGAAGCTCCGAAACACTTTGTATCTAATACGAGTTGCCTGTCTAAGCCAGTCATGTATGCACCATTATCGCAATGGGCCGTGCGCTTGCGAGAGCATGAGCTTACAAATGCCTGCATGTCTTTGCCCATACTGCCGCACGCTACTTTTCCATAGAAGCATATGTCTCAAGGACAATAATCATTGCACCACAACGGAAAACAACACCACAACAAAGTCTCAAGTTGACACAACTGCAACCTTAAGGAAGACCGAATCAGATTAACGCTCCCTAACCTCTCTAGAAGAAGTGTCACCATCCTCTCGTCTCAACCTAACATAACATACCCCCCTCCCCCATCCAAGCGTCCACATACATCTGTTTTGTCCGAAAACATAAAAGTGCCATGTCCTTCAGCGAAAAGAAACACTGGCAGAAGCCCGATATTCCGCAGCACCCGCGTGCCCACGATGCTTTCGACCTCAACGAACAAAATGTCTTCTTGCTTGACCAGCAGGACTTTTCACCACTACACAACCCAGGCCAGCCAGTTAACAACATGATGTTCGCTAGGCCCTCTAACGCGGCTTATATTGCGGCCGACAATGTTCCTCAAGCAAATCCTCTTTATAGTAACAGCTCGTGGAGCGACGATATGTCTTTACATCCCATGCCGGGTGCCATTAACATGGGGTCCATCAGTTCAGTGTCTTCGCCTCTGGTTGGCCCACCTGTTGTCCAGTCCTCGCCTGAAAACATCCCAAAGCGACGTGTACGCGGGAAACCGTTTCTAAGCGAACAGGAAGCACGTTTGATGGAGACTGACGATCTGCAACTTACTGAAATCGAGTTGGGAATCAAGAAAAAAGCGCAGAATCGCTTAGCCCAGAGGGCTTTCCGCGAGCGTAAGGAGACTAAGCTCAAAGAGCTTGAAACAAAACTCCTTGAGAGCGAAGAGGAACGCGATAAACTCCGCGAGCAGCTTGAGGCAATTCGACTGCGGCATGCAGTGTTAAGCACAGAAAACAGCGTCTTGCGTAGTGGGGCAGAGGCTTTATGCCCACCTCAAGAGGGGAACACAGTCCACAAGTTCACATTTCCAAAAACACAAGAACAGTTTATTCAGGATATGATGCAGGGAAACAACACACACCAGGTCAAGGCTGAAACAGTCAACAGTGTTTATGAGGAACCTCGCAACCTGGGTCGCAAGCTATTAGCAATAGGCGCTGTGTGGGACTATCTTCAGATCAAGCAGGAAGAGGAAGCGTACGAGAATGTCGATATGATGGAGGTAACCATGCTTTTGCGTGGAAAAGAAAAATGTCACGGTTACGGACCAGCTTATCCTTTAGAAGAGGTAGAAGATGCCCTCCGCAAAGTCGCTGCGCGTGAACATCACCAGTCGTACTTTTGAAGTTGTTGCCTCTTGAAAAATGGAACGAGAAAATACCTCGGCTTTTGAAACCATCATGTCTTGAACACTCCAGGCGGTCATCATACCAACTTGCTCTCTGAATTTTGGGTATGTTGGAATTATTATTAACATCTCTGCCAGTTAATATGAATATGTGAGTTTCCACTGTTGCACATCCACTGTGGATTCTGCACTGAATTTGCCTTTGAACTCTCGTTTTTGATGATCATGTGCAATTGCTGTCGAACTATCTGGCAAACAGGTTGCATGCTAGTGAGATATAAGTGCCGTATCAGTGATGCAATTGACTTGGTATTGATAAATAATGGTTACGTACCAGTACGTTTCTTATCATATTTATAAGCTATTGTGGCATGAAGACCGTTGATGGTTAGCGAAGATGAAAGCAATACAGTGATCCATTCTTGATGCATACAAGCGGAACATAGAGTATCGTGTTCTGGTTGATAAAAGATGCGAATTCCAATCAAGAATGGCCTGTGACTTGCATCTATGTGTATCCTACGTTTGAGTCGTACTTTGGATATCGACTCTGTGATTTAACTATCCGGTTCTCATGCTAACCACTTGCAGATATGGCAGACCTCTCCCTTGAAATTAACATATCGAATACCCCACTTCTTAAGCGGCTATGCTGGTATTACAGATCATGTAATTGGACTCAATGGTTTTCTTTGTATGGAATTCTGATCGGCAGGGCGTAAGTATTTCCCTTCTCAAATAAGAAGTGGGAAAATGAATTTTACTACTGCCGTACCCTTCTACAAGAAAACATTACGCATCGAATATTTTGGTCTACTTAAGCCTCGCCAGCCATTCATTCTTCTCAATTTTAGATAGATTTACTTTTGTATTTTAGTTCCAAGGTCAGACATTGCAATATTCTAAACTAGTGCGCGGCGCACTATCCTCGAACTTTCTAGAAGATTGTGTACACGCTGATATAAATCTCATAGATCGACGAAAAGATTGTGATACTCCAACATCGAACTAATGTCTGCCGAAGAATACAAAGCTCAGGGAAATAAGCACTTCGCTGCAAAGGAATTCGATCAAGCAATCGAACAATTTACCAAAGCAATCGAAGCGTCGTCGTCTCCAAACCACGTTCTCTACTCCAATAGATCCGCTTGTTACGCCTCTTTGAAAAACTTCACAAAGGCTTTAGAGGACGCAGAAAAATGTGTGGAAATCAATAACTCGTGGGCTAAAGGCTACAACCGTGTTGGAGCTGCCCAATACGGTTTGGGAAACTTCGAAGATGCCAAAAAGGCATACTCCACTGCTTTGGAATTGGATGCTTCCAACGCCATGGCCCAGAGCGGCTTGAAAGCTGTAGAGGACGCTGAAAACGCCAGAAACGCCCAGCCTGATTTAGGTTTGGGTAAAATGTTCAGCGACCCTAACTTGATTACCAACTTGAAGAACAATCCAAAAACTGCGGAGTTGATGAAGGATCCTAACTTGGTGGCTAAATTGTTACAAATCCAGGCCAACCCACAAGCAGGTATGTCTACCATGTTAAGTGACCCAAGAATGATGACAATCATGGCCGCTTTAATGGGTATTGACTTTGACATGCCCACTGACGAAAAGACTCAAGAGAGTTCCGCTGATTCCTCAAAACCACAACCTAAGGCTGAACCTAAATCAGAAACTAAGCCCGAACCAAAGGCTGAACAAAAGGAAGAGGCTAAGGATACAGAGGACGTTGAAATGGAAGACTCTTCTAAGGTTGAGGCCGAAGCAGCAAAAGCTCAAGGTAACACATTGTACAAGCAAAGAAAGTTCGACGAGGCAATTGAGCAATACAATAAGGCATGGGAACTTCACAAGGATATAACATTTTTGAACAACAGAGCTGCTGCCGAATTTGAAAAGGGCGATTATGACGCTGCTATCGCTACTTGTGAGTTGGCTGTGGAAGAAGGCAGAAGCTTAAGAGCTGATTATAAACTCATTGCAAAGTCATTCGCCAGATTGGGTAACTGTTTCTTGAAGAAGGATGACCTCGAACTGGCTGCTAAGTACTTTGATAAATCTTTGACTGAGCACAGAACCCCAGACGTTTTGGCTAAGTTGAGATCGACCCAAAAAGAGATCAAAGTGAGAGAAGCTGCTCTGTACATTGACCCAGAGAAGGCCGAGGAAGCTAGATTGTTGGGTAAAGAATATTTCACGAAGGGAGACTGGCCAAACGCCGTTAAGGCATACACCGAAATGGTCAAGAGAGCTCCAGATGACGCTAGAGGCTACTCCAACAGAGCCGCTGCTTTGGCTAAGCTAATGTCATTCCCAGATGCTGTGGAAGACTGCAATAAGGCTATTGCTAAGGACCCAACTTTCATCAGAGCTTACATTAGGAAAGCCAATGCTCAGTTGGCAATGAAGGAGTACTCGCACGTTATTGAAACATTGACAGAGGCCCGTGAGAAGGACCAGGAATTGAATGGAGGAAAGAACGTCGCTGAGATTGATCAGTTGTACAACAAGGCTGCTTCTCAACGTTTTTCTGCCATTGAAGGTGAAACACCAGAGCAAACTATGGAGAGAGTTTCAAGAGATCCAGAGATCGTTTCTATTTTGCAAGATCCAGTCATGCAAGGTATCTTGGGCCAGGCTAGAGAGAATCCAGCAGCTTTACAAGACCACATGAGAAACCCTGCCGTGAGCAAGAAAATTAATACCTTGATTGCTGCAGGTGTCATTCGTACCCGTTAAGAATGCTAAAATGGCATATAATGTCCAATAAACGTGAGCATAATGTTAAATTTAATTGTATGCATATGAGAAACTATAAACCATTATCAAAGAAGAAGTTAGGCATATTCGTCATTTCTCGAGCCCAGTAGCCCATGTAATTTAACTCTTCCTCTCCCGGCATTTCATTCCTCTTATCATTAAATTCTGGTTCCATGATATTTGCCACGGAGGGGCTCACCCGCGGGTTATCATAATCGTTTCGATATTGATCTGTATTCAATTTTGGTGGGGATAATCCGTTTACGTTGCTCTTCACGAAGAAGTTGTTGAGAGGGGCTTGGCAAAATATCTGCGTCATGTTCGTCAGACCATTAACTTTCTTGAAAATGTGGGGGTATTCTGTTTCAACATGCTCGAGGTGTACTTTCAAGACTGCATTTGTTTCCAATACATTCATGTTATTTTGCTTTTCGACAACTTTTATCACAATCCTTAAGATGACTCGAACCAAGAGATCCATGAGTTGAAAACGCATGTAATGTAATCTTGTCACTTCATCACGAGCAATGCTGCCAAAGTACCCAAAGAAATTCAAAGAAACATCAATTAGTAAGCTCAAATCTTTAATCGTTTCCTTATCATTAGTGTGGTTCATACAGTTAGCACATAAGTTCATGGCCGCCAGGAAAGGGAAAATCAATATCCAATTCAAAGTCAAGAACGGCCAAGTTTTTCTGTCAATAATCCTAACCAAGTGCAAAATAGTTCGGGCACTGTCTAATGATAAACGACGGAAATCAGGTTTCTCATAAGATGAATTGATCGTTTCTTCCACAATAACTTGCCACGGTACTCTATTAATGGTCATGAGATGGCTAAAGTACGTCATACTCAAGACCATAGCACTGACATTTTTAAAAACTAACCCGCTGCTTATTTTTTGGAGCATGTCATCAAATCCTGGTTCGTTAAAAAACTTTGGCCTGACACTTTCATCAATCGAATTCAAAAATTCAAACAGCTTAGTGTTGAGAAAGTCCACAATTTCCTGGATATCTCTCACGCTTTCAAATGCCAATGATCTGTTGAATAGCTTATAAAATGCCATGAGTCGTAGCTGTGCTAGACGACGGAAAACTTTAAAGATCATAATCTCGTCTTCTAGGGGACAACCGATACAGGAGGCATTGAGTTGTTGGGAAAGCTGGCCCTGAAAGAGCATATCGTAACGAGATTCGATTCGTTCAATCACAGAATCGTCTTCCAAAGTCAACAACGGCGGTTTGCCTAATCTATAACATGTTTCGACATCCATATACTGGCATACAGCCAAAAGCTTGAGCCTTGCTAATTGTTCAGGCTCCAGCAAATGAGCAGATGTTTCAAACCTGTGTAACCCAATGTCTTGCGCATATCGAATGGCTAGAGACACTAAAGTAAAGTTAACGTCAGAGAACACCCATGACGTTTCCAAATAAATAGACATTATAAGAAGAGCTTGGATAGATGGGAAACCCTCACTTATTGCACTTATTCTGTGATAATAATAAACAGAATTCATGAACATCTCCTCCTGGAGGCTCACTAATTGTGAAGTGCTGAGAAGGCTCAACGAAGGACAATCACCACACATCGACGCAGCCATAACCTCTCTATCTGTTGCTAAAGACAAACAAGTAGCCAAAATCAAGCTCATTAGCATTAGCTCAGAGTATGAAGTATTCAATTTTTGTGCAGAATCTTTAGAAGCATAGTAACTGTTGAAAAGGTTTATGGCAGTGCTAGAATCACAGATCAAGTTGGCCACATGAACATGTTTGTAAAAACGTAGAAGTTCAAAAACGAGTTCTTTATTCTCTGGGAAGACCCCCTGTCTGAGTTTAGCAATATCACCAGAAGCGCATACTTGAGGCTCGGACCACACGCTTTGAAAAGCATTCTGCCACGCATCAAAATAGTACGGGAATGTCAGAAGGGGAACAGTAATGTCATAGTCTTCCAGCAGAAGTTTCGATCGGATATACTCTGTGCTCTTCTCGCTGAAGATGGTGAAACCAAAATGGGAACCTTTGTAATGAGTCATAATCCGAGCCGGACTGGACTTCATGGAATGATCTAAAGACTCATTTATGATCGACTTGCACTGCTGAAAGAATTGCGTGCCCGGCTTTTCGTTTTGAAATGAGGTGCTTCTTGATTGATAGTGTTGTGTATCACTGTAAGGTGACGTTTTTGTCGAGTCAGGCGAACCTGCTTGGGGCGCAGGCAGGGAACTGCTGTAATATACACCCGGTGCATCGATCTTGGTTGCTATCTTCAAAACCAACTCTTCTAAGCGAGAGAGCCGGTCAGATATGCTTTCGACTTTCTTGACGCGGGACTTCCGCTCCTTAGATCCTTTGTAGACACATTCGGAGCCGGAGTTTCTGCAATTTGCACATTCTGGCTGGCCATCGCAGCGGATTTTCTTTCTGCTGCATTGAGCACAAGCTTTAGCCACCCGCAGACGGGTTGGGGCCTTCAGTACTTCGGACAGTATGTCGGAACCTAGTGCAAGATCGAAATAAATTCAGCTACAAGACCCCTTCCGAGAGTTGTACCGATGTTTTTGATGCACAATCTGCAGAGAGAATCTAGTAAAAATAGCAAAAGGCTGGAAACAATTAGGGATATGGATCGTTAAATAAGCATTAGTATAAATACGACTGTTAAGTCTAGTCTTCGCGCACATTTGGGATAGGCACACATAATGATACAATGGGGTCTAAAGTATGCACTCATGTGTCAAAGAAAAAATGAGGAAGTTGATTTAGCTGTGAGTTGATGAGCGAGTCAATCTCGTCAAACTGGCCTCCGAAATTCTCTTCGTCATTATTGAGGTGCATCACATTGGCCAATTGTTCATCAGCAAGAATTAATCCAGGATCTTGGTTGTGTTGAGAACTACCCAGCGAAATCACCTGGCCATTGTTGGTGTCACATGACATCATGCATTGGGATGCTGGTGAAGGGGTGTTTTCTATCACTTTTGAGTCAGAAGAAAACGGCGATTTCGCATTGAAGAATATGGCAGATTTTGCGTTCTTTTTGAGGCTGTCAGAATCGCTGTAAAGCTCGGGGAACGTTTTCTGTGTAGGAAACAAAATGTCACGGAGACTGGAGTCTTCTTCAATGATGGAAATGCCCAATTTCTTCTCAAGAATTGTAATGGTCACCTTCAAAATCGTCTTGATGAGAATCAGGAACAACGAGCTTACTCTTCCAAGATCAAAAGGTCCCACCTTTTTACTCAGTGTACGGTGGTTGAAAAATTTGACCGTGACATCAATTAAAAGGCGTAAGTCCGAAATTGCCTCCGCTGAATGTGGTGAGTTCATGCATGTCGCCAGTAGATGAAGAATAGCAGTAACAGGGAAAAAGATGGCCCATGAACTGTACGAACCTTGAAAGGACTCTTTTTCTAAGCCCATAATAATATGAAGAATTGTCCGGGCGCTATTGAGAGAAAGGTTTCTATAACCTAATTTAAACTCTTCGGGCACCTCGGGAAAAGAACAGATTAATGGTAGACGGTTTATCAACATCATATGTGTAAAATATGTGAGCACACATGTGAGGTTTATCTCGTCTGCTTGTGACAGGACTTCCTTCATTGGTTTGAAGTTTGGATCGTTGAAAAAGACTGGGCGAATGTTCTCCGGGAGATTCATCGCAATTCCAGCCATTTCCAGGTTCAACACATCCAAGTTTTCTTGAAGCTCTGCAAACGTACCCAACCGCGCAGTTGCAGAGAAAAGCCTTATGTAACTCTTGAAGCGGCACTCAAATATCGCTAGAAAATATTGCGAAGTAGCAAACAGCATGGGATGAGCTTCACCAAGAAAATTGTGGCAACCTTGAAGTTCACGACTGATGTCATTGTAATTGACAATAGGCACTTTTCCCGTTCTGTAGCATAATTCCATGTCCATATACCGACATAACGACCATAAGTGCCGCCTTTCAAGAGCTGCTTTTTCAGAAAGATGGGCATAGGATTCAATTCGATGAAAGCCAAGACCACAAGCAACCTTAATTGCCAGAGTAAGAATCAGATAACTAACTTCAGCCACAACACAATCTTTGTCAACGTAGTACACTAACATTAGCAAAGCCTCCACAGACTCCTGTCCTTCACCAACTATACTGATTCGATGGTAATACGCCACCAAATTAGCCAATAATTCGTTTTGTAGGTCCCAAAACTCGTCTTCGGTGAAGTAAGACCCAGCTGGCGGAGTAGGGGCATTAGACTTACCGGCTGCCTCTGCATGGGACGCAATAGCCATAAGAAACGCCACAGTCATTCTCATTAACGTCGAAACTCGAAACACAGGCTTAGAAGATGACTTTCGAGTATAATAAGCATGAAATAAGCTTAAAATCGACTCCGGTTTCATGTTATCGGTGAGACATAACGGCCGATAGTGAGTCTCCAAGAGCAGAAACACCGCTGTCTGGTTCTTTGGAAAAGGGTTCACCAATATACGAGTCTTAGCCTGAGCATCCATTGGAGTTGGATCAAGCCAATGCAACAAGAAGTTACGAGTCTTTTTCTGGAAGAGAATAGGCATGTTGCGGAGTGGGAGCAAAATGTCACTGCTTTCAGGTCCGAGATGGCTTTCCATCCACGCAAGACTAGATGGAGAGAAAATGCCCACCAAAGAATGTGCCCCAAAATAAAGTTCAGTCGGTTTGAGAGCTACATTGTCTTCTCGTGGCAATTCCTCTTTGATCTCCATCGAATCATCAGATTCATCCGAAGATGAGCAAGTCAGTCCATCTTCTGGCGCGACATGGTCGTCAGAGAGACCAGTTCGCTTATTTAGCGCCAGAACTGCCGCTTCGAGTCGATGCACTCTCTCACTGAGATACTCGAGTAATTTCTTCTGGTGCCTGGCGGAACCGCCGGTTTTGCCCGTCTTCGGCTGCCGCTGCTCATAGACGCACGGAGCCTCATCTGTTAAGATACAATTGCGGCATCGAGGTTGGCCATCACAGCGGATTTTTTTCCGACGACAAGCGTTGCAGGCGACACGAGTTCTTTTGCGAGTCTCGCTTTTCATTGTTCACGGAATGCGTAATTTGGCGATATGAAAAATGAAACGCAGTCGCAAATGTTCGGACCCCAACGTTGCAAGCAAGTCAAGAGACGGTTGAAAACCTGATGAATTCGCAGACTGTTTGTAAGATATGACGCAAACTTGTGGATATATAGGTCTTCCGTGATGCATGGCATGTCGCATAACGCCCTGCATGGGGATGCAGGGTTTGGAGTCTGGCTCCATCATGCGCCGAAGCGTAAAATCGGCCTTGACGCAGCCTTTGGCTTCCCCATGAATTGAGCGATGAACGTCACCTAAGATATTGTCTCAGCAGCAAATAACGTCAGCATGCGCGGGATTCTCGGAAGGCTTGAGCGCAGAGAAGAATGGTGTTTAATGATGCAGCACCAAATCCTAGTGTATTGTCAACCGTTCACATGACGGAAGTCGCACATTTATCGCTTAATGAATAGCCCTTTTAGGTATTCATCTCCAGTATAGAAAATTGTTTCTGATTTCGAGATGTGGGGAACATTTGTAGGTGGGACACTCTGCTTCGGATTTGGTACGGGGCAGAGTATAGAACGGAGCAAACTTCAATGCATTACATGATACGGCGGAGATAGATTATGACATGCTGGCGAGGAAAAGCTGTGCAGGACGATGACTTGGGTCCTGATCTTGAGCGTTGGATGCAAAATAACCGCAGATGGCCGCTGGCCCTATTGTTAACGGAGTAGAAGTTGCTCTCTGTACCTTTAGGAATGACTTTTCATGCTACTAGTTTGCTTGCGTTGCGCCATTGTCACAAATCATTCACTGACAAAAGGTGCGAACATTGGCTCTTTTTCGGCTTTTCGGGCAAATGTACTTGCCGCTGAATAATTGACGATGTTATGGATGAGGAGATAAGCAGTTACGTAGACGGAGATAGTATATGCCGTTGAAGCATGTGGAGTGCATAGATGGCCCAACGCCGTCCGCTATCGGCCGTCGGCCATTAGTCTCGGGACGGGAACATTTTTATTACCCGGGACGGGAACCAAGCTTCCGACAAAAGAAAACAAGTTGCTAGTGACTATGTCAGTGTTTCACTCGAATGTAAGGCTATACGAAGCTTCTTTCACATTACTAATCTGGGCAAAACATGTTGCTTTTTCAAGATGATCCAACAAAGTGTATGTTGAGAGGGCATATAACGCGAAAAAGTATACGAATGTCAATGTATGATAGCATGACCAAGTGACTCCATTGTTGAGGACATAGCCTCTAATGAACAAACGATACCATTTAACGATATATACCGTTTTTGCTCGCTTTTCTCCACACGGCCATTTTATTTGCGTCTAGTGCGCTTCGTCGCGTGGAAAACATGGCGAGACTGCACAATCATCAACGTGGAAAAGTTTGACTCTCTATTGTACTACTGACCATGGCAAGTAGAAATCCCATTTTCGCCAACAAAGAAGATGCAAACGCTCGCGAGGCTATTAAGCTCTATGAGAATAAGCAGTACAAAAAGGCTTTGAAATTGATTGACCAGAACTTGAAGAAAAACTCGTCGCACGCCGAATCTTTGGCTTTAAAAGGCTGTTGCAATTACCAAACTGGCCACAAAGCTGATGCTGAATCCTATGTTCTCAAAGCACTTGCTAAAGCGCCAGGAAATTACTTGGTTAACCACTTGGCTGGTATCTACTACCGTAATGTTGATAACTACCAAGAGGCAGCAAAATGGTTCAAAGCTGCTGTGGACAATGGTCTGAAAAACACCCCCATCTATAGAGATTTGGCGTTGATGCAATCACAAACCCGTGATTATAAAAACTTGCGTGAATCGAGACAAAAGTTTTTGGAGAGCCAGCCCGGTTACCGTGCCAACTGGACTGCTGTGGCCATTGCCCACCATCTTAACGAAGATTACGATGCTGCTGTGTCGACGTTGGATAAGATCGAGGGAATCATCAAAGAACACATTCAAGAGCAAGATAGGTACGAGCACAGCGAGTGCTTGCTTTACAAGAATTCCATTATTGCTGAATCTGGCGACTTTGCTCGTGCCTTGAAGGATCTTGAGGAAAACTCAGATGAGATCAGAGATCGCACAGACTTCTTGTCTTACAAGGCCAAATATTTGGTTGCATTGGGCAAGCGTAAGGAGGCTTCTCTTGTTTACCGTCAATTGTTGCAGAGAAATCCCGACAATGCTTCGTACTACAATATGCTCGAATTAGCTTTAGAGACTCCAGCGCAATCCTTTGATCTTCGTTTGAAGTTGTACGATAAGTTGGCCCTGTTTTATCCTCGTGCTGATCCTCCTCAATTTCTTCCGTTGAGCTTCTTGCCAGCTTCTCATCCCGAGTTCCGCAAGCGTGTTTCCAACTACATCTTGTCTCAGTTAAAGAGAGGAGTGCCAGCTACATTTGTCAATGTGAAGCCTTTGTACAAGAACAGTCAAAAGCGCGAGATCATCGCATCTGTTGTTCAAGAATTTTTCGAAAACGATGTTCCTCTGTTAGAACCTACTGTCTTTGTATGGACTTGTTACTTCTTGGCACAGCATTTCTTGCATGTGGGCGACATTGCATCTGCAGCTTCTCTCATCGATCAGGCGTTGGAGCACACGCCTGTATTGGTTGAGTTGTACATTCTCAAAGCAAGAATCACTAAGCACCAAGGCAAAATCGTTGAAGCGAGTGACATCATGCAAGCTGGCCGTGCTTTAGATTTACAAGATCGTTTCATCAACTCAAAAACAGCGAAATACCTCTTCCGTGCAAATAAGGTGGATGAAGCCATTGATTGTATTTCTCTCTTCACGAAATTGGAAGAAGGTGCTGTTAATGGACTTAAAGATTTGCATCAAATGCAAGCCAATTGGGCGTTAGTCGAAAGTGGTGAAGCGTATGCCAGACTCTATAAAGAGGAATTGGCGAAATTACAAGAATTATCTCCTGATGCGGCGAACTACTCCGAAGTAGCTGATACTTGTGATATCTACCGTGGTTTGGCCTTAAAACGTTTCTTGGCAATCTTAAAAATCTTCAAAAAATACCGTTCTGACGAGTTCGACTTCCATTCCTACTGTATGAGAAGAGGTACTCCACGGGACTACGTTGAGACTTTGCAATGGGAAGATCGTCTTCACTCTACACCTATTTACATTCGTGCCGTGAAGGGCTTGACATCCCTTTACTGGGAGGTCTGGGAAGCTCAGCAAATCCAGAATGAAAAGGAGGACCCTAAGGACAAGAAGAAATCTAAGAACAAGAAGGCAAAACCTCTCAACATTAAGAAGAAGTCGGAACTTATTGCCAAGGTTGAGTCCGTGAAGAATGATCCTGATCCTTTGGGCTCAAAAGCTCTTTCAGACTTGAAGGAGAACCCCAATATTTTGGCGGAGTTGGAAGTTTTTTCAAAGCAATTATGCTCCGAGGCTAAGAACTACCGTTTCTCGTGGGAACTTTCCTATAAGTTGTACAAAGCCGAAGCGAAGTATGTTTTGGCTTTACAAGCACTTAGATCTTGGGTCAGTATTGTTGACCCAAAGCACAAAAAGTTGAGAGTTGTTGCGGACAAGGTATTGGACTTGAAACATACATTGGAAAACGATAAACAAGCAAACCCTGCAATTGTCAAAGTGGTGGAAAAGGGGTTGCAGAATGCTTTTCCTGATTTGGAGAAGGGTGAGAGCCAACTACTCGAAGTCTACTGTCATTAAGGGAACAACATGTTCGTTTAATCATAGAAATAATGATAGATAGTATGTGAAACTTGAGGCTTTGATAGTACATACTGAATATTAAGACTGCTAGTATTTGTGATACTACTGGACATTGATAAATCTTCAATCATCATGAGTTTACCCAAGACTCAACCTGGGATCTCGCCACGCTAGATGCCAAATTCAATGTCTGCTGGCCCATGGGAAAATAGCTAACAGTATACCAAATCGCGCTCAAAAGCTGAATCACAGCAAATATAATAGAGAGCAATGCCGATCTTAGTGAAAGACTAGATATCAAGGTCATGATGATGCTAGTCACAAACACAATTGTAAAAATAATTCGCGTAGAAGAGAACAAGTGCACCATATATGGCTTGAAACCTTGAAGAACTCCGAAGCTAACCAAGAAGAAGATGGACCCTAAAGACCAAAGAAGAGCAAACTTGCTAGGTTTCAATGTCAAAACAGGGAACAAGAAAATGCAGATCAAGTAACAACAAGCACTTCCAGCAAAGGTCAACCCGAAAATTAACATCCGATCCCACCGGGACAATTCAAAGTAGCCCGGTTCGGGTGTAACGTAGTTCTCATCATCTTCCAAATAGATATTGTTGGTTTTGAATGGATTGAGTTTCAGAAGCTTCGATCTGAAACCCTGCGAGTTCGAGTTCTGAGTAACCGGTTGGGGTAGAGATTGACCATCATTTTGGGAAATTGGCGTGTAATTATTTCGAAACGACTTGAAGAAACTCATGGGTATTTAGTTCGGACTTACCTATCACTAGATTAGTAGACACAGCCTGGAAATGCACGTGACTTTAGACACCAGAAGCACAGTCCATGTTTACAATGTTTTTCCTTACAGTAATCTAAGTGAAGTAAGAACTGAAAGTTTGTCCCCTGCCTTAGGAAATGCCTCCATTGCTGTCTTCTTTGCTGAGTTTCGTTGCTATCGCAAGAGAGGGAGAATATCTTAACTTCTTTAATAGTATCTGATCGCGAAAACACAAATTGTGAAATACTACCCAACTACTTCTCATGTCAGTTGTCACCCCAAAGTCTTTCTTCAGCACATATGCTCAGCTTATATCTCTATCTTCTGATGTTTCCCAGGAGTCATTCTATGGTACAGAAGATTATGCTAAGTTAGAGTCCTTAGGTCCTTCTTTGCCCAAACTCGCATTTCCTCTTCCACAAGCAAAAGATGGTACCGAAGAGAAGATGGAAACTGTTCCTGTTGCCATAAAATCGATCAAGCCTCCAATCAAGTTTGCTGTTTCGCTAAATGGAGTCACTCCCTCACAATCGATTTACAAGATCAAGACACAATTGGTTGAAGACGTCCCAGACTTGAAGAACGCTGGCGTTTCTCCAGCAAATATTAAATTAATGATCAAAGGGAAAGTGTTAACTGACTCTACACTCATTTCTGCCGTGTCTGCAAATCATGAAGAGCTTTCAATGATTGCCATGGTATCTGCGCCTTCCAAATCGGGTGAGAAACAGGAAGAACAACCAGTAGCTGCCGAAACTCCTTCTCGTGAGGTACGCTCTGCAACCTGGAGCAAGATTTATGATTTGTTAGTTGGGGATCTCGGAGAAGATCTTGCCGAATCGACATTGAAAAGATTTAAAGCTACTACACATAATTAGTATGTAGTGAATTATCGTGTAATAAGAAAAACTTTATGCAAATTTATGTAGAGCTCGTCTTCATGCTTGAATGATATCTATGAGTATTAAACTCAAGATGGATGGCCAACCAACGCTCTTCCTCTTAGGACCGGCCATATTTTTTCAAGAGTAGATCTTTCAACTTGTGGCCCTCTTCCCTTCCAACACGCCTTTCATGCAAAAAATAGGCTGCCGTACCAATACTTATCGCTATGACGGGGTCAGCAAACCGCGATATAAGATACTTGTACTCCATGGTGATATTATTCAGGTTACGTGAAGTTGAGATTCAAATTGCGCACATGCTCTATTGTGCAATACCCTATGTAACAAATGCTTTGTGTCCCTTCTGAGACCAGCTATCATTTTAGTTTTTTCGAGAACTTCTTCTTCATTCGGTTGCTGATGTGTCTATTCCACGCTATTCCGCCCATGATAGATTTGTTGAAGCCGTAAATATCGTGAATTTCCTCCTCCAAATCAACAGAATGCGCTAACGCTTGCCTTTCTTCCTCTGTCATTTCTGGTCCCACGACACTCTGTTGTCGAGCCTTAATCTTGTCTCGCTGTTGGGAAACAAACTCGCGGCACTTGTTTATTTCATCCTGTGACACAAAGCCATATCCGTAGCCTCCAATTTTCTTGAAGCAACTATCAATGATGAGATTAGGATCGGTAATGCTTTTTGGGAAACTTTGCATGAATTGAAAAAGTTCAATCTGATCACTCTCGGAGCCTTCGTTGTTGGATTTGCTTGCCTTCCTCGTAAGAAATTTTGGGTGGTCCATGCATAAGCGGCAAATGGTTAAAGAAACTCTGAATATAGTTTTAGACCCCTCATACCATATGATATCCCATACACGTAGGACACTTTCTATCGGCAAAACTCCAACAAAAACTGACATGAACCACGATGATGTCACCAAGGTAACAGGTGGAAGTCGAGTCAATATTTTATCATCAGGCAAAACCGTACCATCGTAGCTTTTCCCGATAATTGCCCATAGTTTGGGAATGTATTCTCTTATGCACATCATAAGAACACCTTGATCAGTGTGAACGCCTTCTAAGTTTGCCGCGTGCACTTTAGGTATAATGCGTTCTATCATAATCACGAGCATCCAGAAGGCCCTCTCCTCATTCATGAAAAGAAGCAAGAGCCCTGCTAGAAAATTGAGAGATTGGCAGTAGCCTATATGAGGTTGGTAGTGCGCTATAGCCACCAAAACACGACGCAATGCCAGTATAGCAGGTGTTTCCGGCTGCGTCGTGGCATCTTCATCCAGTAAGACAGACGGATTAAAGTGCACATTGTCTGGAAATGTTCTGTTCAAATCTCGCTCGATTACTTCTGTATCTTTATTCTGTATGCCTTTAGTAGCGGCCACAAGCTCATCGTAAAGTCCTGTGTTCTGGTTGAGCTTTTCGTGGCCACCAGCATAGAAAAACCAAGCGTTCCCTCGCCATTCGGGTGGAATCCCTTTACGTATCATTTTCTTTACTTTGTCCGACTTGGGTGGGAATCTGGAAGGTGGTGCAGAGTTTTTATTGGCAGACAAGCCATTGTGTTTCATTAGCATGATCCATTTTTTCTTTTGATGGAGTAAGTGTGGCTGATACTCGGAAAACCATTCGTTGTAAGAATCTTCCGTAGCGTCAAACAACAGGCTTTGTTTGCGAAATCCATACATATCAACTTTGCTTTTGAGAACAGCACGTAAGTTATCTTCCGTAGTAGGTGAGATCTGGGGAGGAACCCAGTGGGTGCCTGTATGCGTAATGACTGGAGAAGCGAATGAACTATTTTGGTTTGCGGACTCAGTGTCGCTCTTCAACAATGCTATTTTGTGATTTGAGGATGCAAATGATGATGATCCAACGGCAGAAGTATCTCCATCGGGGACTGGGTCTGTTGAGGAATCTGGTTCATGCAAAGGATCACTACGTAACGACGAACGGAGTCCCGTGTCTTGTAGCCTCAAACTTTGAAGGCTGGAAGATTCAAGAGCATTTTCAAAACTCGTTGATCTTTCCAATTCAGCTCCAGTTCCTCTTATCACGCTCGGTGTATCAGCATCGTAGTAATCGAGAATGGAGTAATTTTGAGAATAAGCAGACTCGTTCCGCTGGTGGCCCTTTGGCGTGGCTAAAAATTCTGTCTTGGATGACAGATCTGGAGCGTTTGCCATATGTGAAAGTAGTTAAGGTCACTTTGGTAACCTTTGAAAAATGGGGTACTTGGTACGTCAAACTCAACTTGCGCTTCCTGTGTAAACGAGTCAAGAACATTGTTCTCGTCTGTACATTCATCAACAAAACAGTCCCTTTCGGGCAAAATCCGAACCTTCAACAACAGAGAACAGTTCTTTAATGTGATAAGTGCCATGATAAATATTTGGGAACCACGGCTAGATTTTTTAGCTGAAGGAGCCTGGCAAAAATCGTTTATAGACCACTTCATACCGAAGATTGTGTAGGGTTGTAAACAAATCTAGTTGAGAAAATTACCCAATGTGCTGGACATACTAATATCTTTTGAACCATTCTACGAATTTAATTTCGTTTTCAATCTCTGTGCTGCGGTTAGTCGTGTTAGCTGCTTTTTCTCTTCCTTCCGCAGCTAATAAAGCAATATCGCACCTTCAAAAAATGCATAATCTAAAGCATCGATTTCTCGTATTTTCTTCCCATGCTTTGGCGATATCCCATAAAAGACACCATATACCAACTGTGCAAGCAGATTATGCTTCCAGAGGGTGTTCTCATCTCCCATGACTTCGATAAAGCTGTTCAGTATGTGAAAAGCGCCATCTACCAGCAAAGATGTTACAAAGGCGTCATTCCGATGCTCAACACCAACGTGAACTTGGTAATGAACACTTTTGCTGATCCTCTACCGATTGTGCGCCAATCGTGGACGGAATATACTACCAATCCAAGACGAGGAACTTTCATTTTCAGTGTGGTGCCATTGGTGTATTCGCTTTCTATCCTGTCAGTGATCACTTGGTTCCTCACTATCTTTGTCATTACCAACTACACCATAAGGCCGTCTGTGCTCTTGAAATTTACATCCATCATTTCATCGCTATATATGCTTATAACAGTTGTTAAGTCCATAGTTATTCTCCACGGACAGCAACGCAGGGGTTTTTTGCACGGCTATGCCCTACTAGACCAGATCAACAGTCTGGTATATCTTAATGTTATTGACATGATTGTGACATTTCTTTTACAAGTGAGTCAAGCACAAGTGTTGATCCGCTTGTTTCTGCGACAAAGCGATAAGCGAACTGTGTTTTTGGTTGGGCTTCTATCGTCCATAGCCTCGCAGACGTTATGGAGCGTTATGAAGTTCCATAAATTCAACAAAAATGCAGAAATGGAAAAGATCTTACCGGCCTTGATCTACTTGTTCCGCATTGCCATGAGTATAAGTTACGCAGCAATTTTCACAGCTTTTATTCTCACAAAACTGAAAACCCTTATGCTACATCGTGAAATGTGGGCCATTTCTCTTCTCACGCTTGTTTTTATATATGCGCCTGTGGCGTTTTTCATTGCTGATGTTTCCAATACTTGGGTTTACGAATTATCCGAGGTGTTTTCTGTGGTGACCTATGTCGTGTGTGTGGTGATTCCCTGGGAATGGTGTAATCAGTACAATGTTATACGCAAGCAGCAGGAAAAAGAAGGAGTATTGGGAAGAAAATTCTATGAAGATGAACTTTATGAGCTAGATAAATTTCAGCTTTTTGTTGAAGAGGAAGACTCAGACGTAAATGATGAAGATGGGTCTCCGTCTCTTCATCTGTCAACGAACAATCAATCAGGTCCCTCAAATGGTTCTGATGGTCCTGGAGATATTGTTCCAAAACCAGAATCAAGGCTAAAAAATTTCGTCAATGGTCTAACTTCAGTTAAAGACATGTTTGTTACCATAACTGATAACATTATAGCTACAGGTTTAGCTATTCCAAGATCGGTTAGTATTGGAAGCAATGGGAATAATACCATTCCAACGACGCATTTTGATATTCACACCCCAAGACACCGATCTAGAAGTACTGGAATAAGGATTCCTCAGCCGGAAACTAACAGGAATAAGAACGTCTTTGTGTATTCAACTAGAGATGTGGTCATAAATATGGACGATAATCAAACAGAAAATGATGTATAGTCATTTTCTCGAAGAATATTTATTTTGAATTTTCAATTGTCACTCTTGACGATTGCAAGTTGTTTGCAATGGTCGGCACTAGAACTCTTTAAGTAAGTTCAAAATTTCAATACCCGAAGTCTCAAAATATTTGTAAACAAACGTCCCACCATATACGTGGTCTCCAATTTGTCAGATTATACCACCATTCTGAATAGGCTTGTATTTTTCTTTCCACTGCGCTTCGTTAGCGAGACCAGATCACGTTTGGAATAATGAGATGTGATATTTGAAGTGCACATATTGCAGGTTACATTGTTCGCCTCAAGAACATATAAGATCGTGTGAAGTTACTTCTCATGTGGATGACCCAAGGTGGCAATTTTTAGTGCTTCATCTTCGTATCCCGGAATATGAATATACTCAACACCTGCCTCACGTAATTTTGCTTGGCCTGTGTTATTTTCCACAAAAGTATCCGGCTCCACAACACCAACGTAACAGGTTTTGATGTTTGTAGCGATAATGCGATCAACACAGGGCAAGTTACCACTGAGCCGAAGCGAACATGGCTCCATAGTTGTGTAAATTTCTGTCCCCTCTGGAACATTACGCTGGCCAGTTTTTTCAAAGTACTTCTCAAGTGCACATTGCTCAGCATGTGTGTTTCCTGGTAGTTCTCTCGAGTGACCTGTGGATAAAACTTGTCCGTCAAGAACCAAAACGGCCCCAACATTGAACTGTGTTTGCGTTTCGCCGCATTTACGGGCATTCTCAAGAGCAAGCTCCATGAACTTACGTTTTGAGTCCAATGCCCAAGAAGGAAAATCAACTTTATACGACCACAGTAAATCGGCCGCTTCGTATCTATAAGCATGAAGCCAAAGGTCTAAGTCATTTGGTCCTGGGTCCGAATAAAGCTGGACACCACAATCTGGACATGTCTCGTCTGTCAAGACTTCACCATCCTCTTGTGGATGAATCCATGTTGAACATGCCCTGGACTTTCCGATGTCATCTAATCGAGCCACTATAGCCTCATCTGCTCCGATATTTCCTTTCCCAAGATTTGAATCGCCCCAAACATACTCACTCAGGTAAATTGGGTCATTAGCTATAGGATGGCCAATATATTGAAGATGCACTCTGATCTGGTGTGTTCGTCCCGTGAGAGGACGGCATTTCACGACTGACGTATCCGATTCTGGGTCATACGAAATTCTGGAAAAGAGAGTTTTTGCTTCCTTTCCCTTTTCATGGTCCACAACATTAAGCGCATGTTTGGGTGAAACCGTGTGCAAAGGCTCGTCTACTGTAAGCTCTCCCAAAGGAAATTTTCCTTTCACTCGAGCAATATACTCTTTGCGGACTGTCCTTTCACGAATCTGCTTAACAAAAAATTCAGCACCACGGGCGTTTTTCCCGAGGAACATAAGTCCCAGTGTGAGTCTGTCCAACCGGTTGCAAGGATGCACTGTCTTTCCAAACTCATGTTGGAAAATCTTTGTGATGGTATTATACCGGTACCGGCCAGTAGGGTGAACAGGAATACCGGAGGGTTTATTGATGGCAATCTTGTCTGCATCCTCAAACACAATTTCTATTGGGCGAGAAGAAACAGCTGGTTCATGTCTGTGGCACCTATGACTTATAAGATCACCATTTCGGACAATTGAGTCTAGCGTTGTAGGCGTTTTATTGAGCAAAACTTGACCCGCGGCTATGGCTCGGCGATAAAACTCTGGCTCTTTGTCCCGAAACTCGTCCACGAACACATCGATGAGCTTTCTGTCTCTCCACCGAAGTTTGCAATAGGTTAAGTATGTGAAATAGTATGGGGTCACACGCCGCAATGGCCCATCGATTTCGTATCTGGCACCTTCGGTTTCTTCTTCATGAATGGTTTTCGAACCGTTCTCGCTTGAGATTAAAATGTCCTTGTCGACGGCCTGTTGTTTCATACGGAATCCTAGCTCATCGCGAAGCTTCTTCAGACCCCGCGGAAGCTTTGTCGCCTTGAATTCAGGCCCTGGTGATTCACTTCCGCTTGATATGCTTGCAGCTCTTTTCGTTCCAGAATCCATGGCTTTTTTTGCGGTGTGTTGAAGAAGCCGAAATGCCATAGAGTTTTGGAATGCGCACAGGAAATCGACTAGCCTATTGTTGGTGAAACACCGACATATGAAAAATCTCTCTCTTTCAACATTTAACTACTTTTGTTTAGTCTTTCACATCGGATGCTTGGATATTTTAGGTCATCGATCACACCGTCCAGCAATATAGATTTGCATTGAAAGTTGATGTAGCAGTTTTAATGGCAGTGCGCACTGGTTTAGTGTGGATTCTATTACTATGGTAAGCCTGGTTGCATACTACATATTTCAGAGCCCGAAACTAAGTTTCCATTCTATGTAACAACTTTTAAAGTAGCCCCTGTTTCTTCAATTCCACGTAGTCCTTATGTGACATAACATTACCCTCGCTATCTTCGATCTCTACGTTATCAAGATCCTCCTCCTCTGCACTTTTTGCTTTCTTGAATTGTTTCCATAAAGCCTGTGCCTCGGCGATCGAAGATATGCTGTTGAAAAGTGGCGTCTCCATCTCGCCTATCCCAAGGCACATGAGTCCGCGAATATGCTTCGATTGTGTGAAATGTTTTGTGAACTGTTGACGACCTTTATAGCTCGTGTTACCACAAATCTCACACTTGTATGTACGATGAAGTCCTTGTAGCTTGTAGAGCCAAAGAGGTATCGGCGTCCCATCTGTGCCAATTGGCATATCCTTAGAGTAAAATTCGTCGTCGTCGTCATTATCTTCACTTGCTTCCGAAGTAGAATCCTCAGCAGTAAACTCAGACTCCTCACCTTCAACTGCCAAAGTCTCTAGCATTTTCTCTCGGTCAGAGAATGCTGAACGTCTCTCGTAGTCTGAGATTGTGGCATCCAATAGCGGACCCATTGCTTTCGTCATCTCTTCTATATCTCGCTCCAAATCTTGTGCTGTTACCAGATTAACCTTCAGCGTAGTTGTTTGTTTCAAGCTGTTTTTCTTGTGTTTTTTTCCATCAAGGTGCCCCTTATACACGGATTCTTTTGCGAAATACTTGTCACATGCCTTGCAAAAGATCTCACCTTGTTCATTTCGTTCACCATCTTCGATCTCAGTTGCTTTCGACCTCGTCTTCCCTAATTCAGGGAGAGCTTTCAAGGGAAAACACTGCACATGCATTTTTTTTAAATAATTTAGCAAAGATTCGAGATAACGAAGGTAGTCTGTAGAATTGTTGGAATTGGGAAACTTTGAGAAGGAACGCAAATACTCTGCATATGTGAGCTTGCTGGGAAACAACGATCTGTAAATCTCATAATACGCCTGAAGGCCTAGGACTTTTCCGTACATTTCAAGATCTCCGAAAGATTCGCCCACCTCTTGTGCAAGGTATGATGTTGCACTAGAAAGAAAATATCTTCTTTTGAATTTTTTCTTCGAGCCCACAGTCTTTACTCCATCTTCTGGAGCACTCAGGTACATTAAAAATGCCAGACGCAGTGGAGTTGCACTCTGAATTGGCACAGATTTGAATCGAGACTCAAGTTCCGTCAAGGCCCTGTTTATAGACTCAAACTTCAAGTTGGGATCCCGAAGACTCTCGATTTGCAGAAGAAGCTCGGGACTCTCAAAATTCTTGATCGCCCGCGAGCAATCACGCTCGTATTGATTGCTGAAATACTTGAGCTCGTGTTGTTGTAGCAAAGTTTCCTTGTGGGGTCTCTTTCTTCTCAGTTCTAGCACTGAATCGGTTTGCCGAATTTGCGCTGCGCGCCCTAGCTCCGGGTTCCTTCGAAAACGCTGGGCAGTTTCCACTTCTAAAATGTCAATTTCTTCTAACGTCTGTCGCTGTGTCTCCGCCAAATTCATATTAGACAGCTTAATGTGTAACTATATTGATGTATGGTTGTACTAATAAGGCATCGCATCGCATCTATCAGTCGCGCACCCGTGCCTCTTAAGGTAGTCGCCTAACTTAATCCTACTTCCCCAGATTATTGTAGCCCTGTCTATCATGTCTTCTGATCTGCAAATCCCACTCTTTCTCCTCACATTCAACTGCGCCAAACTCAAACTAAATGCAGCGGAATTTATTGACCATGTTATTGGTGCTCTACCGCAAGCCGCATGCGACTTATACGTGTTTGGCTTTCAAGAGGTATGTTCTATATTGGATGGAGCATTCCCCGATATCGTGAATAGACACATGATTGAAATCAACCGCATTCTATTGGATACATTGCATGAAAAGTACCACTCTCCATCGTCTCCATACAACTTCACTACGGTCGGCTTACACCATGTGGGGGCAATTGGAATGATTGCTATAAGCCCTTTCGGTCTGCGTTTCAGAGATTGTCGATTTGCAGATGCGAGCTGCGGGTCAGCTCACTCTCTGCTCAAAGGTGGAGTTGGATTACGTGTCAAGTACGTACCGAATTCACAAACAAATATTGAATTCACTTTTGCCTGCTCACACCTCAATGCAAACGAGGGAGAATACTACTACCAGCGGCGGTTAAAGGACCTTTATGCGGTAATGAGAGCACTAGATTTTGGTGACGGGTTCAGTTTTCTCAAACCCAATTGCCATTCTTTTTTCATGGGCGATCTTAACTTCCGAACGAGCAAAGTTGTCCTGAAGGGCAAGCCGAGTGCAGCCTTGGCAGACTTTTTGGATTTGCATGATCGTTCCAATACTTCAGACGTATCAGGATCTATAATGAGTCTAGTTCGGAAGTACGATGAGCTTACTGAGGGCAAAAATAAGGGGGAATTATTTACTGGCTTCAGCGAACCAGATATTACTTTCCAACCGACTTACAAGTATTACCTAGATACTGCCATCTACAACACAAAGCGTTGTCCACTGTGGTGTGACAGAATCCTCTTTCAAAACACTTACAAAGTCGGACACAGGCCTCATGTTTACAAGTATCTGAGCATTGATACCTATAAACGGTCAGATCATAGGCCAGTTTACTTGCACTTGAGTGTCCCTTATATCGCTCCAGAATCTATTATTGGTGAAAGTGGCTTCTTGGTTGTTGTGCCTAATACTTCTCCTCGTCCACACAGCTCAGATTTCAATTTTGATCAGGCAAATGAAGAAATTGTGAGTGGCCCAACATTGACTTTTATGAAGTGCACCTCACTCGATAAGATCAACCAAATTTTCTTCAGAAGAGTCAGCGATTTATTCATTGGATACGGGTTGTGGTTTGGGACTACCCCTAAGGGCCGTCTTCTGTTGTTGGGATTTACCCTACTAATGTGGGTTGCTTATTATATTTTGTCTAAATGAAGAGTTAGTTTGACTTTGCGAGCTCATTTCCTTTACATATGCCTTTCTCTTTGTTTTCCACTTTTTCCTGACACTTGGTGTGCAATTAGTTACCTAGCTTTTCAAAGACAAAACCAATGTAAAACGCCACAGCTTCCTTTTCGTCCCCTTCAACACCGTACTTTCCATCCGCACGCTTCATGCCATCGATAAGATTTTTGTTCAACTTGGAAAAATACTTCGGAATCTCCAGATTGAAAATTTCAATGAAGTTTTTCTTGTATTTGAGGATCAATCCGAAATCTTCACATAACAGACGGAAATATTCAAATGGAACAACGTACTCGGGTACATCGTCGACCGCGTCTTTTAAGAAATAGTCGTATTTGTTTCCAAATGGTGACCTAAAAACGCCATCCTCGGGCGGATCTTTTTCGAATCTTACCCGATATAAGTCATTGCCAAAGGTCTTGTCATCGGTAAAGTCCTTTTTAACAATCTTATCGCGAATAAAATCTGACGACGGGATGGTTCCAATAAACGTACCTCCAGGACGTAAAGACTTTGTGATATTTGTGAGCACTGTGCGGACCTTTTGTTCTGTTTCCCACGCATAATGGAAGGAAAATTGCATCGACACACAGTCGACAGGAAAAAGCCCATCCATTATACCTGGGAAGTTAGGCTCCAAAATTTCTGGAAGAGAGTAAGAAAACAAATCGCCAGTTGCCAAACACGCGTCGAAATTGTACCTACGGGAATCCCTATTGCGCTTGGATCTTGGATTTTGGGGAATGAACCTTGCCTTATTCTGTGAATACCGCGAATACGCCTCTCGGACAGAAGCATCACTTATATCAACGCCAATGTACTGGTCCACATGAACAAACTCACATTTGTTCAAGTCGCCACCTTTGCCGCAACAGAAATCTAAAAGCACTAAAGGTGCTGTCTCCAGGCGTCTCTTCACAAAATTTCCAAGAAGCATGTACTTGATGGCATTGTTGAAGTTTCGGAGTTTGTAGATGGGTGATTTTGTTCGCGATCCCTGCAACTTGGATTGATAAGTTCTTTGATTGTAGTGCTGGCGCACAATGCTGTTTATATCTCTGTTTTCCTTGTGCGTAATGCTGCTCAGGAATGTTCGGTATTCTGAATTGAGGCCCATCCCTCCTACTGATGGAATGCTCGTATAAGGAGCAGCCGCGCCTTCGGGTTCTTCCTCTTGGTTAGTGCTATGCTCTCTTTTCGGACGTTCAGGTTCTGGTTCTCTCCGAATAACTCGCGAATCACCTTCACTGGGTGGTTTGGCCCCATACTTTGAATATCTGTCATCGCTCGCGGCATATCGTGCGTAGCGATCGTTTTGAGGTGGTTTTTCTCTTCTCCCGCCGTATTTGGCATATTTGTCTTCATCTTTCGGCTGCTTGCTTTTCATCCAGGCGGGGATAGGTTTTGCTTCTTTGTAAACGGACGACTTAGCCACAGAAGGAGCAGGTGACTCCCTTCTGGAAATGGAAAGTACGTATTCTGGATCCTCCGAGTGGAGCCTTTTATTCTCGACAGTGTCAGGAGAGACTGAGCGCTTCATGCCGTTCTGAGCAGGCGTGTCCAGTGCGGAGTCAAGCTTTTCTTCTTTGAGGAGAGCCGAAGTCTCCTGTGGCAGCTTGGAACCGCTCATAGTGGTGCAATACTTGTGGATAGTGAGTGGATATATTGAAGCGGCGCGCGCCATTTACTACACTATGAAAAGATCTCTATATGTCGATAAATACGTCTATAAACTGGCCTTATCTTCGCAAGCCTCTTTCAAACACTCCACAATAGGGTTCAAAAATTGCTTCTTGTTAGGCAAATAGTGACCGCCATCGTGCTTGAAAACTTTTACCTCGCTGGAAAATAACAGATTGAGATATTCGGTTCTAATTGGTGGTACCACAACATCTTCAGAGCCGAAGACAGAGACAATAGTAGTGGGGAGTTCTGCAGGCGAAGTGAAGAAGTGCTTGTATTTCTCCACCAAGTGTACTTTGGTCTTGTACTCCTCCAAGTCTGAAATGGTAGTGCTAAGTCCAGAAATACTATCTTGCAGATTCACAGGCAAAGTGAAAGCGAAAGAAGAGAATAAGACAGCAACTTTGAAAGGGCCGTGGGAAGGAAGAAGCTCGGAAACAGAGTTGGCGATGGCAGCAGACATCGCAGCACCTTGAGAAAATCCAATGATACCATGATATGGCCCGTTAGTCTTGATGTGGGAGATTACATAATCAACAGCTTCAGCAAACCCCTTATATTCGCCATCTTCGGTGTGAACCCACCAGCATCTGTTGATGTCGCTTTCCACAATTTGGTTCCATTTTTCAGTTGCTTCTGCCTCGTCTGCGCCCAAAGAGAAAGGAAGGTCTTTCTTATCGTTGATCATCGTTGGGGGATCAATGTAATCGAGCTCATAGCCAAGCTTTTTGGTTAGAAGCTTCCGCAATCCGGAAGACTTTTCAGCAAAAACTTTTCCGCTTTGAAGATAACCTGGAAGACAGAGAAACTTTGGCATTGGAAGAAAAAAAAGAAGATGTGGTATGTAAAGAAAGAAATTCGCACCCGTCGGTCTTAAGCGCACGTCTGTTTAAGCGCATAATGCATGTCACCATGATAAAATGAACCTCTCACATCAAGAATGTGTTCACACTTTGAAGCGTGTTACGGCTCGGGTTAATTTTGCGACATTCCAGGATTTTGCTCAAGTGCTGTTTCACAATATCTTTGTTAACTGGGCCAGGAGCAGAGACCCATGTGGGGGAAAAATGCTTCCCAAGTAGACATAATGCTACACCCACAGCCAAATCCTTTCCTGTATCGCACAACACAACAACGCTTGACAGTGGCAGCGGCACGACATTTGCTACACTCCTGGGAAGAATGTCACGGAGCTGCTTGGCGCCCTTTTTTGTCAGTTCCACTCTATAATGTGATACGGCTACCGAGCAATTTTCAGGTGCTTGCACTGTAAAATCCTTCGAGAGTACCACGACATGGTGAAGATTGGGTGCATAACGTAGAAGGACCTCGATATCAATGTTTTCAGTAATTTGCCCAATGTAGATTCCCGTGTTTCCCAACGGTGAAATGTCTATCGATAAAGTATTGTGATCATGGACAGTTGTTGAGTCATCTGTGGGGATGTTCGCTCGATGTAATTTTATGTTGATGATTGCCTCGACTCGCCGCAAAAGTTCTTCTTCGGAGAGCCATGAACAAACATTGCCAGACTCGACTACACGCAAGTTGGGTGCGGTTTCTGGATAGACGTCATTCCAAAACAGCAGAGCGTCCAAAGCGCGCGGGGCCCAAAGTTCGTGATCGTCCCCAGCGCCCTGAACATAGGGCGCGCTGTGATTCCATCCAGGCGGGCGGCTGCCTCTAGCTGACGCACTTACGCAGCAGATGGTAAAACAGTCCGCTCTTTCGCGCACCGTACCCTTTTTTCCGGGCCACATCCAGCACGGGAGAATAGGCTGGCGCGCACCCAAATGCTCAAGAAGCATTCTTTTCAGCACAAGGCCGAGACGCTTCGCTTCGCTGGCGAAACTGGCAATCCGCTCAGAAATACTTGCATGCTCACTTTCCAGTACCATCTCACGAGGTGTCGCTAGCCAGTTTCCGGCAGCCAATTCAGAAAATTGGTCGGGCACATTTTCGCCTTCAAACATTATGTAATTGAGCACACTGCACCAGATAGGCACCGTTTTCAGAAGGGCATCAGGCAAAAGCTTACCTTTGCGAGTAGAGTCCACTAAAACTATTGTTCGCTCTGTCGCAAGTAGAGGCAACAAATTGAGATTCAAACGCCGGGTTGAAAAACGCCATTCATGAGTGTGACCATCTGTACTCTTGAAATATGCCGTTTCTGCTATTTGATCTGGCCGCACATACCATAGACCGCACCGTTCGTTGGCCACGAGAGGGAAAGGATCGAATTGTGACACGAAAAGGTTGTCAAATATAATCGACTGGAGCCGCGCTTGAGTGGTTTTGTCCTCGCGGCGGAGACTCTTGACTATGTCGTTGTAAGAGTCCATGATGCGCGATGACATTCGTACACTCCAGTAGTATTATAATGTTGATGAAGCAACGGTAACATCAAAATTCTCCCAAAGGTTGGTTTGCTCCTACGAAAGAATCCATAGAGAAATTCAATCCAGTCGATGAATGTTTAAATTACTTGGATAATAGTCAGGCGAGGAAACCTGGAGTCAGATTACCAGATGGGTGCAAAACATTCCGAGAGCCACATAGTCTTGATTCTTTGAACCTCTCAAAAGTAAACCTGAGCATTTATTGCGTTTTTGATCTACGTATTTTTAACCCATAGCGACATAACATTTAGCATCCATTCTTGTATTATCACCTATTTTAATCGTTATGCAACGACACTGACGGGAGTTATTTCGCTGTTTTTATTCCACGCACCATCGTTATAGGTGCTTTTTAACTTTTTCAAGACTCATCCTCAGGAAATTCTGCGTTCGTCTTTTGACTGATCACAATTGGTCAGTATGCCAAAAGCGGTGTAAGTGCCTCGATGACACCTAACTTTCAAACATGGTTGTGGAAACTATTACTTCTAAAATTAATCAGACATTGTATTTGAGAACTTGTCAAACACAAGAATATGTCTTATGCATTACTAAAGGGGTCCACTATTGAGAAAATACAAAATGATTGGACCCGTTCCGTTTCCCATTACCGCTTTGCTTTCTTACGAGCCTCTTTCAATTTTGCTCTCCTCTGCTCCTCAAGCAACTCCCTCTGGTCATCTTTAAGGGCTATGCGCTTCGAAAGAGCCTCCTCTTCCAAAATCTCGGCACCAGTGGCCTCCATGTCGTCTGAATCTTCGTCATCGTACTGCTCGTAATACGACCGTTTCCTTCCGCGGTTGAATATCGACCAGATCTCGTCACGATCATAATCATGCTCTTCGGAAACCTGCTCTTCCTCATCAGACGCTATGAACGAATCTAAGTCATCGTCCTCATCCTCGTCCGCTTCGTCATCGTAGCCGGATTGTGATTTGTCAGCCTTTTTCAGCTTCAACTTACTCTGCAACTTCAGCGAAGGCTGTCTGATTGGTATAGGTTGTCTGGGTGCTACTGCTTTTCTTTCTGGTTGCAGGGACCTAACATCTTTCAAATGTTTGGAATTGCCTCCATTGCTTCTAACAATAGTAGACTCCGGTTTTTGCTCCTGTCGCCCTTGTGTTCGTGGCGACGTAGTTCGGGCCCTGCGCTCGTCTCTTTCGGGCGTTTTCCTCCGCGGTTGTGCTTCGGGTGTTTTCGTCTTAGGCTTTATGGAAATACTCATTTTGCTTTGGTCTATTGACGAAGCCTTTTTCATGAGCTCACTAAATGACATTTTCGGCTTCCTTTCACTTTTCTGTGGCGCAAGAGGTTGCGTGCTTGCGTTCTTATTCCTATTAATGGTGCCCCTGGTTCCAGAGGACGCAGCAGATGTCGTTTTTGAAGTACGAGAGTGCAGGGTTTCTTTTTTGGGAGCCAGCCCCTTCTTCGCCCTCATCTCCCTCTCTTTGGCTTCCTTCTCTGCCTTCCTGGCAGCCTTGAGCCGTGCAACGACCGGATCCACTGTTCTTTCATTTGACGAGGAAGAAGAGGGATATGTTGGTTTTAGTGCTGTTGCAGTTGGGGGTTTGGGGGTTGGACGCGGTGGTGGGTTTCTGATTTGGCCCTTGGATTGGATTTTCTGCAAGATGCTAGAAAGTGACATCGGAGCTCGCCGTTATGGCTTCAATAACAAGCGAAACAGTAGATGATGTCGCACTAAGATCATGAGTCTGTATGCCGGAACTACATCATGGTATAATTAAGAAGGTGTACTAAACAAGGCGAAATTAAGGTCATATCTATGGACGATAACAACGAGGCTAAGTAACGAGGAATGGTACACCTAAGCTATAGCTTGTATATTGTGTAATTTACAATCTTGACTTGCAACATATGGCGGATTCTCTTGGTATATACTTGAGCCTAGCTGGTTCAGACTATTGAAAGGAGCTCGAAGCTTCAGTAAAAGTATCTGGGATTGAAGCTAATATCAATCACATTCCTGCAGTGTGCGGCGTTTTCTTTTCTTTTAGTGTCTTGCCTCATCGGGTATTGTACATCGACTCACCAACATGATCACTAACACAGTCAATGTATCGTGAAACACACAAATTAGACTAGAATATATACTCAGCTGATGCAACTGGAAAACATTTCCACCACTAGGAATATCCTGTTGGCTGAGGAGGTATTCGAACTTCCTTGGTACGTTTTCCATAACGCTCATCGGTGACTCAACAAAGAAGTACTAATTTCCTCTCTAGTTATCCTCGCCCTCTTCATCGTTGTCATTACTGAACATCGAAATGAACTCATCTAAGCCTTCTCGTGCGTTTTTGTCTTGCCCCATCTCTGCGATAAGCTTCTTGTTATTCTGGATTGAGAACTGTTCACACTTGCGGATTGTGCCACTTACATGAACACACCGCATCACCACATCATAACTGTCAAGCTTAGTGACCAATGCTAGCGCAGCCATCACTTGGTGGAAATTTTGCCTATTACATCGTATTATTCCAGTGGAAGTCTTATTGCTGAAATATTTTACAATAATCAGCAGTCCAATCGTTCCTGCGGCCAAATCGCCAAAATGATCTTCGATAACATCTCGAAGCAAATTAACAATGGTTCGAGGATTAATGGACGCTGGCGACGTCGAATGCAATGATAGTAAACAATCCTTTGGCGACTGGCTAAAGCGCGCACATTTCTCTCTCTGCAGCGAAGTAGTGGGATGAGCAACAGGCGGGTAAAGTATATCAAACAAAATGTATCTGTGTTTGAGGCGCACCATTATTGTATCTTGTTCAAAACTCTAGGTCTTGATCGAAATGAGATGATGATCTAACACCCGTACATCATCTTCCTATCCTGTATGGCCCATAAACAGATAGACCTGTATGAAGACCCTGCTAGTCAGCAAACTACCCGTTTTCGATACGTACATTCCTCAAACGGTAAGGTACTTTTCACTGATGTCTCTGGCCATAGCTGTATTTCCGTCCAAAATGTAAATGAGATTGAGATTGTACGCAGCCTCGGGCAGCATGTCATATGTTGTGTCATCTTTCATCTCATCGTGGAACTGAAGCACTTTTTTGTAGTGTTTGATGGCCAAGGTAGGAAGACCAAGCATATGGAATAGACGGCCGAAGTTGTACTCAATTTCTTGAAGTTCATAAATTGTGGCATTTTGCTCCCGACACTCCTTGTACTCCAAGAGATAGCTAATACCTTGAAGAAGTTGGATGTGACGGTTGTTACTGTTTCTTTGCATCGAACGGTGAACGTGTGCCAATCCTAACATGAAGCAAATGGTCGAGTCCTTATTATACTCACGGTAAGCACGGGTCAAGTAGACAATTGGAGACGAAAACGTTCTGTTGCTCCCTAGAAGACATGCATATATGTAGAGTAGCTGTGGGTGCTCGCGAGTGAACGTAAAATTGGCCGTGTCAAGTGTCACTTGAGCAGATCCTGAGACACTGCTGGAAGTCAAAAGAGAGTCGTAGGCCTTGAGATGGCGAAGAAAATATTTCTGATGATTGTAATTGCTAAACGCTGCCCATGCTCCCACTCCGGAACTGAAACAGCACATGAAAAAGTCATAAATGGTAGACGAAAATTGGGTCGAAGTGAGAAAATACCTCACGTTATTAGACACGATCTCACCGAAATCTTCTTTTAATATTCCAAAGGAAAGCATCGCTAGCCGGAGAAGCATACTGCGCGTCTTGTCCTGGATGAATACATTGACCTCAAAAGCTTTTCCTAGACTGGCAATGGCCTGGTCTGTATCATGCTTGTAATTATTCCACAAGAAAGCATTCTGTACAAATATTAGTAGCCAATCATCATAACTCAAACCTCTAAACTCAGTTTTGTTGGTTAATTCCATACGTGAATAATTTTCTCCTTCTTCCTTATTTTCCATCATTGTATCAAGCCTTCTCACTCTATCACTGATCTCAACATCTTCCTTTCGTTTGTATGTTGGAATACCTTTGAAGGCTGTCTTTCTATTTTTAGGAAAAAATGAACGAACAGCGCAAAACGTTTCGATGAGCTGGGCAGCCAATTTCATCCAAGCTGCAGCTGCAACCATATTCCCTTCATTGATTGCTTGCTGTAAACGCTTCATTCTGTTAAATTTATTCGTAATGCGGTGTGTAACGTCCCTATTGATATCTTCGCGTTCTGCTTGAGTCAACTTATGGGTTCGATTACTTTGTCCTGTATTCTTAATGACAGCGGGACCTTCTTCAAGACCCACTTGCTTATCGATTTCGATATTCAATTCTTTCTCTTCAGGTGTTTCCTCTTCAATTTCTTGAGCCTCCTTAATACTCTCAAGAAATTGGTTGGCTTTATCAAAGTCATTGAGGTGGAAGTAAGTTTCGCACAACATCAACTGCAAATCAATATTGTTTGGCTCATTCTGTAAAACATGAGTGAATACTTCTTTAGCATTTTCATAATCATATAGCTCCATGTAACACTTTCCCATTAATACCATGGCTTCGGAACGGAATTCTTCTGTCTGATCTTCATCTTCAGCTGCAGACCCGTTCCTCTGTATCAGCTGCGCCAAAAACTTCAATGCATCTTCTTGAAGACCTTTCTCTTCCAAGAGCTTTCCTGCTTCGAAAAATAAGTCTGCCACGTCAAATAGATCTTCTTCATGATACAAAAACTCAAAATGGCGTAAAGCTTCTTCGCTATTATCCAACTCGAGTCGAAATTGTGCAAGCTTGAAGCGGATGTCAATTGGAAGCCCATACTCTCTTCCCATATACTTTTGCAATTCGTGGGGATGGAATTTCAAGATTACAGATGGCCGTCTTTCATCGAATTCAGAATCATCTTCGTCTGTCCACCATGACTCATCACCACGGTCCTGGAGAAAACGAGCTGCTGCTTTTATCATTTTGACACCCTCTTTCCAATTGTGCTGTGTGATCAATAGCTCGCACAAAATATTCAACGCAGACCAGTCGAAAGGCACATACTTTTGATCAGGCTTCGCGTTGATATTATCTTCCAAGATATTCTTATATAACCGCACCGCATCGCTCAAACGCTTCTGCTCACAGTACACCGAAGCCAAGTGTTTCACATATTGTGGGTCGGTCGGAAACATGCGATGAAGACGTTGAAAGCCTTCAAGTGCTCTTCCAAAAAGCCGTTTCTGTCTGTGTAACATGGCTCTATCCAATAAGAATTGAGGATTGGGCAAAGTGTCTTTGGGTCTATAATTGATAGCATGGTTGTAACAATAAATAGCTTGGTCAATATGGCCCAATTGCGTACTAAGCTCGGCCACTGTGCCCCAGAATTCAATGTCCCACGGTACGCATAAAGCAGCGTAAAGCCACATGCCACAGCACTTGTTCATGTCGCCTTTCATTTGATAGATTTCACCCATAGTCTTATAGGCTCCAAAGTTTCGTCTGTCAAGTCTTATGACTTCAAGATAATACTTGATGGCCGTGTCAAAATCTTGCTTCACAAACGCCTCATTTGCTTTAGCAAAATTATCCCTCACTTCTGGTTTCAATTCCTTGTTTGCCATTCGGAGAGCTTGTCTTCTTCCGTAGTTTTTAGATGTAGGTTTCTTCCGTAGCCTGAAACCTGACGCCGCCCTCAAATGCTCCCGTAGATCGAATTTGCCATCATCCCCTTCATTTTCCAGAAAGAACTGGTCATCGTCGTCCGAGAAAATCAAAGGTTCAAACTCATCGTAATCATTGAGATCATCGTATGTTGGATAAGTAGGCGTTACCACAGATTTGCTCGCCGAATCCAGGTTACCTAAAGATGGGTCAATATTTACTGACTCTTCGTCATCAAAACTATCATCCAGAAAATTTGGATCCCAGGTAGTCAGAGGAGTCCATTGTCTTTTTAAGGCAAACAGTGGGATGGGTCTTTTGTTTATCTTAGTTGTGCAGGATGATATGGTTTCCTAACGTCTTTAGAAGGAGAATACTACTCTAAGTGCGAGCATTCATGAAAGTAGAAAAAAAAGTTCCCTTTCAGTATCCTTGAAGAGGTAGTAATACAGTAAGATCTTGGGTTCAATGGAACTTAGAAGAGTATCAATTTATAAGTTCCATTCTGTGTCTATAGCAGATGCAAGAGCTTGAGATTAACAGATTGATACATGGCGCTTACAAATAGTGACCTGAGGATGTCGCTACTTAGATTTTATGCATTCGGTATTTGTATTCAGATATTAGCTCAAGTACTTTTTCTTGCTGTCAGACTGACAAAAATTTTAGCTTACTTATTGAAATAGTTGATCTATGTGTTTAAAATAAATATTGCAAGAAAGATGACTTTTGGGAAACTAATGAGCTACCATCTAAGTGAAGTAAGATAAGTTATCGGGATGCAGTTGCACTACTAGTTCATTAAGTATGAATGCAGACACCCATCCGCTTTATTTACAACTTAACACTTTTCGACGCAATTCGCTTTTGGAATCGATATCTTCCTTATAAAAAGCATACTTGTAATTATTAGTTTTGTCTAATTGGCTAAGGATTTTAGTTATGTCTTACTGCCAGTGCGACTCTCATTAAAGAGTTTCTACTTTTTCGCGTATACGTTCTATTTTTGCAAAATTCTCAAAGCGGGGGTAAAAGTGCGTCCTAACAGAAGCCAGAAAACAACATAGGAATTAACACCCACCAATTGAAAATTCATATCGATCATGTATACTGAAGTGGGTTCTTTGGCTTTTGTCATGTGAAATTCCAAAGTCTTGGCGCTAGTTGGGGAAGTGGCGGAGCCCTTTCGTACCTAGACAACATTCTGCACAGCCGCACCCCGGATATGCATGACTGCAAGCAAGAAATAGCATATATTCTCGTCCGTGGTACATTATTTTCTGGAGCCAACTACACAGAATGTCCGCCAACGAATTCTATGCCGCGGGCCCGCAGGGTGAAAGAACAGATATCCCTCAACAAGAAGCTTTGAGTCAAAACCAGGAACATCAAAGTCAGCAACAATATGATCAGGACGGGCAACAGACTGATCGCAGCTTCTCTTCGTCGCTCCTCTCTGGCACCATGGGTAAGAAGACACACGGACATGGTGTCCTGGACATCATTGGAAACCAGATTGGCCAAATGATTTCGGGCAAGTCGCACGGTGGAAACCACGGCAGTGGACATGGAAACCAAGGCTATGGGCACAATGGAAACCAGGGTTATGGGAACAATTACGGAAATAACTATGGAAATCAGAGTTATGGAAACAACCACGGAAGCCAGAGCCTGCATGGTTCTGGTGGCTTGATGGGCTCATTGCTCAACGCAGGCAAGCTGTTTATGAACAAACAAGGTGGTCATAACAATGGCGGAAACTACAGCGGCAACCATGGTAGCAACCATTATGGCGGGGGCCCAAACAACTATGGTGAATACGGAAATGGGAACTACAACGGTGGAAACCATGGTAACCATGGAGGATATGGGGGCGGTCAGAACAATTTCAGCAATGGAAATTCGTGGGGCTATAATGACGTCAACAATGGCCAAGGAGGCTACAGAAGATAGCTGGAGACAGCAATCGTTCTAATGTTTGGTTAATCTGCCTTTCACGGTTTGTTCTTTTGCGTTCTTTATCCGCTAGCATAACTATTAGGCTGACTGGTATATGCTCGTCTGTTAGTATCTCACTGAGAGTTGGCGATCGTTTTAATGATTATCGTAGCATCAGTTTCGTTCCTGATCGCATTCAGTAAAGTAGCATTCAATTAAAGAATGATGTTCACCAATGGAAGGAAGAGACACTCAGATGTTTCTGACATGTTGTAAATGTAGTTCTTTGCGGACATGATACCATGATACTTTAAAGGTGAAAGCGTCAGATGGGCAAATCATTACCCAATCAATTGTATCATGCATTTATGGTCTACACATCTTGTTACTCAAATATGAATGCACACGAGTCATATTAAACTGTAGTATTTTGAAGGTTTTTAGTGTCATCATAGTACACAAGCTCATGTCAATTACGACTAGTAGAATAAGAAGAAGCGCATGTGCGCGTCTCTTTCCAGCATACTTGATCTCAGACACCTGCACATTTTCCACTCCGAAGAAGCCACCACTACTTTTCAATGGTCCTACTCCTCCGATTTACAGTCCTTTTTGTTGCTGTTGTTTTTGCAAGTACATTACAGATAGGACTAGAGGCTAACTGGACAGAAGCACCTTTTGCGCTACAGCTAATTGAGTCTGTCGCTGAATTTGATGAATCACTTTACATTGGCGCAGCAAAAGCATTATTCCGAGGAGAGGAAGACAACAGCGATTTCGACGACGTCGATGATGAAGAAGATGACGAACATACAGGGAACTCAAATGAAGTACCAGATGGGCCCAAATCTGATCGTGAAAATTACGAGCTGGTCGCGAAGGTTCTTTCTGAAACTCAGCTAGGGCTAGTGAACTTGCATTTGGTGAATAAACTAGCGTCTCCTAGAATCCAAGCCCATTATGATTTTTTCAATAATGAGTTTGACTCTGAAGCTTTGAAGACTATTGAGAAAAAATGTGCCACGGACCTGTTTGGCGAGCCCTTGATAGATCCTTTGAAAGCATGGGTGAAATACGGAAACAAATACTACTGCTCCGAAAGCGATTTGTTCGCTTTACAAACAGACACGTTCTCCGAAAGCGTGATGCAGTTTGACAGAGTGATTGGGTCCGATGAATCGAAACCTCTTCTCGTTCTTTATGGAGATCCTAGTTGCCTGCGATTTGCTGGCATGTTCCATACTTTAATGCTGTTCGCTGAATCTGGGTCCATCAGATTTGTCTGGAGATATGTTCCCTCATCGTTTGGCGCAAGCAAAATTCCAGGGTTTGGCGTTACAATCACTTCCAAAAGCAAGTCTAACAAGAATGCCCCTCAAGTGGAGGGTGATATTCTAAAAGCCTTAATCAAGATCAAGAAAGATGGTCGTGAACTTTTTGATTTGGAAGACGATAAATTGTCGACTCTCTCAATCAATATAGTTTCTCTTGTTCTTCAACAACTGGACCCGGTTTCTCAGCTAGCCCTTCTCAAAGAGATTTTGCACAATTTGCCCCTCTACGGCCCTTATTTGGGTAATGTGGAAGCATCTGAGTCGTCAAGAAGAGTTGAAAAACACGCTTTGGCAAATGAAAAGAAAGGTGCAGCGTACGAATCTGTGGGGTTGTACATAAATGGTGCTGCTACTCATCGCTTGCAAACGGACTTACCCAACATCATCGATAAGCTAGCCCAAGAGGTGTCTACGATGGAAGAATTTAGATCTTACGGCTTCAATATGGAACAAAGCAAGTTGCTTCTTTCAAAGTTTGCTCTTTTGAGCGCATTCAAGGAAAGCGAGTTCAAAAGTGGTTCCATGTCAAATAGGTACTCTCTTTACAACGACGTTTTTGTTCCTTTCGATAAGGATTCCGGGGGTGTTGTGTTTTTCAACGACATTGAGAAAGATGAGTCGTATCAAATGATATCTACAGACAGAAAGGATATGTATACTGGCAGTGGTGCCTCCCAGCTTCGTGTGAGTCAGATTCCACCGTTGAGGGAAAATGTTCATGACTTGATATTTGTGATGAACTTCTCAAACAAACACCAGTTGAAGGTATTTTTTACCATGGCTAAGATCATCTTGGATAGAGGCATTGCTCAACAGATTGGTGTTTTACCTCTTATGGAAAGCGACAAGGACCAATACATCGCTGATCTTTTTTACCATATTTTGGAGGTCGGAGAAGTAAAGGAAGCGATGGCATTCTTGTATAAATACTACGAATCCAAGGAGGAAGAAGAGAACGAATTGTTCTCTAAGATCAAAATGCCTCCTGAGTTATTGGGTCTGTACACCCAATACAAAAGGTGCATTGAGGATTTTTCATTGACAGAGGCCTCCGTTGTCATAAATGGTGTGATTCATAGTATGAGATCAAACTGGAGAAATGCTTTGGGCCACCAAATTACCCACGATGTGAAACTCTTACAGAAAAGTATCCGAGAGGGTCTGGATAAAGACAAGTCTTTGAAGAGTGTTTTGTATTCGGACTCCAAACTGTCTAGAAACACCCACGTTGTGCCTTTGGATCCAGCAAATATTCGCTACAAGAAAGTTACTAAGGAGATGATAGACAGTTCTCACGCCTTTGTTAAAGAGAAAGACAGTAACGACATATCATTAACTTTTTGGCTCATTGGGGAATTTAACCTCCCAATTATTCGTCAGCAGTTCATCAATTTGTTGAAATTTATGGATTTATACAATGATAAATCAATCCAGATCAGAGTATTTGATACTTCCAAAAACCAAAAGCATCTTAATGGTATTTTTGAGAGCTATGCTAACAAATCCTTAAAATCGGATGACATTGCTCAAATTATATCGATGGTAAAAGCGGGAAAAGCACCACATGGTGAAAAAGATGCAGAGAAAATGGCAATATTGGAAAGAAATCATATTCAACTGCATCTGCCAATGATGTTGTTGAACTCTCGCTATCTAAGCTTAACCCAAGAGTTTACCATTAAGGATATTGAAGAACTATTGGAATACGAATTCAAACAAAGATTAGGGATATTCAAAGAGATCACTGATGCATACCCAGACCAGTTTCTGTGGAAGCCAATAATGCATTTCAGAAAGGGAAACTTAAACCATCTAGATTGGTTCGATCTTGTATCATCAACGCTTAGCAACTCCTTTTTTGTCGAGGACGTCTTGCAGCTCTCCGATGTGTCCAGATTTGACTTTTCTTCTTTAAATTTCGCAAACTCTATCGACGTGACTGGATACTCAAAAGAAAAACCGATTGATCTATTAGCCATAGTCGACCCTGCGGATGAATTCTCCCAAAAGCTTGTGTCCATTTTCTCCTCCTTATCTGACTTGTCCTTCGTAAACGCTAGAATTTTGCTACAACCACTTTCAGAATCCAAGACTCCGAATGATTTGTCACGTTTCTATGTTGACGGATTTCAAAGTCTGCAACCAAAGTTTGATGCCAATGGACGGTACATCGAATTTTCCTCTTGCAATTTTGAATCTGCCGTTGACGATACTGAAATGTGCATTGAAATTGATGCTCCACTGAATTGGTACATTATTCAAGGAAAGAATTCTGACCTATACGACTTCACCAAGTTCACTATGGTAGGAGATACTGACTTGGGTTTCACACTTTCAAAATTGGTTGTGGAAGGGTATGTGAGAGATGTAACTACAGCAAAATCTATTCCGGGCCTCATCTTAGAGGCTTCAAAGGGTACAACATCCCAGGATGCATTCACAATGCAAACCATGGGCTATTCTCAATTCCGTTTAGACCCTGGAGCTTGGACTCTTCAAGTAAGAAGTGTTGAAGATGAAGAGCCATCGTACGATCTTCTTTCGGCAAGCGAGAACAAATATGACAAAAATGACTGCTTAAGCGATTCAGTACCTCTTCTCGTGAAATCCTTGAAAAGACATCACATATACCCAAGAATGAAAAGAACTGAGACGCACACACTGCATCTTCGTGCAGCTAAAGAACAGGCAGACATTAACGTTTTCAGCATTGCTAGTGGTCACCTATACGAACAACTTATGTCCACGATGATGTTATCTGTGGTGAAGAACACGGGCAAACTGGTAAAGTTTTGGTTGATTGAAAACTTCTTGAGCCATGGTTTCAGGGAAAGAGTGCCTGGGCTTGCAGAGAAATATGGTTTTGAATACGAATATGTGGGATATCAATGGCCTGCTTGGCTCCGCCAACAAAAGCAATTACATCGCAAAGTCTGGGGTTACAAAATGTTATTTTTGGATACTCTTTTTCCAGCAGATCTTGACAAAGTTATTTTTGTCGACGCCGACCAGATTGCCAGAACAGATTTGAAAGAGTTGGTTAACATTGACCTTGAGGGCGCGCCGTACGGTTTTGCACCCATGTGCGATTCCAGGAAAGAAATGGAAGGATATCAGTTCTGGAAGAATGGATACTGGCCTACAGTATTAAAAGATGACTTGAAGTACCACATCAGCGCTCTTTATGTTGTGGACTTGCGAAGACTTCGCGAGACTTTGGTAGGAGACAAGTTGAGATCTCACTACCAAAAACTTTCTGCAGACCCTAACTCATTGTCAAATCTCGATCAGGACCTTCCCAATAACTTACAGAGACAAGTTCCGATCCATACATTGCCACAAGAGTGGCTCTGGTGCGAAACGTGGTGTTCAGACGAGCTGAAGTCAAGTGCTAAAATGATTGACATGTGCAACAACCCAAAGACACACGAAGGAAAAATAGAGCAAGCGAAGCGCGTGATACTGGAGTGGGAGGATTACTACAACGAAATCAGCCAAACAGAGGAAAGCTTACGTGTTCACGACGAACTTTAAGGAAAGAACTTAGAATTGCGAATGCAAATATTCCACACAATACTCTTCTCGAGAATACCATCCCTATCATATGCAAAACAAACTAGGAAACGTTTGAATAAAATCGAAAAGCCTCGAAATAATTTGAAAACTGAATCCAGTTACGTAAACGGGTGGTGAGCGAACATAACAAAAAAAAAAAGAATCAAATTACGGCGAATAAATGAACGGGATATTGGGTTCACATTATAGGGGAAACGATTTCCATTTACACGTTGAAAATTCTCATTTCGGGTGCCGTCAACACAAAATTTGCCGTCTCCCAACAAGCGTTTTCAGATCGATCGCCTGCATTTTGATAGGCCACATGTGTCACTTGAATGGTGCCGCATCCTGTATATACTATTCAGACCGGCGCATCCAAAGCGGTTTCGGGCCAACTAATCGTTTTTGCATGTGAGTCAGAGTAATAGATTAGAGCACGCTGCAGGAGCGCGTTTTGATAGCGTTAATAGTGGTTAATATTTCATCACAGTTAACTTATTGTTACTTTTTTTCACTAGTCTCGTATTTTCTCGATCATGAAGATTACGGATAAATTGCAACAGGCTCATCTGTGCAAGGTGGGTGGCTCGGCTCCTCCAGCCACTTTTTCTTTCGAGTTCTTTGTGCCCAAAACTTCCCAAGGTTTACAGAACTTATACGACAGAATGGACAGAATGTACGATTTGAATCCGATTTTCATCGACATCACCTGGAATGCTGGCGGGAGGTCTTCTACTTTGACTAATGAAATGGTTTACACGGCCCAGTCAACTTTGGGCCTTGAGACTTGTATGCATTTGACGTGTACCAATATGCCCGTGTCTTTGATTGACGAGGCCTTGGAAAAAGCCTTCAAGTCAGGATGCCAAAACATCTTGGCGTTACGTGGAGACCCTCCATTGGATGGCTCAGAGTCTACAGGAGACTTCAAATATGCGAAAGACTTGATCGTATACATTCGCAAAAGATATGGTGACCATTTCAACATTGGTGTCGCTGCCTACCCTGAGGGCCATCCTGAGGAACAAAATTCACCTAATTTGTTGAAGTATTTGAAGGAGAAAGTGGATGCGGGTGCCGATTTTATCATTACACAAATGTTCTACGATGTAGACAACTTTATTGCGTGGTGTGCCAAGTTGCGGGAGCTCGGAATCACGATTCCAATTATCCCGGGAATCATGCCTATTTCGACCTACTCTGCCTTTATTAGGAGAGCTAACTGGTCGCAGGTGGCCATTCCCCAACACTTTTTGGATGCATTGAATCCGATTAAAGAGGATGACTATGCTATCAGAGAAGTCGGAACACAGTTGGTAAGTGAAATGTGTCAAAAGCTCATCGATTCCGGCTATGTTAACCATTTACACTTCTACACTATGAATTTGGAGAGATCGACCGTGATGATTTTGGAGAAGTTGAACTTGGTGGAATCTATCAAGGACAACGACGCGGTTGTGGAAATCTTGCCCTGGAGAAAATCTTTGAACCCAAGCAGATCGAAAGAGTCCATCAGACCAATTTTCTGGCAAAACAGAAAGTATTCGTATATCTCGCGTACTTCAGGTTGGGATGAGTTTCCTAATGGTAGATGGGGTGATTCCAGATCGCCCGCGTTCGGTGATATTGACCTTTCTGCATCCGAATTGTTAAGGCAATCCCCCAAGAGAGCGTATGAGTTGTGGGGATGTCCTCAGACGCTTAATGATTTGTCTGATATCATTGTTTCTTACTTGAACAATGAGGTTAAGGCCTTGCCATGGTCCGATGGGCCTATTGGTGAAGATACTACGGTTTTGAAGGATGCGTTGATCGCCCTTAATAGAAAAGGTCTTTTTACTTTGAACTCGCAACCTGCTCTTAGTGCAGTAAGATCCAACGATAAGTTGTACGGTTGGGGCCCCAAAAATGGTTTTGTGTACCAGAAACAGTATTTGGAGTTCCTCGTCCGTAAAGATAAGTTGAAAGAATTGTTGGATATTGTTGAAAAGCACAATGCTAAAGACACGTATGGTCTCATCACATATTATGCTGTGGATAAGAGTGGGAATTTGCATACCAACTCGAAAAACGACGATATCAACGCTGTTACCTGGGGTGTCTTCCCTGGTGAAGAGATCTTGCAACCCACAATTGTCGAAAAAGTTTCATTCTTAGCATGGAAGGACGAGGTTTACTCTTTACTTGACGAGTGGATCACGATTTTCCACAGCAAGGCCATCACAGATATTGTTCCTGAGGACAAGATCAACAAATTCGATGATTTAATCAAGTCCTTTGGCGAGAATTTTGTCTTGTGTAATTTCGTCAACAATGATTTCACAAGTGACAACAATGTCATGTTCAACTTATTGAACAGTCTCAGCGGGTCATGCTTGTAATCGGTTGCTTTGGGTCAATCATTATGACCCGCTGAGCTGCTCAATGTTTTCTTTTTTTCAGTTCAGCATCTTTGCAAACAAAAATTTTTATATGACCCCAAATGGGTCCGGCTTTTATCTAATTCAACATGGCGATAAAACGAATAATGACCCCCTCACCAAAATTGTTTATGACAAAAACGGGCTGTTAACTACAGCGCACAGCATTTGCTATTACTCCCAATAACCATATAGCATCCTCAACGGCATGATATTTTTTCTCTTGAAAATACACACTTATACTAACCATTTGTAACAGGCCCAGCCTCTATGGATTGTTCCTAATAAAAAACCGCTCATTCAATCGAGAGCCCCGACTCTCCATACTTCTAAACCCATCACTTTGAACTTGCCATACTTCTCCTTGTTGTCATGTGGCTCATTGAGAATCTCGTTTCCAAAAGTCTCACAAGGATATGAGACTCCCAGGTAAAGTGCCTTATCCAACCAAAGGCCATTTTGTCCATGAGAGGAGCCAATGGCAATGAAATCGTGGTTCGAATACACCATATTATCATTCATCCCCGTATACATAAATGCCTTGAAACGCTCTTTTTGGTGCGGTTCACCTTCAGAGCCCGTACGCTTATTTTCGTCGTACCACTCACATTTCCAAAGAAAACATTCTCCGTTACCATAGTATCTCTTATGGTCAGTGGCTCTCAAATGTTCATTTAGATAACATCCAAATCTGTTTTTCTTTTCATCCTGAATTACCATTACATATCCGTGGGGGCGCTGTCCCTTGTTGTGTTCATGGGCACTAAAAGTGACCATATTTTTCACAACGTCTTCAGCGTACCCTTTTTCTTCATGGATTATAGACTTTCTCAATTTGAGCTGGGTGCCGCTGGAATTCTGGAATCACAATGGCCGATATAGCGTGTTGAGCGAAATGCCATGCTGGTCCATAGAGTAAACAAGTTCCCACTCATTATACAACTGTAGACGCGGAGGCATCAAGTTACGAATGTTGTGAGCCAATTCCGGATCGAGAAGCCTATGGCGAGTAGAGTCGCTATATCCTGTGAACTTTAAATCCGAAAGCGCAGGCAATTCTGGCGATTCTGAGTGGGAGCTAGGTGGCGAAGGCTTTTGAGGCCCATGTATGATTCGAGAGATCAAAGATGGCTGTTTTCGAACCGGATGGAACCCCGTAGGATGATCCTGGCTCTCGTTTTGTGCAGAATGTGTCTCTGTCATGGCTAAGCGAAGAAAGAGGTGGTCACTTTAGTCTTCGCGATGTGGGGCAAGCAATACGCATGTGGGGTCTATAGTGCGCTCACTACATTCAATCCATTACAATGAGTGAATGGATCGATGGATTAGTGCTATTAGAGTTCGGGACTGTAAGCTCATATCTGCTTGGTGTTGAAAGATCAATAAAAGTTTCACTTGTACGAACCGTACTTTGTTCGCCATATCTGTGAACATTCTTTATGGCGTGATAGAGTGTCGAGTTTATACAAGTTCTACACCGCTACGAAATTTAATCAATCTGTCTCTTTTCAATACATCAAGATTCGTTTATTATATACCTCTGCTCACTGAAAATCTTACAAGGGAGGAAAGAAACTCCACTCCAATTTTCACACTATCGACGAAAATAATGCCAGGAAACACCTCGCTGAGCTTGTCATCTAGCCCAGCCATTCCGGCACAGCCCAACAAAATACAATCGATATTCGAGTCCTTATACTCTACTAAAACCTCTTCTACTCTAGAGGTAATTTTGCCAAACTCCACTGGATCGCTTAAACTTAAAACCAGAACATCCAATGCCCTCGTAGGTTCAAATTTGTGTTTGGGAAACACTCCACTGCCTGCAAAAGCTGTTATGGCTGAGTCCAATAATTCATTCCAACCACTTGTACTAGTCAACACAAGCAGACGCTTCAACCTAGCATTAGAGTAACTGTAGAGCAAAGTGGCTTGCATGATTCCCAAAACGGGCTTCGATGTAGATGTGGCAAGACTATGAATGAGAGGATGGTCCGAGTAGCAACAGATCAAGTACCCATCATACTTTGTGTGGAGCAGATTGGCCAAAAGATCAGCTAAAACAATCTTCTCCGACAACCCCAGCGTTTGAGCTCCATCAATTTCTTTAGGCGCAGCAGGTGGTGCAGTGTAAAACTCTAAGGTGATACCTGGTGGAGCGACTAAAATATTTCTGAGGTTATCAGTGACTGATTGGGACGAGTTGGGGTTGATAACTAACAAGGACATGGAAAAGCTGATAGGTTATATGCGCGTGAGAATTCGATTTGCAGACATGTTTTACGTATAAACGTACAGATAAGGGTAATAAGACACGAGTCTACACATTTTAATAATCCCTACATTGAATTTGAATTTGTGAGATGTATCGTTTAGTGACTACACTGACATCATCATAGCCTTATCACCTAGTTTTCGTCTTATCGCGTGAGCACAACATCACTATGACAGAATCAATTAGGTACGCCAAGTTTAGACAACTTCTTGTATTTAAAGTTTCCTTACTTCTCCTCTTCCTATACCTAATCACCTTTGAGTTGCTCGTGGAAAGGGATACATCTCTTCCTTTGATCACGTGGCTGTCACTAAATGGATGCACTCTTATTAATTAAGGAAGATTAGTATGTCTTTTGTTGCCGCTATAGATTCACCTACCAACATAGCAACATGGTCCAGGTGTGTAATATCCTTAGCTGCGATACTGGAACATATCTGTTTCTCGATTTTCCCTGACACCTTGGCTCTTCTGGCTATCAATTCGTCTCGAACGACACATGGGGAAATTGCCTTTACTGGCCCTTTTTTTCACGATTATGACTTCCAAACTGACTTAATTCTTCCTGAAGGTTTTTCAACAACTACATCAAGCAACTCCAATCCAAAATACTCATTTGTAGTTGCATCGAAGCACATGTTGACGTTGTTTAAGAATCTCGAGCCTAGTAACTTGAGCTACATCTTCCTACGCGTCGATTGCAACGAAAGTACACCTATCGCACGTCGAAATAAACTACTAGTCGAAATTTTGACTAAGAAATTAATTGTCAAGAAATATCAGATGAATTACCTGCCTGTTGAACACATGGGCACGGCAATTGGTACTAGCTATAAGACAGAATTCGAGGAAGGGAATGTCAATTTTTTCATGATGGAAACGGCAATCATGAAACTGTTTTTTGATATGGTTCCTCTCGCAACAGAGGATCTTTCGATAGATGTGAAGACTACTAAGATACTGTTTGGCGCATATACAAAACAAGTTCTAAAAGACCGTGAGTACCTCAAACAACCCATGCTGATTACAATCCTGATGGCAGTGAATGAGCTAATGGATTCGAATTTGGGGCGATGTAAGTCTCTCTGTCAATTTTCGACTCAAAGATTTCCGAACTTTTATTGCGCTTTGTACGTCACTCAAAACAGATGGTCGCTGTGAACCACAATACTTCGACGGTGATCCGCATTTTGAGGCATATTTCAAGAAGAACGGAGATCCCATTTTTTTCGAATTCAAGTCTCAGAATGCTGTTGTCAGGTTTATCCAGTTTACTGCTGATGAAAACGCTACGGTGGATGAGTCGAAAGAGAAGTATGTGCTCGTAGCACCAACCATCCTGAGGGCAGGAACTTCACTAACTGAAATGACAGAATCCGTCGCAAATTCACGCCAGTCACAAATTATAAGTTTATCACCATCTCGTGCCCTGCGATTTTCTTCCTATCGGCCCGAATCTGACGATTTTCCGTCCACACATCATGCTCATAGACATATAGTGACCTACGGCAAGGCACCATCGGACTCGCCAGACAGACAACCAACAGCCAGAAATAGTGATACAGACTACAATACGTCGGATGAAAATGAGGGTGAACAGCAGACATTAGGACCTACTCAGACCACAAACAAACCAGTTTCACTTTTTGAGTGATGGTCTAGAGTAAACAAACCAAGAATGCTGTGAGATTTAAATGTATTCTAGGATTCTTCGTCGACAGAAATAATGTTTATTTGGGGAGATATGATACAGTGGCAAGGGGACACACGGTCGGACCTAGTTGGCAACCTGAGCATTCTTGTTTTTGCGATAATAATTGGTTGCATATCTATACCCTTGGGCCAATTGGGCACATTCATTGACAAAATGGCAGCCAAATAACAAGTAATTCTTAGGCAGAATGGCTAAGGAGTACCTCATGAACACTAAGGAGTACACAATCAAAGAGCCAGTCATGGGGCCACTGATAATATCTGGGTCTTTTTTCAAGTCCAAGACGGCGGCAACGGGGATACCGAAGTTGGACACAGGACCCCAAAAGTGAGTAGTGAACAAATATTTGAAATTCTGCTTGTTGAAGATATTCTTGAACGACATGTCGAATTCGAATTAGTGAGAATTTCGGTTCTGAGATATCCGGAAGCGCAGCGGGGTTGAAGTGAAAAAGCAGGTAAGCATTTTCCCCATGTGCAGGCCGCGCCCAAGTTTCTCCACTAGTTCAGATTGATGTGCCTCTACTATGTAGTATAGGATTTAATGATATCAACAAGGCTTTCGCCATTTACTAGATGTGTGATGTATTTATTTATATGCTTTGTCTCCATTTTGATCAGGAAATTCTTTTTTAGCTCAGCGTTTTCTCAAGTAATTTTATAGTGAGCTAAGTCATAGGGAATCATACAGAAGATCCAGACCACTTGATCCGCTGCCTTGTTTGAACTGTACGGGTACAGGAAAAACTCCATAATGATCGATATTCAGTTCCATTGTAGTAAGTTGCAGCGGAACTGAATCGAGACCCATAGACCCAAAAGAATTTGAGCTGGGCTCAGTTGATTGGACACCCAGGGATGCAGCATTCGGCGCTTGTGGGTGCAAGGGCTGAGGTTGTTGAAGATTATGTTGGGCTTGCTGATGATGTGGGGCCTGTTGATGCTGTCCAACAGGGCGTTGCAAAAGAGGCTGATGTTTCAGAAGCGATTGATGTTGAATGGGCAGGGTTTGCATTGGCTGAAGAATTGGTTGACTTTGCATTGATTGACTTTGCATTGATTGAGGTGGCATTGATTGAGGCGGCATTGGGTGCGGTGGCATTGGGTGAGTTGGCATTGGTTGAGTTTGCACTATGGGTTGCTGAGGGGGTACAATAGGCTGTGATTGCAGGGCCAAGTTAGATTGCTCTGCATTGGCCCATAATGCCGGAAGATGATCTTGATCATACAGTGCAGTAGAAATGGACTGATCTCTCATTGTATTCAACACTTGTTGCATCTCGTCATCAGACGGGCTGCTAAGATAGTAGGGCAAATTGTCTGGATTAGTAATCCAGAAAGGATCGTTCATGTTGAACCCGACCATGGAGCTGGATCCAATATCATTATCTGGCATCGATTCACTGTTTCCACTTTTGTTCTCTGAAAAATCCTCATAACGCTTATAAAGTTGGATTGCTTGTTGGATGTTTTTGTTCACCAAGTATACAATGTTGGTGGACCACAAATTAGCATTTTGCTCCAACAAACTGTGGCATTGGATGTCAAGATCAATGATGCTGTTCAACTTGCCCTTAATGTCCTTGAGAAATTGAGGAGCCTTGCCACGAATAAAATCTTGCGCCTTGTAATTAAGAAGAGTGAAAATGACAATCATTCCCTGGTAGATGAAGGAGTTTATAAACGGATACTGTGTTCTGAATGCTGTTCCTAACCTTATCTTGCTGACGACTTTGCCATCAACTCCAACATACTTGGGAACATTCTGCTGAAGAAATGCCTTGACAAAATCAAGTATATAGTCCAAATACAAGTAAATGCACTCGCAAATAGAGTTGAAAAGGTAGTCATTCTCTTGAACACCAACAAATTGGTTCATAAAAGGTTGTAACAACTTAGCCCTGTTAACGTGAAGTGCCAATAAATCTCCTAGAGCTTCACATCGATCAACGTAGATTGGAATATCAGAGTACTGGTTTAGCTCGTTTTCATTACCGCGGATAGTGTCTCGGTACTCTTTAGAAGCGAACCACATTAATGATTTAGCCTCCTCTTTGAATTGATTTTCGAGCATTACGACGTTTTCAAGAGTGAAATTCATCATAAAGCTCTCAATTAGCATAACATTAGAGAGGCGAATGCACTCGCTTAATCCCATTTTCAAGTGAACTTGAGTTTCCTTAAGCGCCAAGCCCATCTTACTTAAACTTGCCATACCAGACGACATAAGAACTAACAGGTTGACCTGAATCAGTATTGGAGATGGCCGACCCAAAATAGAGCATAATTGTCCGCTAACGTGCTTCAATGCAAACCATACTTTGAATCTCGAAATATCGTACGCATCATCATCTTCTTCCTCTTCCTCTTCCTCGTCGTCACTTAATGCCTTTTGATCAGAATCCTTCAGTACTTCTTCGGTCTTTTCTTCATCATCGTCATTCTTCGTCATTTGAGCAATACCAGCAGTAGCCTTGTCCACGTTTTTACTTGTTGTTCTTAGATTGAACATCACATGGAGACCTATCGAGTAGGCTATAGAGCAGCTGTGGAACATCATAGACCAAGCCTCTTCGTAAAGGCTATCGATAAAGTACCATTCTATGCAAAGAATATGGGCCTGGACTGTAACAATAGACTCATTTATGAGATTATGCCGCAACAGGGAAAATCCACGGTAAAGGGCCTTTTTCAAACTGTTTGTTCTCATATTCAAAGTAGAAACAGACTCTATAGGCTCCGTCGAAATACCACTCTCATTGTAGTCTTTTGGAGTCAATCTCTGCACCAGTAGTATAAGCATCATATGCAAAAGCAACAAGTCATCATCATGCTCCCACTCGTCTTCTTTTATCAAGTGGTAATTTTCCACAAAATTCAACATTTGAGGTTGGGAAATCATGCTTCGGTACCTCGAAACGTTGAAAAAATGGTTGACTAAATAAATCACAACTCGTCTGTTTTCTTCCTCTGATGATCTAGAGCGAAGAACATTGGGTAGTTTCTTTTTCATTTGCGAGGGCTCATCTTCCTCCGTGTGATTATCTGGTTCTTGGATATTGTCATCTTTCTTCGAGCTGTCGTCGGAATGGGGGGTATTGTCCTTTTCCCGTCGAAGGACATCAATCATGTAGTTCGACAGCAGCGGCCCATAATACTTCTCCCCTAATTCAGTAGTTTCACCTGAAATTTCAAATGCACCATCTGAACAACAGTCTGCATTGGAAGCCCGGTCCGCCTTCTGAAGTTTGTTCTTCAAATCACGAACCTTTTGTATCAATCTGAAATTCTCGTGAAGTATCCCTAATTTCTCTCTTCGTAGCAAAGTAACTTCCTCTGACAACTTGGAAACATCTGGTGAATGACTGTCATTATGCGTCCCTTGAGAAACAGTTTGGGATATACTATCCATACTTGGGTCCTCATCTTTATGAACTTCCACATTCCTGAACTTGGAGGGAAACTCACACTTCAAATTGTTCTTGAAACACCTGTTGCATGGCTTTCTTTTGTTGCACTTAACCTTTCTGCGGCGACAGGGGATACACGAAATGGGATATTCACTCATTGGTATGGAAAAGATTTTACGAAGATGTAGTCAGAGAGGCACATGTCTTGGACTCTTTTGGACGATGGTGCTCATAACCCGACATGTCTCGCCTTTATAATTGCACTTCGTACCTACATGGCTGTCCGTATGCAGAGGAAGGCTTAGAAAAGGTATCATATATTTTAAATTCCCTAAGCGTTATATCTATGCTGGGATCTTCGAGCATGTATTATTTGCTTTCTGCTTTCTTGTATGTTCTGGCTTCTCACTCTTGGTGATGGTCGTGCTATCGGAATTCCATCACTTTACAATGCATGCTGCGGACTATCGCCTGATGAGATGCAGTCTTGAATGACACCTGAGCTAACCTTCAATTAAGAGAGTAATATACGTCGGATGGACCTGGACACCTTTCCGAAGACTAATGTAAGCTTCTTCGCACTTTTCTTCGGGGTTTTTCCGGTAACAACATTGGTTCTCGATGGCAATTTTACCTGCTTTGCATTTCAGCCCCTTTCATTAATAAAAGCGCATGAGCATCCCCAATCTTAAATTCATAGAAAGGCTAGAACAAAGCAACATGACAGTTTTCTAAACATTTAAAGCAGATAAAAATATAGTTTAACTAGTAATGATCTATTTCGCTAGTTTATCAAAGCGGTCCCGGAAAATAACTCCTGTATGTAGTATTTAAAGTTTCATGTTCTTATCTATCTTGATTATCTATATCGCGTTTTGCGAGAGCCATTTCGCACTTCCCTTAACGTTTTTGTATTCTTGTACTCACATTTTTTATCCCACACCAGTCAATGAAAACCAGAGAACCCTATATGGAAGATGACGTGACGTATAAAACTCATTTTTCACTTGATCAAAATCTGCTTAAAATCCCTCTCACGACCGATGCGCCAATTCAAGCCCCTGGTGCTGTCAACACGCCGAAGTTTTCTCTGAGGAAGCTGTCTATGGAACCGTATTATAAAACATCAAGCCGTCGGAATACAATAACATCGAGTCGCTCTTCTTACGTGATGATGTCTGATGTTTTTGACTACCACTATCTTGATCAGATCGATGCAGAAGATTACGAAAATGCAATCGTCACCGATAGCGACACCGACTATGATGAAGAGGAAGATGGTGATTTTCAAGTGCGGCATCATAGAAAATCAAGAACCTGGTCAGATGAATGCAGCTCTGACTCGGAGTTGGAAGACTATAAGGTTCATTTTCTTATGTTTAAGGTCACATCTCGGGCGCAATATTCGGTTCCGCCTCGGTCTTCATCTTTGACCGCATCAGATCAATATGAAGACGTTCCTATGAAAGGCGCAGACTACAGTCTCATTCCCACAGTAAATCATCCCAGATTTTCGTCGCCTCTTTTCCATGGACCACTGTGTCCCATTGACTTTTTAGACGATCCTTTGGAGAAGGTTCTTTCAACTTATTCTCTTCAATGTAACAACCCATTGAATATCATTGGAAAACATGAGCGTGAGGTGACTGAAGTGCTGAAAGCGCCGCTCGCTAATGCCAGAAATGTTAGTGACAGCTACGATGGTGCGGCGGTCAAGAATGGAATCGTTTCTGATGTGTATGATACCGAGAGGATTGAATACTTGTTTTAGTTTATTTATAATTCGAATTGAATCCTCGTTATCAAGGAGATGAGTCAGAAATACATTACACTGGTTCATCGATTTCTCTCTATCTTTCTCGAGTATGCTTCGCTAAAAGTATAAGACTCACCTAGAAAGTCGCGTTTAACAACTCATACATGATTAGACACATGCATGGAATTAAAACATTGTCATTCAATGTAGCCGCACCTTCAAGAACAGAGCCTGAGAGCGCTACAATGAAAATGTTTTCCCAATTGGTGCCTTCCTTTTGCAAAATAAAAGAGTCAATGACACCGTAACTTGCAAGAAAAACGACGAGGTACGTCAATGTTCCTTCCAAAGTTCGATTACCTCCCTTCCATTTCTGTTTACCAAACTTTGAGCCAACGATAGATGCCATTGAGTCACTCAAACCTAAAGCGACAACCCCGATATAAGATCTTAAAGAAACAAGGTCTTCAATTAGAGCACCATACACGATAGGGACGGCCACACCAATAAGCAAAAAGATATAGGACAAGTTCAAAGGACCCTTTGTATCCTTTTCATCTTGGAAATGCGCAAGTTGACTATGCAAGAACTTGCCCAAAAATGTGAGTCGAGTACAACGCACTGCTTCGATGGCAATAAATACAAACACAGACCCCGAAACAGCAATGGCCACAAAAACAGGTTCTTGAGTCATTGCTGGGTACGAAATCGCACCTGTTAACATGAAGTGCCAAGCTTTCCTGCTGAGATTGAGGGATATAACTTTCTTTGAAGACAATAAGAACATAACTGGAATGGCGATCGCAAGAAGAAGAACCCACGATGCAAGAAGCCTCACTCGCATCTCAGACGAAGTAATGTAGTTGATCAACCAAGAGATAACCTCGACATCAATTGTCTGTGTTCTGAAAAGATAATTCATCGTGTAATAAAAAGAAGCAGCGAAAGCTCCAATGACACCAAGAGATGCAATTTCGAAAAGAGCACCGCCAGAAAGATAGCGTGTGCCATAGTAAAGAGGGTATGAAATACCAAAAGCAACAATGAGTGAGATCATCAATGCACGAATAATGTATAACACAATAGTCGTGTCATTTAACTCCACATGGAAATTGCACAAGAGGTTGACAATGAATACACAGATGATATGTATCTCTGTTGCTGACAAAGTCGTCTTAACAGTATCATCTTCATCATCCTCTCTGTGTTCATTCCAGGTAGTGAGAGCCATTTCCAAGGAAAAGTACAACCAAACGGCACGGACGAATTCGAAAAGTTCCAAAGTCTCGTTTTCATTGTACATGTAGTAAAAAACAAAGGAGGATAATACCTTCGCCACTGGATGCAAAGACTTAACACAAAAATTGTTCAAAGCCAAGTTCATTTGGAAAAATGGTGATGTTGTGTCGCCAAGCAAAATCAGAAACAGAATTGGAATAAGGAAAGCGTAGATGGTGTTGAATTCGGGCAAGGCTGGGTAAACTGTGTTCTCTGGATCCGCATTGTATTTCTTCACCAACGAACGATGACTCAAATACATAGCCAAGAGTGCTCCAAGGATGTTGAAACCTATAGCCAGCACCGCCGCAAAGTCCTTCTCCAAATAGAGATAACTAATCTGGCAATAGTATAAGCATGTCAAGACCTCAACACCTTTGCGAAAGTTCATGTGGAGATTCAAAAAGTCTTGAAACTCGTACAAAACACTGAGTGGAAACTTAACCTCTTCTTGGGTCTCTGGCTCAGGTGCCTGGGACAATTCCTCATGCTTGGTCGTTCTTGGGGATGTTGTCTCTTCTAATTGTTCCGCATTTTCAATATTCTGAAAAATAGCTGCAGTGCTTCTACTTGAAGCACTTTCGTTCTTGTTGACCTGTTTCCGGCGTGCCATGATGCTTGTAAACTTGATGAATCTCCCACCGAACGTTGTATTATCTCGGTGCAGGTGCCAAGGCGGGAACAAGTGCAAAAAATAATGACTCCGGCGTGATTCGAACACGCGCATCTTACGATAACAGAACTTGAGTCTGCCGCCTTAGACCGCTCGGCCACAGAGCCACTTTATATTAGATTATTTTGCTGCTCTTTCTAGAGACAGAACTTCCATGGTAGTCGAAGTAGTACATCATTTGAAAAAAGCCCTTGGTGAAGAAAAAGCCAATCACCCTTTCGGATCAACTAGGGAAAGGTACAATCACTAGTTTATAATCAAACTTGACTTGGTTGAAGTTGCTGAAAATCAGGCACACGCACATTCGCAAAAATTATTACATTGGCCATTTTTGGTGACTTGTTGAAAAGAAGTGCATGGAAGTAACCTACCGATGGATGAGTTGCAGCATGTGCGCCGCTGCTGATTACTAAGCTTGGGAAGACGGCTCTTGTCGGCAATAGTCGTTGACCCAAATGGTGCATATAAACATCGGACGTTGATGTAAATGTGGAATATTATCTCCACCGAAGGTAGTCAATCTCGCGGAGTGCATGTACCATGAAAGAGCCATGCCATTCTTCGCCCAATATATACTTTTGCCTCAAGCAGAAAAATAGTGCCATTACTGGCTAGTCCATGAGAAACGTTTCTATATTCCCAAACAATGTTCTAGAACACAAATGTAGGAAGTGAGCGGTGATGAATGTTCGAGAGTGCTTTTTCTGTTGCCTTCGAATTGCACTTTCAGGCACCGGCATATGCAGTAATGCCTATTATAGAGCCATTACCTAACGTGCTTGCTGCATCTATATGCAATCGAAGCCGGTAGATATATAACGGGCAATCCCATGATCGTAGGCTCTTTTTATTTCACCTCAACGTTTAGTTAAATCACAAAAATGGGAAAGGCTTTAATCGCAATCACTTCATACTTCGGTCCTTTCTACGATGATGGAGCCAAGACTGGTTTGTTCTTTGTTGAGGCTTTGCACCCATACGAAACCTTCACCCAGAAGGGATACGAAGTCACTTTTGTTTCCGAGGATGGAACTTTTGGCTGGGACGAACACTCGGTTGCAGAAGCTTTCCTTCCAGCAGGAAAGGACAGAGAGATCTACGAAGACAAGAACTCTACTTTTATGAAGGCCATCTCTAACGTTAAGAAGCCATCCGAAGTCAACGCTGATGACTACGACATTTTCTTTGCTGCTGGAGGCCACGGAACCACCTTTGACTTCCCAAAGGCTTCCGGCTTGCATGAGTTAGCCGCCAAGATCTGGTCCAACAATAAGGTCGTCGCTGCTGTGTGCCATGGCCCACTCATTTTCTCCAACTTGTTGGTGGATGGTAAGCCATTGATTGAAAACAAGAAGGTCACAGGCTTCACTGACGAGGCGGAAGCAATCATGAAGCTTGATGGAACTATGAAGAAGTATGGCTTGAAAACTGTCAAGGACATTGCTCAAGAGTGCGGTGCAACTTACGTTGAACCTGCTGACCCATGGAGCTCCTACACTGTCACTGACGGTAAACTTGTCACAGGTGTCAACCCTGCATCTGCTGCGGAATGTGCTGAGAAGAGTATTGCTGCTTTGAACTAAACTAATGTCTATTTTATATCTATGATACATGATTACTGAATTGCTTGTGTTGAAACATTTTACTATGGCTCATGAAAGAAACTATGTAATATTCATTTGCACATAGATGGAATTCCTTCGAGATATCAATCTAGTTGAAAGTGGAGCGCAAATTACAATAATTTTCCAATTTTCGAGCTCATGTTTTCTATTCCAAGTTTCTTGAAGCCTACTCGTCCAAAAAAATAAAAAAAAAAAAACCGCACATTGGTCATCATGATTATTGCAGATTATTTGCAAGGCACTAGATTATAGTCCTTCCAAAACTATAAGGTGAAATTATATTGGATACATGTATTTTATGGAGATGTGATCACATAATAATTGGTTAGTAATTACATTCTTCTGAACGGATTCAAGTAACTTTAACTCAATGTTATCACGTAATTCGTTCTTATATTTGCTACAACTAGGTTGTTGAAAAAAAAAAATAAATATGTCAGTAAAATACAAGATATTGTACTAAAAAATAAGCCCGATGCGGGGCTCGAACCCGCAACCTTTTGATTGACCTTATTGAGATTAAGAGTCAAATGCTCTACCGATTGAGCTAACCAGGCGATTACATTTGCTTATTTTTTTAGTGTATATATAACAGCTTACTTTTGGAAGTGAAGAGAATAAAAGTTTGATTTTTTTATTATTGGCCTTTAAGCATGCTATATACCTCAATCAAGAATTACTGCCTTCTTTTTTTTCTTCTTCTTTGTCGTTTTCACTTCCGTAACCTCTGGAACCACTGGGGTTTGTTCACGTTGCTCTGAAGATTTGGATACCTCGTCATTTTGTTTTGACGTTGATAATTCCTCCTTTGCGATCTGCTTTTCCCTTGAATGAGGTTTGTCTGACTTTTTTACTTTTTTCTTTTTATCCTTACGTGCTTTCTTCAGATCTTTTTCAGCCAAACGACTTCTCAATGCCTCCAAGTCAATGTCATATTCGTAACCTTGCATCTCCTCCTTCTGTCCGAGACTTAAAGAGTCCAAACTGAAGTTCTCGAGACTTATAGCATTCGAAAATAAGGGCTTCTTCTTTTTCTTTTCTTTCGCAGCTTCCTCCACGATGTCCTCTGCCCCGTCTATGGTTTCTTCTCTCAAAATAACAACCTTTTCTTTCTTTAATTTCTTGCTCTTCGATTTACTTTTCCCTTTAGCTTCTTCCTTCAATGATGTCGAGCTACTTTCATTCTGTTTGTCAACAGTTGCTCCTATCTCCTCAAAATCAAGCAAGCTTTGCTTTGCATTGCGCAGCTTCTTTTTAGTTCCGGTTGTGATGTAGTAGGGGTCATCCTTTAAGCGCTCTATTCTCTCTTTCGCTGCTTCGTCCGAATTAGGATCTTTCTCATTCCGTTCCTCAGGCTCCTCGAGTTCTTCTTCACTGGAGGAGTCACTATCAATCAAGCAGTATTCAGGAGGCTCGCTAATTGATGTTTCCAAATCCAAATCATCTGGAAGAGCAATACGCTTCTGCGCTGTATTGGATACAGGGTTAAGTTCATACGATTTAAAGAACGAAGGTAAAATCTGAGTCAAAAGTTGGGGTAGCTCCTTATTCTCCTCAGAGGTTGGCTCATTAGCGATTCCTGTTGCAGGATCCTCCGAATATTCTTCACCTTTTGAAGTTTTACTTTCAGGCAAATCTTCGTCATCATCATTTTCTTCTTCGGATGTCCCATCACTTTCGAGCTCCAACATATCCTCATCTGAAGAGCTCTCCGTGTCACTACCCTGGCTTAAAGAGTTGCTATTGTCGTTTGTGTTTCTTTGGAAAAGTTCCTTATAATATTTTAACTCATCATCCTCTAATTGTTTCATCCCTTCTTTTGCTGTCTCATGCAATGCATCCATACAGATTTTCAAAAATTCTAACCAAGACAACGCCCTTTCTTGTACTTCATAATCTAGGTTTTGATCGAAGTTTTCAAGGAACTTGATCAATTTTAACAAAAAGAAAGAGACTTGATGGTAGAACTTAGTTGGCAAAGCACCGTCACTGGCATAAAGGTATTGATAGTCAGAAATAATGCTTGAAAAGAGCTTGATTATACCTTGAATCAAAAGGCACAAAACGTCAGGTTCTGCCAAAGCCAGTAATTTCTTGGAAACGGGAAAATGGGTCCCTTGGTCTAACTTTCGATCGATGTAACCGTTTACGAAACAGTTGAATAATTGCACTTTCTCGCCAAGACCCGCTACCATCAGCCCTTCTTTGTCCTCTTCCTCTTCATCCATGCCTTCAGAAAGCTGATCGGGCATACTCACCCATGATCCAATACAAATCTCTCATTAAAATAGGACAGCATTCCAAAGGTGAAACAGACTTCGCATACTGTATAACGACGGTAGACAAAATAAAAGGACGAATTGACGGCACTTTAACGGCTAGGGACTTGAACTCGGTTCCAAGTTTCAATGCGATGGTGTCAGATGCATGCTTTGAGAGCGAAACAGACGAGTTGTGAGCCGAGTCTTCGGGAGATGGAATGACAGTCAAATCAACAAGTTCTTTCAATGCAGTGACATACCACTTGAAGTTGGGAATATTGGAGTAATTATCGTGAGAAGCAATTTCTAAAATCTTATGCGTGATCTCCAATTTTATGTTCTCAGGAACAGGCTGATTCATGTCCTCTTCCACAAGTTGCATGAGGAGTAGTTTGACTAAATCGGCTATATTGTCCTCAGTGACCAAATAATGACAGATCTCTAAAGCCTTTTGCTTAATGATAAGATCTTTGTCAGTAAGACATTGCATGATAACTGCCGCAACCCCCAGAACTTTATGTATAAAGATAGGAAACGACCTGACAATCTTGATAAGTGCAAGTAATCCAACATACTTTAAGTTCGAATCACCAGTGTCGAAGAATTTCATTAGACTCTCAATACATTGCTTTGCAATATCCCGATCCTTAGAAGAGTCAGAGAGCATACCCCCATTAACAATGCAATTGATACACTCATAGACCAAAGATGTTGCATCAGTCTTGTTCATCAAGGTAATGATATAAGGAAGGATTTTCTTTTTCATTCTAGGTTCCACTTTCAGTAAACTCTGAAACAACTTGAGTATACGAATTGTAAGCCAATTGTTCGTAGATTCTTCGAGAATGGAGAAAATTTTTGGCAAGTAATTCACAAAGATGTTGGGATTCTTCTTGGAGATTTCACAGATCACAGTAATTGTTGCGCTAACAACAGACACGTCTGTATCATCTAACTTCTCAATCACGCGAGGCAAGCACGATCTTAGACTCTCAGGATATTGGATGAAGACTTTGAAAAGCGCCAAAATCGCCTTTTTCCTAATATAAGGCTTTGAATGCGTAAGCTTCATGACCACGTCATCCACAATGTCCTTAGCCAAAGCAGGGGTCACAATAGTGGCAATGCCACTAAGAGCCAAACCGATTTCAATGTGATTATGAGAGTTTAAGTCTTTCTTGAACTGATTGGTTGCCAAAATCAACAAGTCCTGTTCATTCTTGAATGATTGCATAGACGCCAAGTAACCAATTCGCTTTTGTTGAAACTTGGCTGAAGACATAACTTCAAGAATTCTGAAGTTGCACCAACTCATGTCAAAACCATACATCTCCAAATATGCAAGTTTCAAAACAGCAGTCGCTTTGACCTCTAAATCTGTGGTTGATAATTCATCTTTACATTCCTGAATCGCAGTGTCCAAAAACGTCAGTAAGCTCTCGGGCGACTCTTTGGAATGAGCACGTATACCCTTAATGAGATCCGAAAGTGACTTCTCAAATGTAATTCCAAATGGCTTGAGCCGGGCCAAAACTTCGGAACTCTGAATTTGGAACGAAGCCATAGATTTTCGAAAGAATCAGATTCAGAACAAACGCACTTTTCTGTTGAAGAATCACCTTGTCCTGCATTGTACTCGTGTCTTATCAAACAAGGTTATTCCCACAAGGAAAGGTCTCTGGCACTAAACGTTTGTGGAATAATAAGTCAGTGATCACGTCTTGGTCAAAAGCAGTTTCTGATCGTATTCACTTGGATAATGAACTCACAGGATGAAAATTCTGATTTGGAACAAGACCGCACCCAATGCTCTGACCAAAGTGAAAGTTCAGAGGTAGACACTAACTCTGGTTCCGAAGACGATTTTATCAGTAGCGGTGACGAGTTGACGACAGTTATTTCGTCGGATGAACAACGACACAATTTTGGATTTGCATCGTCACTTTCAGAGCATACAGAGTATTTTACCAAAACATTGGCATATGCACTAGACTCAGTCCAGATGGATAAGTCACTAGTGACACAAGCACAAATTAGTGGCAAAATCAATAACAAGAACCAGAAATTGATTGAAAAGAAGGAAGAGCTACGTATGAAGCTACAGCATTTAAAAATGTTACATGACAAACACATCACCAGTAATAGACTCGGTCAGCTTGAGAGGGATATTAGAATGTTCTCGACACGTTTAGAAATCCTTAAGAATGGAGTACAAAAAACTCTGTTGTTAGGCAAAAAAAGCACACAAGGCGTGGCGCAGAAATACCCGGTGGAGTATAATCAGGCTAGAGATAAGATTCTAGAACGAGAATACGACTGAATTGGCGTTGATGTTTCCAAAAAAAAAAAGGGAAAGACACCTATACTTTAGCATAAACTATTCCCACTCCATCCATCCACAGGCCCGTATAGCCATACATTCCCACCATGCGGCTTGATTGAGGTGGTTCGAAGACAGATACATGCCCTCCATTCGTGTTTCCCAACATGCCAGAAGAACGGCCTGTGTTAGTCTCAATGCATATAGCATCCACCCATTGACCGCTTCTAAACAGCATCTTCGTGATAAATTCACCCGGCTGAAGAGTGAACTCCGTGTAATGTGGTTTTTCATTGCCAAGCGTCACCTTCTGGGTTGTACCACCCGAATCATGGGATTTTGGAGGGTCGATGGACAACTTTCCCATGACTTTTGCTAAATAATCTCTTTTGGGTACAGGTGGTGCGTGGTGTCCATTATTCGAAAAGAAAATGGAAATACCGTCCAACGCAAAACCATGGTAGACACGAATATTTGTAATCCTCATTACGTCAAAACCAATAAATTTCATGTCACCCTTTGCTGAGCCCAATAGGTCGCTTTTGTAACCTTCAATAATCCCTCTTCCTAAATTGAAATCACTTTTAATGACAGTATCCGATGAAATCTGCGAGCTCTTCTTGAAATTCTTAATGTACAAATCACCAGAAACGGACAATACTCTTACGTCGAATTCATCACCGGCTCTATCCCAGCTTTGTTTGAATTTGCAGGACAAGTCCTTGTAATCCAATGTAATTTCATGCTGCACACCAGGCCCGCCATATGATTTTGGGAAGAACGGAATATGAAATCTAGCCAAATCTTCACCACAAAGCTCAATCATATAGATTCCTGGGATAGATCTCACTGTCAAGACTCCCGATGCCACAATATACAGAGATGGCGCTTCCTGGTTGGGATACAGTTTGTTAGGCATAAAAGTAGACGCTTGAATTTTTGGAAAAGTATCATCGTTCTTATCAACCGGAATACTGAAAGAATCATGATATAAGTATCTGATGAGATCCCGGATGTTCCAATGGCATGTCTTTGGCCAGCACCCATTCCGGTTAATGCAACAGCCCTGCTTTTTATCCCGGTCACAGTACGCTTCTCTCGTCATAAACGACCTATTCCACCAAAGGTAATCACGAAGCATAACACCATCCGTTTGATGAGGAGATCCAAACAGGTGTCCAATTTCGTGCATGAATGCACCCATACAAATGTTGAGGCATTCCCATGAGGTGGAACATTGAGAGGCGTCATTTGCTACTTCCTTCTTACTTAATTTTGTATCATCCAAAAAGCTGGGAGTAATCTGAGGAAACGTAAGAGGAAATGAGTGAAGACCATGAGAGCCAAAGATCGCCAATTTGACTTCTCCGGTGCCTCCACCGAGTGCAGCATGTGTCACTATCGTATTTGAATCCCAGTGAGAATCGAGGTACATTACGGCGCATTGAATGGCCGTATCCGTATCCTTGTATGGTTGGTAAAAATCCTGTTTCTGAATCAAATCTATAGCATGGTTAAAAAGCCAGCCACTTTCTTTTGCCTTTGGGTTTTGTTGGGCATAGTTTGGATCCCGCAATTCTTTGACGGTTTTGGGCGAACGAATGACATGAATCTTGGCTTCAGCATGAGGGATCTTAGACTGAAGACTGTAGCCGAACACACCTTGGAAATTCTGCATCTCTTCGACAACTTGAAAAGTACGATTGCTTAACCCCACATTATGAAATTCGTCTTGTGTGTATGCTTGCATCATTCTAGCCGCAACTTTTAGTCTTTGAATGGCTGTATTCAAATTAGCTAGTTGTCCCTGCTGCAATTTATAATTTGGCATATCATAGGAGCCGTCGGAATCTTTTCCGAGAATCACACAAATGTGCAAAGGTTTATTTTCGGGAAGCGGGTTGAAGAAAAGAGTTAACTCTGACTGATCAGCTGCTTTCCGCCCGTTCTCAAGAAATCCACCAGCGTTTAGGCGGGCTTTATCCCATATCGTCACTTTGAATTTGTTTGGTTCGCCTGGAGACACATGTAAGAGTGCTTTGAAGCAGCCGTTGTTTACTTCAAAGAATTGTGGGGGAAATACCAGATTCTCATTATTGATAAATTCTATGACACCATGGTCAGTTTTTGAGCTTGTTCCGGAAACAATGACAGTAGGAGAAGAAACAATTTCTCCATTCTGATAATTAAACTCGATCATGAGGTTTCGTCGAGTATGAGAAAAAGAATTCGTAATTCAAAGTAGTACCTGAATTTAAGTGTTAGGTGTCATTCGCGTCAATCTATTGTCGCTCAGCCCCACAACATTCTCCGATGGGGCAGTTTCTAAGTGTCTAAACATCAATATGAAGGTGCAAAGTTGCTGTGGAAACTTTTTTATTCGATGTCAATTACTTTCTTTTCCTTTTCCATGACCCTTCTTTTTCGCTTATATTTCTGAGGTGGGGCTAGAATACTGTTCCAGAAACGCGCATTAGTATCAGTAAGCAAAGTACTATCAGGATCTTTTACCTTGATAATTGAATACCAACAACTTTCAAGCTACCGATTCTTTTTTTAATTCTCCACGATGACAAGGCGTTCTAAAAGGATTGCTAGAACAGACGAAGTAAGGAATTTTCGCATGAACTCTGAACCTATTGACTTGGATAGCGATTTGGAAGTTGTTGATGTTGACGCGGATCCTAAAGAATTGAAAAGCGATACTTTACTCCCGGAGACTATTCCTGATATAGGAAATGACAATGATGAAAAGGAAAACTTGGATAGCCTTTCGATGCATGAAACATCGAAATCTAGAAAACAAAAACATAAAAAGAAGAAATCAAAACAGAAGCAGAAAAACGTCGAGCTTAGTGCTAAAGAGGCCTCAATTCTCTCTAGTGTGATGAAAATAGCAAAGAAGTCTCCTTCTACAGAAACAAAAGCGAAAGAAACTTTGGTTCAAGAGGAGTCATCTCCCAAACCTGACGTGAGTGGCACAGAGGAAGGAAGGGATGACGCCGCTCACAACGGCTCTGATGAGGAAATATCTATCATTCAAGTCGTTGAGGTGCCTTCAGAGCAAAAGTTTTTAAGAAAAAGAGCTCTGAAGGAGACACATCCATCTAACAAGAAGCACAAGTCTGTCGAGGAAGAAGCAACCAATGATACTAGTACAGAAAACGCATTATCCGAAGAAGAAGCAACCAGTCATACTGATACCGAAAACGAATTATCTGAGGAAGAATCATATGGAAACACAAAGATATCTCCGCAAATTGATGTGAATGAATTATCCTTCGAAAGCAAAAAACTTCCTTCGGTCATTGAAGTAGAGAGCTCTTCAGAAGATGAAATGGTGGAACCTCCCACATCGCAACCGGTATCTTCCACTCCCAAATCTTCTATCCGTCTTCTATACAATTCTAGTTACAAATTGACTGATGAACTCACGGACACTGACGTAAATGTGGATACAGTCACAGTTCATGATTTAGTTGGAGCTCCTGATCTTCTAGAGACGTTTCAATTCAATTTCAATGTTGATTTAGAATACTTCCTAACATTTCTTCATCCCAATTTTGCAAAGAACAAAAGAAAAATTGTCTTTGTCACCGGAACTGCGTATTTGGCTGGCCACCCTTTGCGAGAAATCATCAAAGCAAAGTATAATATCTCTGAATGCATTGCTCCTTTACCGAATCGCTTTGCTTCGCACCACTCCAAAATGATGATCAACTTCTACCCTCATGACCAGGTTGAAATAATCATTATGACTTGCAATTTGACCCAATTAGACTTTGGTGGTTTAACACAATCTGTTTGGCGTTCTGGGAAGTTAAAGAGAGGGAAGACCACCGCAAAATTGGGAAGCAGATTCAAGCAAGATCTTGAACGTTATCTCTTGAAGTATAAAATGGCCACGATTGAAAAAGTTGTTCAACGGTTACGTGACTATAACTACAATAGTGTTGGTGTCGAATTAGTGGCTTCAGCTCCTGGGACGTATAGTATTGATCATATTGATGAAAACGATGAAACGTATGGTTATGGGAAACTCCGGCAGGTACTTCAACGCAACGATTTGCTCATAAAGGATACAGAGAAGCACCACAACATTCTTGCGCAGGTTACATCAATCGCATATCCGTACTCGAGCAGAAAGGGTGACACTGCCTCGATTCTTTCGCATTTGCTATGTCCGTTAATGTTTTCTCATTGGAAAAAGCACCTTGAGCCGGGGACCCAGTCCACACTGAAGCACCAAGAAGAGTTCAAATACAAGCCTCAGCTTGTCTTCCCGACTGTAAAGGAAGTTGCTTCTAGTAACTTTGGATTTCTTTCTGGAAGTGCTGTGCATTTCAAACACTCTGGTTCACTCATTCATCAAAAACAATATGAGCAAAATGTTAAACCATATTTATGCAAATGGAGTACTCCAGAGAACGTCACCGGCCGGGAAAGAGTAACCCCGCATGTGAAATACTATGCCTGTGACAATGGTGATGGTTGGAATACCTTAAAATGGGTACTTGTTGGAAGTCATAACCTTTCAAAGCAGGCGTGGGGATATCCAGAAGCTAAAAGTAAGGGTCAAACTTTTGATGTTGCAAGTTATGAACTCAGCGTTTTAGTGCCTGGTTCAGGGAAAAACCTCGTTCCTGTCTTCAAAAAGGATGTACTGTCAGATACAATAACAATCCCAGTTCGTTTTCCTTTCAAATTACCTCCAACAAGATATGGCGAAAATGATTTGCCATGGAGTGCTGGGTCTGACTACGGAAAATTGAAGGATAGGTGGGGTAATCTACATAACGGCGGTTATTCCGTATAGAGTAAGATCTCGAATATTCCCAATCTTTCGCCCTGGAGAGCTTTTTTTTTTTAATTCTATCTTTGTTTTAGTAGTGTCTGTGAATGTGACGTTTTGTATTGTTCTTTAGTGCGTGTTTTTCTTACGCGTTTGGACGCGCGCGATTCTCATCTAGACTTACAGTCATTTAACCATCTCAAAAAACACATACATTTGAAGGCAAAGACTGCCAATGTACATTAAGAAGATCATAATCCAAGGTTTTAAAACCTATAAGAATACAACAGAGATTGATCTCTTGTCACCACATTTCAATGTTGTTGTTGGAAGAAATGGGTCAGGAAAATCCAACTTCTTCGCTGCCATCAGATTTGTCCTTTCAGATACATATACACACATGACTAGGGAGGAAAGGCAAGGCTTGATACACGAAGGGTCTGGAACCGTGATGTCTGCTTATGTTGAAATTATTTTTGACAATTCTGATCGAAGATTTCCTATTCAAAAGGACGAGATTGCGATCCGACGTACCATTGGGTTGAAGAAAGATGACTACCTGATGGACGGAAGATCTGCCACGAGATCTGATATAATGAATCTCCTAGAGAGTGCTGGATTCTCTCGTCTGAACCCCTACTATATCGTTCCCCAAGGAAAGATAACAGCATTGACAAATTCTAAGGACTCCGAAAGATTGTCATTACTAAAAGAGGTTAGTGGTGCCAAAGTCTTTGAAGCAAAACTTAAAGAGTCCACAAAAGAAATGGCACACTCTAATCTCAAAATGGATCGAATTGACGAGTCTATGGAGAAATTAGAAGAGAAACTTTCCGACTTGCAATTAGAATCTAATGATTTGAAAGAGTACCAGCAATTGGAGAAGAAACGAAAAATTTACGAGTTCAACCTTTTTGATCGTGAGTTGTCCTCACTCAGTACGCAAATTCAAGAGTACGATGAGGAATATGAGTCTGTAATTTCTTCGTCACATAAGGATATTCTGGAATTGGAAAAAAGAGAAAAATTGTGTCAAGATCTCCAAACGGAAATCGACTCTCTTCTGTCTAAATTGAAAGTATCATCTTTAGAGAAGGAACAGGCAGCGTCGGATTACAATCGTGCTTTACAAAATTTGGCTGAAAAGGAAGCATCAGCAGCTGAATTATCAAGTACCCTCGGTAATATACAAGCAGATGCTGAAGATCAACAGGAAAGGAAAGCCAAACTAATTTCAATGATCAGTGCGAATGATGCTACACTTCGTAGTGAACTCAGACCCAAGCTAGCGAGGTTAGCTGAAGAAGAAAATGCTCTCAATGAGGAAATGGCAAATTTAAGCTTGAAACAGCGATTGCTTTATGCCAAACAAAGTAGGTTCCTGAAGTTCGTCACAAAAGCGGAACGTAATGAATGGCTTGATGATGAGGTGAATAAACTAACCGATGATTTGAAAGCAAAGTCGCATCAATACGATGAGGTATTAGAACAGAGAAATGAAAACCAAGAAAAGCTTATTGAATGTGAGGGGTCCATAAATGATTTGAGAGCAGTATTGGATGACGAGAATCAGCAAAAGAAGATCCAGGACATTGAAAAAAGGATCGAAGATATAAGGGCGAAAATCACTGGTCTTTCTGATGAAAGAAAAAAGTTATGGCGAACTGAAATTAAAGTCCGCTCGCTATATGATTCTGCAGAACATGATTTTATGGCTGCCATTCACAAAGTGGCTCAAACTATGGACAGGGCACAAGCCAAAGGTCTTGATGCTGTGCAAGAAATTTCTGAAAGACTTAACTTGCAAGAGAACGTATTTGGCACATTGGCTGAGTCATTCACAATATCTGACAAGTACAAGACTGCGGTTGAAGTCATTGCTGGAAACTCATTGTTCCATGTGTTGGTAGATACAGATGAAACTGCACTGGCAATTATGAGTGAATTGGTACGCTTGAAGGCTGGAAGAGTGACATTTATTCCTTTGAACAGAATCAACGTTACTCCCACCACATTCCCGGAATTAGAAGGACATGAGTATATTCCGCTCATCAAGAAAATTAAGTATAGTAACAAAAAGGTCGGGAAGGCGATTGAGCAAGTGTTTGGCAAAGCAGTGGTTTGTGGCAACCTTCAAAAGGGTTATGAGCTAGCTCGTTCCTATAACCTAAACGCAATCACATTAGATGGTGATCGTGTAAGCACAAAGGGTGTTATCAGTGGAGGTTTCCGAGACTATAAGACATCACGACTTGAGTCTTTGAAAATGAAAACTAGAAAAAAGAAAGAGATCATGAAGTTGAAAGAGGAGCTAGCTACTTGTGCTGAGAGACTTCGCGTTGTTAATGAAGACCTTACGTCAGCCACTAACCAACTTGATACCGAACTCGCAAATGTGGATAAACAGAAAGCTTCATTGGAACCACAGAGAGCTGAACTTCATCATTTGTTGGCTAAGAAATTCAACTTGGAAAAGGAGATCACTGCGAATCAAAACACGGTTGATACTTTGTCCTCTACGATATCTAACCTCAAGGCAAAACTTTCACAGTACAAAGATGAAATGAACTCAAAGTTCAGTCAAGCTTTATCAGAATCAGAGACTGAAGAACTTGCTAATTCATCAGCTAAATTGTCAGAGCTTGAGGACAAGTTGAATCAAACTGTCAGTGAGTCAGCAAGCTTAGAGACTCAAATCTCTCTCTTAGAGGCGGAAAACTCGAACTTCAATGCCCAATTGAAAGCAATTTTAGTTTCGGGGGATCACAATGAGGTTGGTGCAAGACAGCAAGAAGTCCTGGTTTTGTCCAAAGATATTGAAGCATTGAAAAAGAATCTTAAGGAATTGAAAAAAGGGTTGGATTCAAGCATTTCCAGGCACGCTGAGCTTTTACTGCAAGTGGAAACAAAGAAGACTGAGCTTGAGAAAGAAAATAAGCATCAAGTGCAGACTGTTAAAAGATTGGAAGGAGTCGGGAAGAAAACGGAACGAATCCTTTCTAAAAAGGCAATTCTTAATAATAGACGAGAAGAGGTCCAAGAAAAAATAAATGAGATCGGCGTACTTCCTGAAGAGGCCTTCCAGCAAGAAACTTTTGCTGGCCTTTCTCTGGATGAACTACTTGTGTTTTTGAATGATACTAACAGGGAATTGAAGCGATATGCACATATAAACAGAAAGGCGATGGAGCAATATGCTACATTCACCAAAGAGAAAGAGGAGTTAGAAGCACGAAAGGAAGAGCTTGAGAGATCCAAGGTTTCTATCGAACAGCTTATGAAGTCTTTAGAGCAGCAGAAAGGAAATGCTATCAAAAAGAGTTTTGAGCAAGTTTCAGAAAGTTTCCAAGAGATTTTCGAAAAGTTGGTGCCAAATGGTATTGGACGGTTGGTCATGAGAACTAAAGAAAACACAGATGGTGTCCTAGGTGACCAATCTATCGAGGATTACGTTGGTGTTTCAATTCAAGTGTCTTTCAACTCTAAAGAAGATGAACAACTCCAGATAGAACAGCTCTCTGGTGGTCAAAAGTCACTATGTGCTATAGCTTTAATTTTGGCTATTCAAAAATGTGATCCTGCGCCATTTTATCTTTTTGATGAAGTGGATGCAAATTTGGACACGCAGTACCGAACAGCGGTTGCCAATATGATTCAAGCATTAGCCAAGTCCGCCCAGTTCATATGTACAACTTTCCGGCCAGAGATGTTACAGGTTGCTAACATGTTCTTCGGCGTGTCCTTCAGCAACAAAGTTAGCACAATTCGAGAAATTCAACAAGAGGATGCTCTTTCATTTGTCGAGGCTCAGCGATAATCAGGCAATTCCCATGCGCATGAATGGCTGGACAGGAAAAGAGGTATGAAGTAGAACAACAACCATCAAATAAGGGTGTATGTTGCACCTGTGTATTCTAGTTTTTAATGGAGTAATCAGTGGAGTTCAAATTGAACAGAAAATTAAACAATGTAAGTCTTTCTTTCAAAAAGCACGTTTGCTCGTATTTATGAGCTTGACTTCGCGTACCTGTGTCTCTTCGCGTCAGTTATATAAGAGTACAATAGAACCCACTCTTTTTGTCCAATAATGAAAGAAAAAATACTCAGTCCGGAGCAAGTGAAAGAACTCATTGCCCACGGTAAATGTATTGTCATCTTCGAGGATAATGTGCTTAATTTGTCTTCATGGATCAAATATCATCCTGGTGGAGACAAGGCTGTGTTTCACATGGTGGGAAGAGATGCCACTGATGAAATGTTAGCGTATCATGGAGAAGAGACCATATCATCGTTTCTCAAATGGAGAATTGGAAAGATCAATTACAAATGGAAAAATCTCCTTCCTCCCATCCAAGGTGGAATTTACAGATCTGGTGCGATGGCCAAAACCGGGTTCAATTCAGATAAGTTAGGAGAAGCGCTAGACGCTGATTCTCCATCAATTTCAGAAGTTTCATCCGAGGCGAGCATTGATGTGGGTGTAAGAGAGGAACTCTTTCTAGCAGGATACCCCAAAGGAAATGTGGAACCTGTCGTGCCACAAGGAATAGAAGTGGTTTCAGCTGACAATAAGGATGAAATCTTCCCCGTAAATAAAAAGGTGATTGTGAATCCGAAAGAAATGATGCAAGAGTTCGATAACAACCTTACTCAGAGGGACTTGTTTGACTTACCGCTGCTCGATTATGATACTCAAAAAGAGATTCGCCAGAAGTACAACAAACTTCATACTACCATTATAAAAAGAGGCTTATACAGATGTGATTATGGTGATTACGTTCGAGAAATCGTCAAGATTAGTTCCATTTTCCTCTATTCATTTTCCTTTTTGCGCTTGGGGTACTATACAATCAGCGCCATATTGATGGGCTTGGCTTGGCACCAAATGACATTTATTGCTCATGATGCTGGCCATGTGTCTATCACTCACGATTATCAGATTGACAACCTTTTTGGCATGTTGATCGCCGACTGGTTTGGCGGCCTCAGTCTTGGGTGGTGGAAAAGGAATCATAATGTTCACCATTTGATCACCAACGATCCTGTTCATGACCCAGATATACAACATCTTCCATTTTTTGCAGTTAGCACGCGACTTTTCAACAACGTTTATTCCACGTATTACGACAAAGTCTTGTGGTTTGATGCAGTGGCAAAGAAGATGGTGCCCATGCAAGAATTTCTCTACTATCCCATTCTCGCGTTTGGCCGCTTCAACTTATATCGTTTGTCATGGACGCATTTGCTTTTAGGCCAAGGTCCAAGGCATGGTCCAGCTGCATGGTTTAGATACTTCGAGTTAGCGGGCTTATCTTTTTTTTTCTTCTGGTTCTTTGTTTTAGTCATCGGTAGCGTGGAGGGCGGCTGGAACAAGTTTTCGTATGTTATGGTCAGTCACATTTGTACAATGCTTGTGCATGTGCAAATTACACTCTCTCATTTTGCCATGTCCACAGCCGATCTTGGGGTAAGTGAAAGTTTTCCGTCCCGCCAGTTGCGTACCACAATGGACGTCGATTGTCCACAGTGGCTTGATTTTTTACATGGTGGTCTTCAGTTCCAGGCTGTGCACCACTTATTTCCCCGTTTACCTAGACACAATTTGCGCAAAGCACAAAAGTATGTGATTGATTTCTGTGAGGAGGTTGGATTGCCATACTCCATTTATGGCTTCGGTAAAGGCAATGAGATTGTGATTGGTAAATTGGCAGAAATTGGCAAGCAGTGCTCAATCATGCTAGATTGCACGAAGAAAATGAAGGAAGACAATCTTCCCATTTTATAGTTGGACATACTGGTTTAGGTGCTCTTTAGCAATTTTTGATGTATTCATTATCTAGTGGTTATAGTTTGAATGCTGACCTCTGATAATTCATCCATTGATAAAAATTCCCAACTTCTATATTCTGTTCCTAGATAACCCTGTTCCTTTCACTTCTACATCGAAGTATCCCGGTCAATAATGCCTTGTGCATCCAAGTAAAGTACGAAATCCATCACTGCATTGTTCTGGTTCTCGAACAAGTCCCGCTGGACAAGTTTCTTGAATAACGATCCCGATGTGGCCTCTGATGCTTCTCGTGTGTACCTCTGCGGAATATTCACTTTGATTCCGTTTATGCTCTTCACATTTCCGCCGCTGCGATTGTGACCGCCGGAGTTGGCAACTTCATGAGAGTTCTTACACTTGGCTCCAAATTTACACTTGCCGTTGCGAGCGTAAAACTTACAAACTTGCTTCTTGTGACCCAGAGGAGTTTCTTTTGGTACTTCTGCTACCGCTTTCAGTTCTAGCTGTGCTTTCTTATTCTCGATGTTTTTCCGCGTAGGCCAGTTTTTCCTACGCTCTTCAATCCATTTGGCAATATCCTCTTCTGTTTGAAGCGTGATGGTAGTTCCCTCAATAAATATTGGTTCACTTTTCTTCGTGTGCACCTCTTCAACCACGTCCAAGTCTGTTTTAGGAGCGGTTGTTGGTGTAGTGTTTGGAAGATGAGTAGGAAGATCTTCGAAGAGATCTAGCTTGGGCCGTTTTTCTAAATCAGTCAGTTGGGTGCCTGACCTTTTTGCCCGTAAAGGGGGAGGCGCATAAGAAAAGTCCATGTTCTATGACCATCGGGATGGGCTGTGTGAGAAAAGGTCCAAGCCTCCGAGGGCGCCAAGGTAAAGTCCGGGGGTGCCTTTCTCAGTGATCCGAGGGGTACTTTCCCGATTCGAACGCGAGACGAAAGTCTTACAATAGAGATGTAACTTTGATTCCGGGGAAACCGAGGGTCTTTTCTGCCGCACTAATTTATATGCACTCTCAATGCTGTCAACATGCCCCGACACAGATATATTTAATTGTTTCTTGTCCGCAGCGTGCATCTTTGCTCCACCTTCTTTTTCCTTCATCGCTCATGGTATGTGCCATCTTTATTTGTGGGCCTGTTCTTTCTAACGTTTAGTCTTATTACCAACAGGGACCTCCTCCTCCACAACAAGGTGGTTATTACCAACAAGGACCACCACCGCAAGGTTATTATCAGCAGCAACAACCAATTTACGTTCAGCAGGCTCCACCACAACGTGACAACGGAGGGTGTTGTTCGACCTGCTGCGGATGCTGTGCAGCTATGCTCTGTTGTTGCTGCGCTGAGAGCTGTTTGGACTGTTGTTTTTAGAGTCTTCATAGGAATTGACGATTTGCGGGTTTTAATCCGGCGTCTTCAGGCTCGTGGTAACCGCATCAACCTGAACGGGATAGTAGACACATTGATCACATGGAAGTAGCCAGTCGGGGTGAAGAGTCGGAGATTGATCTACATTAACTCCGCATAGCGAACGTTTCGCGCATGATGCAAAGAAGCGAGTCGGAGATCAAAACGTAGCGCGCTCCATCTCGGAATTTCTACAAACCATGCTCTAGAAGGGCTATAGCTCATAATAGTGTATACACCTACTTCTTCTTGGAAGTGCTGTTCTTTGGCAATTCCTTGACGAATGGAAGGAATTCAGGCGAGCCAGGAATGTATTTTCTCAACACCTCTGGCACAACGATACCATCCTCCTTTTGGTAGTTCTCCAAAATACAGCACAAGGCTCTTTCGGTAGCAGACAAGGTCGAGTTCAAGCAGTGCACGTACTTCTTTTCACTTTGATTTTGTTGCTTGATGCCGCATCTAATCTCCAAGTTCCGCGATTGGTAGTCGGTACAGTTGGAGCAAGAGACCAATTCCTTGTATTCCTTTTGGTAAGGGAACCATGCCTCCAAGTCAAATTTCTTGGCAGCAGCATTGTTCAACTCACCAGAAACAATACCGACAACTCTGTAAGGCAAGCCGAGGCTCTGGTAAAACTCCTCAGAGTTGGCAATCATTCTGTCAAACTCTTCCCAAGACTTTTCTGGCTCGGTCAAGACGAATTGCTCAATCTTCTCGAAAGCGTGCACTCTGAAAATACCCCATGCATCCTTACCATGAGAACCAGCTTCTCTTCTGAAACACGAAGAGTAACCAGCGTATCTAATAGGCAATTGTTCGGCTGGGCTCTCAAACCATTCGCCAGAGTGGTATGCGGAAATTGGCTGCTCGGAGGTGGCAATCAAGTATTTTTCGTCATCTCCATCCATAACCTTGTATAACTCTTCGTCAAATTGGGATAATTGCGCAGTCTTCGCCATGACGTCTTTGTTCATCATCACTGGAGCTTGCAATGGAAGGTATCCCTTCTCGTACAAGAAGGACAAACCGTAGTTGATCAAAGCCTGGTTCAAGAAAACACCCCATTTTCTCAAGAAATAACCACGGTGACCAACAATCTTGACACCTCTCTCTGGATCGTAACCGTCCAACTTCAAAAGAACTTCGTGGTGAGAAAACTTGGCTGGAGCATTTGTGGCAGCAGCAATTTCACCAATTTCTTTCAAACCTTCAGGTTTCCAAGTTCTAACCAACTCGTTGTTCTCCTCATCCATAGAGTCAACAACACTTTCGTGAACAATGTTGCCCACTTGATTAACCTTGAATCTCAACTCAGCGTCCGCCTTTTGTTCGGCTTCGGTAAGTTCCTTCTTTTCAGCAGTCAACTTTTCCTTTTCCGCCAACAACTCAGAGGCATCTTCCTTAGCCTTGAACTTTTGTCCAATCTGTTTTTGTAGCGCGTTCAACTTTTTGTTAGCCGCATCCAAGTCGAATCTGATGGTGGTCCAGTTTTTGTAACCAGAAATAATCTCATCTACAATTTCAACTGGAGCGCCTCTTTTTCTTTGAGACTCCTTGATTTTGTCTGGGAATCCGCCTTTGTCGGCAAGGAAAGCATTAATATCTAACATGATCAGTTGATTAAAAGAATTTTCGTACAACACTTTTTTTTCCCTATTAGTTCTGTATGCAGGTTCTTCACCTGGTACACATTCTGGTTTGTGATTGCAAACTTAATTTTTCGTAGAAAGTGACATTCTTTCTTCATATTTTACACTTTGCCCCAGCGCAACTCCTCTTATTCCTTTTAGTTTTCCTCGACTCTTTTTTCGTCTTTTACTGCTACCATGAGAAACCCTTCGGAGGCGTTCTCTTTGTTGGTGGATAAAGAATTCTAAAGTTGAGCGATTAGCTTCTTCATAAATCTCTTAACTTGTCAATTAAAAAAGTACGTGTTGAAATCGGGGATGGAAACTCAGATGTCGCCTGACATATCTACCCAGTTCCTGTGCAATGAAATAAAAAGAGTAAAGCAAATTGGTCTAAAAATTTATCATGAATGGAATCAATGCAGATGCCCTTCTGCGGACACACTAGAAGAGTAAATTTTGGAACAAGCACTTAGCAATTTTCGTGCATTTGTTGGCGAAATTACGTGAAAACCGTGAATACGCCACGGGTTACCAGCCATGATTGAACAACAAAAATTTTCTGTCACTTTTTTCTTGAATTTGAGCTTATTTTACATTTGGCCGATTAATTTCTTACTTCCGCCTATTCATTTTATAGTATTCACGTTCTAGTAATATCTCAAAGTGTTTGATGCGCACCAAGAAAGTAGTTGATGCGCATTTAACGTATCTTACAGTTCGCAATCTTTAGTAACTGGCTCATTGCTAGTATTCCTCACGCGGCGCAAGGGCCTGGGTAGCATATCATAGACATTGTCAATCCGAACCAATTGAAAGCGTCTTTGTGCACTTGTGCAATTGTTTCCACCCTATCGAAAGATCACTCGACTTCAAATATACTAATCACCTACACCAATAACCTATCTATAATCTGCGCTCACTTGAGTTACATCGGAGTTTCTGCAGTTGCACTTTTTTGATAGCCGTGGTACTGTCCCGAATTTTCTTTGACCATGGATACTCTTCTTCTCGAACGAGCCACCGGGCGAATCTCGGCACGAGCGTGTGCGGCAACGGTGACAGAGTCGCTCTATGGCTCACTCTCGCCCAGTACGTTTCGCGCGCACTCTGCCGCAGTCAACTCGCTTGCACTAGAAAAAGCAGAGTACCGTTATCTCCTCAGCGGGAGTGGCGACTCGAGTCTTCGGCTCTGGGATTTGAGCGAAGACGAAATTGGACCGATACGTCCGCCGCGTGCTATTGCAACTGTTTCTCGGCGCACAGCCCACCGCTTTGGTGTTTCTGCACTACGATGGTGGCCCGAAGATACAGGTATGTTTATTTCGGCCTCCTTTGACCACACAGTACAGGCGTGGGACACTAACCGCATGGCCCCGGCGCATGTTTTCGAGGCCGGTGCGCGTGTGTATGCTGTGGATGTCTGTGCGGCGCGCGCCAATCGCTTTAGCTCGCAGGCTTTGGTGGCAGTTGCCAGTGACCAGCCGCAGGTGCGCCTATTAGATCTCCGCGCGGGCGCGGCAGCACATACGTTGCAAGGGCATAAAGGTAAAACGTTGGCTGTGACATGGCATCCGCAACAACCTTCTATTTTAGCGACAGGTGGTTTTGATGGAGAGGTGAAGGTGTGGGATGTTCGGCGCGCGCAGAGCTGTCTTTGCCGAATGGATATGGCGCGCACTAATGCGTCTCGCGCTCGGACTGACATTTCAAGCGGAGGGTATTCTGCTCTACCTGCCTCAAGCTCGGAAAGCAGCGACGACGAGAGTACAATCAATAATGCATCCATGTATGGGTCGCATCTGAAACACTCACCATTTCGGCCGCGGCAGACAAACGTCGATCGGCTGGAATATCTGTCCAGCACGCGTGCGCATCTGGGACCAGTCAATGGGCTTCTCTGGGATGAAGCGGGTCATATGCTATATTCTGCTGGCAACGACGATAAAATTCGCGTGTGGGACATGGAACACTCACCGCCAGTGAACCGACTAGTCAACTTTGGGCCGCTCACGCGTAATAAGTATCTTCAAACTGCACCGGTGGCACTCAGCGCCCGCTCGGAAGGAGAAACTCAACATTTGGTGTTTGGTGCAGATACTGGCGATGTGCTTGTACTTCGCGCGCTCGACGGGAAGTTGATGGCGCGACTTCCAGGGCGAGTGCGCACTAGTGCTATGGTCGCAGGCGCGCCGTATTCAGCTACATACTTTGGTGGAACCATGTCGGGCGACATAGTAACATGGAGAGGAATGACAAGGCCACCGGCGATCGAGGGCGAGTACAAGGACGAGGAAGTTGATGATGTAGTGCCGTTGGATGAAATCATGTGTGGCTCTGGGGAAAAGGAAATCGCTGCGCTTTACGACGATCCCTATTTTAGGCGTGAATCTTCTTAATTTCAGGACACACTTTTCCCATCTTTGGTTCTAATGCGAATCAACTTTCAATTACGTCTAATTCGATACAGCATCTGGATGCCTTGCATTTAAAGCTACAACATGTAAATACTTAGTTTTGAACAATACTCCTACATTGAGTGATGGTTTTGAATCACCCGTAACGATAGAAATAAAAGTGAACAAAACCGTATTAAGAAAGCTTTAATCATCATTTGCTGTATCGCATTTTAGTGAATATAATTTGTGACCCATTCTGGGCGGGAGTTAAATCTGGCCTTTGATACTGAGATTTTTTTTTTTTTTGGGACGCAAAGAGAAAATTGGTTTCTTGGCTATGTTCTCATTCTATGTAAGGTGATGGCAACAGCAGAATTTACAGAGTACCTTGTTTACGCAAATCTTTGTTTTAAGGTAATTCCATTTCGAGAGATTCTCCCAAAAGATGTACAGGTGCTCACATACACCATCGCGAACGAAGCTTTAACAATACAAACACGACATGAAACTTAAATTGCAAGTGGTGCTCATACCTGTAGCATCAGCGGAAATCCCGACGACAGATGTGCCATGCTACAAGAAGTTTCTTCACCTCACTGATCCGTATTGCACAATCGGTCAAGTGTGTGACGCACTGATCTTGCGATACAACAGACTTTATCCCGATGCGGATAAGCTTGTTGTCGAAGGAGTCCAAGATAATGATTGTTGTGACTTGGACCCGGAATTTGTTGCAGAAGATGTTTTCAGTTCGGGTGATGTGCTTAGAATTCTCGTTGACAATGTGCTACCGGCGTACTCCAGAGATGCATCAACCATTCTTCCCGAAGCTAGTCAAGACGGGACCAAACGGACAAACGAAACGGGAATGGAGACTTTAGACAGTCGGCTTTCTAAGCGCTCCAAAACTATCTGGGGAGTGCGTAACGAGAGTTCTATGCTTCGAAGCAGTAGTCCGCCCAATGTCACGTCCCATGCAAATGCAGAAGAAGAAAATTTGGTAGCAATGAGAAAACTGAGGGAAGAGCATCCAGAATCACATGTGGACCCTGGAAATCCTACGTCGCCAGTATCCTTGCCTCCACCGGCTCCGGAACACGATGGAACAGTCCCCTTGATCCCACGTAAGAGGGATTCCCCCATTCCCGTCCAAAAAGGGAGGAGAATCACCTCTGGAATGTTGCAAGCGCCAGTTGGCGACAGATCAAAATCAATCTCTGCGTTCAGTGATAACGACGACGAAACTGATATTAGCAAAATGCCCCCTGGATTCAGGCGTTCAAACTCCTCTGAACCAGAAGAGATCGAAAATGGTACAGACAGCGACAACCTGGTTTCTCATAGGCTGCTCAAGCACACTTCAAAGCACCAGAATACTCAAACTAGCCCTGTTATACTCGCTCCTCCCAGTTCTGGTCCTGGTAAAACCCCATCTAAAAAAGGGCCACTTAACACCCTGACTCCAGCAAAGCCCTTTTTGAGCCAATCCCATGCGGCAATAAATCCCACATCGGAAATCAGAGTCGAAATGCCCAAGTCGAATATGCAACATGAGCAGTTACCACAATCTGCGCAGTCTAAGCCAGGTAATCTCACACAAACGCATCTAAGTGCGCTTAATCATTCTAATACGCCTAATCTCAAGGATATGCAAAGAAACCAAAACAACATGATACATCAACCTTTAGGATATCAACCCACTCCACCGCAAGTTGCACCAGTGACATTTCAATCCCAACACATTGATACGGGAACCTTGCATCAAGGTCCAAAACCTATACCAGCATATGGCAGATTTGCACATACGCAGCAAATTCTTTTGCAAGGAACCCTGTCAACTGACGCATTGAAGTCCAATTCTCTCAAAACCAATATTGTTTCTGCTTCACAAAGTGTGCCTTCTGGAAGTAATATGAACCTGCAACAAACTCCCAATGCAGCTCACAATGTGGGAGCTATTCATCCAGAGGCGACTAGTAACCCTAAAGCTTCTACACAAGCTTTGCGTGATGCATCAGGTAATATTCCCCAGCTCATAGGAACCAATCCAATCAAGAATCCTACGATTTCATCTAATCAAGACAATACTTCCACTACTACTGATGCATCAAGTTCAGCCCACGCCATAAACACACAGCAAGCAGAATCAAGTACAGAGAAGCAAAGTACGAATGTGAACAGACCAAGATCTTCTGTCCACTCACTTATTAATCATGATACAAGCTTCATCCACTATAAGCCTCAGAAGAATGATTTGCAAAATAAATCAAATGGTACGTCTTCCCAACCTGCCACGTTTAGTACAAGGATTGAAACGGAAAAAGACAGAGCCAATCCAGCGAAGGAATCTCAGCCGTCGGATGGAAAATCAGTAAATCTCAGCAAAGAAGAGATCATTGGCATATTCAAGCACGGCATGCGCATTCCGAATAAAATCACACAGAAGCTCAATGTGTCAAAACCTAACGTTACCCCATTTATAGCGGCAGAGGAGGAAAAAAAGAGACAAATTATTGCTCAGCGCAATATGGAACAAAATGCGCGCGAATTGGACAACAGGCGCAGAGCAGCGGCGTCGGCTAGCCAAAGCTCAACTCGTGAAAGAAATTTGCGTTCTAGAGTCACGCTTCCAGGTATTGCTAATTATGTTACGAACCTTCAAATGAGTAACGAAGATGAGGAAAAAGAGAAGGAAAAGGCGCAAAGAGAGAGTGAACTCCCCTCTCCATTCAATGAATTTGTTAGTAAGTCTAAACTCTCTTCTGTTTTTGTTAAGATGAAAAAGTTAGACTCAAGAATTAATGCTCAGATTGAAAATGAAGTGGAAGAGGAAGTGGAAGTGAAAGCAGAACCAAACACTCCGAAATTAACGAAAACACTGGAACTGAAGGTTTTACCTACCGTTGCATCTATTAATGCAATGTCTACCAGGACACCCTCTTCTCCGAAGCAATCAAACCTAACTCTTCTGTCAGCAGGTACCGAGATTACCACCCATACCCAGACTATCCAGCCACTGCCGCAAGTTTCATCTGCTGAGGATTTTGATGTTAATGAACCTTTCGAGGATATCGTTGACTCCTCTGAAGATGCGCTTATAGAGTCAGCGTCAGAACTGCAATCTGAAGGCTCTTCGTCCGAGGAGGAAATAACTGCAGCGCGTAAGGAATCTCCTCCTCAAAAGAAAGCAGCAAGACGGGCTGTGCGCTCAGCATACAAGAAAAGGTTAGCGAAACAATTCTTAGAAGCCGAAATTGTTCTGATAGAATCCTCGGAATCCGAGGAGGAATCAGTAAATGAAGTTGTCAAGAGTAAACAGAATTCTATCAGCGAGAATAACCATCCTGAAAAGACAAAGGAAAGTCAAAATGCTCAGAAAGCAGATGACACCATGATATCCGATATTAGAAAAGAATCGGATGTATCCAATTCATCTGTAACTCGAATTATCGGCAAAGACGTTCCTAATGCTGCTAATGATCATTTACAAGAAAAAACTAAATTGCAAGCGCCTGGCAACTTGAGTGAAAAGAAAAAATCAAGTCCAGCTGTTAAGGTGGCAGTAGCAAGCTCATTCCCATCCTCGGCAAGTGTATCTGCTATTCCCAAAAGAGCTACAGATGAAGAAACAACGCCTTCCAAGAAACAAAAAGTTACACCTTCTATTTCTAAAGAGCATAACGGGTCAGTGGCTCCGGAAAAACCATCGAAATCTACTAACGGCTCTGCGATTGTGCTGAAGGAGACGGAGAATCTTGCCACGCCAAAGGAGACAGAGAACCTCACCACGCCAAAGGAGACTGCGAAACCAGGACCGAAGGACAAACACGTATCGGATTCAAGGCCACCGTCAAGTGCTGAAGCTGAAAAGAGCACTGAAAAACAAGTGGTGCATGAACCTGCTAAATCTGTGTCCCAAAATTCTTCAGACCAGCTGAAGTCGCATACTGTTACATCAGCAAAGGAATCTGTAGATGCATCTAGTTTGAAGCATAAAGCCTCAAATAAGGAACTAGTTTCTGAGAATTTGAAAAGTTCCAAACCAAATGCTTCTCCTGAAAGCTCAAAGCTGGACTCAAAATCTGTGTCAGGACAGAAGCTGCAGGTTTCCCTGGTAATCGCGCCTTCAGTCATAGGTGAAAAAGCTCAGCATCAGAAAGACGATCCCATTGCAATTGAGTCTGTGTCATCTTCGTCTGACAGTGAATCAAGCTCAACCTCGGAATCAGACACGGATTCAGATACGGGACCAGAGTCAGGATCTGAAATAGAAAGTGATGGCAAGTCGGAAGCAAAATCTTCTGGTAGCACAACCAAAGTGATGGATGAAAGCAAGTCTGTTCGTAATCCTGAAGAGGCGAAGAGTGATGTTCTAGTCGGGACTAAGCCTGAACATGGGTTAAAGAGCAAACTTTCCAGTGAAGCCAACTCGGAGCATACAATTAAAGCAAACTCAAACTTCGAGAAACTTTCTGAGACAAAATCACCATCGCGAAATTTGGAATCCGAAAGTCAATCCGAATCCGAATCCGAATCTGGATCTGAAGAATCCGAATCCGAATCAGGATCTGAATCTGAATCTGAATCTGAATCTGAATCTGAATCGGGGTCTGAGGCTGAGTCTGAATCTGAATCCGAGTCGAGCTCTGGTCCTGAATCCGAAAAAAAGAATGGCGTTAACGAACTGGTTGATTCGAATAAGCCAAAAAAGCCCGAGAATGAACTTTCAAGCGAAGGGACGAAAAGCTTGCCTAGAACTAACACCGATAGAATTGCACCAATCACTAAAGGTGATGCGAGTTTACCTGCGAATCTTTTGAATTCGAAAAATAGTTTGCAAAAAACAGTTGGAAAATCACCTTCAAGTTCTAAGAAACAAGATATTCTGGATAAGAAAGCTGCTGAAATTTTAAGAGAGGTTTCAAAACATAGGAGGAACAGCATGAATCACAACGGATCACCAGATGCAATTAAAAATAAGGAGACTTCAGACAATAAGCGAAGAAGAGCAGAAACAATCCTGCTCTTAGAAAACAGCTCTGGCAGTTCGAGCTCTGATTCTGATTCAGAGCCCAATGAAGACTCATCAGATTCTTCAGATTCTGATACACCTCCAAAGAAGATGGCTAAAAAGGCTGGAGTTGAAAAGGGTTCATTTGCGGCGAGTCGCCTTTTGCCTAAGCGTTTAAATTCATTGAGCAGCAGACCTCCGCCCAAAGCAACATCATCTTCAACTCCACCAGTAGACGTTTCTAACCGTTTCAGCGAAGGAGTTAGAACTGTTTCTATTGAGACTCCCTTTTCAAAATCATCTGATGAGGACAATATTCGAAAAGAAAAAGAGCACAGCGAGAGAAAGGAATCTTCTTCTAACTTTAATAAAGAATCATCGCTAGAGAAAAAATCACTTGCTACAAAAGTTCAAACAAAAGCAAGTACTGCAACCGCCAAGAGCAATGAAACGAAGAAAAGTACTCCATTAAGAAAACCGCTCTTGAACTCACTTGCAGATCTTGCATCGAGAGGTGTACCAGATGTTTTGGATGCAAAGGAGAAATCGAAGGTAACTCTTTCAAAAAAGCCACCTATTACGGTCGACAGTTCGTCTAGCTCTGACTCTAGTTCCGATTCTGATTCTGACAGCAACTCCGATTCTGACAGCAGCTCCGATTCTGATTCCAGCAACTCTGAGTCTGACCTGGACTCGTCTAATGGATCCAAAGGCTCGAAATTCGTGAGTTTGAAAAAATTGTCCGCAGAAAAAAATTCCAGAGAAAAAAAGAAAAGTAGGAGTGGTTTCTTCAGTTTGATGAAAGATGCGAAGAAAAGATCATAGGTCTCAACTTATCAAGTAGACCATTTTAGAACATTTATTGAATACATACGAAAATTGCATTGCATAAGTATTTTTTTTTTTTTTTTTTTTTTTTTTTTTTTTTGCAGTAAAGTATTGCGAAATGCCCAAACGGTTGATTATATGGACCTGCCAATCATATCAACACTCCAAGCCCTATAATCGTAATGACACGAGGCTCTTTTCTTTCGGCGGCTTTGTACTCGGTAAGAATCTGTGATCAGAGATAGTATTCTTTCAAACAAAGAGTTGATCCATTCTTTTGCCACTTGCGGCTGTTCAAGATAAAGTGCACCAACATACTGTTCAAAATAATCGGCCACAAATTCCTCTTCGTAACGAACAAGCATGGGATCAGGGTTTTCTGTCCTTTTCAAAATAGTTGAAATATAAGAGGAATAAAACAAGTCGGAGACGAATGGATCATTGAGAGAAGAATGCAAATTGTATGCAATAGCCAATCTCAGCAACAACGTATTAGTAGCTAAGATTGTTTTTAACAAGTTATATGTTTTCTTTCCAAAAGAATCATCGTCAGAAAATGGGTACTTTTGGCGGAACAAGTACAAAAATTCTGATGACTCCTTTGCCAAAAAGAAATCACCCAAGCCATCTAAAAACAGTAAGTCGTACTTGACAATCTTCAAGATGGAAGGCGAAACAGATAGCCCATAATGTACTAAACTCTGATAAACACAATGGTCCGGAGATTCAAATGCACGGTACAATTCCTTATGTAGAAGGGCTTTGGCCAACAATTGCTTGGACTTGATTTGCGGAAGTGGTGGTAACATTATGAGCTCGGTGTCATTACCCATCCTTATGCACCGATCTCCATACAACGGATCGTATAACTTTCTGTAGTCTATCTTCACAGCATTATAGTACCGCTTTGTTATTTTACGAACGCGATTTTCTATGGAATTGGAAGGAGCATTCAAAGGGAGGTGAGATCCGCCCAGCTCTAGGTACAATTCCACCACTTTGTCAGTCAAGGACTCGATGCTGGCTTCTTCTTCAGTAAGCATCATATATCCAATCGAAACATAAAACCATTTGAAGTTTGACAGGTTGATAGCTGGATCTATGGTCATGAGAGGGACAACCTGTTGGAGCAAAGACGAGTTTGTGGCCCATTCTCTCTTTACGAACAGAGAAATCTCGAAAACAGTATTCTTTATAATGCCACCTCCACCTTGAAAAATAAGAGATGACAATTTCTTATAGGCCTGGAGCTTTATATAATCAAAGCCAAGTATGAATAGGTGATGGCGAAACCAAGGACTAAGAAGCGCCTGCTTGGAAGTGTCGGCAAATCGAGAATTGGCAAAGTCAGATCTCATTCCTTTAGAAGTATGGAAGCTTCGGCGAGATAGTTGTGGCAAAATAAATACATAGCCCATTCTGAGTCATTCACTGTTGCCATCAAATTTATGTCAAAACACAACGTGCGATAAGATAACCCTAGACTGCGGGGCGCATACGGACACGAGGTACACATTAAATTAGCAAGTCACATGTCAACTAAAATTAAACAAAACAATATAGTGATAGGCAAAGCACTGTTCTATCTCAACCGAATAAATGGGATGACCATTTACTTGATTTCTCCCATTTTGCTTCCCGATTTTGATAAGAAATTCCTGCCTAAACTAAATAGGTGCAAATTGACTACGCGAACATGGCTAATAAAGCTAAAACATGAATACTCAATCGATATATAGCAAATACTTCCCAGAGTGGTTAAAGTTTACTTCTCAAACTAACAAGAAGTTGGTAAACTTTGTGGCCCACCCCATACGAAAACTCGTAACCACTTCCGCCAGCGCCATAAGCATTGATAACAGTTACATTGCCTCTTCTTTCAACTGCGAAGTTAATGCCGCCATCTCTTGCCGGTCTGAAACCCACATTCACACGTACGATATCAAAATATTTTCTACCCTTGTCATCAGTTTTCATCAACTCTGGGAACAATTTGCTTCCTCGTTCGATGAGAGCTTTGGTGTCTTCTGGTCGAGGTGCTTCGTCCGTCTCGTATGGCTGCTTGGTGCCACCCAAAATCATTCCTCCATCCAAAGGGCGCGGAATGCAAAACGTCCACTCATTTGATGCCAGCTGATGAGTCACAGTAATGTTCTCGTATTTGTTACCTGTTGGTGGATTCACCAAAAGGGTCTGGCCTCTGATTGGAAAACATGCAGGGTCATACCCTCCGTCCCACATCAAGCCCATTCCAGTGCAATTTACGACAACGGGGTTTGGTGAGTCAGCATATTTTGGTGCCTCAGATAAAGAGCCAAGCCGAGCTTTAACGAATTTGACATCGTACTGAAACCGTAATTTCCGATAAAGAAAAACCAAGTAATGGGGCAGATTCATGACGAAGGTGTCGTACTCTGTACCCATTTTAACATCTGGAGGCAATTCTGAGTTTTCAAGCACCCGGAAATTATCTATGCCTTCCTTGTATCCTTCAGTGAGATTTTGGTAGAAACGATCTGGAGCACCAAAGTATTCGGTGCCTTTGATAAACTTTATTGAAGACTCCGGGTTCGTTTTGGCAAGCTCCTTGAAACGTGATAATGTCACCCGAGCCAAAGGATAGTCTTTGAGTTCTGCTGGATTTTTTGATGGGAACGGGCGAAAATGAGCCCCAGCCCAAGGTGAAGTGTATTTGGGCAGAAATGGAGTAGATTCTGGGTCATGCTCAGCAACAACGGTAATTTTCACAGATGGACCCGCGTTTTCTGCTATTGCAAAAGCTGCTGAGAGCCCAAGGACTCCAGCTCCTACAATAATCACCTCGGTCATGATGAAAGTTGAAGAAATGCAAAATTGGCCAAGAATGTGGGACCATGATTGTGCAGGTTTATCGGTGCTTGTGCGCAATTAGTCACTTCCGATAACGCATAATGAGAAGAAATACAACAAAACGATACCTATTAAGATATGCATTATAAAAGTTGATCGCCCATGTTAAGTACCTTTGTAATCTTACTGCATTCTATATGTTACATCTATTTGTAATGTTCTTACTTATACAAGTTGAACAAGTCAACACCCAAAACATCAACCAAGGTCTTTCCTGCAGCAACAACCTTCTCGTCCTCAAATCTTCTTCCTGTGAGTTGGAAACCAATAGGGGCACCAACAAACTTGGAAGGATCGTAATTCAGAAGCTCAAGCTCTTCCAATGGTGATCTGTACTTATAAGATGCATGCGATTCATCCCACTTGTCCAATTCTGGGTCTTGAAACAAACCTGTCTGAATAGTCAAAGTTGGATAGTCAAGAATGTTGAACAAGGAGGTGTAAGACCAATTGTAAATTTCTTCTGGTCTTGGAGCAACATTGCTGTAAGTTGGGCTGATGAGGAAATCCACCTTGTTCTCATTCATCCACTGGGCGTAAGCATGCTTCAATTGATCTCTAATGATGTTCAATTGTCTGTTCTCAGCCACATTGTACATCTTGGAACCGTCTCCAAAGTTCATCGACCATTTGGTCAATTTGCATAATGGCTCTCCCGAGGCAGACAACATCTTTCTTTGCATGTAGTTTCCATCACAGTTGTACATCTTGTGGACAGTTTCACGGGCCAAAACAGTGTCAATAGGCTTGAATTCCACCACAGTCACACCTGCCTCTTTCAACTTCTTCTCAATTTCCTTCAATCCTCTAGCAATTGGTGGTGTTGGCTTAACAATGCCATCGTCGTACATGATCGCCACTTTCAAGGACTCTGGTTTTGGCTTTTCGACACTTCTCCATGGAAGCGGAACCAAGGTACAGTCCGTAGTCCATGGTTTTCCGTGATTGATGTAAGCGTCCATAAGCAAGTCAATATCATCGACAGATCTGGTCAAGGGGCCTTCCACTGCTGGTACAGATTCCTGACCCGCACCACCAGAAACACCACCGTTCTTGGAAATTCTATTGGTGGTTGGACGTAAACCAAAACAGCCCGAAAATGCTGCTGGGCCACGAATGGAACCACCAATGTCGGAACCAATACCACATGGAGTTCCACCAAAGGAAACAATAGCACCTTCTCCAGAAGAAGAGCCTCCGGCGGTCAACGCCAAGTTGTAAGGACACTTCGTAATGCCAATAAAGTTATTATTTGAGCACAAGTGCATCATGGTCTGAGGCTGGTTGGTTCTGACAAAGAAAACGGCGCCCAAGTCTTCCAAGACTTGAGCAGTGACACCGTGCTTTTCTGGAATATTATCAATCATCGACACATAACTAGCATGAGTAATCTTGCCTTTGTAGTCAATCTGTTCCTTCAAGGATACAGGGAGACCGTGCAATGGTCCAATAGTCTTTCCGTTCTTGGTGAAGTACTCATCCAAGTATTGAGCTCTTTCTAAACCTTCTTGTGGGAAGAGATCCAAGGCACAATTGGTAAATTGATGGGCAATTGTGGCTCTTTTGGCAAAGGCTTTGAAAACATCCACAGACGTCCATTCACCCAGCGCAATTTTTTTGACAATGGAAGAAGCCGAGGAATCAGTAATTTCAAACTCCTGAGGAGACAAGAGTTTCTTTTCCCTCAAGTACTTGACGGCATTGAATTGTTGATCGGCCAATTCCGAAGTAGATGCAGGTAATTCAGTCGAGTACTCGGGCAAAATGTTCTCCACCAACTTTTTTCTGTACGCCTCCAACTTTGGCAAGTACTCACTGAACTTGACAGGATCTTCGTAGTTATCCAACTTATCGTTGGTTAAGAAATCAGTGTACGCAACCATGTTTGAGGATCGATGACTTTGGCCAATTGAATGAAGGGGAAACAAAAAAAGCAATATAGACTATCAAGTTTTTCTTCTTGTGGATCATTCAGTCTATATATGTCAAAGTATGGATGAAGCATCGCACTGCCGTTTTAGGAAGCGCTTATCGTGAACGCGGGATTTACCAATAAAGAATGGAGGTACGGATGTATGTCATTGTTCTCGGGCCAATCTCAGCGATCGGTGGAGACGCGGAAAATGGAATTGATGGAGTAGCATCCCCATTAGGAAGGTCTTACCCAGTGGAGAAAATATGAAAGCAGAAGCTTCGGACTTGCTCGAGCGAAGAATAAGATAAGATGCAACTAGTGAAACATAGTGCTTATATTGAAGGTGCTAGTACCAAGGAAACTAACTCGGTCGATACTTGCAATAAATATCTAATAATACACCAAGAAACCAGTCTTGGAATTAAATATGCCACGCTTTAACTTCCACTCTGTTTAGCATGCCAATGCAGTTTTCGTCTCTCGCAAACAGACTTCTGACAAATTAATTCTGCCTGTTTTTCCGAAACCAACTGGTCCGCCCCACTCCACCTGACGTGGCTGTGACAGGATACCACTTTCTAGTGTCGAGTCCTGCCATCGTAAACTGACTTCCAAGTTTATCGTCACCCATCACGCAATCAAACACACTTCTAATGCTGAATGTAACAATCTCCACCGCCATAGCGATAGCGATGGGAATGAAGAGTGCCAAAAATGCAGACGCAGAAGCATTGGAGACTGCTGCTTCCGTGCGAGCAATTTGGTAGCACGTTTTGCGGGAAAGAAGAATAGCGCAAGCCTCAGTATCACCAGCAAGCATGTTAAAAAGACAACAAAAATACAATGAAGGGAATAAAAAAAGATGAATATATGGGAGATCTTCTCGATACAGTGGAAACTCTTCGATAAATCCTCGAGGTTTGCAAGGGATCCCGATCAATTTATGGATTCTCCGTGGGCCGCCCATTCGGGCACATAACCCCATAGATATGAACCCTGCATGAGTTTGCGACGAAGATGTGGATCAGGGGAAGAGGCAGAGATACCACAGTAAAGAATTCCAGGAAACACATTTGTACTTCCTCCTTCGTTGTAGATATGGGCAGCCCGAGAATTACGTATTTTGCTTCCATCCCGATAATCCGCGATACTTGCCTACAAATGAGTATCGCAGCTGCTACATAGATAGATGCTTATCGCATTGGAGATTAGCATGTCTAAAATCCCGGTGTTCTGCGCGGCCCCTAATACTGGCAAAAATTTCTCTTACTTTTCTCCTGCAATATTCGATTGCTCTAGGGCTTGTGTGCCATCTGTATGTTTTCTTCTCTGTATATAATGACTGAATTGGTAATCCTACTTGCACCAGCATTCCCTTGGAGACGACGCACGGAATCCCGAAGACCTTGATAACACATACCAGGGGTCGGACCAGATGAATGGTTATCTCCGACACGTGCGATGTTTTTTGTCTTGATGAGCCAATATGTTTCATCATGCCTACTGCCCTCGGTTTTTTAATTGCGATGTTACCCGGTGAGGGCGGTGCGAGAGAAAAAAAGCCCGAAGGAAATCGCTCATCTCAGTAATCGCGAAGCCCCAACTCGAATCATAAGTTGATTCGGAGTCCCCTTATCACCACTTGAAAGAACATAACGGTATGTGAATGATGATCTCACAATCAACCTTATCTACATTATCTGTAGCCTTCGGGCGAGGAAGCGAAAAGTACTCTGACTAACACATACAAGGCTTTTGGTAGTATTTCAATAGTGGGAAGCGAAGGCATTCACTCGTACGTTTTCCTCTTCTTATTTTCTATTTCTTCCTATGTTTCTGTTAGAACTTTTGCTGGAACAGGTCACGCTATTTTCTATCTCATTATAGTCCGTGATGGATTTTACTTTTGCTAGTTTTGGCCCCCCAAAGCCGACTTGCTTAGACCTGGCCTGCACACATTCATATCCAACTCTACTCTTTCTTCAAAATGCCTGTAACACGTTCGAAGGCGACTGTTACTGAAATAACTCTTACACAAACGGTGAAGGTAGAAAAACCTCGCGCAGCTCGCAAAGCGAAAGTAAACGGAAAAATTGTTTCCAAAGCCTCCAAAGGAAATCGAAACATCGAGCACCTTTTTGCACTAGCCGAAGTACCCAAAGATCTTCTGCTTCCATCAGAATTTGAGGCATACCATGATCTGCGTTTCATTGAAGGTGTTAAGCATATCTTGTCCATAGACCCAACGTTGTACCCCGTCGTAGTGCATCTGAAATTTCGGGCCTTTTCCAATGAAGAGAAACCAATTCAATCAGAAAGGGACACCATTCTACACTACTGGTATGCACTTATCTCGTCCGTTATTGGTCAGCAAGTATCAGGGTCTGCAGCGAAAGCGATTGAAAGTCGCTTCAGCCTGTCCTTTGAGGGCAAACCAACACCTGAGAAAACGCTTCTAAAGACAGACGAAGAGCTACGGGCAGTAGGCCTACTGAAAATGAAGGCAAAGTACGTGAGACATATCAGCGAGACGTTTGCACAGCCAGGCGAACTCACGTCCTTGGCCTTCTATTCTACGCCAAAAGAAGATGTGATCAAGGGATTAACTCAACTTATGGGTATCGGCGAGTGGTCAGCGAAAATGTTTGCAGTCTTCACTCTCCGGGAATTGGATATTTTCGCCTTTGACGATTTGGGAGTGGCCCGTGGGGTGGCCAGGTATTTGGAAAATCGGCCTGAGATGCTAGCCAAAGTAAAGGAAGGTGTACATGCGGTGGAAGAACTTAAAAAAAGGCTTACGAAGCGTGGTAAGTTTCAAACAAAGTCGTCAAAAAGGACTTGGACTCCGCTACATGACGAGTACGTAAAATATTTGGGACTCATGTTTGCGCCTTACCAACTGGTGTTTATGCTTATTATGTGGAGACTCGCATCTACAAATGTTGAGGTATTAGAAAATGTTAGGGACTAGTTATAGCAAAAGAAAAAATCCGAAACCTGCAATGGCACAGAAAGAGTAGTTTAGGCGCAGCGCCATGCCTTCGATGGCCTCGCCACCAATGTCGATTGTTTTAGAATCCTCCTCCTCTTGTTTCTGTTTGATCTTCGTAAGCTCCCGCTCGATTTGTTCCTGTCCGTAATCAAGCTCGGGTCTCCTCAAGAACTGTAAGTCCTTTGCACGAAAGTTTTTGTACCTAATGAGATAGTCAATAAATGCATCAATATCAATGTCGGTGGACGCTGCTTGGGTAGCATCACTGTCTGGGATTCGGCTTTTGTGCGACTCTACAAGATACTTTGTCCAAGCCCGCAAGTCGTCACCCTCTTGACTAAACCTATAACTTGTGACTTTAGAGTTAAGAGGCGCTACTTTACTCGACATTGTTTGAGCGGAAAAAGATGATTGGCCCAAGAAATCCTCGAAATCTTGGATCCAGCTGTCTTTGTGTGAAGCAGAAAGAGCAGCGGGATAAGTACTTGACGCAACCATAGGAGAGCTTGATGTACCGAAAACATCATTTTCGTCCCTGCTATTGGCCAAAGCGGCATTTGTAAGGCAAATGATGCCAAACGTATAGAGACAAAGCAGAGATCTCATACGATGAACAATACACAATAATGGGTGCAAAGTGCAAAACGCGCATTTGAAGCGCTGGTTATGAGAAAAATGCCCAGTTTTCCAAGCAGAAGCTTAACAGGACAAGACGCAAAATGCGCACGAAGGGTTAGAAAAAGAACAATATTCGTGCACCAAATCTAAAACAAGTCCTTGTTTGTTGGCAAATTTTAGCTCCTTTTTCTCTGCACGTTTTGTTTTTTGTCTATTTCCTGATTTCTCGTGCGCCCCTGTTCTGCGATTGTTCGGTATCGGCGGCATCCCTGTCTTGGGAGGGAATGCAGGCGAGCGCGCGCGCCGCACTCAAAAGGGAAAGATAAGTTACTAATGCAGTGATGTCCAAAGGTTAGAATATTTGTGGCGATCATCCACATCCATCTGAAGCGTACAAACTGAATTGTTGAATCCCTGTATACTGTGCATCAACGAAGAATTGCATCAGTATACAAATCGCTCTAATTTGTTCCTACTTCCCTCAACTCTGGTCTAGAGCAAGGTCGCTAATAAACAATCGCTCCGGTATGTGGCTGATGCGAGAGATGCATGGTTAAGCGGCAGACCCGACACATTCTGAAGCGCAAACTTTAACTACGCCGCACAAGGGCATGCTCGCACCATGAAACTACCAACTGCTCGGAAATCCAATCGCATTGAACGTTCGCCTCCCTGAACTTAGCGGAGTTCGGCTCGGAGAGAAGAGAGTATAGTACGATCGGGCAAACGGCTCGTACCACCTGTGCCTATTTTCCAGTAAAAGCCTAAAATAACCGCGGGAAGCCTGCAGTCCTTGCTCTTTTAGGCCCGAAAGCTCTGGAGTATTCCTGGGTCTAGAGGGCCCTTAGCGAGTTTAATTTTTTTTTCTTCTTTTGTGGTGTTTATCTCTTCTGTTGTACACGCTGTCATACTGAGCACTGCAAACCACTTTGCAAGCCCTCCACTTCCCGTTTTCTTAGTTGCCATTGTTCAAAAGGCTATTCTCCTTCTCGGGCGATACTTGATACACCTGGGCTTTTTTTTGTTCTCATGTCTTTGTGAAGCGATCTCCTCCATATCCCGTGCCCATGCAGAGACGAAACTCGTCCCACTCCCTTACTTCCTATCTGGGTCGTTACCCAGGTCCAGATCTATCTCGAGATCCTAGTTCTAACACACTATCTCTCGACGACCTGCTTTCGAGAAGAACTCGGAGACCGGAACCAGGCTCTTGTGCAAACCGCTCCTATTGTTTCCCCAACGGCGAGGTTTTCACTCCCAGAAATGCTCCGGTGAAACGTAATCGACCGCCGAAAATTGCCACACCAAAACAGCTTGCAATTCCTCGGTCATCGTCGATGGTTCTGTTGCCATCTTCAAAAGCTTCTCCTTCATCATCCCCTTTCTTGTCAGCATCTCACTCGTTCCAAACTTTAAAAAATAAAAGCAAACAGAATTTGGCGGCCCTGATTCGGTCGAGTAAAATGGACACGCTTACAAACATCAATATCACTTCCTTATCCCATCCAACTACATTGAACGCCACGCCTGTTCCTCGCCTGTACTCTTTGACCAACAATCGCTATCAAGAAAACTCAAACAACATTGTACGCCTGGAACTGGTGCTCTATAATACGTCTTTTGAAACATTGAATCTGAACCAACAAAGCTCAGGCTCAAACAGATCAAGCAAATCCAACTCTCTCTCCGGAAGATCCAACACTAACACCCCTCAGACCTCCCTCACAACTTCAGACCACGGAATGGATGCCCAACAACTCTCGGATGATGGAAGTTCTGTTGACGAAAACAAGAACAAATCATTGGAGTCAATTGAAGAGATTCCTCCTCTATCTGTGCCTAGGAAGAGTCCTCCAATCTTTGTTCCGAAGGATATTCCCTTCAAGCAACCCGTTGACCCATCTGATATCCCAACACCTGCTACTGATACTGTTTCTCCTCATCAACCCTTACCGGAAGAAGAAACTACGGCGTATGATGCAGTAGATTTAAATAATCCCACTCCATCAGATAACAACTTCAGCATTTTAACAATTGGCATTGAGCCGGCTCAAAAAGATCCGAAATTAACACGTATGGAATCCCAGACTAATTATGATGCCGAGGATGCATCCATGAAACACTCTGGCGACTCATCATTTTTTGAAAGTGCCTCTGAATATCTTGACCAAAGTCATATCTCTGAGAAATCAGCTGAAAGATTAGTACGCGATACTGATGCTAAAGAGACGAAAGTCTCGGATGAATCAGAAGTCCCATACGAAGCGGCTATGGAAATTGGGAAAATTCCCATTCTTGACCATGTTCCATCTCATTTGCCGTCGTCGCTTTCGCCTATAACAGAAGATGTGGCTACTTCGGCGTCCATTCATACGGGCAATGATCTTCCTGAACCCACAATAAGTTTGGATAATTACCGCTTGCCAGAGCTCCCTAGAGAGACTTATCATAAAATGCAAGACTCCGCAACGTCGGCTTCCATGAGCCTCGCATCAGTAATTACCTTGGCTGGTTCCAAGGAGATCTCATTAGACAATAACGGAGTCGACGTTGAGGGCTCGGCTCTGGAAAAGAAACATGGAACTGAAAAGAAGAAAAAGATTAGACTCAAACTCAATAAAGCACTTCCACCCATCAACTTTGAGCAAGAAGGAAGCAATACTCTGTCGGCTGATGTTGATATACCGCCAAGGGTGCAATCTCCCAAGTTGGATGATCCGGACAATTCTTTGAAAAAAGATTCTTCTGATCTGGAACAAGAATCCAAACTGGCGATTGCACCTCATATTGGTAACACGGACCTCGCCATTACCAACGCAAAAAATCTTGTCCCAACCTCTAAAATTGCTTTGCTGCCTCCTCCGCCTCTGGATCATGACACGGATGCAACGCTGCCGGAAATTCCTAGTCCTATTTCAAAAGATTCTTTTCGCATTGAAAAACCTATTAAGGTTACTTCAAGCAACAATGTTTATGAAAAGCGCTGTAAATTGCCTGACGGTGTGCCCCGGAAGGATGAAGACTCTCAAGCTCCTGATTTGGAAGGAAGGAAGGATATTCAGGAATTTTCAATCGAACAAGAAAATAACGTGGAACCGGAGAATACGAATTTTAATTCTGTATCTTCGGTTCACCTGTCGAAGTATGATGATAATGAACTGATAAGCGCTGGCGCAAATCGGGTAGACTTGGTCTCTGGAGACCAATCTCCGTCTACCATTATTATCAATATGCCGCCTAGTGAGAAGCCCTTTGCAAACACTTATCTGGACGAGAAACAAACCACTGATACTGCTCAGGCGATCAAGTTGGATGGGTCTCAACACTCCCCTCTGAAGACAAGTTTGATCTCTGACAGTAGCTCTAATGCGTCGGATGAATTGTCTGAAAATCAAATTAACAAGCTTCTCAATGACGATCAGACTGAAGTCCCACCGAGGGGAGATTTGAACATTGAAGGTAAATTCGTCAAAATTCATAAGCGAAATGCTTCTTCTTTGAGCTCTATGGGCTCTCTAGGTTCTATCTTGAATGCAGTTCAGCTTCCACCTACTGCTGAAGTCAATGAAGAAGATGAGGAAGGACCTCTGAGGAAGTCATCGCCGAATGATGATTCAACTGCTTTAGATCCCGATCCGAAAAAGCCTGTTGTAATTAGGCGCTCTATGTATGATGTGGTCAACACTGATTTTGAGAAGTCATTACCAACCACACCTCAAAACGTGAAGTCTATGATAGATGATATTGACCTTTCGAACGTTGAATTGAAACTCAATCTGAACCCAAAACTAGTCTCGAGTGGAAAAGCTCAAAACTCAAAGAATTCGAAGCCTTCAAAGCCTTCAAAATTAAAAACCAAGTCAGCTTCGAATTTGTGCTTGAAAAAGGTGTTGAAGTTTTTCAGCTCTGAAGACGGCCAAACAAAGAATTTCAAGAAGGCACAGAAAAATAGCATAGCAACGCTGACTAAGGCCAAAGTTGAAGTGCAGCAATCCGATCATGAATTCAATGGGAAAAGAAATGGATTGAGTTCCGAAACTTCTCTCTTAAAAGCAGTTGAGACAGGAGATGTCATTCCATCAAGCAACAAAAAACCCAAGAAAAACAAATTTATCAAGTTAATTTCTCCCCCAAAGCCAGAAACAATTTTATTGCAAACTAATGTGACTAACTCTCATTCAGAAACCACAATGTCTGTGCCCACGAGCCAGAACAGACTCAGCTTTAATTTACCAGCGTACGAGGTGGAGAATGACACTTTCGATGACTTGTTGCTCAAGTTTGATCAGGTGGAGAAAGATGCCGAATTGGAAATTGAAAATATAATGGTAAAACCCAAGAGCCTCTCAGATTTATTTTTGAAAGACGATGAGTTGACGAAGGATCAAATTGCAGACCAACAACGAAAGGATAACCAAAATTCAGACGAATCGCTCCCACAAAGGATATATGAAAACAGTTCAAGTGAGTTTACGGACTCCACGCGTAATTTCCAGAACTTTTGGCTACTGGAAGATGAAGTTTTGAACGATTTCCAGGTGGAAAATTTGCTTGTTCGATTACCTAAGGAGGATGGTGAGCAACGATTTGTGCTCAAGGCTAATCAGTTTTGGAAATTTTATGATAACGACAGAAACAAATTTCTTCCCGCATATTTCAAACATGTGAAACAGTTTCAAGATTATGATTTGATAGAGGTTAAGGTTAAGGACTTTGATCCTGAATTTAGTGATAGTTCCTCGGCAGGCTCTAACTCTGACATATTCACCATTTTAAAATCGAAGGACGAAAAACGCCGAAACACAAGGCATGTGAAATTCTCAAACACAATTCTGATCACAGAAACGTTTGCACCATCCATGTACAAAAGATATAACAAGTCTGTGACTCAATACTATCTTACGGAAAGCGCGGAGATCAACAAAATCAAGAACGAATTGAACGCTTACAAATGTCACGAGATGCTTGTGCATGAAAAGTCTCAGATGAACACTCACTTTTTTTATTAGACATGTGTATGGTTAAGAAATATGCCTACAACTACTTAGCTTCCCCTGTAAGTCGAATAGCTGTGATTACTCAAAAGTAACGGCACATGATAGTGGTGATCAGGCGGATTATCAATTTGAAAGGTAATTTCAACGAAGGGAAAGAAAGTTCTACTGGTTTCATTCAATTCATGGAAATATTTGCCAGTCAAGAACTTGATTTTGTAAATCCCGGGTGTTAATTCATGCCAACGGCCATCATAAAGTTTGAGGGTTGATTTCACGGTGGAGTCCAATTTAGGGTTTATAACCCATTGCTTAATTCTCCCATCGTTATCCGTTTTGCTCATTGCGAAAGGTGCAGCAGGCTCCTCAAGATCATAAGCAGCAGCATTAGACTTGTCATCAACAAGCGGGGATAGATAATAGATTGAGCATGTAACTCCAGCTGCAGGCTTACCCAAACAGGTGTCTAGAATATGGCACGTAATGGGATCCACAGACATGAAATTATCTTCAGAAGGAATGATATAGTATTTTGGAAGGGACCCCACGATAGGAAACGAGCCCCAAATTCTTCGCGCAAACTTCGGAATTTACCGAGTGTGAATGTACACTCCCATAAACTATGCTTTAATCAATCACAATAACCAGCAGGTTTTCTGATGTGACTGAAACGGCTTTCTCTGCAATGGGTTCGGACACATACTCTCCGATGTAACTGTCGGTAAGATCAATTGTATCTGGATTTTCGTTGTAACGCAGAATCCCGAATCGCTCTTGAGAGTATAATTTGGCTATAGGTGAACTTTCGATGGTGGAGTAAAAAGTGTTCATGTAGTTCGGCTCATTGCTGTCACTTGCATCTGTAAGGCCATCACTAGCCGTGTAGTATGGAGTGCTTCCATAAGTAGAGGAGTTCTCATTATTGTGGCCCAAACCTTTGATCTTTAACTCAAATTGGTCCTTCCGAAGCTCTGTGATTTCGTCAGAGTCTCTCGAAAGCAGGTCACCTTCTGCGACGCACTGCCATGGATGAAGCAATAGTTTTCTAGCTTTCAAAATGCGAGCCCATGTTTCGATTTCCGCAGTAAAATCATTATGGTTCCCCAATATACGGAGGTCAGTGCCAACAATCTGCTTCTCATAGTCGAGCACATGGGAAACCGTGCCAGTCACTTCTATGAGGAGGTTTTCTTTGAGCTTTGCCAATGGTACTTTCAAACATGATTCTTGGATCTTGATACATATAGACAGGTTATCCCCTGAACAATCGTCTACAAACAACAAGAGAAAATTGTAATTGCTTCTCTGATCGCCTTGATCAAAGTTCTTGTAAGTGAACCAAAGAAGCCTTCCCGATATCTGGATCATGCGAACGGGATAATTGTTGATGAGAATAAAACCTTGGTTGTGTTGTTCCAAACCTTCCACCCCATATACTTCCAAAAGATTTCGGGCACGTAAAATGTCTCGGATTGCAACAGGCAATATTCGATTGTACGTAGGCGCCAAGTGGAAAAGAGAGGGGGGGTAATAAACTTTGCCCCACAACTTTTGTATTTTTTGCATTTCACTCGGGGCTACATAATGGGGCTGGCTCATATCATTTTGGAGTACACTATGTTGTTTGTTCGCGTGTTGAATAATGTACTGAGATGTCCGCGCATATATTTTAAAAGAGCTACTGTGTGATTCCAGATTCTTCACGCTCATTGAGTTACTTACAATGCAAATTTCTCTTAGAAAATGAACATCTTCTAATTTTGGCTCTTTAACTCTTGACTCCATCTTTCTTTTAGCTTTTTTCCTTATTTCCAACTGCACTTTTTGGTATCGCTTGCATATAACCCCCTGCATACGTGCACAAAAAACTAAGATGAGATGAATTCGTCAGTCTATTCATAAATCCATGGCTTTGTTTGAGGTTGAAGGCTGGAATATCAAAGCCAAAAAGGTTGCCATTGGCGGGCTTCAAAATGATAAAAGTAAGAAACTGAAGAGGGAGAAGAGGGAGAAGAAAAAGCGTGCAGCAGAAGAGGTTCAGGATATTGATCACAGCAATGAGCCAAAGAAGCCCAAGCATAATGAAACGAAAGCAAGTAAGTCCGAAAAGAATGATACGGAATCTCAACAGGAAAAGAAGGAGATCCCGGCTCCTTTGCCCTCCGTTTCAAAAAACTTGACACCTTTGCAACAGAAGATGATGGCTAAGCTCTCAGGCTCGCGGTTCAGATGGATCAATGAACAATTATATACCACGTCATCTGAACACGCTCTACAATTAGTTAAAGAACAGCCTTCGCTTTTTGATGAGTACCACCAAGGTTTCAGATCTCAAGTGCAACTGTGGCCGGAAAATCCTGTTGATGTTCTCGTGGATCAGATAAAAGCCAGAAGCGCGAAACCTGTTAATGCGCCTGGTGGTTTGCCTGGGTTGCCTAATAAAAAAGTCGTGATTGCGGACATGGGCTGTGGTGAAGCGCAACTTGCTTTGGATGTCCAGAAATTCCTTAGCGAACGCAACCATAAAAAACAAAGTGGACCAAAGACCAAAAAATTTGGACCATCTAAAAATTTGGACATTGAAGTCCATAGCTTTGATTTGAAAAAGGCTAATGAACGGGTGACTGTGGCTGATGTGAAGAATGTTCCTATGGAAGATGAGTCCTGTACCGTCGTCATCTTTTGCTTAGCATTGATGGGTACTAACTTTTTGGATTTTATTGAGGAGGCGTACCGTATTTTGGCTCCAAACGGTGAACTTTGGATTGCTGAGATCAAGTCGAGATTCAATGAATCGACTAATTCCAAAGGTAAGCCAGTGAAGCCAGAAGAAGTGGGATCTGAATTCGTCGACTCTTTGAAATTACTTGGGTTTTTCCACAAGAAAACAGATAACGCAAACAAAATGTTCACTCGGTTTGAGTTTTTCAAACCATCCCGAGATATCGTGAATCAGCGCAAAGAAAAGTTGGAGAGGAAAAAGAAGTTTATTGAACAGGAGTCGCAGAAAGAGGAACTCGAAAAGAAAAGAAAACAGAAACCGGAGGGCGAATGGTTATTGAAACCATGCATATACAAAAGACGGTGATCATCAAGGCGTAACATTATTTGTCGCTGGTGTGGTATGAGCTCAGGTGATGTTTGCACAGACGTTATTATCCGTCGTTGTTCATTAGCAATCCAAAGCTATTTCCGAAATACCATTGGCAGATGGCAATCTGAGACCTCATTATGGGCATTTTTATTATGGAGTTTCCCTCCTCTCCAGTTTTTTTACTATCCCTATCTTCTTGTTGCATGGAGGCTAGTGTAGTTCCATGTGATCCTCTTGCCCTCAGTATACTCCAACATGGTCAAGGTTAGGACAATGAATTTTCATGGCTTTGAAGAATGTAAAACTTGTAGAATACAAAACAAAATGGTAACTTAATCGTATGGCTGTCCTTCTATTGTCGGGATGGTTGCGGATACCAACTGACGTATTCGACGTGGAGCAAGTGGTGAAACTAATTCATATAATAGATCAAGTCATCCATGAAGTGATTTTGCATGATTAACATGCAAACTATTAATGCAAGCAATTAATGCAACCTATTAATGCAACCTATTAATGTACTTGCTTATAACCGTTCCATCAGCTGTGGGGAAAATATTGTTTCTTATCAGACGCACTAATAAATCGACATGGCTTACCGAGTACGAGTATGAAGCAATCAGTATTGAGTATTAATAGCAAGCGGGAAAATTACAATGCCAAGAATCTCAATATCTCTGTACCCCCAGAAAACAACAATATACATGGGTGTGACACCGATAAGTAAAACCGCCGGTTTCCATTGATTAGCGTTCCATGTTCTCATATTTTCTGAGCTCCGTTACATTATGCACGAATTGTTCAATCAAGCTATACTTAGATTTTGTCCGCTGACTCCAAAAACTTGGTATAAATCTACTTAAAGTAAAGCTTTTTGGCACACATGAGTGGTGTGAATCCTGTAAAGTGTGAGTTCTATCTAAACCGTGCACATATTAAAATTAAACGAATTAAGGGTGTTAGAAGCCTCTCATCACCGTACGCCGCCGCACTATTTTTGAATCATCGACTATGTGCACAACCTGATGTCAGACCATAAGACAAGTCATAAGTAATTCAATTGCATGAGGCCAAGCAGTAAAATGGCTCTATGGCATTCACTCCTAACCTATAGAAATTTGTGGACAATTTTGTCCCAGAAGGTTAAGATACCATGCTTTACCATACACCCAAAGAGTTAGTACACTGCTGGGATACTGTATAAAACCCATGCGTATAAGAATGGAGTGCAGTTTGACACCTGCGTTTAACGGTGCGAGCCTAAATAGGCAGACACCAGCATTTCCATCCAATGCGGGATTCTCCGCCAGCACCAGCGACCCTGGTTATGGCTCGATCTGGTGATCCTGTCCGGTCATCCAGCACCAGCAGGGGCTGCCAGCCGCATCCAGCATTCTAGTTTATATACCGCTCGGGCTGCTCCTCTGCTCCACCCTCCTCAACACCAATGGACTTTTACCAACCCACCTTTCTCTTTCGACAAAACGCCATGCGCCGTCTGCTGTCTCCCGAACTCAATCCCAACGGTCTGTCTGAGAGCCTTATCAGCAAGAACCTGCTGTGGCTTTTGAGCCCAAACACATCCGACGTTGAGCTCGTGCAAAAAGCCTGCTCACTAGATCGCCTTAATATCAAGTCCAACTACTGGAAAATCCCTGACGGCGACATGAACTTAACTGCATTGGCAGCTAGCGACCAACACGCTGCATCCCCACTAGTCGCTGTATCCAGCGCCAACACAGATTCGAACCTTTTTGTCTACGAGCTTGATTCGCTCAACCATTATCTAACACACCACACCACCATCTCATTACCCAATATCCATGGCCTCGCGTGGGTCCCTAACCAGCAGCTGCGCTTTTTGGTCTCAGGCAATAATAAAGGTTACGCCCATTTGATATCTGTTCCGCTCCCAGCAAGCTATGGAGGCGATCCAGACGGAGAAGAATGTGCGGAAATCGTCAAACGCTTCAACCACAGGAAACACCTAAGGGCTGTGGGGAAGGATCCATCACTGCATTTACATTCTAGCACATGTGTTTCCAAATTGGGCTTTCTCGACGACCGTCTAGTGTCCATTTACGATGACACTTTATTTGTGTGGAACATGAATGATTGCCACCAGTCCATGCGTCCTAGACCGGAACTGATTGCTGTGGTGCCTGGTATCCGTAATTTCGACTCTCATACCGCAGACTGGACCACTTTGGCAGTTTGTGGTGGCTTTGGTCTCTCATTGTACGATGTACGTTCAGCCACATACAGTGTGCCCTATTCAGGTTCCAAGTTGCATTTACAAGGCGCTCAAATCAGAGCAGGAGTAGTGAGATGGCATCCTGAAAACGAACACGTAATGGCCAGTGCCCACGATGACGGTGTGGTTCGCTTGTGGGACATTAGAAAGAACGAGACTTTGGGTGAGATTAAGGGTCATGAACGCAAAAAGATCACAACAATGGCATGGAACCACGGCGATTTGTTCACTGGGGCAAGCGACGGAAACATTGTCCATTGGGACTTAAGTTCTGATGTCGATATTGCTCTGGCTGGGGACAAACTTCTGAGGTGCACAATGAAAGAGGGCGTTAACAGTGTTCGTTTTGATGCGACAACAAACACTCTCATGGATACCCTTACCGAAAGGCAATGCGGCACTTTGCTCCCGGCACTGAATAACCAAATTGTGGATATGTGCCATATTGGCTCGGGAACCGACTGCAAGATTCTTAGTATTGACTCGTCAGCATTCTTGGGATTACACTCGAGAATCTATGCTGCCCTCGGTGCGGAAGAAAAGACCCACTACACGAGCGCTGATCTTGCGTTGATCGCCAGAGAGGAAAGCTCCATCGCCACGCTCGTCGACTCCTCCGAGAGTCTTATTAAACCTTTGTGCATACGCAGAGACAAGGCACCACAAACCGAACCGAAACCCCTGGTTCTGCTGGCTAAAACCCTTATACCATCCGATGTCTCGCCAACAATTACACTGGCAGAGAAGTTCGTTTCGCTGCCAGAAACCCTTGTTTCTCTGCCTAAGAAAGCTTACCTGTCTGCTCTTCTGCCTCTCGTTTCAACAAACAAGCTGGAATCTGAATTTGACTTTCTTGACATGTGGAGCGACAGCAGGCTGTCGGTGGTGTCATTGCATTCGGTGGATCTGGCTCAAAACCTGCCTTTCCTGAACAATGACTCAGCCTACACACTATCCACAACTGCCACCATAGTCGGCCCTCTGGAGGAGCAGAAAAACCCAAAATCTTTGGCGTACTTGGACAGCGAATTAGATCGCATTTGCTCCGAGTTTCAAGTGGGCATCGCCGCATAGCATAGTGAATTTACATTCCCGAAAAAAATAAATTTAAAAACATCAGTAAGCTATATTTCTTTTTTCACATCACTTGCGTCTTCAATCCTTGCTTCTGTAGATAGGAGGTTTCGCACCCATTTGACATTTTGCTCAGCTGAGCGCACGACAACAACACAGAACAGATTGTATCACGTGACCTTTCCCAATTTCACTGTGGTTCCATAATACTTTTTAGCCAAGGAGTCGACTTCCGAGATACTAATAATATGACACAGTATGTTTCTTCCTGGACCATTGAGATTGTTTCTCATCGTAGTGTGAATCAAACCTGATCATCCGGTTGATGACATGAGGCTTATACGTAGACCCGTGCCTCTCGTGCCTCTGGCCACTGTTCCGCAAGCGACTCATTTCTTTTTCCCTTTAGAGCCGACACCTTAACCAGAAAAGTCCACCAACTGTGTCATACAGAGCAGCCTGAGACAAGTGTTGCGTCAGTATCCTTCATTCAAGCATTTGCCCTTGTTTCTAGAAGCTTTTAACTATAGCGTCTTTCGGATAGCAAAGTGGAAACGGCTCTTCTAATCATCGATATCAACTGCACCGTCCCCCGTTTTCTTCGCCCAGATGCCGAAAATCAACATTAAAGTGGTAGCTGCGGAATCTCTATACAAAAGAGATGTATTTCGCCAGCCGGATCCATTTGCTGTGATCACCATTGACGGATCGCAGACGAAAACCACAAAAACTGCTCGGAAAACTTTGAACCCGTACTGGAACGAATCTTTCAATTTGGATGCTTCAGAAGACTCGATTCTCGTCATTCAAGTGTTTGACCAGAAAAAATTCAAAAAGAAGGACCAAGGTTTCTTGGGTGTCGTCAATGTACGTTTGGGCGATGTGATTGACTTGTCTTTACCAAGCTCTGAGGAAACAATCACGCGGGACTTGAAAAAGTCCAACGAAAATTTGGCTGTTAGCGGACGTGTCATTATTGTTCTTAGTCATTCTTCGAACAGCAACGGTGCCTCTACTAACAACAACGTTTCCTCTTCCAACGGACATCTACTTCCTCCAACAACTCCTCACCCTGAAACATCGTCACCTTCTGCCGATTCTGGCTCAAACAGACAATACTCTTCATTCGAGGATCAGTACGGTAGATTGCCACCTGGATGGGAAAGACGCACAGACAACTTTGGCCGTACTTACTACGTTGACCACAACTCTCGCACGACCACATGGCAGAGACCTACGCTAGAACAGTCTGAGTCTGAGCGTGGTCAACAAAGACAAGATACCACCGAGGCTGAAAGAAGGCAACACCGTGGACGTACCTTACCAGGAGAAACGCCACAATCTCCAACCTTGAGCTCGGAAAATGTCAGCACCGCTGGGCTGATCACTGTCAATTCCACGGGAGCAAATACTCCTGTTAGCCCAGCAGCGGCTGTTTCCATGGCTGCTACTGGTGCAACCACTAGAGGTTTGGGCGAGTTACCTTCAGGTTGGGAACAAAGATTTACCAACGAAGGTAGACCCTACTTTGTGGACCACAACACACGTACTACCACATGGGTTGATCCTAGAAGACAACAGTACATTCGGACGTTTGGCCCTAATACCACAATCCAGCAGCAACCTGTCAGTCAGTTAGGCCCATTACCTTCGGGCTGGGAAATGCGTTTGACGAACACTGCAAGAGTATACTTTGTTGACCACAACACGAAAACTACAACTTGGGATGATCCACGTCTTCCTTCATCCTTAGACCAAAATGTTCCGCAGTACAAGAGAGATTTCCGCCGGAAAGTGATTTACTTCCGCTCACAACCAGCATTGCGCATCTTGCCTGGCCAGTGCCACATCAAGGTCAGAAGAGATCACATTTTTGAGGACTCGTATCAGGAGATCATGAGACAAACACCGGACGATTTGAAAAAGAGATTGATGATCAAATTTGACGGTGAAGAGGGTTTGGACTATGGTGGAGTATCGCGTGAATTCTTCTTTTTGCTTTCGCATGATATGTTTAACCCATTCTATTGTCTTTTCGAGTACTCAAGTCACGACAACTACACTTTGCAAATTAACCCTAATTCTGGTATTAACCCAGAGCATTTGAACTATTTCAAGTTCATTGGCCGCGTGGTTGGCTTGGGTGTCTTCCATAGGCGTTTCTTGGATGCATTTTTTGTTGGAGCGTTATATAAAATGATGTTGCGAAAGAAAGTGGTTTTGCAAGATATGGAAGGTGTGGATGCGGAGTTTTACCGATCTTTGCAGTGGATCATTGACAATGATATTACAGGTGTGTTGGATCTTACGTTCAGTGCAGAGGATGACAAGTTTGGCCAAATTGTTGAGGTGGATTTGAAGCCTGGTGGAAGAGACATTGAAGTAACAGAAGAAAACAAGCACGAATATGTTGAGTTGATCTGTGAGTGGAAGATCTACAAAAGAATCGAGGAACAATTTAAGGCATTCATTGATGGTTTCAATGAATTGATTCCTCAAGAATTGGTAAACGTCTTCGATGAACGAGAGTTGGAATTGTTGATTGGTGGTTTGGCTGAAATCGATGTTGAGGACTGGAAAAAGCACACTGACTATAGAGGCTACCAAGAGAACGACCAGGTAATCCAATGGTTCTGGAAGTGCATTAAAGAGTGGGACTCTGAACAGAAGGCCAGATTGTTGCAGTTCACTACTGGTACCTCCAGAATTCCTGTCAATGGTTTCAAAGATTTGCAAGGCTCTGACGGACCTAGAAGATTTACTATTGAAAAAGCTGGAGAGCCAAATCAATTACCAAAGTCCCACACATGCTTTAACAGGGTGGACTTGCCCCCATATACTTCTTACGAAAGCTTAAAGCAGAAGCTTACGTTGGCAGTTGAGGAAACAGTGGGTTTTGGTCAAGAGTAAGGTGTTTTGTATGGTAATTTTCTGTTTGCGGGGGAGGTGATTTAAGCTCAAGATTTTACTCCGCAGAACCTTGTGATGAGTGGAGAATACTCGTCTTTGACCCTCCTTTGTAACTTAGCTCATTTTTGATTATTTTTTTATTTATCCCCATTATTTAGTTCTTTTATATTTTCAATACGCATAGCTATTGAGTCCATTACTGAGATTGTTTTTCTCATTTGAGTGCGCAAACTGATCCTTCATCCTTTCCCTTATCTACATGACATGGCAAATCACGAAAATAACGATGACTAATGAAAAAGAAAGCAAAGCAATGAAATATACAGCTGACTAATCATTTAGTATGTATATGATATTTTTTGCCTGTATTCATAAATGACGTTCAGCCCCATCCCCTAATTATGTAATACAGCCGCTCCCCGCACATGGGGCTTCTCCACCTTTAGACAGGCGAATTTCAATGCAGAGATGGAAATTCCAAGGGTATATAAGGACGAGGAATTCTGCAAATCAAGTAGCTTGTAATTCAAATATGCCAGACTTATTTGATAACTTCTTTAACAAAATCTCCTCCTCCGTGAATGGAGGAAAAACTACCCCAAGGTATCTGGGCAGCTCCCAGGTAAATACGGGAAACTACTATAGCTACCATATGAACGGTAGCAACAACAAATCGTGGATGACTAGCAAGGAAATCGAGAATTCATTCATAAAAGCAGAAGGTGATCCTCCGAAGCCAAGGTTGGGATCCATCTCATCTATGGAGTCTGACTCCAAATCGAGAAGCAGCAGTATTTCAGAATAAATGGGCTGGTTCCATCACACATCTTCATTAATGGTTGCATTTGATTAACATTCATGTTTCTATTCTTTCCAATTTCATTTAACTAGTACACTATATAAAATATGAAATATATTAATTACTGAAATGGTTTATTTTGCAACAAAGGCATTTAAGTAAGCTAGTATAACTTTCTACCGCACAATCTAGAACACTTTTCTTATCAAAAGTTTTATCATTAATTAAGTACATAACATTTCAACTACACGGTGTTGCTAGTGCATGAATATTATACAAGAAGAAGTGAATATCAGCTGAAAATGCAGAATCTGAGATGAGGGAAGAATTGAAGCATTTGCAAGACCTTTCGCAGTCACCGCAACTTCAAAAGCAGCAAAAGAGCCTTCGAATCCAAGACTGCTGCCTTCTTCGTAACTCAAAGCTCGATGTCTCAGAATGTATAATAGCTCCGTTTTGAGTTACCACCAGATCTCTAAACGGATCCCCGCTCTTTAACTGATTCCCATTGTTCTCGGTTACTGAATTGTAATTGGCATAAGTCAAAGATTGCGACCGAGTTAAGCGCAGCTGTGCCTTTCCTGGATTATTTATCCCAACTGGCTGGTTTGGAAATCCATGGAGAGGTGTACGTGAGTTATGTGCCCCACTCGAGTTCGTGGCGTTAGTTACCTTTCGTGGCCTCTGAGGAGGGTGGGGATTTCCATATCCATGCAAATTGGCCTTTTTGTTGAGCGCCGCATCCCAGCCTTTACCACCATTCAAATCCATCCAGTCGTAGTGGTCATCTTCTCTTTCGTCAATTGAAACAAGCGCCTTCGTCATAAGACCAATCAAATATGCATAGTCAGGATCCTCGTCAAAACGAAGATTTCTGACATAGGTCAAATACTGAGCAAATTGTATCGGGAAGCCATAACAGAGCTCGTTGATTGTTGTTGTCTGCTTCTTCAATCCAATTTTTTCATATTTTTGTTTGTTTGTGGGGGCTTTCAATCCTTGCCATGGCAAAGACCCTCTCAAGAAGTACATAAACACGTGGCCAAGACTCTCTAGATCATCTCTTCTCAGCTGCTCACGGCCCAAATGAGTGTTTATCGACATATATCTAGCAGTACCACTAAGAGCCTTCTTTTCTCTGTAGGGAATATGTGTTCCGGTCTTAGGGTCTCTGTACTGTTTTGCCATACCAAAGTCGACAATATAAACCATGTTCGCCTGGGGAGTATCCGGTTTTCCGATGAGAAAATTGTCGGGTTTAACATCCCGATAAATGAGATTATGTTCATGGATGGACTGAATGCGTTCAATCATTTGCTTGGCCACCTGAACAACTGTTTTTGTAGAGAACTTTCGACCACACCAGTCGAACAAATCTTCAAGCGAAGGCCCCAAAAGATCAATCACCAAAATGTTGTGAACTCCTTCTTGGCCGAAAAAGTAAGCTTTGGGAACTCCCTTGACTTCACTTAAAACTCTATAAGAACGATACTCATCGCGTAACTGTGGTGCCTCGCATTTCCGAGGTTCAAATTTAATGGCAACTTGTTGGTTGTTGAGAAGGTTGATACCCTCAAATATGATACCAAATGAACCTTCTCCAATTTTCTTCCCCACTTTGTAATGGACACCAACTCTGTTGCTGCTGCCTGATTGCGCCATTATGTTGAAAGGAAATTGGAGTTAAGCAAGGATATGTGAGAGCTTATGGAAAAAGTGGGAGTATGATTTTAGGTCCAACCGCTCTTAACTGACGAGTTTTCAATGGATTGGACGGGAGCAGTGCAACCCGAAATAAAATGGCCAGTATTCGTTGCAATAATCCCACAACAGAGTGTGGCGATCAAGTGATATGCAGTGAGAAATTATATATAAGCCTTAGGGTCCAGACGATGAATCTTTCAAATGTAACCAATCTCTTCAAGGGCGGAACTTGTGCGTTGATAATTTTGATTGTTTGTGACGAAGAATGTACTGGTGGTGTGCATATAACACATGACTGTTCTTGCTTTTAGTCTGCTGGGACTAGACATCCTGATAAACATCTTTGCAAAAGAAGTAAATTTTTGAAGTGAAGTAATACTTTTGTGCTGCCCCTATGACATTACTTCGTTTGAGAATGGTTTTTTCCATGACCAGTTTAAAACTTGGAAGGACTAGAAACTAACGTTTTGAGTTTTAAAGCTTGATGGTAAAACAGTCCGAGTCAAGACGAAATAGCGCAAACTCTCCACTTTATATCGGGACCAGGCCCACTCAGATGTAGATGTTTCATCGAAGAAAAGACTCAAAATACATAGAATGTGAAAAGCGAAGGAAACTTCTTGCTACAAAATATGGTAAAACCTAATCCCTTTCGTAGTAAAACTCTAGAGTTGTGAGTACTTTTAGTCTTATTCTCATATGGCCGCATAAAATGAAATTGAAGGTTTTAGGAAAAGTCTTGCATCTCGCACATGTATTTTTTGTCTAGTTGCATCATCATGCACACCGTGTGAGATATCAGACGACCTTTAAATTCTTGGTTTTCTCGATCTTTCAAAGAAAGAATGTAACTCATCAATCAGTACGAATGCATTTTTCTCTATTAATTAGCAAGGGCTTATTATCTTGTTCAATCACAAGCTGATGAAGTGTCTTTTCTCAGTACCACGTAAGGTCCAACCAAATACACTTTTAAAAGCCTCAACTTGCATGAATGAACAATACGCGGTAATATGTGGCAACAATACGCGGCTCTCGATCGGAGTTGATTTCTCTCCCGTACATTCACTTTACTCCAAGACGGATATCAAGCGACAAAGGCTTTTTTATTCAGCCTCAATGAGAAGTGACAAAGTATCGAAGTTTTTGAAATGTAGATAAATTACCATTTTAATAAACACTGTCTTGGGAAGTTGTTCTTTGCGTGTAAATTCGCAGTATTCCACATTCTTCATAGTGAATGCCGAAAAACACTAATATGAAAACAATATTCACTTTAAGAGCAAAACGGTTTTAAACACTGTCATGGATGGGGACTCTTCACCTTGTTTTCTAAAGTGTATTATCCCAGCTTCATCTTGTTCAACTGACGTGCTACATATATCTTTTGGGCAAATCGATTGTATTAGTAATACAATGTAAAAAACTTTCAAGAGAATTTCAGCTGTGTTCACGTCTTTTTCAAGTTTTACAAGAAAAACGAGTTCCTATCAGTCCCTGCCATAGTACTGGGTGCAAAAACCTTCCATTGATAAAACCCGTGCATCCTTCTCTATCTTTGTAAGCACATTGAAGAGACCATACTCACCATGCCTGAACTGTCTGAGTTTCGAAGCGATTTATTTGCAGATCTTCCGTGGAGCGTTATATATGAGATTCTAAAATACGTGCCTAGCGATACAATTTCTGAAGGGCTTCTTTTGGTTCCTCAGTTGCGTCCGCTAGTATTAGCAGAGTATTACTCGAACGAGATCCATTTTATTCTCTCTCCGACTCAACGTCCCCATTTTTGCACCAATGATCCCCAAAGGAAAGAACTTATAGATATCACAAGCTACGGTGAAATTGAAGATTTTTTGATTGACAATCCAGATGCTAATCCAACTCTAGTGAAAGTCATCACGAGTCTGGACTTTCGATCAATGGAACTATTGCTAAACAAATTTCACGACAGATTTGCATCTTTTCAGAAGCTTGATCTTCATGTGGACAACTATGACTTGACAAACGATGATATAAAGCTTATCATGTCTTTTCCAAACTTGCATAAACTTCAAACTGGAAGGGTCAATGTAAGAAAATGTAGTTCCATGCTCAGCGAATTCTTTCCGAAGATGAGAAACCTAACTGAAATTGTCTTTTTGGGACATGGCTTGTCAAACTGGTCCGATGTTGTTCTTCCCCCGAATCTCACAAATTTGGATGTTTCTTGGCACCCATTCACGGAAGTGACATCCATTAATTTACCTGACAGTTTGACGAATCTTTACTGGAACCAGGTTGGTATTCGGAATGGGGTTTTTGAATCGTTGAAATTTCCTCAGGGTCTTACTACTTTAATGGTAACATATAATAATTTGCATTGGATTAATGTATCGCAACTTCCACAGACACTTGAAACCTTGGACCTATCAAATAATAATTTGCTGAGCTTCAAAGTAGATGGTGAGAATAATTCCTGGCCTCCCAACTTGAAATCCATTCTTCTTAATAATAACCATATTGATGACCATGCACTAGAAGAATTAAGCGGTATCAATTGGCCACCTTTATTGGAGAACTTAAGACTTGATGAGAACAAATTCACCCAACTTTCTTATTTGTCGTCATTGCCTGAATATCTAAAATATTTGGATCTATCAGACACGCGTATTTCCACCTTTGAAGTACCACATAAAGATGATGAATACCCTTACTTTGCCTTTCCTCAGCTGTTAAATACCCTTAATATTCAGAATTGCCGAACACTCAAATATGGAAATCTTGAGGCTATGACAATGGTTCCACCGGCACTTCGTATTCGATTTCCTGAGGATTTAGAGACACTAAATTTAAGTGAGTGCAATATAAGTACTCTAGACTACTTCATTTTCCCTAAATATGTTAAGAAGCTTTCTTTGACTGGGAACTTAATCCTGGATCTTACATCCTACAATTTCCATATTGGGAATAAAGAGGTGATAAGTTGGATACTGTTGGAGAATTTGAAAGAGTTAGAGCTATTTTACAATCGCATTTCTCATTTGGAAGCATGGATACCCCCCAACTCACTCAGCAAACTTGATTTAAGAAGAAACCAAATTAAGTTCCTCACATCGATAAACACCCCTTTATTCAATCGAAATCAAAATCAAAAGCTTACGAGCTTTCATATGATTCATTTAGAACAAAATGAGATACACACAATTGACCTGCGTTTGACACTTCCTCCAAACCTTACGTCCCTTAACTTGAGTCGGAATAACCTTTCACAATTTGTATTCACTGATGGCTTTGCAAATCATCATAATTTGTCTTCATTGGATCTCAGCTGGAATCAAATAGAAAAGATCTCGCTCCTGTCAACATACGCTGAGTCACGTTTGAGCGAGCTCAACCTAACCCGAAATCCACTGCTTCGGATGAATCCTGATGATTTCTATAAAGTGTTAGAGCGTATGAAGCTAAGGGTCACAAAAAAGATGCATAATATAAGAAGTGTTCATCAATTTAGGTAATAAAGAACATTTAACGTTAATTTTATCCTTATGCTTCTTTCCATCTCGCCGTATCTGTAATTTCAATTTCACATTCTTTTTCTTTTGCCTATATTCTAATTTATTTCGTCTCACACAGTCTATTTAAGTTAGTGCTTGCTAGTTTTTTTTTTTTCTCCCCTGGGGCGCTGGAGGAATTAAATTCTTCGTTCGAACTGTTCCAATCTTCGCGCACATCAAAATCCAACTCCGCCAGTACACATACACCTAATGGCAGAATCAGAAAAGTTCCGTCCTGGGTCCTTGGTTTTAGCTTATCATGGACCATTAGTGTATGAGGCCAAGGTACTCAAATTCCACGAGAAGGGTAAACAATTTGTGGAAACAGGAGACGGAAAGAGCGAACCTCTTAATCTCAATCGGATCCCCAAGTTTTTGTCTGAGTCCGATGCATACTTTCTACACTATAAGGGGTGGAGTTCAAAATGGGATGAATGGGTCTCTACTGAACGAATCCTAGAGCTAAATGACGACAACTTAGGCTTATCAAGAGAACTACGAAATGCAAGGAAAACAGCTATTGAGCGCTTAGATCATAGCAAAAAGGACGACGAGGGAAAAAGTACTGTGGAGAAGAAAAGAAGACGAAACGATTCATCAGATGATAAAGACATAGTATCAAGTCAAAGTTCCGCCGATACACCAAGACTGAATGGGCCTGGACGAAAGAGGACAAAACAAGAGAGCAGAAGTTCGTATGACATCATGATATCCCTTCGTCCTCAGCTCAAATGCCTCTTGGTGGACGACTGGGAATTCATGACAAAAGATCATAAGTTGGTTGATCTAGAAAAGTGTACGCCGGTCAAGAAAATTCTTGATTCATTCTACGCATATAAAACGTCCACAAGTAAGATGGACGCTTTGGATATTACACGAGAGGCCATGGACGGACTCGCCATCTTTTTCGATGAATCTCTTTCGTTGAGTCTACTCTACCGTTTCGAACGCCTTCAATATAGTGACCTCTTAGAGAAAGATCCCAATGTGCGGCCATCAGAAGTTTACGGATTGGAACATTTACTTCGCTTATTGGTCATTTTGCCTGCGCAGATATCAACAACAACTATGGATGCAGTTAGTATCAACGTTTTAATGGCTGAAGTGAAAGAATTACTTGAATACATTGATGACAATTTAGATGGGTTTGTCGGCTCTTATATGAATGCAAGCCCAGCATACGACAGATTGGCAGGTGGCCAATGACATTTTTAGGACAGTGCAAAGATTATCGACGTTATGTGCGTTTCGATGAATAAAATAAATAAAGCTGCTTCTCTCTTAACATAAATTCGTATATTCGTAATCAGTAACATAAATCGTAAACAAGAATTAATTGGCGAAAAACAAGAATTAGATCGTAGTTTTCATTAAACAGGAATGGCTTTGTAGTCAACCTGGACCAAAGGATTCTCATTGTTGCACGACACTTCCAACTCTAACTTCCAGTGTCTGTTAAACTTATCTTCCTCCTCCTTGGGGAAACCATGGTCTCCACTGTCTTCATATCTCCAAATGATGTTCTTAGGGGTTTCTTCCATCTTGGCCTTACCGAAATCCATCTCGAAGCCGCAACACTTCTCCATCTCTAGGATCAAATGACGCTGGATGTGGTGTTGCAAGTTTCTTCTAAATTTGCTGGAGTTCTTATTCATGGTTGGTTTTATCTTCTCTATGTCATCATGGACCTCTTTTAAAACGAATGGTGGATAGTAAGTCAAATGAGCGTGGCAGTAGTCGAACTCGTTATCCCATGTCTCGTCTCTAATATACGATTCGAAGGATGCAAGGTCTTCAAAATCTTTTCTTGGAGGTGGTTTCAAAACTTCTTTAAGAGATCCATCTTCCGACTCCACTGATGTAATAGACGATTGTCTACTCTTTGGAACGGGCATCAAATGTTCAAGCTTTTCAACCTTATTTAAATCCAATTCGACGGTTTGCTTCTTTTTTCCTTTCGTCATGGTATGGAGTTTTGTTTCTTTAAATTCAGTAAGTGTTAAAGAATTGTGTAGTGTGTTTGTGACAAATTCCCTTGAATTCAATGATGATCAATGGAAAGATGTGAATGTGAATGATGGGTGCAAAACATTTGAGGGAGGCTTGATTTCAAGCCTTTATATACGGCTCGCGCATGCACAAGCTAGGAACGATCGTCACACCCCCGAAAGCAAAATCTCTCCACTTCCAAGAACAGGTGAGGTTTTCTTTTTTTCGTTTGCTATTTTTTCTTAAACCCTTCAAGTGGAGTTTTTCGTTCCTTAAGCTTATAAATTTACTCTTCAACTACAAATTGTTTACTTTTATTCACTTGGTACCCCTTGATCCATTGCGATGATGAAGCCGCGCGCCCTGAAATAAGCTTGGTGCTTGAGAAAACGGATGTTGTGGGCCGCGCGAGATGGAAGTCTGGTAAATGGAGTGACTGGCCCGTTCAGGAAACTGGGGCCAAAGGCGCGCGCAGAAACCATGCAAGGTGCGCACCCCCGCGAAACGAACACCCAAACTCATACTTTGTCCTTCACAATGTCTGACCATGCGGAGAAGCAAAATCCCTGTTCACTCCTATTGTGGGCACGAGCAAGGGGTTTTTTTCTTATTGGGGTTTTTTTGCCTACTCCTCCCTCATGTGGTGCAGCGTGTTTGTAAAGAAAAAGGGGAATGTAGTACCTCCCTATTGTACATTGACTTCTTCATGGGGTGTTGATACTGCGTGGAATAGTTTTCCCGGCTGGAAAATGACAACATACGACGGAAGCAACGGCGCGGGCGCCCAAACCATTGCGCCAAATGTGGTCAAAGTTTGGCGCGGAAAGCGGTCGGATGCGGGTCGTGAGATTTTTTTGTGCCCGGTTATAAGCGCGCGTCCCGTTCGTTTTCCGGAAGTAACACTACTCGCTAGGGGTCACCAGCACCGCTTTGCGCAAGGAAAAACTTTTGGGAATTGTTCTCTGTAGGGTAAAAGCAGCCCATTTTTTTCCTGCGTTGTTCCGGGTTTCCATTTTTACCTCAATATACGAATGCTGGCGCTTCTTCCGACATTGTGCTGGTAAGCATTCGTAATGGTGTGGCCTAAATTTATCCGCACCAAACTTTCGCACTAGCCTCATGCGGCAAAGGTGTCTTCAATTTTATCACTATGAACGTATGCAAATCAGCCATGTCTTGTTCATTAATTCTTACGTGCCTATCGCTGGAATATTCCCATCGTCTGTTTGCAAAGTCTTAACAACCTATTCCTTCTTTTTCGTTTTCCCCAGAAATGTAGGTCGCCGCACTCAGTGTGTATAAAATTTTCTCCACCAGAAAATCCATCTAAGATACAAAGATGGTCTTTGGAGTCTACACGGGGCCACAGGAGCCTGAAAAGCCACTCGCGATGCTCTCGCAAGAAGAGCAGGCTGAGGTGGGTGCCAAAAAAATGATCGAGCTCATGCAATCATGTCCTGGAAAAACCGTGATGGCTGGTGGATCTGGTTTCTTTCTTGGTGGTTTCTTTGGTTTATTCATGGCATCGATGGCATACGATGTTCCTGTGGGAACATCCACTGTCAATCATATCAGCGAGTTGCCATTTAAGCAACAGATGAAACTTCAGTTTTCCGATATGGCCAAGCGGTCTTGGACCAGTGCAAAAAACTTTGGCTACATTGGTATGATATACTCTGGTGTTGAATGCTCCATCGAGAGCTTACGTGCAAAGCACGATATTTATAACGGCGTTAGTGCTGGATGTATCACTGGTGCTGGTCTCTCGATCAAAGCGGGGCCTCAAGCAGCTCTCTTGGGTTGTGCCGGTTTCGCCGCTTTCTCGACCGCCATCGATCTTTACTTGAGATCAGAAAGTGCTGCTCCGCCAGCTAATGACTACGATGAGTAAAGGTGCTGTCCTTTGTCTCTGGTTTATTGTATTATAGTACAGCACATCGTTTCCCAGTTCCCTTCAACAGAAGTAGTAGCAATACTCGTAAGACATTTGCCCTGCGCAGAACGACACCCCGGCTAAAAGGACTAGAACCAATGCTATTAGGAAAAGACGTCCCACTTTGGGTGTCAGTGTCCTCAGGCTAGGACTCGGCACGTTGAGTTGCTGGAGTCGTTTGAGCTCCTCCACTAGACTGTTTTCATGTCTTTGTTCGAGAATATCCTCTAACTGTTGATCTATTTTCTCGAGCTGTTTTTCTAGCTCTGTTCCGCTTTCGTCCAGAAACTCTTCGCGGATCTGCTCGATTTTCCGCTGTATGGAATCTAAATGTATGTATCGCGTGTTTGTTTCTATGCTGGGCGTTCTCTGATGCCATATGGGTAACGATCGGGGCAGAAGAACACGCTTTTCTTCAACAAGCCGATCTCTATACCCTAACTGCGGCAACTTTCTACGCCTCGTGGGCTCAATGAAGGAAGTATCGTTTGATTCTATGGCTTGACTGTCGTCGTCTTCGTTTTTTATGGCACTCGTGGGTCGATATGGAAGCGGTAGAGGGTCGCCCAACTCAGCCAGAAGTGTGAAGTTTTTTCTTTTTCTGTTCATATCATAATATAAATTGCCCAGGTGAACAAGTGTTCTTGTGATGGAATGAGGTCTGTGTTTGTTTACTTGCAAGTAGACTGCGCTGTTGTAGACAGGAAATGACTTCGAATGTGGAGACAGACAGATCTTCCTCGCGTTACATAGAATACGAAGGTAAGATTCCAGAGTGAGCGTATTTAGCTTAGTTATGCAGTTTACTTTTTTATATTATCCCATGTGCTTAACTTAATTAGATAGTTCACATCATTGGTTGACGTTGTGCGCTGCGGCCGGAACGTAAATAATTTCGTCCTCTTCTGATCAAGTATACCGTGCATCCAATAAACCGGAATAAAGCCATGAATGCAACAGTCCAAAGAATCACAGTAAGGAAAGCCTTCGACCTGGACGATACATTGTCCTTTTTCTTGCTTAACTGGTTGACACCTCCGGTCTCCAAAACTAAGGCAACAATCAAGAAATTAGAAAACATCCACACAAGAACTGTCATGGATCTAATAAAAGCATAGTAATCTTCATTTGTACCATCAGAGCCTCCCTTGGATGGTGCCTGAGGATCTTTGATTTTCTCTAATTGGTTCAAATAGGATTGGTTGATCTCTTCCTTCAAGACAGGGATTTTCACGTCGAAAGTACCGTCCTCTCTGATTGTTGCTGAGCCCAAATCTTTGGCTCCTGTGTCACCTTTAGTACCCCATGAAACATCATCAATATTACAGAAAGCATATATGTTCAACACATTCACATATGCTGGTGAAAGCAAAAGGTATTGGAGGAACGACGTGAACATGTGCATAGGCTCAAAGTACATGAACGATGCCACGAAATAAAGCAAGTAAGTGGAACACGTAGCCACTACCAAGTCTCTGAATTCTTCATTCTTGAAAAACAAAGCAACTGTAATTGATTTGTGATGATCCGTAATACTCTTGATTGCATGAACTGCCATGAAGATTGCTGCGAAAATCATATAGACCATCAAGACAGCGAAAAAGAGTACAATAACAATGTAAAATCGTTCTGTACCTTTAGGTTTGTTACCGAAACTCAAAACGAAAGTGGTCACGATCGATGCAAGGTAGAGCCATAAGAATAAAACAGAAAGAACATTGCCGGGAGAGAAGTTAAGGTCAGAATCCGCGAGAGATGTGGTCAAGATGCGGAACACTAGAAAATAAGCTCCTATTGAGAACCAAGAAACCACTAAACTCACAAACTGGTACATGAATTCCACATGAAGCATAATCTTTCTCCCTAAAGTATGCAGCGATGTCCAAATTTTAGGGAAATGAACCAATGAGTAGATCGCAGCAAAAAAGGAACCATTCAACCATCTTCTTCTTTGCAATATGAACTCAGCCAAACCTTCAGGAACATCTGTCTCAGCCCTGGCTGATTTCACATACCGAAGAAGCCAAGCGTGTCCTCTCTTAGCCACAAGCTCGTAGCACAAAATTCTGTCCTCGGCAAGGTACATGTTTGATGTGAAAATGCCTGCCTCCTCGCTTAACAATCTCAGTTTCATTTCATACTCGTCATCGTCTAGATCAAGCTCACCGATGCCATGCAAAAACTCTCCTTTGAAATATTTCTCCAATGGGCCTTGCCCATTAATATCATTCTGGAGAGCCATGTACCTATAAGCCGAAAAATGCGCCAGGTAACACAGAGATAAATCCAAACACCGACTCAGTAGGCTTGTCAAGAATATTGGAGATTTTATACTCAAAATTTTGTGCATAAACCAATGGATTTGTCAACATTTGTCTTTTTTTCAACGATGCCTTGATCTCACCACAAGCTCCTGCAACCTGAGGATCTCTGTCAAACTCTTTCCACAAATGGTACAATGACTTTCCACTTGGTTGAGTACCACAATCAAGCAACACAACGATGTTAGGTTCCAACACCTGGGAAATGGCTTCGAAACACCATCTGTGTGAATTGATTTTCTTTGCATTAGTCTCTTTGAGACAGAATAGCATTTGAACTGGTACAACCTTCTCTGTGGTCAATTTCACAGTGTCTGTGACAGATGAAACACGGACACGGGTCGTGTACTCATACATATGAGCTTTAACCTTCTTATCATCGATACGAGATTTAGCTAGTCCTTCTTGGTAGACACCCATGGATGCCAAAAGGGCCTGCGCCCTCTCGTTAATCTTTGAGCGGCCATCACTGACAATACAAACGACAATTTTTTTCCACGAATCCTTTCCCCACATGCGGGAGCTTGTCTTGGATTCTAAATGTTTGATATTCTTAAACACTCCTTTAAGCGTTCTAGCCAACAAAATGTCATCCTCATTGTACATAGTAATGACAACCATCATCTCTGTGTGTCTTCTCTGAGGGTAATGAATAGGACGCAAAATGTAGCCGTCTCTCCAAAAGTTAGAAGGGCCACAAGTCACGGCCGTGTAACGCATGTATGCAAATTCTCTACTGAGTCCACCATCTTCTAGGTCTGGATTATAGTCTGGAAATTTTGTGAGTAATTCTGTGGCCACGGGACAATCCAAAACTAAATGACCATTATATCCTGATGCAAAAGCCTGTTTCGTTTTCTCTCTAACTTCCTCTTGTTCGGGTGGGAGTGGGAATTGTTGGTTATCGTCAAACGGTGACTCACGAACAACTTCGAACACGGTTTTCTCTTATCGTCGTCGTGGTGAAATCGGGGGACATGGACAGCCTGAAAGATCAAAGAGAGGTCACCCTGAAAATTGTTGTACTGAATTTCTTGGTTCATATTGCTGCTCTCGTCGTCTTCGTATGAGTGAGGCACAAATGCTTGGTTGAAGTTCACGTTAGAGTACGGCTCGTACGTATTGATTGGATTGTCATGATAATGCGCTTGGTCATGGCTTTCTGGTTGTCCGTAGTAATTCCCAAGCTCATAGTTTTCATCACCGAATGGGCCTTGAGCTAAATCTGGAGAGGAGCGAGCCAACTTCGGTTCATTGTGCAGAGTATTGAAAATGTCGCTTGGGTGTTCTCCTTCGTAGTAACTAAAATCCTCAGTGGAGTCAGCGTATCTGTTAGTGTAACTCGCCTGAGGCTGTTGGAAGCTTAGCAGTTCGTCACTTGGGCGACCGTGATAGGAATAGTTGGCATTAGGATCTTGTTGAGGGTATCTCAAGAATTCGTTTTCCTCTTCGTCTCCAGGTGGCATTGCGGTTTAGTAGTTTAAGGAAGAGGTGAGAACTTGTAGGAAATGATTGTATTCAGCTGTGCTGATTACTTTATTAGAGTGGTCAAATTTACTCTCCCCTAGTAGATGGCACTTTGGTCTCTCTTGGCGTGGTTTTAAATTGAAATCGGGTAAAAATAGTATTTAGACTTGTGCAGGAAAGTGATTTGCGTTTTTCCAAATCACCACGTATGGAGGCGAAGTGGAAATATGGTTTCATATTGGTGAGGCAAATTTTGGAAAGAAGCAAACTTCTTCTTCATCTTTTCAAGTCCGTGCATGTGAAGAGATACTCGTGATGATCGCTCTTTTCGAGCAAGCTAAGTCCAACCGCCTTTTTTTCATCGTCAAAGAGAAACGCGTCTACATTCATTGCGGTGGCACTGCTTCAAATAGTCTTCCGCCGCATGTCCTAAAAATAATCATCCAGGTACTCTCAAATCCTGCAAAGACTAGTTCGAAACAGGGAAGTCCACATCAGGTCACGTTCATTTGAGCACCACGATGTCTTCTTTCTTCTCCACGCATAGCCCCGTACACGCTTTAGTCATGGCTTCCTGTATATGTGGACGGAGATCCAATGTATCGTGGCTTTGCCAATATGCAATCTTAGATGTAAGACATGATTATGGCAGCGATATCTGCAAATATAACTGGCGTGCTTTGGAAGGCGTAAACGCTTCTTTTTTTTCTTTTTTTTTTTGCTCTTTTTGTTTCTGTTTTTGTTCTTCTTGATATTCGTTTCGGCATCGCCGCGGGAAGTGCGTATGTCCGACAAACAAATGTCCCGATGCGGAAGGAAATCTCTATCGGCGATGAGCTAGTGCGCAATAACATGTCAACGAGGCATCCATGCATAATTTGGCACTTTTTTTTTTTTTTTTTTTTTTTTTTTTGTTTGTCTTTTTCTTTTCTTTTATTCCTTCAGTTTTATTCTTTTTCGTTTCCATACCATCATGGCCCAATATCAATGCACGGAGCACGTCAAAAGCTTTCTCACCGAGTTGCCAAAATGTGAGCACCATCTTCACTTGGAAGGCACTTTGGAACCTTCTCTTTTGTTTGAGTTGGCAGAAAGAAATAACGTATCGTTGCCAAACCATTTCCCTCCCACTGTAGAGGCCTGCAATGAAAGATACGCTAACTTTGCTGACTTACAAGATTTCTTGGACCACTATTACATAGGGATGAGCGTGTTGATTAAGGAAGACGACTTCTATGATTTGGCCATGGAATACTTCAGCAGGGCACACAAGGATGGCTGTTTACATTCTGAGGTCTTTTTTGACCCCCAGGGACATGTCGAAAGAGGAATTAGCGTCGACGTTGTCGTGCAAGGTTTTGATAGAGCGTGCAAAGACGCCAATGCCAAGTTCGGTACGACCAATAAGTTAATTATGTGTTTGTTGAGACATTTGCCAGCAGCTTCTGGAATTGAAACTATTGACTCAACTGCAAAGTACTTTGAAAATGGTACTATTCACGGGTTGGGGTTGGATTCGGCAGAGAAGCCTTTTCCTCCCGAGTTGTTTACAGAATGTTATGGCCTTATCAAGTCTAAGTTTCCACAAGTTGGTTTGACTGCTCATGCGGGTGAAGAAGGTGATCATACCTATGTTTCAAACTCCTTGGACTTGTTAAATGTATCTCGTATTGATCATGGTGTCAACTCCAAGAATGACGAGCAGTTGATGAAAAGATTGGCCGAAGGTCGCATCATGTTATCCATGTGTCCATTATCTAATGTCAAATTGCAAGTGGTGAAGGATGTTTCTGAGTTGCCCATCGCTTTGTTCTTGGAAAACGATGTCCCTTTTTCTATCAACGTCCGATGATCCAGCGTACTTTGGAGGATACATCTTGGATAACTACATTGAAGTGCATACTCGTTTTGGTTTCTCTTTGGACCAGTGGCGCAAAATTGCCATCAACGGTATCGAGGGCTCATGGTGTGATGAAGACAGAAAGAAGGAATTGAAAGCTCATGTTGAGGAAGTATGCAACAAGTACGCTAGCATTTTGAACTAAGCCCTAGGCGTATTTTGATTTAAATTTGAAATAGACAAACCATATGCGATAGTTAGTTTATCGCATCTCAAGCATCAATAGAATGTTGTACGAAGCCCAAATACAAGGCGTATGCATTGCCCAATGAGGTTAGATTTTTAATACCTCGGCAAGTGAATAGTACTCACGAAGTTTCTTATGAAGATTCCCTCAGTGAATTGTGGCCTCTTTCGTTTGATTGCAGACTTGTCTTACAATTTACAGGTATTGCAACTCCAAACGTGTCAATAACGTGTACCTGCATTTGATGCATTGTCTTTTGTATTGTGCAGTGTTAATATTAACTCCATTGTTCCCACTCGGTTATAAATTTGATGGAAGACATTCGATATCGTTCTTAGTAACACTATGTTTTAAATGAATATCAAATGGCTCTGTGGCCGAGCGGTCTAAGGCGGCAGACTCAAGTTCTGTTATCGTAAGATGCGCGTGTTCGAATCACGCCGGAGTCATTTATTTTTTTTGAATTTTTGTCGCTTGCAAGCCCAAGCAACTGTTCTTGGAGACATCCCTTTTTATTTTGCCATTTTAGTATTGGATGTAGCAATTCAGTATCTTGAGTTAAAAGGACAGCAAGGATGTTCGCGCAACAAATGATCGTTATGGGCCCGGATGCAGTGATATTTTGTATATATACGGGGTAGCTTAGAAGTGTAATCTACCTTTATCTTCGAATATCCATCAACTAGCCCAAAATGACAAGAGCATTGAATACTATTCTTGGACTTGGTGCATTAATTGCCCTCTTTTATGTGTTCTTCAGACACCCAAAAACTCAAGAAAATTTGGCCACTGCTTATGATAATGTGAATGACTCGTTGCAACAGTCGTACATTTTGTATTTTGAGCCTATTAAAGAAAAGTTAACGAAGGAAGAATCTTCAACCATGGAGAAGCAAATGGATGAGCTTGTCAAATCCTACCACCAGTATGTGGAGAAGGACTTGGGAAGTCATGTGAAACACACCTATGATACTACTTTGCATGGTATCAGCATCCAGCTTGGTCACACAAAGAGTCTTTTGAATGCTGTGGGTGCCACTGCTGTGAACAAAGGAGAAATTGCTATTGACAAACTTCAAGAGCTATTCTACAAGTTTAAGGGCGATGATCTCAAGAGATGGGGCATTCGTATGAAGTTGGAGAAGGATAAAAAGGCTGGCATTTAAGTAAGTATCATCAAGTAGCCCGATTTCAAAATAAATTCACCAAGAAAAAGTGTATTGATGCATATGTAGCAAATGTATTGTTGAATCCAGTCAACAGTTGCTCAGCAAACGACGACAGAAACCAATGTGCACCAATACAGCAAGACATAAAGCACCCAGCGGTTAAAGATTTAAGCAAAAAAAAATATTCCAAAAATATAGTGTCAAGCAGCAGAATGGCCTCAAAGACTTGGAACATCAGAGAAGTCCAAGTCAGCGAAATTGACTTGGCCAAATGTGTTTTCTCCAGAGTACAAGACGTATAAGAAGCCATCCTCATCCTTGTGCTCTTCGTAAATTGTACTCATCAATGCAGCGGTTGGAGGCAAGACGTCATTGACAAAGATAAAGATGGCCTTCTCTGATGGCAACTTGATTCTCTTTCTGATCACATAAACAAACTGGCCCACGGTCAAGTCACCAGGCACCAAATACTTTCTCTTGTCAATCTCTTGAATATCTGAATTCTCCACTTTCTCGCAAATGACAGGGAGCCTATCTTTGAATCTTTGCAAGATTCTTGTAGATTCGGATTTTCTTTTCTCTGAAAACAGTTAGTATATAGACAATTAACCAGCATAAAGAGCATCACATACCGAGAGAGTTTTCGTCTTTAAATTGAGATCTCATTCTTCTAAGAAGGTGTTAGTAATGTAAAAGGAAAAAAAGGAATAATAAACAAATGAGCCTGGCGCCACCAAACTGGTAAAAACACCCGTGTGGCAAAGGCTCTTCTAAATGCACGTACGATTTTCTAATCTAGTATTGGTCTCAATTGTTTGGAACTTGTGAACGCGGTAGATTAATCTTAAATTTGGGACGAAAAGGGTAAGAAGAACTTCCACAAAAAAAAGAATGTGTAGCACTATCTTATCGTCATCCCTTGTGGGGTGCAGTCGTGCGTGCACAAAATTATGTGTTCCTGATAGAGGCGTGTTTGTATGATTTTGTTATCTGCAAATAACATTCTTGACCGATAAATGAACCGTCCGGTCTATTAATCAGCACAATTGTGGCTTTATGTACTCACTATTCTTTACTTGTTGTAACTCTCTAATGCAAAGAATGTCTTTTTCCGAAGACAAAGATGTAATAGAACCATCATCATAGATAATCAGGTACTTGAGATTGTCCTCTACTTCGTCGAGCTGGTCTCAGCAGATGTTAAATGCATGCTCTTGTTTTAAACAGATTGGCGTTACTCGGTTATGGAAGAAAAGTCTCAAGTACAGCTTGACCTGCATATTTTTAACACAACGTCTTCACTGTCTCAATACTATCCACTTAACGTGATGATTTCTAGGAGTATAAAAGGATGGCGTCCCGAGCCTGGGTATCCATTCAAATGTGGCATTGAAATACATACGCAACTCAAAACTAAGCATAAACTTTTCTCCTTGTCGAAAAATAGCCCGGGTGCAGCTCCAAATACATGTGCTAGTTACTTTGATTTCGGCTTGCCGGGCACCATTCCAAAGCTCAATCCTGAAGCGCTCCTTTTGGCACTACGAGCTGCTGTAGCACTTAAGTCTGATATCAGCTCCATTTCTTCCTTTGACAGAAAACATTACTTTTACATGGACCAACCTCTAGGGTACCAGATCACACAGCATTATCAGCCTTTAGCCAAAAACGGTCACTTGCTGTTGGTTCCTCGTTTAGATGACGTGGAAGAAGCCAAGACAATCCATGTGGAGCAGATTCAGCTCGAACAAGATACAGCAAAACTCAACTACAATGCATATGATGGTACAGTTGATATTGATCACAATCGAGCGAACGTCCCATTGATCGAAATGGTGACAAAACCGGATTTCTCGCATCTTTCTGAGCTCCGTGCTTTCGTTAAAAAATACATTTCTCTCATGACTCATTTGGGTGTTTGCTCTGGTGATATGGAGAATGGGGCATTGAGATGCGATGTCAATGTCAGTGTTGCAGGAGGAAATCGGGTGGAAATTAAAAACTTGGGGAGTACCTCGGAAATCATAGCCGCTGCAAAGTATGAGTACGCGAGACAAGTTCAGCTATTGAAGCACGGCAAGACCCCTGTTGAACAAGAAACTCGAAGCTGGGATGGTACGAAAACAATTCGTACTCGCTCAAAAGAGGATGCCATAGATTACAGATACTTCCCTGATGTTGAGCTTCCTAGAATCCGTTTACATCCATCAATTGGCAAAGATTTATCTCAAACATTGCCTGAACTTCCTGAGCAATTAATTCAACAATTGTGCGAGGAGCCCTTCCTCTTAGAAGTGAAGCACGCTAGATTTTTGGTGGAAAATCCGGATTTGTATAACTACTACAAGAACTTGCACCACATTATCGTTGACAAGCACAAGCTTTCCTATAAAGTTGTTAACAACTGGATTATTCATGAGTTTATTGGGGCATTCAATAAGTTGGACATTCCTGTTGATGTATCCGTTATTGACACGGAAAAACTTGCATCTTTGATCATTATGGTAAGCGAAAAGAAAATTTCCATCACTTCTGCAAAACTTCTTTTGACACAAATCCTTCAGTCACCAGAAGACCGTGAGTTATCTATTCCAGATCTAATTGATGCTTATGATTTGGGTGCAGTCAACGACATTCATGGGGATGACTTAAAAGAGGCAATAAAGGAAGTGTGTTCTGAAGTCATAGATTCCCATCCCGACGTTGTGACGAAAATAAGAAACGGGAAGACGAAATCAATAAACTTTCTCATTGGTAGAGCAATGAAAGAGACACAAGGGAAGGTGGATTCTAAAGAGTTCGAAAAAATGTTCAAAAAGCTTATTGGGTAACGTATACAACTAACTATGGGTTTTGGATCACTTTAAACTCAAACTCCATCTGCGGATCTGATTCAATATCTCCTCTAATTATCCTCTCGATTTCATAGTCGTCATAGCTTCCCATTTCAAGATCATTTGGTGTTGTGTTTGATAAAGTGAAGTCCAGATTTTTTGAGTCAATAGTTTTCACCAGAACCAAGCCCTTGGATTTATTCACTTTTTTTGTTGAAGTTACCTCTGTCATTTCAGAGTCGACGGTGTTTCTTGTACTTTGCTTGTTTCCTGCGAAGTGCTCGGACACCTTGAACTCTTGTTTGGATTTCAGCTTGAAACTAGAAAATCCGCAAACCACAAAGAGTCTCTTGTATAAGGCAAGCGCATCGCTACCCAAACCAAACAATACAAATGTACAAAATGAGAGACATATGTCAATGATTATAGGCGCGAGTTGTGATGTGCCAGCATCGATCGCAAGAATATCAGACCAATGTGGATCTCTCTCAATGGTCCATGTCGCATTCGTATGCCGCAACTGGTTGACACTTGTGATGAAATTGTACAAAGCCAAAGGAACCATAGCAAATATGATCAAGAGACTGAAAATGATCAAGCGAGCAAAGCGTCTGAGGTTAAGTCCGGAGTTAGTGCAGCGTAAAATATCTTTAATATCACGACGCTTGAGGAAAAAGGTGGTCATAGTAAGAATTGCAAAGATGAGGCCAATCAACGCACAAACTGGGGTCCAAATGGATACACATACGATGTACCAGTACGAAGGGTAATAAATTGCGGAACATCCACGATAGCGGAAAATCACATATCTTGTGCTTTGCACGGCAACACTGATTCCTGTAATAATCAATGGAAGCCCCCAGCACATGGCAAGGTTAATGAGAACTTTCCTGTTTGACTTGTTGTCGAGGAACTTTTGGCTTCTGGCGCTGATTATCATGTACAAATTGAACATCAAACATGATATAGCCAATAACTCGCCAGAGGCGGAGCCACTTGCAATTCTCACAGTGACATCACAGTAACCTTTGCCTTTTGTTGCGGTGTAGAAGTCGTCCTTGCTCCAAATCACGGCATTGACGAAGGAAACCAAATTCTTGAAGCAAAGCCAGAATATCAATGTACACGCAGGAATGTTTCTAAATCTGATATGGTAAAAAAGAGGTGGGATCAACAAGCAAAGGCCAATGAAGGAAAAACCTGCAATTGCCAGGCCTGTAGAATTTATTCCAGTCATTATGAATATATGAGAGTAAGATATATGCTAGTAGTATAGGACAATTTGCGTCGTTTTTTATAGCACTCGTCCCTTTTCGTAATTTGCACCCACAAGTCGCACTATGTGCCTTTGAAAGCCCAATTCGGACTGAAATTGCACTCCCGACACGCAATAGGGAGGGCATTACAAGATACAAAAAAGTAGTCGATAAGAACCCTTGTGTAAAGGCTAGATGCCGTCTCATGTTTCAGGTGTTTCTTTCGTGCTCCTTTAGCGAAATTTACGAGTTAGACTCGGGTGGGTAACAACCCCAAGTACTTTTGAAAAGTGTTCTCAAATATAAAACGTGTAATAATAGGTATAAAAAGAAAATTCAACTAGACACCTACTCATGCAATGGCAGCCTTCAAAATCTCGTGGGAGGAGACAATGTTAGCATACTTTTGGTTTAAGAACCGCAATAACTCGATGACCTTTTGCTTCAATTCCTCGGTCTGGAATTGCTTCATCTTGTCAATGTTCTCCTCTCTACCCAAAGTAGATTCTTGGACCAACTTGATTCTGTCAGCCTCTTTCTGGAAAATTTCGGCAAGAACTTGGACAACACGTTCGGTCTGGCCCATGATCACCTCATTGTTGGCTTCGTATAATTGTATGATCCACTTCAAGATAGGTCCATTCTCCTCTGGAGCAGCTTGCAATGGCAAATGGCTCAACAATGCTGGCAAGACGTGCTCCACTGGGATAGCAGCTGGGTTCTTCAATGCCATTCTGGCAACACATCCACAGGCATTCGCGTTAGATCTGTTAACCACGTCTCTGGATTCCTCATCGTCGACTTTCGCTTGTTCATCGGATTTGCTCAACAAGTGGAACAACATCTGCAAAATTTGCTGGTAGTGACCAGACAAGTCAGCCTGACTGTTCTCAACAAGGACACCAATACCGTAAGCAGCATTGCCTTTGACTTCCAAAGACTTGTCGTGTGCCAATCTGTCGCTGAACACCAGCAACAAGTCTTCGAAGTAAGGGTTGGATTCCTTTAAGCCGGCAGAGATTTCAGCCAAGCCACCAATGGCACTGACTCTCTTGTTCTTAGACTTGGAGGTGATGTTGGCGAAAATGACATCCTTGAAAGGAGCAAACACCTTAGCAAAGTCCGCACCCAATGTAAGTGCCAACAAAATCAAAACCTCCAAAGCGGATTCAAATAACAAGGCCTCGGTTTCGGATGCGTCTTCTTCTTCATCCACTGGGTCCTCATCATCGAGCTGAGAAGCGTGCTCCTTCTTCAAAATACTCAACAATTGCACACACAACTTCTCCAAGGATGCAGTGTCTGAAGCATCGTCGAGAACAGCAATAGCTCCGAAAGCTTGAAGTGCCTCGCAAAGATTGTCCAAGTCACAAGCAACTAAGGTCAACTCGAATTCTTCTTCCAAGTTACCGATGGTAATGTTTCTGGCTTCCTTAATCAACAGTAATATAGATGCATCGACATATGGCTGTTGAGGAACACCTTTAGGAGCAGCAAATTTCTCTCCGTAGGTAGCCTTGAACATAGCACGGACGATCTTCCAGAGAGCGTTCATAGCAGCCTCTCTCATACCGTAGGAGACCTCGATTTGTTCGCACAAAGTCTTGACAGATGGTTCAACATACTTGGCAAAAGCAGCGCCAGTTCCCATGGCCAATTCGGCCAAAGCAACGGATGCAATTTCCTTTTCGATGGTGATACCTGTGTTGATCTTGAACTTGTTTGAAAGGTCTTCATCGTCCTCTTCATTGAAGTCATCCTCTTCCTCACCATTAAGATCAAACGAGAATTCTTCTTGTTCCAAGCACTTCAAGATTTGTGGCACGATCTCTTCCAAGAAACCTGAGAATTCAGAGCCGTACACCTTAGCCATGTTGGAAATGAATGCAAAACCGGATTCTCTAATTCTGGAATGCTCAGACCCGATAGAAGCGTAAGCAGCTTCAACCAATGGTTTGGCGTAAGCAGAGAAAGATTCAGAGCCCACAGCTCTGGCCATGGTAGAAATGTTCTCAAAAGTCACGGCTCTCAACTCAATGTCCTCCTCGGACATACCTTCAGTCTGAGCTGCATTAGCAACGAAGGGCTCCAAGACTTGGATCGATTGGTTGAAGTATGGAGTGAATCCTTTACCACCAGCAAAAGCAGTGGAGCCGATAGCAGAAACAATGGCTGACTTCAAAGAAGATGAGTTGGCTTGCTCCAACATGGAGAACAACTTACTCATCAAAGGCTCGAGGTATTGAGCGATAGCGTCGTGGCTCATAAACTCGATGATACCATCCAAAGCGTAACAAGCGTACTTGTAAGTCATGACATGAGTAGCCGAGTTAATGATCTCAATGACGAGAGGCAAGAGCTGTTGATGGTAGTCAGCGATAGCATCTTGCAACTCTGATGTCAACTGCAGCACTGCTCTGACAGCGGCAACCTTAACGACAATTTCTGGGTCTTGCAAGCCATTGATCAAAACTGGGAGGATCTTGTTGATTTGCGTAGCAAAATAGTCGGGAGCACCAGAACAAGCAACTCCGATACACAAAAGACCTGCTCTTCTTGAAAAAGCGTTAGAGGACGACATCATGCCACCCAAGTTGTCGAAAAATGGCACGATGACTTGCGAAGGAGGCAACTCTCCAGACAAAACACCCATCAACCTCAATGCCAAGGTAGCTGGTTGGTTCTCTTCATTTTCGTTCTCTTCATCCTCGTTGTTCAATTCCTCATCGACATCAATTTCCTCAGAAGCAATTCTGTTGGCAACACCAGTGAGCTGAGGACCCAAGTTGTTGGAAACAATCTTAGACTTTCTCATAGAAACACATGAGATTAAGAATTGTAAGGCCATACATCTGTACTCCTCGTCCAATTGGGTGTTGACGGCTATTTCGCTAACAAACAGAACCAAGTGGACAATCTGGTCACCCACCAATTTGTTGTCCAAGAAAATCAACGAGTTGAAGACGTTGAAAACAGATTTTGTTTTCTCAGAGTCATCGGCTTGAATAACTTCTTTCAAGACATTAACCATTCCTGGAATAGAGGCCTTGAAGTTGGCGGCAGTGGCAGGGTTGATCTCTTCATCTTCCTCAATAAACTGCGAAAGAACATCCAAGGACAACACGGCGTTGACACGAATGTCTTGCGAAGTAGTGTCTTGCAACAACCCAGTAAAGAGGTTAACAAAGTCGTCTTGGTGTGGAACCAAAGCCGGCACTTGAGTTTCCAATAAGGTATACAAGGTGTAGACAGCCATCTCCTTTGTTTGCGCATCAGAGCTTTGTACGGCATTGACCAAGTTAGGCAACAAGTCCGGCCAGGTGTTGTCTTGCAAGTCGTATTCACCAATGGCAGACACAACTCTAGCGGAAGAGTGTCTAATCAACTTCGAAGGTTGTGTAAAAGTGTTCTGCAACAATGCTTCTCTGATTTGAGGTTTCAAAGATGCATCGACGCTCTCCCATTTGGTTCCGATGAGCTTTCTTGCTTCGACGGCTGCCAACTGTTTGATTTGGTCTTGTTGGGAGTTTTGCAAGATATGCAAAAGAGAGGGCAATGCCAAGGGATTAGTGTAGAATTCCTTGGACAATTTGGAAGTAGCCTGCTTGACTGTAGCAGGAGAAAAGGTCTGCTGGAGGGTCTCCTCCAAGGCAGAGAGAAACTGAGCGTCCATTGTTGTCGGAAAAGGGCCGGTGACTAGAGAAAAAAAAAAAATCGAGGGTCTGCGATAATCATCGCGATGCTCTCACGTGAACCTGTAGCCGGGAAATAGGTAAGAGCTTAATCGGCTCGAACTTCATTTTTTTATTATCTCTGTTTAAAGCTTATTTCAATTTTCCTCTTTGTTGTCCTTTCCTGTATTGGTTTGAGTAAATAATTGCTTCTAGTGTTTATTTTTATGTGCTTCTGCGCAAAGTGCGGTTGTTAATTTGAGCGCAGAGGTTCAAAGGCTGGATAAATCCAGTGGCATTTCCCTAATACGGATCTTGTAGTATCTTTCCAAATCCTTCATTTCAGCAACATCATCCTTTGTGATTAAGTTTATCGCCACTCCTTTACGTCCAAAACGACCCGAACGTCCGATACGATGCACGTAGTTCTCCTTGTCTAGAGGCAAGTCATAGTTGATAACTAATGAAACCTGTTGCACATCGATTCCACGTGCCCATACATCTGTCGATATCAAAACACGCGAATTACCAGTTCTGAAATCGTTCATGATCGAGTCTCGCTCCTCTTGCTTCATATCACCATGCATTGAAGAAACAGCAAAATTAGCTTTCCGAAGTTGGTCTGCAAGCCAGTTCACTTTGCTCTTTGTGTTGCAAAAAATCACTGCTTGCGTTATTGTCAAGGAATCGTACAAATCACAAAGTGTGTCGAACTTCCACTCCTCTTTCTCACACTGGATGTGATACTGTTTGATTCCTTCCAACGTGACATCTTCCTTTTTGACCAAAATCTTCACAGGATCAGTAGTAAACTTAGAAGTTATCTCCAAAACTTCTCTGGTGAGTGTGGCACTAACCACTACTACTTGAACAGTAGACGGAAGATGACGATAGATTTCGTAAATTTGCTCCTTGAAACCTTTGGTCATGAGCTCATCGGCCTCATCCAATATAAGCATCTGAACGTTCCTAGTAGCCAAGTTTCTTCTCTTAATGACGTCTAGTACTCGACCAGGTGTCCCGCTCACAATATGTTGACCTTGGTTAAGCTTTTTCAAATCATCGCCAACCTGTTTACCTCCTATACAAGCGTGGGTATGGATGTTCATATATGTGCCCAAATTTCGAATAACATTATGGATCTGAATAGCAAGCTCTCTAGTAGGCGAAAGTACCAACGCCTGACATTGGCGTACGTTCCAATCGATTGCCTGAAGCATACCGATCGAGAATGTGGCAGTTTTTCCTGTTCCCGATTGTGCTTGAGCTATGGTGTCTCTACCCGAAATAATCTGCATGATAGCCCTGCTTTGAATTGCAGACGGAGCTTCAAAGCCATATGCATAAATACCTTTGAGAAGCTCTGGTTTTAACTTCATGCTCTCAAAAGTGGCATGCACTTTTACTCCTTTCGTCGACTTTGAAGAAAATTCAATTTGAGCATCCGCTGAACGATCAAACTCCATCCTGTTTTCTAGGAAAATGTTAATTCAAGTATGTCAAAACTTAATGTTTGTTGGATAGGCGCTTTAAATTGTGCGATGGCATCGCACTCCACTGTATACTAGTACATACTTACATCAGAGGAATCAGGATACTTTTCTGCAAACCATAGGTTTTAAAAATGACTGGCTCAAATGCACTCATCTTAATTGGTGGAGGGCATTATGTCGGTAAGGAAGAAATGGCATTATGCATCAAGGAGAATGTGGAACAGCTTGTGAAATCTTCTGTCACAATTGAAGTTATCAACATGGAAATGTACAAAGATCCGCATATAGTTACCACTTCCCAGGGAGGAAAAAATGCTGCCATTACTGTCGGAGCAAATAGGCTGCTTCATTTGAAGCCCTCTCGATTTGATTTTGAGGCCCTTAAAAAGGATTTGCGCTCAACCTTGGCCACTGGCAAAGATACCGAGCAAAAACTTGTCATCGTTCACGGTCTTTATGCTCTCTACGATAAAGAATTATGCGAAATGGCCCAAATAAAGGTTTATGTTGGAGGAGATGCAGACAATAGACTCATAAGATGGATTAAGAAAGAAGTGTTGTCCAACAGTCTGAACCAACCCATGGCTTTAGAGCATGTCATCAACTCCTACCTTCATGGAGCAAGAGATGAAATGAGAGACTATATTTTCCCCACGAAAGAAAGAGCCGACATTATTTTTCCGAGGGGGACGGAGACAAAGGCGGTGGCCTTGATTGCTGACGGCATCCTCGCGTTTTTAGGCTCTTCTCCCAGCCTCGAGTCAGCTGCCTCTATGCTCCGACCAACTGAGTCGACATTTCAAACTGAACGTTTCAATAATGAAAAGGGTAAGTACTACGAACTCAATTAGTATTTAATCCAGAGCTTATCTCTTTATCTTCTTTTCCTTTTAATCTATACACTTGGACATGTGCCCATCAGATAAATGTATTGTGTGTTTTCACCCATTTGTGGATTGGATCGTTCTCAACACTGTATTCCGTCATTGTCACGATCACTTCGCTCGAAACCGCGTCCTTTAAGTTCTTGTCATTGTGATACCACTTCTGGATTAGATACACCATTTCACTCGACTTGAGGAACTTTATGAAGCCAGAGTACATGTCGTACGAATCATGCTCTATCATAGACTTAAGTGTAACATAAAGCTTTTCATAACTCACTCCTGCATTGACAAATGTGTCCACGATTGCCCCTGTTGGAGGCTTCTGAGTAGCCTCATCTTCTTCGACAGCATTCTGAACATATTTGCACATCAACTTGATCAATCTATCCACAGGGAAGACAATGTCATTTGTAGACAATTTATGACCAACTCTCGCAAGAGAATCGCTGATTAGCATGTACAATGGTTTTGAAGTCTTTGAATTCGTCATGAAATCATGATAGATCCGTTCAAAGTACAATTCCCAACGCTTATAAATGTCATCCGGGTTTCTGTAATCTGAAACTCTGAAAATGATAAAACAAATCTCGTAGTAACCCAATGGGTCAGCATATGAATTAAACAACTCGCTCGCAGATTGGACCTTGAAATTTAGAGCTTTCTCTGCAACTTCTTGATTTTCCTTATTGATCCGCTTATCATTCTTGATGGTATTCAAAAGATCGAGTTGGATGTTCGCAACTTCAAAGAGCTCTTGTATCAAAGCAGAAAGTTGGATCATTTGTTGTCTAAGGCTTGGTGGGCATGTGCAGTTACAGAACCCATTTGCTCTAGACAAGTACTCGATTCTTTGCTTCAATGTCAAATTGAATTGTGAAATGGCTAAGGAATACAAGATCTTCGCAGCCGGAAAATATTGCTCTCGCTTGGCGTGATAGAACCATAACAACTCTGTCAACGCAAGATCGTTTGAGGATACTTCCTCCAAAAATGGTAAAATGTATGGGGTTTCCACGGTCAAAAGTCTGTCACTGCAGCCTTGATTAATGAACCACTGGTAAAACTCGTAATGAAAAGCTTTGTCAGTGGATGCAAAGCAAGTATCATATGTTGCATCTCTCAACTCAATAAAATCATTGATGAGGAGCTGATTGTGGGTTTCAGTGACTTGAATAGCCTTCACGTCCAATTTCGTAAGGATTTTGAAAATGAGATCGTACAACTGAACTCTTCTCTTCTTGTTTTCGGCGATCTTCTTGGTCATATCATTGGCTGAGTTTTCTGAGCTTGCATTAAATAGGCCCGTAGGTTGACCATTTGGTAAGCCATATAATCTTTTAGCAAGCTTTAGTAAGAATTCAACTGCGCCCGTAAAAAAATCTAAAGACAACATAATATCAATAGAATTTTCGATGTTTTCTAGAGTCAATGAGTCGCTTGCTTGCTCGAAAAGTGCCACTGCATTATTTAAGCATCTCACCTTCATCTCATTATCTCTGCTACCAATGTTTTTAGCCCTTGTCAAGTTCTCGATGGCTTTGAAAATGTAAACATCGTCAGTCGAACAGAAAGATCCACAGCGACCTTGTAAAGAAGAAGCAATCAAATCGATAGACCCTCCTTTAAGTATATTTTTGTTTATGATGGATGACAACAAATCTTTGATAAGATTCTTGACCTCTAGACTAGGTAGTAATAAGTCCTTGAATGTCAATGTCAACAAGTTCAATTGGTTAGTGGTGGCCAAATATTTGAAAATTTCATTGAAATTGTTTTGATTCGATTGAGTTTCTTCAATCAAAACCATCAAAAAGGAAAGAGCTTCTTTCATAGAGTTTAAGGAACGGATAATCGACGTGAAAGCGATGTGCTCGGCCCGAGTACAAACTTCATTGTCAACCTTTGTAGGGTCAGAGCTAAATCCTGGAGTGTTGAGACTTGGAATCTTGTTGAGGTTTTCATTAAAAAATTCCAAAAGAACAATGACAGAACCAATGAAGAATTCCACTTGAGATTTTTCGATTGCCAATCCCTTGATTAAAAGATTATCTTCTTTGATCGATGCCACTTCAACAGAGCCCGTGGGAAGGATCTTGATATGAGGTAAAGGCTCAAAGACTTTACGGTTCCAGAAGTCTCTAAACAATCGAGAAATCAACAAACACGTACCATAAAAGCGATCACTCAAAACAACCTGCTCCACCATCGGCTGATGCTCTGATGGCTGGATAGGAAGGTGTGATTGACCGGTACTTGAAGGTTGCGAATTTTCAACTAGTCTTGCATTGTTTCCAGCATGAGAAAATAGGAGAGAAGCCTTCCTCTTGAACAAATCATTGGAATTATGGTGACCATAGGAACATGCTAAGTACAACAATGTGGAACACGTTTCTTCATATCCATTCTCGTCAATGAAGTTTTCAATAACTTCATCCTTGAGAGAACCAATGATTTGGTCCGCTGTACGGTATTGGTATACTATGAGGCCATAGTTTGTCAAAACTGCAAACTGAAGTGGCTTCTTCGTGTACTGTGATGCAAGAATATTGGCATAACCATTTGGTGTATCCGAGGCATTCATAGAAGGTGTAAGTTGCACAATGTCATGGATGTAAACAGGATTCTCTGAGTTGCGAGCGCTGCTTTCGTTGATGTTCACAAACTCTGCATCTTCAACGAGCTTGTTGTTGTGCTTCAAGAATCCATAATTCACCGAACTAATGAAGAGCCTATCAGACCCCTTAGTCTTTTTAACTGCGATGAATGCACCTGGACTAATGATTTTAGCGAATTTCGTATTTTTTAAAAGTTCAGAAGTTCGTTGATTCGATACTGTTTGAGCAACGAATTGTTTGATTCTTGTGTACGAATCTAATTCTGGGTTCATCTTTGGCGTTTCCTTTGATGGGGGAAATCTCATCGTCACAACCGATAATTTTAATGATGAGTTAGCTTTAGTTGCAGTGTATAAGAACGAGGAAAATCCTGGACTAGATCCTAGTTTCAAAAGAATTCTGTTGCCATAATTCGTGATTGCAATAAGTTGCACGTTAGAAGATTCTTTTTGAGAGATCGCTTGAATACTGGCGATTCTGAATTTCAGGAATGATTTGAAATTAGCTGAGTCTGAAAAGATTTGAGAAACGGATTTGAAAATCTCTGATGGAGTCAATAAACTATGCTGGGAGAACTGCTCTTGATGAGGGGATAATTTGTACACTCTGATAACAGACTTGTTCGAAAGAGTGTACAAGATGTTCCTTTCTGCGTCAATTTCCATCTGAGAAATTGCCTCGGGGATTGAAGAAGCTTTAGTAGCCCCTTCAGTTCGTTTGTTGCTAGTTTCAGTAAACAATTCATACCCTGCAATTTTCCCGATTGGAAGGACAGAAGACAACCCACTTTTAGTAAGGCAAACTTTGTCACATTTATTTTTAATGAATGTTCCCAGACTGGAATAGTCAAGTCTCCAGACATTAACGCCATCCCCTTCACCACAGAAATAAATGTCATTTGTGACCTCATTCTCTATGAATTGATTGACAATCAAACCTTGTGAGTTCACTGACAAATTTGGGTTGTAGATGTCCAAAGTGTTCAAGGTTTCATCATACTTGATCACGTAGATATGAATATCCAAAGTAGTTGCAATTAAAAGCAAATGGCTAACTTCCTTCAAGAATACTCCAGCTTTCGGTTTCACGATCTTGACGGTTAAAATTGAGTGGCGTATCTGATCGATGGTTAGAAATTGTGAAGATTTATTGAAGGAAGACAGTGGCGCTTTGTAATTCCAGAAAACTAATTTGTTGTCAACCACAATCCATGAACGGTTGATTTCGGGGAAGAGGCCCATTTTCGTCAGGCACTCAGTTGTGTTGTACTCTTCGAAAAACTTGTCTGGCAAATCAACTTGAGAGACTTTCTCAAAGCGAGAAAAGGCGCCCAATCCATTCTCTGCATCAAAGTAGTAGTTATCCACACCAGAGTCCTTGTTCAAATAATTAGGTCCATACAAATCGCCTGGCACCATCGAATCGATTTTGATGAGATCTGTAATGTACTTTGATCCTAACCTGAGAGGAGGAAGATTGCCAAAGTTAGGTACACTGATTTTGTAGCTTACATCATTAACTGAATCCAAAACCATTGGAAGAAAAAAACGACGAGGCTGGTCTTTGGATAATCCTGATTCATTCCCTCCCTGTTGGAACTGGAGAGTGTCCAACCCGTCATTGTTGATTTTAAGTGTTGGTGCAATGAACTTCGCGTCCGTGTTTCCAGATGAAGTACCTGACGGCATGCTCTTGCCGTTTGAGGTAGACCGGCCTGGCAAAACCGAAGTCAATATACTCATCGGAAGATGTGATAGAAACTGTGGTTTGAACCTTGGTGCTCTGTAACAGAAAAAAACAGATCCAAATGAGAACTGCACGACTCTGTGAGTGCTTCGCTGATACAATAAATAAGACGCCAACTACATGGTATGCTTACCGCTAGATACAATACAAAGGCAGTTGCATAGCCACTAACATTAATGAAGTTTTTTGCTACTGCTGTTTGTTTCCACCTTGGTGCATCATAGTTATTCTACATTTTTGATTCAGAAGTATATTACAAGTAGTTCAATTATTGTAAGCAGTGAGAGATCACTTAGGACTATTGTGAGTTAATTAGATCCCATAACCACGATTTCAACATTCTTTTAAGAAATTTATTGTTTTTTTTTTCAAGTTTTTCATCTTTTTGAGTATTGTATATGTCTAGTTCTGTTTAAATTTGACAAATCCTTAGGGACAATAAGAAAGGAAGTAATGTCATGAAACAAGATTTGTGCTTCTTTGAACACACCTAGATAGAAAAACCAATATGAATCGTGATATTTATTTGGAAAGAACATTACATCTTTTTTTGGATAGTCTCCAGCACTGTTGTAAATGGCAGTACCACCAGCTTGCTTGTCGTACCTGCACACGAAAAAATGGAGTAAATGATAAAAGGAATTTATCGTCTTATCAGTTTTTGCTTCAATGAAGTTGATCGCAATTTTAGCCGCTTTCATCGCAGCTAGTGAGGCAATAAGCTTTGGAGTATTGGACCAGAGCTTGGGCAGAACACCTGATCGTGTGATTAAAACTGGTCCTCTGAATTTCGAGGTTGTCTCTGAGGCAACAAAACTTGAGTACCGCAGACAAGGAAAACGATTCATCGACGTCACTGAGTCTGTATCAGTGCAAGATGCCTATGAGAAAGGTATGATCTCGGGGGTTGGAGAGAACAACATTCTTACTGTTTTCTCCAAGCAAGTTGAAACATTAAAGAAACCGATTCCATCGTACAACTACCCAACCAATACGACGCAAAAGAGCATTGTGGGGCCCCTTCTTGAAGAAATCGATATCGAGCGAGTCAAGTCCAACTTGGCCAAATTTACGTCGTTTTACACTCGTTACTATAAGTCTTCCACTGGTTTTGACTCTGCCAATTGGCTCTACGACACAATCAATGAGATTTTGTCCATCTTGCCTTCGAAGGCGTACACGGTGCAAAAGGTCAAGCACAATGGCTGGGACCAATACTCTATTGTGGTGAGTCTTGTGGGCGAGAAGAAGGAGAAGGTTATCGTGGGAGCGCACCAAGACTCTATCAACTTGTTGTTCCCCAACTTACTTGGCGCACCTGGTGCAGATGATGATGGTTCTGGAACAGTTACCACTTTAGAAGCACTCAGATTAGTTGCAGGAGCAATTGCAAAAGGTGATTTTACTCCACATAATACGTTGGAATTCCATTACTACTCAGCCGAAGAAGGAGGATTGCTCGGTTCTATTGATGTGTTCAACAAGTACTTTGCTGAGAATGCTACTGTAGTAGGTATGCTTCAACAGGACATGACTGGATATACTGCGGGCACCGTGGACCAGGGTGTTGAGCCCCATTTTGGTTTGATTACTGATTACACTTCGACTGGACTCAACGACTTCATTAAACTCGTGATTGGCGCCTACTGTGGAATCAGCTACCATGAAACTAAGTGTGGCTATGCTTGTTCTGACCATGCTTCAGCCTTAGAGAATGGTTACCCTTCGAGTTTCTTGATTGAAAGTGAGTTCAAGTACACCGCGAAGCAAATCCACCTGACTATGGATACGATGGACAGATTGGATTTTGAGCATGTGAAAGAGCACATCAAGTTGACCGTGGGCTATGCTGTGGAACTCTCTGCAGCCCACAAGTTATAATTGTGTACAGATAAATACCTGCAGCCATCAAGTAGCGCAATTATCCAAACAGAACCGGTGTCATAATACCACAGTATCGGACAAAATTACATTAGAGTACATACATCTATAGAAACAATAGGCCAGTGAGTTTCACTCACGCGTCAGATTCCAACTTCTTTGGGAAGCGGACAACATCAAAGTGAGTCTGCTTCAAAGTGGTGACAATGTGCTTATTTTCACCGCTTTCATCAACAAGCGCCTTTTGCTTCACATCAGCCTCCACGTACAATTGGGCTCCACTTCTCATGTGGTTTTGGAAAAACGTAACATGCTTGTCATCGAAAACAGAAATATTGTACCAGTCAGCAACTGTGTTCTTTCCCTCTTCAGCATTTTGTGGCGAGTATCTGTTGACAGCCAAGGAGTAAGTAATAAACGGAACACCATCCTTGGTTTCTCTGGCAGTCACATTTCCGATGGTACCAAGCAATTGCATCTTGGCAAAAGCGGCACGCGAGGCAGAGCTGCTAAAAGTTCTAGTGAAGATGGCGGATTTCAACATAGGGATTGATATTAAGACTTGAAGGCGGATATCTGTAAACGCGCTTTCATGTTAGACGATTCTCTCACGTGCGCGACTCAGTTCTATAACCGTGTCTAGGCCCAAAACGGGGAATAATTACCATTTATTACCTTACTACCCTACAAATCGTTCCACGATCCACCACCACACATGATCATAGAAGAAGACGTGGCTGTGTCCGAAAATTCGACGCTCTTAAACTCTGGTTTGTGCAAGTTTGTTCTTGCAAGAGTGTTCACAACATAATCGTTCACCAAAGAACCTTGCGACTTAAGCAAGTTTTGCCATTGTAGTAACTCGATCAAGCGAGTGAACAAGTTGGAATCGGACTTTGCATATCCATCCCGTGTAAGTGACTCTTTTAACATGGCACTTGCTTCCTTAAAGCGAGCAAACTCGGTTTGCGACATGTGGTCAAAGTACTGTGCGCCGTAAAAGTCTGGGACATGTCTCAAAATTGACTTATCAAGTAGTTTCTCCACAAGGTCAGCGTCCAAGTCCCATGACGCCATATTGTCAGACACTTCAGTCTCCGTTGCGCGTTGCCATTCGTTAATTCGGTTTGCAAGGGTGAGATCATCAACCAAATCATCATCTTCCTCGTACTCGTCCTGTCCATCTTTTGTGAGCCCGCTTGCTGATTCTTGTCTATTCTGTTGTCCTTCTTCCTCTCCCCCTTCATTTCCCTCCTCCTCTTCATCTTCCTCCTCCTCCTCTTCCTCCTCCTCTTCCGTCGTAGTAAGAGGATTGTTGGTGGAAAGAGACAACACATCCGGCTCTAGCTGGCCTGTTGGATTGAAAAGCACCCACAGTGACTGGGACTCAGAAAAGATTGAGGAAGCATAGTCCTGCGAGGTTGCTCTTATTGGAGCCCTCCGTCTAGTGCCAAGTGTGGAGTTGAAAGCCATGATATTTTTCACTTCAAAGCAGAGCGATTATAAATTGACGTTAAAAAGACAAAACGATGTGAAAAGAAAACTTGAGACAATCAGACTTTGTTCCGCTGTTATCTACTATTGGAGCTATGTGGGCTTTATCTCGCAGCCTGCAGATACTTTACTCCCTCCTACGATAAAGCAATGACCAATATCAACTTTGCACGCTCTTTCCTTACCCAAAGTAGGACCCAACAAGAGAGCAACAAACTTATATACGACTCAGTGATACCCCATTTTGAAAAGTAGAAGAAAAAACAAATAGAGAAGTGTGAATAAGTGTGAAGATGCAACATGATGAACAAGTGCTACATGACGCCACAGTATGGTTGGCCACAATTCTCAACATCCTTTAAAGCAAAGAAGGACGAAATTAAGTACAGACATATGCTGAAGGGTCTAACAGGTAGGCACACAATGTTCCTTTTGTTTTGACCTTTGCTCTTGCTATAGCATTGACCCAAAGACCCAAGAGCCAATGCAGGATTGGGTTACCCGCGAGTGCGCAGAATGTTATTAGCTTAGAGAAGAAAAAAATTATTCTCGTTTGTTTTCTCACTAGCCCGTTACACAGCTCAAGAGTGACCTTTTGGCCCATGTAACGAGTTTGCCTAAGCTTAATGATGATAATTCTTTTGACTGAATTTAATGAAGATATTATTAATTCGAAATTAGTCTTTCACCCCTATCTGAACGCTTTTGGCAACAAGGCACCATGTATTCGAAACATATTGTTGGATGAGCGCGCAATAACGCATCTTCTTCACGTATTTTCTCCGTGACAAAAATCTTAGTGGAATATTAACAATCGTTACGGACCAGTTTTCTTGGTAAAACAGTTGGGCGTGCCAAAAAAAACTGACACGGACAGGAATCGAACCTGCAACCCTTTGATTTGGAATCAAAAGCTCTGCCATTGAGCCACCGCATCACTTCTCTGTTAAAATTGAAGTCACAAAAGTTCTAGTTCAGCATATTTAATACCGTACAGCAGCGCAACCATTTCCGATCAAGTTCCACCTTGAATAAGCCAATAATACTATTTCCTATACAATTCCTCGACCTTACCTTTTTTAGTCAACACATCCCATAGTCCTTGTTGCGAAAAAAGTACAGGTAAGGCAAGTAGCTACACAATCGTCTGTCGGAGAACTGTTTTGAACTACATTAGTATATTAGTTAGAGAATAGATGCTCTGAATAATGAAGACCTAAGAAATTTGTGATATCGAACATGGTCTTGATCAGTTTCGAAAGAACAGGCAGATATTACATCCTGCATATTGGAACGTCCGAAGGAGATAATAAAAATTGGTTTGTCCTATCTACTCAGTCATCAACTCAGAGGTTCGTTTTCCAAAACCATGAAGATCCATCATTTTGGCTCCGCTTTCCTTTTTGGAGCTGCCGTATGTGCGCAAAATGCGGCTGTTTATAACTTTCCTCTTAACAAGCAATCACAAGAATCCACATTGGTGTCGGTGGAAGATTCTGTCTTGTACTTTGCCGACAAAGCTGGAGTAAGCGATTACTATTCTATCGGCGACAATGATGATGCAATCAAGTTTCTTGAGTCGGTCGGTAGTGACGATGAAAGAACAGAAAGATCGAAGTTGCTTGTCATTGTTAAGGGTGTGGAAGAACCAGCAAAGCTTTTTGGTACGGACCCTTTGTTCGAAATCGGCATTAAGAACCGAAGCAAAGAGTCCCACAAGCTCATGCGTGCTCTTTTAAAGGACATCCCACAACAGGCCGCTTCCGATAGTGACAATGCCAAACCTAACGACCTAGGCGCTGGTGTCTCCTACATCTCTCCAAACGGTGCTCTCTCTCACGAAAAGGTTGCGTTTGATGATGCGTATGAGAAATTCCTGGCAAAATTGGCCCATGGATTCGACATTGGAAATGTTCCTCAAAAAGTTCAAGACATTGTTGGTAATGTGAAACAATCAACAGAAAAGATACTCGACGCATTTTCCAACAGCATTGTTCAGTTATTGAGTATTGTTGAAGCTTCTAAGGAGAACCTGTTGCTCATTGTGACTTTGGACTTAAGGAAAACAGCTGGCTCGAAGTCTCAAAGAGATTCAGCTCTTGACGCATTATTCTCTCAATTGAGCGGTGCTTCCGACAAAATCGACACTACAGTAGTTGCCCTCGGTGCTAAAAAATCGGGATGCCATGGAAAGTTGGCTGGTAAGAGGTCAGACATTCAAGCTAGTGCGTTCGCCAAGAGAGGTGCCATTGCGGCAGAGTCATGCTTCAGCGACAAGGATGAATGTGACAGCTCCACAAAAGGGTGCAACAATCATGGTTCTTGTGCTGAAGTCGCATCTGACTGCTGGCAATGTGTTTGTGTCCCAAGTGTTGACAAGAAAGCATCTAAAACTACCAAGTGGGCCGGCTACGACTGCAGCAAGAAAGATATTTCTTCTTCTGCTCACCTCTTATTATGGACTTCTGTCGCATTATTGGTCACTTTGGCTGTTGGAACCAAACTTCTCTTCAGCGTAGATAGCGAGCCATTGCCTGGTGTTTTGGAGGCTGCTACAGTCAAGAGATCCAGCTGAGCGCTGAGTGATCCAGCTACCGTTCTATAATTTTTAGAGTAGAGAGACGTGCTCCGATAAAATACAAACAAAATACAATGAAGTGATTTATACTCTGTAATCTATCAGCTGAAGCAGATCCGTATAAATCAGGAGATAAAGGTGTTTCAATGGACATTTTCATGCACGTGACGCTATGCGCTAGCCGTTTGTATACCCCATTCAGCTAACCTGACTATCGAAAAAAGAAAACTGTAAGCCACGTCTTCTTTTTCGATATGAGGCACGGAAAAACACCATACTTTCCAATTTTACTTTTACTTTTTGTCGTGAGTGCAATATATTATGTTGCTTCAGGCGATAAGAAGTCTTTAGGTGCTGCTGGCCCAGTTACTCTTGTCACAGAAAAGGCAAAGGAAATTCCCAGAAAGATCGAAAAAGAAGAAGTTGTGATTCCCGATGAGAAACAAGTGGAGACTGGCGAATTCACTGAGACACCTTTTATGCCCAAAATGGCTAACGATACGCTTAAAGCACAGTTAGGAAATTCTGCTTGGCATCTTTTACACACTGTTTTGGCAAGATATCCGGACGAGCCCACTGAAAAAGAGAAATCTACATTGAAGCAGTTCATTCTCTTGTTTTCGCAAGTGTATCCATGTGGTGACTGTGCTAGACACTTCCAGAAATTGTTGAAGAAGTACCCCCCTCAGGTAGGAAGCAGGAAGATAGCGGCAGTTTGGGGTTGTCATATCCATAACAAGGTGAATGAAAGGTTAAACAAACCAGAATACGACTGCACAACTATTTTGGAAGACTACGATTGCGGGTGTGGAGAAGATGAAAAGAAATCTGATTTCACCTTGGGTAATGAGAGTATGGAACATTTGCGCAAAGTCAAAGTTGACGAAAAAGAAGATAAGCAAAGAGGAGGTTGATTTCCCACGACAAACTTAGTGTATATTGTAATCATAAACGACTTCTGTTTTAATACTCTAAACATAGCAAGTACAATTGTCAAGTGTAGCATTCACATTATAGTGCAGCATTCAGTCTTTTGTTGCATAGACAGGAGCTGATTATGGACTCTATAACGATTCAGTTCCGATTGTAATGGCCAAGAAGAGGGAACAAGAGGGTCAGGAGTTTCCTGCGCCAATTCAATTATAAGTGTAGCAGCACGCGAAGCAGGGATGCGATCTCTCTTGAGACTTTCTCTCAATTTCTCATTCAATTGTTCAATACGCCGAAGTTTGAGTATCAAAATCCGCTCCTCTATATCAGCGCTTTGAACCATACTGACTATCTAAAATGAAGCAAAAACAAGGAAACTAATATGGGAAGAAGTATCCCAAAATACCTCAGTCGAAAATGAAATTGACAAGTATATTTATTACTCTCCCTTGTAAATTACCCGTTTCACCACTTGCATTTGAACTGTTCCGACCTGCACATAAAATATGAAGATTATGAGCCACGATTAAACCTCCTTATCAGTTATAGGTCAACCTTTTTCGAAAATCCACAGTGCAATATAAAGTAGTTAATACGGATGAAAGAAAACCAAAAGCACGTAGATCTGATTGAGAGTTGCACTTGGATGCATCCAAAAGTTCTCCTCCAGAGACACTACCTAGGTATTTCCGAACTCCCTTAACCGTGATCAAAAAGCTAGAATCTAATGGCAGAAACCGACAGACCAGCTAAGCAAAAAAGAATAAACCTATAATGCACGTCGCTATGACAAATGCCATGATGAGCGTGTCTCGTCTTCTCCTCGTGTTGATTCGCGATATCAACACATTAACTCCGGGAATGGTTTGCAATGTATTCTGTATTCTGCTTGAGGCGTTCTGAAGAAATACTCGTTGGTTGTAAAGCTCATCCCGAGTTTCAAAAGCCTGTTGCAATAGTCTATCTGCAAACGAATTAGCATTGTCCACTCGTCTGGCTTCATCCAAAATATAGTCATTGTCATTATCTGTTACTGAAGACACGTTTCTCTGTTTATGCGCCGAAAGGTCTGACTGGATCAGATGCAATAAGTTGTTGCGATTGCGCTCGTCATGGATGTTATTCTGGATCTTTTGGAATGAGAGCTTGTGGTCCATCAATACTTCCTTGTGTCTTTGTAACTGCTGCAACTTTGATGTCGAGATGTTCAAGTCACTTTCACTCAATCTGTTTAATGTGCCTATGATCGAGTCTCTTTTCGCCAACACGTCTTTGATTTGATCAACCAACTCATCTTCCTCCACCACCAGGTCGCTGTACGTGGCCAGCTGGTACTTGGAGTATTGCGCTAAGAGATTCTCTGTTTGTTTCTCTAGATTGAGTGCTGAATTTCTTGTCTGAGAGAAATTGGCAAAGGACATGGCTACTGATGTTCACATACGTTGTGACAAGCGCGAAGGAGCTGTTTTGAGGTGTGCGAGACTCACTCAAGTTGGCAAAAAAAACTATGTCTTAATGACAGACAAATTCAACAACAAACCAGTTTGTGAACGCACGTTATAATAACTATTAGCCGTGTTGTATTCAGTCAGGATTTATATTCCTCCGTCATAAGTTATTCCTTTGTCTTGTTTCTTGTTATTTGATATCATTAGAGTTTATTTTTTGACAGTCGCCTTCTCCTCAATAAAGTGTTAGCATTTGGACCAAAGAGAACAACCAATGTAAATCATTGAATCTACGATATTCGTACTTGTTTAAAATGCTAGCGCTAATTAGGAGATATTATATTTCTGACCTTTATTACTCTCTCCGCAGTCTATCCGCATCTCCTCTATATAATCCTGACCTATACTCACTATTTCATTGGCGTACATTATTTACCATGTCTTCCCCGAACAATCTAGTATCGGAGTTGGCCCAAGTTGTGCCTGAGCCAATAGAGATCCCCAAGGAGGGTACTCCAGAGTCAGAACTGTTTAATGTAACCCCAGATGACAATGTGTGGAAACGTATCATCAAGAAACTTAGGCTGATCCAGAAGTATTCTGCGTATGGCTTCTTGGGTTTTTTTGGCCTCCACGTCACATCTACTATCGTTGCTCCAGGCATTGGACTTAGTCCAGAAACCTGCCAGGACCTCTTTGAAATGTGCCGCAACGTATACCTAGGACCCATTTTCGAGTACTCTATGATTTACACAACTGTGGGACTTCATGTTGGTTCTGGAATAGCCTTGAGATGTATAGACACAAGGAAGTACAGAAAAACATTTCTGCAAAAGCAGAAAGAGATCATCATCAAAGATGGGGAGCGAGATGACATTGGTTTGGGCGGATTGGGTACACTATTAGGCTTGGGATTCAAGAAGTCTTGGATCTCAACCCATTTCCCTTCCTTGACTCCTTTAACCTTCTCTGGTTACATAATGTTCTTGTCTCTAGCGTTTCATTTTTTTAAAATGAGAGTCGCTCCAATTTTAATCGATGGGGATTCATCACTCATAACTTTACGATATGTGACCCACTACCTCAAACAAAGTCATTATGGAACAGCGGGTAAAGCTATAAACTACATAATGCTTTTGTTACTTCTGGGAGTATCATTCTATCATGTTGTCAGTGGATTGTTCAAGTACAGGAGACAGTTCAGTCTTCGAGCTAAGAAAATTGCATACGGAGTTATCGGCACTTTTACTGCGCTTAGTGTTGTTGCCATGGCAAGGTTCAGCCGTTGGAACTTGGAATCAGGATTCATCGGCAAACAATTCATGAAGTACTTGCACCTCATCTAATTTTACGTGTAATGAAGGAACAGCGAAGTACAAGAAAAACCGAGAAGCAGAGACGAGTACAGAGAATTGGCGTAAAGTGAGTGAACCGTATGGAAGATTTAATCGATAAAGGGGGAGTCAACATGTGAGCTTCTCTCATGCATAGTGTGCCGATAGAGTGGGAACCTTCGCTAAATGGAAGGTACTAGTATCTGAGTGTACAATCTTATATGTTATAATCTCAAATATATTGATGAATAAATAAATAAGGCAGGCTGAAGAATATACACCACTTTAGTTGCGTCAGGTTGAAGGTAAAACAACTTGCTAGCCAGCACAATCAGCTACATCGGACTTGGTCATTCACGTCGAGATCAGGCAGTAGCAGGACCCAAAGTAGGTTCCTTCAAAGCAGATGCTCTCTTGGACTTGTAGTCCTTCACAGCCGACTTGATTGCATCCTCTGCCAACATAGAACAGTGCAACTTCACAGGTGGCAAGGACAATTCCTTAGCAATTGCGGTGTTTTTGATCTTCAAAGCTTCATCGATGCTTTTTCCCTTGACAAGCTCAGTAACGTATGAAGAAGAAGCAATAGCCGATCCACAACCAAAGGTCTTAAACTTCACATCCTGGATAATTCCGGTTTCTTCGTCGACTTTGATCTGTAATCTCATCACATCACCACAGGCTGGGGCACCAACAAGTCCAGTTCCAACATCAGCGTCATTCTTATTCAACGAACCCACATTTCTTGGGTTTGAGTAATGGTCGAGAACCTTCTCGTGATAACTTCTGTGTTGCCCAAGAACAGGAACAGTGGACGCACGGAGAACGCCTGTAACAGAGGCTGGTTTTATGAGGTTCTTTGAGAGAGCTGGTCTGGCAGCAACGGAAGCTCTGGCGAGTTGTCTGAACATTTCGGCTTTGAGTGGAAGTGTAATGAAAAAAAATTATGTGGGGCCAAGAGGTACAAAGGAAAACTCAGCGTCTAGAACAATGGACAATATTCACTTGCTTGATAGTATCAACAGAAAATCAGTAATAACAGTCTCGTTGATAAGAGTGGCAAAACGTAAAACAAGGAAAAGTAAACTGATTTTTATGATAAGCGGAGTTGTATTACAAATTGGAGAGGAGAAATCCCAAACTATATACAGGTGGGTCATCTGCCGGAATCGGGTCCGACACTTAGTGCAAAGGGCAATACATGTCCGAGATTTTCGCACGCCTTTCGGCTTATCTTCCAGGTTCCATCACAAGCGGAAATAAGACGGATGTAAATAGGGGTAGTGGGAAATTGTATTTTTTCGATAGAGGCGGCTATTCAAAACACCAATTGCTTACGGTGGCAAATGAGGAGAATGAGTGAAGGTAAAGGAAAAGCAAGCTACTGCCTGTGCAGACAGGTTCGTGTCATGGACGGGGCGAATGTGCACACTAACGAACGAATTAAACCGAGCAAAAAATAATTCACCTATTGCATAAGTAACAGATGTAGACCAATCAACGCGGCCCGGAGTGCGAAAACAAAAAAAAAAAAGCTTACACTATTGCGGAAGGTGAATAGAAGAGGCCGAAAAATGATAAGCGAGGTTCCTACAGGGAATCTTCGGCACTTCCGCAGAACTTTGTAATACAGAGATCCACATGCAGAAAAGAACACAAAGGGAAATGTACGACGGAAGAAGGACGGAAAAACGAAAATAAAAATCAGCACAGTCCCACCGCATCCGATAGGTATTATTAAGGTTATAACTCCACTCTTTATTTGCTTCATAAAGTGTCACTCTGTGGATCTCAATCGCGCAAACTAATGACGTATAAACACTAGCGTGACGGTGGTCCTAAGGCCCATTTCGTTACTACCGTAGACTATGTGCACAACAGCAGCTTGAGATCCACGCTAGTTGAAGAGGATAAAAGAAAACATTAGGAAACAGCGCGGCTAAGCTTGAACATGGCTCGGTCCTGAATCTCCGGGAACTGAGGAACGCCATTTTTTACAGATACCCGCACCATCAACCCACTTCGAGCTCACGTGCCCAAATATACAGATTTCCCCTACCTCCGATAAGTTTCCATCTAGGCGTACATAAAAGCGCTTCTTTTACTTCTAGCTTTCTCCTTACTCCTATAGTTTCCACGTGAAGAGGCTTTTTTTCATCATTCCATCGTTTTCTTAGTTACTTTGCTCATAATTCTCATTTTTGAGGTCGCTGACACCTGCCCGCATAAACTTCCCGCCATTATCCGACCACTAGTGTTTGTCTGATGTCAAGTCAGCCCTCAGAAATCGACACCGGTGTGTCTAATGGGGATGTGGATTGGCTATTTCGAGGAAAATCCAAGAAACTTACAAAGAAGCTTAATTCTGACCGCAGATCTTCAGTAAGTGGACCTGACGGTGATAGCAGGCCGTCTGAAACAAAGAAAACTGAAAAGTCAGAAGTGGCAAAATCATCTTCCAAGCCATCTTTGGATACCGTGGATGAATCAAAGCAGCGAGAGAACATCTCTCGTTCAGCCTCAGACTCTGCTTCAAAACTGGCCAATCACGCAACCTCTGAATCAAAATCGCCGTCTTTCCAATCGGAAGTAAAACAACTGAAGTCAAAGACTCAAACGGAAGGAATCCTGACATCTGGTCAAGGGCAAACTACACCCAAAAATGCAACAAAAAATGCAGATGAAACAAAATCAGAGACCAATTTGTTTCGTCTTGGCCGCTCTAGATCTTCTTCGGCGCCCCAGCCGCCAGATGCTGTTCACGGCGGTTTGAAGAAAAAGGCCAGTATGGGCCTGCTTCCGTCTTCTCTGGGCAATTCGTCCACCGACCGAAGCGAAACTAGCCTGGTATCGAGATCTAATTCGGGAAAAGGCAAATCGTTCTTCAGTCTGCTTTCTTCGAAGTTCAAATCATCATCTTCGAGCAGCCAAACTCTGTCTCATGCCAGCTCACCTCCACCTCCAAAGGTCAACCACAATATACTTGGTCCTAGTCTGCATCATTCCTCAAAGGAACAAGATTTGTGTGCAGTGAGCCGTCCTCCAGCTGATATTGGTATCTCTATTTCCAAATCTTCGAGACGTTCCTCTGTATCTTCAAGTCCGAAGCTGTCCATCGAGAAGGAACGAGGCAGTTTTTTCAAGCGGAGACCTCTGGTATCAGAGCCGAAGGCTAATCAACCGCAGCAGAGTGTAAAACTCAACGTAAATCCTCGCCGGCAGAAACTTGCTCTCCTGGAAATTCAAGAACCAATGTTGCGGCGTGTTTCTTTTGCATTAGATGAACTTCACGATGATCCGCAGCAGCAAATTCCATCAAGAAAACCCCGGAAAGGAAATGTTTTGATTGCCGAAGACATTAAAGCACCTATTCCAAGATTGCTGCAAGGTATTACAGCTGGGGAAGGGAAAACGCCTATTCCTGAAACAAGATACACCGATGCAGAGATTCAGACAGCAATTGAGATCCAGAAGAGAAACCGTCTTGAAGCTGAGAAACATGCGATGGAGGCTCACTTGTCAGCCAAGAAATTAGCAGCTCAAATCACTCAGTTTAAAACCTCTAGCAAATCAGACCCTGCCATCATGGATGAAGAAGACGATGTTCACGCTGAAGCCGAACAAATTGAAATCGACAAACCATTGCATGTACATGAGCATCACTTTCATGATGATTTGCAAGAGGAAGATGCAAACAAAGAATTACCGCTTGAAACAGTTTACACCAGATGCTGTCATTTGAGAGAAATTTTACCTATTCCAGCCACTCTTAAGCAGCTCAAAAACAAAACAAGACCGTTGCAAGTTCTTAAACTTTTGAATCCGAAGCCTACATTGATTGATGTGCTCTCATTCAGTGACTTTATTGCCATCACACCTATCAACACAGTCATCTTTGATAATGTCACCATGTCAACTGAAATGTTGAAGCATTTACTCGCTGCATTAGTAAATAATAAGCACTTGGAAAAACTTTCATTCAGAAATGTGGCGATAGATGAGAAGGGCTGGTTGTATCTTTGCGAGTTTTTAAGCCGTACGACTACGGTTAAAAAACTAGATATCTCCCAGCAGAAGGTTAGACACTTGACGAAGCAAACTTCTTTTAGATCTGCAATGAACTGGGATATGTTCATTCGGGCTCTCATTGCCAGAGGTGGGATTGAAGAACTTGTCATGGGTGGATGTAAGCTTTCTGATGAAACGTTCGAAAACTTATTGGAAAACGCCTTAACTATTTCTACTTGCAGACTTGGTATGGCTGCAACTGAAATAAATGTCAGAAAGTGTGAAATGATCGCCGATTGGATCAGTCGTCCCAACTCGAAATGCGTGGGAATTGATGTTGCTTTCAACGACTTGAGCCAAGGGCAGCTTCGTCCTTTCATTGAGGTGTTCAATACTAAACCAGTGAATTTGATTTTCTTTTCTTTGAATTCAACGAACTTATCCGATGTTCTAGAAGTGGGTGAACTTCTCAGGGGTTTGACCAATGTAAAAACATTGAAGTTTTTGGATTTGAGTTCTTTACCTCAGCTTTTCCCTGGTGTTATCTCAAAGCTTGACAAATACCTACCTCAATTTGCTTGTCTTAAAAGAGTCCATTTCGATTTGAATGAATTGGCTCCTCGATCGATCAGTGCTATTGCGGACATTCTCCCGAAAGTCAGTGGGCTTGTCCATGTCTCTCTTCTAGGCAACAGAAACTTGACCAGATCTGCGATAGCTTCCTTGTATGCGGCAGTAAAACTGTCCGCTATTTACACACTTGATTTGGACCAGGATTTGGTTCCGGATGAGCTTTCACAAAGATTAGCTCTCTATCTCATGAGGAACATGGATCGTACTATCAGGCCGGATATCACAAATAATAAAGATAGCCAAGATGATGTTATGTTTGATGGATCATTGCTCATGGAAGCGGCAGAGAAAATGTTGATTGAAAGTGACAAAAATTCGGGGGAGACTGACATCAAGCTTCAGAAGATCATTACTAATGCCTTGATTGAAAGGACAAATGCTGTTCGTAAAGAGATTCACAGAATTATTGACAATTTGTTTCAAAAAAGAAACCAAGGCAATTTATCATTTGAGGGAAAAGAAACTCTTCTTCGGTTTTGCTTGTTGGACGCCTCTCTTGAGAAGGTTGTGCACATGTTTGAACAAAAGGCAAAGATGATGAGCTCTGCAATGGTCAGTCCTTCGCCTTCTGTACACACCAACTCGTTGACCGATAATGGTATCATGGATGGAACGTTTCTGGCGAAGGATGATCATGACCAGCTTCACGAAAGTTCCAGCGCATTGATCGACGCAGGCCCTATTTTAATGGCCAAGACAACTCGCTTTGATCAAGGACCTGTTTATAACCCTACATTTGAGCCTCACTCTGTGGTAGTGGAACCCAGACTGGATGGAAGTACAGTCCCTATTGACAACCTCACAGGTCGCCCAGTCTTGATGAAATCTGTCTCACAAACATCTGTCCACGCTAAAGAACAGGAATTGGAAGAAGGTGAATTTCATAGATGGGGATATTTCATGGAGCACCGCAACGATGATGAGTCCAAGCTCCTGGAAAAGCCTGTATTTGGAACTGTTCCTTCGGGATCGGAGCTTCGGGAAGCTATTATTGATGCAAAGGGTATTGAATCTGTTACTGAATTGATTAGCAAAATAGGCTCTCATCGTGTTAGTCTTGAGAATATTTACAAAGTTGATGATTCAAGCCAACCTCAAACTGATGGTACCAATACTCTCAAAGATGCAGATGTTTTCGAAGATGCGTTTGAACAAACTACTAGCGAAGTGGACGATATTGGATCAATTGACTCAAATGCAGATCATGATGTTCATCCGGTTGTTGATGAAGCGTACGATAAGTTGTTGAATGAGGCAGAAAGAGTACGTTCGAACAAGTGATCACTCTCGCTTCATGTACATATAATGACTCATGACTATATAGCCAGCTCTACTGAATACACAGTTTATAGCAGGCAACAAATATTCTGCCTGCAATACATGAATAAAAGAGGAATGTGGTTATGGCAACACAGTATGCCCATTCAGCTCACTTGCTTCGACGTATGATTGTCGCGAAACATTAAGGTAAGGGACACTACAAGCTACGAACGTATCGTCAAGCACATGTTACGGAACCTCGGTTACACAACGTTGAGCGCAAATAGAAACCTCGAATATCGAGAATATCAATGTTCTACGCACTGTGCTACAGAAATGAGAATATGAACATAGAAATTATAGCGCACTATAGAGTGGACATTTAGTTCTCGGCCTTGAAAGCAGCGATCTTCTCGGCAACCTTGGCTTGTCTCTGTTCTCTGGTCAACTTCTTGGCCTTGTACTTCTTAGACTCAGCAGCGTATTGCTCCTTGGTGAACTTCTTCTCAGTTGGCTTGAAAGATGGGTCCTCTCTGATCTTCTCGTGAGCGTTGGCGTAGATCTCCTCAACATCTTCTGGGTCGATCTCCTCGTCAATGTAGGACTTGAAGACTTGTCTGTACTTCTCTTCATCGTCATCCATCAATTCTTCCATGTACTCAGCAATGTGACCACCGAAGATGTACTTTCTCAAAAGTTCAGCATCCAATTCCTCAGACTCAATGTCCCAACCTGGGAATCTCTTGGCAGAGTGAGGAACGTACAAACCACCGTCAGAAGCACCCTTCAAGACACCAAAGATTCTGGCACCAGTGGTGGTTCTTTGCAAACCAATGTCCAAGAAAACCTTGAATGGTCTTGGGCCATCCTCAACAGCCTCGGTCAATTCGTATTCACCTTCGACTTCCTCAACACCGGTGTAGGTCTCGTCCAAACCGAGCTTTTGCAAAGCTCTTCTGGCAACCAACAAACCAACAGCGTAAGCAGCGGACCAGTTGGTCAAACCGAACTTGATACCGTATCTTGGCAACTCATGGGCGTAAGCAGCAGTCAAGACAATGTCACCAGTGATGGTAGAAGAGACAATTTGGGCAATGATGTCTCTGTTGGTGAATCTGACAACCAATCTGTACTTTGGAGAGTTGTACTTGGCCTTGTGTTGGGTGACCAATCTCTTTCTTTGGTAGTAGTCGGTCTTACCCTCCTGTCTTCTACGGAAAGGAGTTTGGAATCTGGAGGAGTAAGCAGAAGTCTTGACGGATTTGTCGAAAGCCATTTTGATGTCGGAAGAGAAGAGGAATTTTTTTTTTCGCAGATGCGGTGAAATTTTTCACCAGAGTCCTGCAATGGGTTCCTGTGTCTTGCACGACCAATTGAATGCCGATTGCCAAGTGTGACTATAAGTTCGCGCACTCTCAGTATTATTGAGAACGTCACGTGTATCTTAGATAGTTTTTTCTTCATTCCAATCACCACCAAATTACCGGAATCTTCCATCCGGCCTTCTTCGTTCATTCTTCTACTTGCTCTTACTCAATTTCTCTCATCTCTCTTGTAGATTGCAATCTCTCATTTGCCCTTCTCGTTGCGTTGGTCCGTGCCCATGGGCCATCAAATGCGCTGTGTCAATTTTGTCATTACGCTACTTCCAATTTTGACCAGTCCTTTGAACATGTTGCATTAGCGACAAAAACGGCTCACACTAACAAGCCCGTGGTTTGAACCTAGACATAATATATTTTTTTCGCGTAGATAAGGGACATCAGAATGTAGAGCAGGGAACACGTTCGACGTCAGCAACTTACCAAATCAATATCGAAAAAGGCGGGCAAAATTTGAAAGTAACACGGTATTGTAAGCATTAGGCACATGGTTCTCTTCAACTCACTTTTAAAAATTTTTTTAGACCAATACTACCCCATAAATTAATGGACTCTTTATCTTGGGGCGTTTTGTGCAGGCCGGAACCTCCCCAATTCGCCGCAACACAAGGTTCCGGGCCGCATTGTCATTAAGGCAACCGAATCGCAGCAAATAAACAAGAAAGCAATGCCAAAAGAATCAATTATTCCTACTCCAGACCAACTTTCCGGTGCCGTTGATGAGACGTCGGTGAACCAAGAAGAAGGAAACTTGAGATACGCTGCTTATGCCAACCGTATTAGAACTATTCTCCAAGCTTCTCATAGATATGTCGCCTACACATCCGATATTGGCGAGTCATTCCGCCCGGTCGCCCATCCATACCTTGTTACGATGGGTTATGCGGTCTCGTGGATGTATCTTGTGGGAGATTCGTCGTATGCGGCATGGAAAGTGAAAATGAAGTCGGAGGGACGTTACTTGCCCCACTTGAGACCATGGGACTACCCTTACCCTCCACCAAACAAGCTTGCCGCAGAAGCATACAAGTTAGAGTCCTCCAACAGTTTGGCTGATACCGACTGGAGAGTGATGTTTGTCAAAAGAGGTATTTTCCAGAGCATAGCTTCGATGGCGTTGCCTGCTTTCACCATTCACTCTGCAGTGCGGTACTCCTCTGTGCTTTTCAAAAACAGTGCCAACAAAACCATGAAGACTTACGGACCAGTGGCTATTGGTCTCGGTATTGTTCCTCTATTGCCTTACCTCTTTGACGAGCCAGTCGAGCACGCTGTTGATTGGGCTTTCGAGAAAGGTGAAGAATTCTACAAGAACAAAAAGTTCGAGTGAGATTCGCAAATGCGCCGTTTTTTAGTATTATCCGATAGAGCAGTGCCGAAATCCCTAGACGCTTTGGGGCTTCGAGTAATTCAATGTTCCACATTTCTTACACGTGCGGGCGTCCATGTCTTGGTCAAAAGCCACAATGGCATCCTTGACCTGGGTTCCCAAGTCGTAGCAGTAGAATTCCACCTCGTGAAACTTGTCTCTACAATTTCTGCAGTACCACCTGATCTTGTCATTAACATCTTTGGGGCGATCTTGCTCAACCACAAGACCAATGGTGTCAGCAAATCTCACTGGATTGTGGGGTACATTTCCCGGTAAGAGAAACGAGTCTCCTTCATTGATGATAATGTCCTTAAATTCGCCATCATCTACAACCTTGAGACACATATGTCCCTTCAACTGATGGAAGTATTCAGGCGTTTGGTTAACGTGATAATCTGTTCTTTCATTAGGACCGCCCACGATCATTACTGTGAATCCTCCTCTATGAAGACAGAAGTTATTCACTGGAGGTTGGAGCAAGTGTGAGTTTTCTTCAATCCACTTTTTGATGTTTATCGGTGGCGCAAGCATATTTGTCACTGGGATGAAAAAGAAGTATTAAAGGTCAAAGCGGTTTAACTTGCATGATAAATCAAGCTTATGCGTTCCTGCGCATCAGCCCACGGTAAAATAATGATTAGTCAAAAAAAGTACGGTAAAAAAGAAGCTTCCCCACCAGGAGTCGAACCTGGAATCTTCTGGTTCCAGAAGTGGTTACTAATCGTAGCCAGACGCCTTGACCATTGGGCCATGAGGAACGAAGCTCTTGGCATTTCCTTTCCCTCATGGACCATGTCTTTTCGGTAAACATTTCAATAGCCATACTGCTAAATGTTTGCTAGTTAGTGCTCTATTCTGTGTGTAAATCCAAAATATTACAAGATACTACATTTATTGTCCTCTACTGTATTGACTTTTTTACTTAAATACTCTCTTTTGAAGAACAACATATTTCTGTAAATAGTGTAGATAGCCACCTTTCAAAGATATATTTCCCAATTTGCAATGCCTAGGGCAAAATGATTTGGTTTTCATGTTGCTTAACTAAATCTTTTTGAAAGACTACGAACATTCTGTTATTTGCGCCTATTCTTCAATCTGTGTGAATAGTTCATGAGCACACGATATAGAACGGCAAAGCAAACGAGACATTACATTCGCCTATTAGCCTACAGTCGTAAGAAGAAAGGAATTATTCAGCGTTCAGAACGTTTCTTATCTTTTTTCCACTCCACAAGGAGTTGGGGTGCTTTGATTAATAGCGTCTACACAATACTGCCAAAACCTTAAATTTGTGACAACTCTGTTCTTCGACATGTGCTTTTGAATTGTTGGTCATGTCACTGCTTACCCTTTTTTTTCTTCTTTTGCAGTTTACGGGTCTTTCAAAAGACGACTTGTATGAAGCACATAGTCGCACAATCAACTTAACTATTACTAAACCATTGCGATGAAGATACAGCTTACCGTACGTTTTACGGACTCAGGAGCAGGCTCCGAACCGTATCACGACCTTTCCGTTCCAGTATTGGTCAATCCAAAACGTGATGATATCAATAAGCTTGTAAATACGTCGTGGCTTAAAATGGTTATCCGAACACAAGTTGCTGGTACAGAACGGCGGCGGCTCCGCTTGATTTATAATGGACGGGTCCTCAATGACACAACCAACTTCAAAAACGATATCTTAGAGCCTAAGTTGCGTCAGCTTCGTGAGCTGGGCGAAAGCACTGACATAGTTCAGTTTTATGTTCATTGCCTTGTTGGAGACGAATTTACCAACGCACAGTTGGCGAAAGAGAAAGAACTTGATCTGAAACTGCAGGAGGTCAGCACAGCTCCTCCTGTGGTTGGTTTTGACCGTTTGTTGCTGCAGGGAGTAAGCCCTCAAGATGTGAATGATATGCGGAGACAGTTTCACCAGATCTACTCACCTGACTTGTTGCAAAACACATCAGTATCTGGAGTAAATGACCTCGAAGAAGATGAAAACAGGCAAGAAGCAATACGTCAACTTGAGGAAAGATGGCTAGAGGGGACTTTCAATGACGCTCATCCGCAAGCAGGGGGCGAGACTGGGGTTGCTCTTCCACCCAACGCTGCTCTTCGAGCAGCTGTGGAATCGGAAGGTGCCCATCACACGGAAGATTTACTTATAGGGCTCTTAATAGGAGCATTTTTGGGCATTGTCGCAGGTGTCTTTCTATTGATGGATGACACGATGTTTAATAAGACACAGCGGCTGGCGATTGTCGCAGGAATTGCGGGCAACATCATCTGCATATTTACCAGAGCTACTTCTGTGTGATGTCAAGGATCTGAGAGTGAAGACAAAAGTGAAAGCAAGTATAAAGGTACTAGTAATAGTGATTCAAGGCCATGACAAGAGACTTGGCAAGAGACAAAGATTGAAAAGATGTAGTAAACCATGGATGGAAAACAATCACTTCTGCTTGGAGCCATCGGCAACAGAATCAATACTAGGATAGTTCTGAGAATACTAAGGTTAAGTGTCTCGACGAAATTCATCAGACTAGAGAACAGTATCATCTCAAAATTTGAAGAGATGTCTCGTAGAAAGGTGCACCACATGTCGTCTAGCTTGAGCTATGAAGAATAAGAAGAATTAAAATTGCTACAGTTTCAAATGTTCGACCTCCCAGCCCTCAGAAATTTCCATGTGCCACTCAGCAGAACCGAGCGACACGTTAGCCAAATTAATGAAAGGGCGCTTAGATGGTCTTTGTCCATCACTGGATTTCATTCTGGCCAGAACCTGACACTCGCCAACTCGTAGGGATTACGTGAACAGACAAGCAACACGGATATGGATCTGGCCGCCGCACAAAGAAAGAAAAAAATGTTTGAGAATTCGCGATGGCTATATAGTCTTCCCGAGATGGTTACCCGGTCATAAAGTTCACGCGCGCCTTTTCGATTAACATCAGGGCTTACAAGAGAGTTGAGGCATCTGTAAAAAAAAAATAAGCGATGGATCAATACACAAAAACATGGTTAGCATATGGGGCGAAGGGACTATAGATCCATTGGAACATACGCCATTGAATGCGAGAACGAAAGCACTTGAATGGCTGAGATGCATCATTGGGCACACATGTGGATGACACTCTTCAAAGAAAACTCGACAAAATTTGTCCAGTCCCCTCCTTTTAAAATAGCTGTACCTATCTATATTTGACGTTTCCGTCAATACTAGACCATGTCTGTTGTTAACACCGATTGATGAGCCTGCGATTGGACCCCACACTTGTGCAGGCAAGCGCTTTCGGCCCGTCGCGTTATTAGTCATTTTCAGATGATAACGACTGTAGATCACAGTAAAAGTAGACATGTACCATTAAATAGATAGGCATGAAGATATTGTAGATGTGTTAAGGATAGCAATTCCATTTTGGTCTCACGGAAGAAAATAACCAATCTCTTACCGCCTATCTGCGGGTTTTTTTCTGTGGGTGGAGACAATACTTCGCATCCTCTGCCCCAGAATCCTGTCTCGAGTCGTAAATTTTCCGATTACACTTGCACTCTTTTTTTTCTGCTCCTTCTCTTGTGCTCATTATCTCCCGCTAAATATCGTGTGTTGGTTCCGTGATGTCTGATCCTAAGCCTTTGCCGTTTGTATATCAATTCTTGTCTGGCGCTATTGCCGGTGTCTCCGAAATCTTGGTGATGTACCCTTTAGATGTGGTCAAAACAAGACAACAGTTGGCCACTACCAGCGATTACAATGGCACCATAAGATGCATTAAGAAAATTGTTGCCGAAGAAGGCGCCTCAAGGTTATACAAAGGCATCAGCGCCCCTATTTTAATGGAAGCTCCTAAGAGAGCGACCAAGTTCGCTGCAAACGATGAGTGGGGCAAGTTCTACAAAAACCTCTTCGGTGTTCCTACTATGAACCAATCTTTAGCTGTTTTAACTGGTGCTACTGCGGGTGCGACTGAATCGTTTGTTGTTGTGCCCTTTGAATTGGTCAAGATCAAGTTGCAGGACAAGTCTTCCAAGTTCAACGGTATGGGTGAAGTGGTTAAGCACATTGTAAAAGACAATGGTGTTCTCGGATTGTACAAAGGATTGGAATCTACCTTGTGGAGACATATTGCATGGAATGCCGGCTATTTCGGCTTGATCTTCCAGGTTAGATCTTTGATGCCTAAACCTAAATCTTCTACTGAAAAGACTCTCATAGATTTGACCAGCGGAGCCATTGGTGGTACTTTCGGTACCATGTTGAACACTCCTTTTGATGTTGTCAAGTCGAGAATTCAGGCTGGTTCTACCAAGTACATTTGGACAATTCCCTCAGTCTTTACGGTTGCTAGAGAAGAAGGTTTTGCTGCGTTGTACAAAGGTTTTGTGCCCAAGGTCTTAAGATTAGGTCCTGGCGGTGGAATCCTTTTGGTGGTATTTTCTACTTGTATGGACTTCTTCAGAACTATTCACGAGAAAGTATGATTCGTATATCTATATTCGCTAAATGACCCATTCGTGTTATTATGACGTCCAAGTGTTCCCGTAGACTAGTATGAAAATTTCAATAAGCTCTGTTTGCTTCTCAAAGTCAATGTAGCCTTGGTACTTGTCGAAATATTTGAACGTTGCTGCATAGTTATACTTCTCTATTCGCACTGTGGACTCCACGTTACTGAGAGAGGATAGTTCTTCTAGCAATTTGGTCACTTCATTCATATCGCGTTCTCGGGATTCATTCACGCTGAGTTTCTCTCCTATATCTTGTAAACACTGAGTCACTCTGGCGAAGTTGTCACGTTTAATGATGAACTTTCCGAAGATGTTGAATATAGAGTGATAGTTTTCAAGAAGCGTGTATAGCAAGTCATAACTCAAAGACTTGACAAAATGGCTTCCAAAAATCCAGTTATCGGAAGGCTTTGCCATCAACTCACTAAACGGAGGTCCCAAGCTAATCTCGAAGATTGCGAAAACTTCTTCCACAACATATTTTGTATCTTCTTCGTTAAAATGTTTGTACACAAATTTTAGAAATTGTACTAGTGCTTTGAAAAGCTCACTCCAACAATAAGATCTCAAGTCGTCGAAGGGATTTTTCTGACAGAAGAGAAGGATTTGATACAAGATGCATAATGTGATCTTGCAGTTGTCAATATCCAATCTCTTGTTGAGGTTAAATCTCAAATCTATTTGGATAATATCAATAATGTATAGAAGCGCTGACTTCTTCGAGTTTTCAATCGAAAGCGAAATTGGTGGGGATCTGTGGTGACACAACTTCCAAACATTCTCATCAATTTTGTAATCACGAAGAGCTGTTAATGCATCGCTTTTTGTTGAGGTGAGCTTCAAAAGTATAAGGTTTGAGATTCGTGCTCCAAATACATTTACCCTAGACTTGTACAAGTAATGATGAACATATGAAGAGACACAAAGCCAGATGTCCAACAATGGGACGCGTGTTTTCCTGGGATGCGTCAAATAAGTGACAAACGAAGCATTTTGCACTAACTGATACATCATCAACGAAATAACTAAATATGTTGGGGAGCTGACAGCATATTCACTATTCTTGGCATCGCCCACTTTTTCTTTCTTTTTTAGCCATTCAAACTCTTCGGTTTCATGCAAAAATGGATCAGACTTGTCAGTGCCCTTGACATAGTGAGGAAATTTGGTTACAGATGATATTGTATCTGTCGCCATGTACAGCCCTGGTATGAGTCTATGACCTGTAATCCAGCCAAAAAAACTTACACGGCTCAAATGCTGATCAAGTAAGTCTGGTTGCAATTGGTAATAGTAGTTGAAGTTCGCCGTTAATAATGGGACCACGCGTGAATTAATCTGCAAATGCATTTCTCGCAGGCTAAAGTCCTTGCTAGTGATCCTATTTGTGTACACATTGGCTGAAACATTACTTAATGTAGTAATGTCGAGTGATAAGGACATTTTATCCACAAGAAGTAAATTTATAGGGCAATTCGTCAAAGTGTAATATATCGTGTACAAGCGCATAAGCGTGTCATAAGAGAGGCGAAGAGACCCTGCTTTCTTATCCTCCGCATGATCCTCTAGTGTCTTCGAGGAATTTGTTATGCTTAATAGTTCATCAATTGGCCTCGATAAATCAACCTGGAAGAAAGTATGGACAAGGCTTTTTATAACTAAGAACTTGTTCGAATTCTGGTTGCTGCTCTCTAAGGTCATAGCATAAAAGATTGAGAATAATGTCTCGTGAGTGAGGAGGATAAGCTCCTTTAATGCCGTGAGGTAGGCATTTGTAGATTGTACAGTTGCCTCTTCCATCACAAGCTTAGTAGTCGCCAAGAGTCGATAAAGATCTCTTTCAGTAAGAGCATGTTTGGTCCCCGGAAGGCCAAAGATCAGCCCCAAAAGGTCAATCTTAAGTTCACTGGATGTTTTGCGTATACAACGAAACCATAACTTGAGAACGTGGGCTACTTTCTCGATCGAAGCATAATCTGTAGTCTTATTCTCTGGAAGAGATTCCTTTACCGAAGCCTGTACTCCATTGGCTTCATTGGAGTTCTCATGTTCCTCGGAAACTCTCGAAGTTATGTCCAATTCGTCTGCTATCATGGGTGAATTATCCAGAGAATTTCTAGCCTCTGATATTGAGTCAATGTTTCGGTTTTTGAGTGATTTGGCATCTTCTTTTTCTGCAAGTGATGTAATATCATCTCCGTCGTCAACAGGAGCCTGTGTGGAGTGTCCATTTTGTTGCGTTAGATCTTCTTCAGGCACCAGGCCTCTGTAATCTATTTCCGTAGCCCGGAAGCCGCTTTCAGTAGGAAAGTCTGGGTCACAGATGAGGGACACACCATAGCGAAATATCAATTGAACTGATGCATTGACTGTCGCCGTCTTGGCGCCCTTTGTCAAAAGGCTGGTCAAAGACTCGCAGAAATCGTCATCTGATAGGTCATTGGCGAATATCTTTTGGAGTTTGACCTCGGGCAGACCGTCTGAGGTCGAATTACTCAAGTCCATCGAATGAATTCTTGACAAGAATGTTCTTGTGTTTATTTCTGACTTGAGAATACCTCACTTCTGTCCCTCGAGATTTAACACGAGACGTGTACTTAGATCCCAATCATTTAACCCCGCGACTTCTGAAAACACCACCTGCATAAGTCTTGTAGTCAAATTTCCTTTGAGAGCCTAACTAGGAACTAGAGTCAATTCAAACTGAGGAAGAAACTGGTCCAGGCCTGCAATCGGAAATCTATTCTGAAATTACCTTGAACTATCTTTGCATTTAAGTGCAGCTGATATCCGGCATTGTTGAGGCGCAGTCTTGTACAATCGATCTCCATGGCATATGAAGCTGATGCACTGATTCCGCTTCAAAATTTGAACGAGTCGGCTTCTCGATCATCTGATGATGATAACTTCTCGGATTCATCTGCTACTTCTGAATTCTTCGACGATATAGACAGGTACAGAAGCCATTCTGACCAGAAGCAAGACTTTCTGTCTGATGCTAATTTCATAGAGAAACTACTGAGCTTTCAAGGATCGAAAACCTTGTCTAAAAAAGTGTGTGGTGCAATACTGGCAAGTATATTCTTGATATGGACAGTTGCACTTGTTCTCTACTCAACTGGAAATGTTCAAAGGAAAGCTTCAGCAATTTGGCACGGCCCAAACACCAATATAGTTCTGTTATCGCATCGAAATATTTCGTTGAATGATTTCCTGCTGAAGAAGTATAATGTTAGTTTTGAGAACTATAGAAAGGGTGCCTTTGTTAGTCCTCGAAAAATGGTACGCTGGCTCGTTCATTCTCAGTTCCCACAGTCAGATTCAAGCTATGGCAACGGTTTCTACTTGACTCAACATGATGAAGAGTACGTAGTACATCAATTCGGTACAAAGTACAGTTACAAAATCTTGGAATCTCGCCAATTTGAGTATGAGAATTCATTCTTTCAAGTTGAAGATATTCATCTCAATCCGGGTCTACCTATTGACGATGAATCTACCTTTCACATTCTAGTTTCCGACGAAACATATCAGTGGAGACATTCAAAATTCTCTATTTACTGGCTCTGGCAGCAGTCAACGGGGAAAGTTTTCCCCCTTCAGCCCACTGGCATCGAAAAAGACTCTATGGCTATAGAGAAGCTACACTTCGCCAAATTTGATCCTTCTGGAAAATATGTGGTCTTTGGTCATAATCACGACTTGTTTTTGTACGAACTCTTATCTGGGGAAACTACGAGGGTAACTGTGAATGGCAATTCCAATGTTTTCAACGGCAAACCAGACTATGTTTATGAAGAAGAGGTTATTGCTGGTGATAATATGGTATGGTGGTGTCCCGACCTGTCTAATTTCGTGTTTGCTACTCTTAATGACACCAAGGTCGAGGAGTATCATATCGATTACTTTTCCAAGGATCCGGAAGAAATTGCTATGTCCTATGATCAGCCACTGGCGCAAAAATCAAGCGAAGTAAACCAGTATCCTATCCGTACCTCAATCAAGTACCCTAAACCAGGAACCCCAATTCCAGAGGTAAGCTTAACCATGTTCAACTTATCACTGAGAAAACAAACTGTCATAGACATTCAAGGGGTTGATACAGGTGACGATCCCATTCTTTATGATGTGAATTGGATAGATGCGGATAATCTTTTGCTCAAAGTTTCTGATCGAACGAGCACCATATTATCTAAAAAGCTATTCAAGCCTTTAGATTCAAAGGTCATGAATATCTCTTTGACCAATACTTCGACATTCGGAGGATGGATTGAGAAGGCATCTCCTATAGCACTTGTTAGCCGAAATGACAAAACGGGATATCTAGATAAAGTTGTCTCCGATAACAAGGTGCAATTGGCTTTTTTTGACCTGGCATCATCTCAAAATTATTCAAAAATTCTTGGGCCAGTGTATTATAACTCACCATTGGCTTACGACGCTATTGAAGGTGTGGTGTATGGCTTGTTCGGTACTGACTTTAACCACACTTTCTCCTCCGTATCTATTGAGGACGCTTCACTTAAGGTTCTACAAGAGAATGGAAAATTCATGCCGATATTTAGTCCGGATGGGCAATTCGTGGACCTTGAGTATGCTGGACCGCTGCTACCTTGGCAAAAACTAATGAATATGGCTGATTTGCATGCGGGTGCCGTTTTCGAAAACGTCGGACCATTCAATGACCAATCAAATCTAAAAAAGGTTTTGGAATCAACCAACATTCCAACACGAGTATACAGTAAGGTGAAGGTCGGAATGGGTGATGAAGCAGTCGAGTTGAACATGATGGAAATACTTCCTCCAAACTTTGACCCGAATAAGAAGCATCCTTTATTAGTACACACATATGGAGGTCCTGGTGCCGCCATAGTTGATTACTCCTTTAGGGTTGAGTTCCAGGATATCGTCAGTTCCCAATTAGATGCAGTGGTTTTGATCATAGATCCTAGAGGAACTAACCCCGATAACTGGAAACTCAAGTCATGTGCTCGAGAAAAATTGGGCTTCTGGGAACCTAGAGACATTGTCACTGTGACCAAAGATTACATTAAGACCAACAAGTATGTGGATGAAAGCAAAACTGCCCTTTGGGGATGGTCATATGGAGGATACACCACATTAAAGACGCTTGAATTCGACAAAGGGGATGTATTCAAATTTGGTGCAGCAGTTGCTCCAGTAACTAATTGGATGTTTTACGATGCCATTTACACTGAAAGATATATGAAGAAAGTGGAAGATAACCCAAACTACGTGGCTATATCCAGAATTAACGGGTTCAGTAACTTCAAAAAAGTGAAGCGATTCATGATAATGCATGGCTCGGCTGACGATAACGTTCACCTTCAGAATACCATGTGGTTATTGGACAAATTTGATGTTAATGAAGTGGAAAACTATGACATCCATATCTTTCCTGATAATGATCACTCTATTTTTTACCATAATTCGAATAGCATGGTCTATGACAAATTGCTATGGTGGCTCCAACAAGCATTTCTGGGTTTCTACGACTAACATTATTTAGGTTAATATAATCTCAATTGTTGAGAATCTCTTACATGCAATATGCACGTCAGGATTACTCCAGAAGAGTTTCATCGTTATCTTACAGACTCTGTAAACCTCATCTTCGAAGCTGTCGCCCAAGTGTAGCTTGAACGCTCTTCTTATCTTTCCTCTGAACAGATACCACTTACCACACTGTAAATATCGGTATACTCTCTGTCCTCTTAAATGATTAGGCCTCCCTAGGAACGTAGCAGTGAATGTGTATATCTCAAATAACTGCACCTACAAGTCCCTCCTATTTCTACTGTCAGGTGGCCCGTTATTGACACGCATGTGGATAGCTTCACATCCACAATCCGGAATGCTGCTGAATCTTCGTTTTCTGATGTCGTCAATATCACCATATATTGTCGAACCAATCATGCGTAAGTAAGGCTCAGTCTGCTCATATTCAACTAAATATGTGTATAGCCAATCACTCTGTACATTGATCTGTGCTTCAGTTAAATTTAAGCAGCTTCCCATGCAAACGTCGTAGTTACCCGGGACCAACCTGTTACCCTTATCAGGCGGTACAACAACTTTAATATAATCACACGCATTTTGGATATATTGGAACATAACAACATTAGTTCCATTATTGCACTTGCTATCACACATTGTCAATTTCTCAATGTCACGTAACTGATCTTCTGAGTTAATCTATCTGAGCCACTGCAGTACTAACGATAGCTATCACTTTAACTGTATTAATTAATCTCATTTCGGAATCTAAACGCTGGATATAAAAGATAACTCTTGATATTTTCTTTTATGTCGATACTCATATATAAAAGAAAATAGCCCTATTCAATGCCAGCTCCGAACACGGTTGTGTATACAGCGTTGTTTGTTGCGCAAAGCATTGAACATCAATTGTGAAAGGGTTGTAGTTTGTTCTCAACATCAATCATTCCTGTGTACAGTTCTCTTCACATCTCATCTCGCTATTTTTTCCATTTCGAACCTACTCTCATCAAGTTCAAAAATGGCCAAGGCATCCAAAGCCACGAAAAAGTTTCAGAATAAGCATTTGAAACACACCCTTGAGCATCGTCGTGAGATCCAAAAGCACAACAAAAAAATCGCTCAAAGGAAAAAGACACCATCAAAGGTTGACAAAGATGCAGAACCAAAGGAATCTAAAAGCACTAAACCGATTTTCCAGGATATGTCTGTGGAAGAGTTCTTTGAGGGTGGTTTTGAAGTTCCGAAGCCTAAAAAAGGTGCTGTAGTGAACGAAAATTCTGAGGACGAAGAAATGGAAAGCAGCTCCGATGAGGAAGAGTCCAGCGTAGAGGAATCTGCCTCGAGCAAGTCTTCTCAAGAAGACTCTGAGGAAGAAGCTTCAGATGACGAAGCAACAATGAAGCAAAACCCTCAAGCAGTTGGAGGAAAAAGACCCAGAGTTTTACAAATACTTACAGAAGAATGATAAGAATTTGTTGGACTTCGAAGGTGTCAATCCTATGGACGCCATGAGCGATGACGAGGATGAAGAGGACGAAGAGGATGGAGAGGAACAAACTGAGAAAAGAGAAGATGAGGAAAAGGCAGACGACAAGAAGTATGAAATCACAAGGGCTATGGTGGCTAAGTGGAACAAGCAATTGAAGACGCCAACAATCAAGTTGGTTCAAAATGTCATTTCTGCTTTTAAGGCTGCTGTATATATCAACTCTGCCGACGAGAACAATACGCGTTTTGTCATCAATGATCCTTCTGTCTTCTCTGAGTTGATGTTTGTTTGCTTGAAGCGTGTGCCTGAGGCTGTGAAAATCTTGGCGCCTTACAAAGTTAACCTGAAGGGCATTAGAATTGTGGATTCGAAAAACCCAAATACTACCCGTGTTGGCAGTTTGATGAAAAGTCAGGGTGGTGCCTTCATTACTCTTTTGAACGATATTACGAACACAGAAACAGCGGCATTGGTTTTGACGTCATTACAAGAAGTCTTGCCTTTCTACATTTCCCAAAGGAAAATCATAAAGCAGATTTTAAACGCTGTGGTTGAATGTTGGGCAACGACTACGGATGTCGAAACACAGGTTGCAACTTATGCGTTTTTGAACAATGCTGCCAGAGAATTTCCCAAATCAACCTTGGATATCATATTGAAGTCTACCTACTCGTCATTCTTGCGGAATTGTCGTAAGACCAACGTTCACACTATGGACTTGATCAACTTTTCCAAGAACTCTGCAGTTGAGTTGTTTGGTATCGACGAGCAATTGTCTTACCAAGTTGGCTTTGAGTACATCCGGCAATTGGCCATCCACTTGCGTAACACCATCACTAACACCACTAATTCATCTGAGGCTCAGAAAGATGCTTACAAAGCAATCTATAACTGGCAATTTTGTCACTCGTTGGACTTCTGGTCAAGAGTATTATCCCACTTTTGCAATCCTGAACTTGAGTTGGTGAGTCACAAAAACCAAGAGTCTCCATTGAGATCGTTAATTTATCCTTTGGTGCAAGTCACTTTGGGTACTATTAGATTGATCCCAACTGCTCAGTTCTTTCCATTGCGTTTCTATTTGATCCGCTCTTTGATTCGTTTGTCTCAAGGCACTGGTGTTTACATCCCAATTTACCCTCTCATTTCTGAAATTTTATCATCCACTGCATTTTCGAAACCAGGAAAGCCTACTAAATTGCAAGCGCTTGATTTTGATTTTATTATCAAGGCCAGCCAACAATATTTAGGTACCAAAGTATACCAAGATGGCTTATTTGAACAGTTCCTCGAATTGACAAGCGAATTTTTTGTGTTGTACTGCAAGAATATCGCATTCCCTGAACTCGTTACACCTGCAATTTTGTCACTCAGACGCTTTATTAAAAAGTCTAAGAACTTGAAATTCAATAAGCAGTTGCAGCAGCTCATTGACAAATTGAATGCTAACGCCACATTCATTACCACCCGGAGAGCAAATGTGGAATATGGACCTTCTAACAAGGCTGAGGTACAATTATTCTTGAAGGATGAAGCTTGGGATTCAACTCCATTGGGCCAGTATGTTGTGGTGCATAGAAAGGTCAGAGAGGAAAGAATGAGACTCTTGAAAGAGGCTATTTTAGAGGAAGAAAACGCTAAGAACAACGCCAATGATGGCATGGACTTGGAGGATGCTATTGAAAGCGGAGATGAGAGTGAAGAAGGCAGTGATGATGAAGTTGATGGAGATGATGATGATGAAGAATAGTTAAGCATTTAGTTTTGCTAGTTGTACCATAGATTTCATTTGCCTAACATTATGTAAGGCCATCCTCAATAAATATATTATGTACTGCGCCTTAAACCTCGATGGGGATAAAGTTTCCAACTATACAGCTTGGAATATTGTACCGGTCTCGTCTGATTGTAAAGCTGAAACAGCAACTCTTTCGCTTCAAACCATCCTTGGTTCTTAAATTGCAGCTCGTAAGTACTGCTTTTTGGCCCTTATCGAAAGCGATGGCACCATATTTTTCCCAAAAGTTAACGGCACTCTCTTCACTCATCAACTCGTAAATCGCTAGTTTTCCATCTTTCAAATCGTCTGTCGTCACTCCAACCAACGATGCAAACTCTTTATTTCCTCTGTAAATCTCACCAGTACGTCTCCAAAGGCATGCTGGAATGGCCATGGATGTAAAAACTCGGTCATAATCAAGAAGCATTCTCTCGAAACTTTCTTCCACGAGCACCAAATCCACATCTTTTAGCGTTCTTGCAATAGCCCGAAATGCTGGCCGAAATATTGAAAGCGGTTTGAGAATTCTTTGCCTTGAAGATTGATTCATATAGTTATCCATATAGCTTTGAAGTCTAGCGTAACCTTTCGCATAATTGTACGGCTGAAGCAATCCAGCTTCGAGTTTGGCCTTGATAACCTGTTTCAACCGCTCTTCTGGTGATATCTCTGTCGTTGGATCAGCAGCTGTTAAGAAAAACTTGTCTCTTGCTGAATCAGATATCAACGGCTGCAGATTTCCATCTGCTGCTGCAGTATGCGATCTAGCATACTCCGTGTTTTGGACGCCATCTGTTTTCCTCTCCTGGTAAGGCTGCGTTTGGGCAAACTGTTGACTCTCCATTTTCTGTCGTGGGTTTTCATCCGAAAAAGTGGGGATAGGCTGCACATTTGGCGAGAACAGTAGCATACTATTTATCCCCGATGTAACATTACTAGAATTTAGATGATCGGATGGCGTCATCAGAAATGCCATGAGTGAGTCCGCGTTCGTTGAGTTTTCATTAAGAGCACCATTCACAAGTTCTGGATCATCAATCATAGATAGAAAATCATTAAGAGAGCTGAACTCGCTACCCGCATGCTCAGAGTAAAATACCGGCTCCTGGTTAAATGGTAGATTTTTATTTAGTGCCATCACACTCGGTTTCTGCTGCAGTTGGACTCCTTGTGGGAACATGGAGACCGGCTGTGGGCGGGTATTGTCAGGTATCATATTTGTGTCGTGCGGAGATTCAGTAGAAGTAATATTCAGGCTTGTCTGATTATCATTCGATTTAAGCTTTTTCTTTTGGCGCCCTGGCGTTGTTTCATCATGACAGAGATGACCAATACCTCTTTTGATACATCTCAGGCACGGTCTAGCGTCATCACAAATCATGTGAGAACGGCGGCAGTAAACGCAGGCCATTTCAACCTTTTTCTTTCTTTTTTTGACCTTCTTTGTTTGATCATCTCCATGTTGTGACTCTTTCTTTGACTTATTCAGTGTATTCTGGGGTATCTTCAGATCCACAGATGAGGACCTAAACTGCTCGTCCATCGAGCTCTGCCCTGTTTCCATGTCCATCCTTTCAAATTTCGAAGTATAGTCAGAGCGTTAGTGTGGGGGAATGGTAAGTTTATGCTTGTCAAATGAGATGATTTCTATTTTATTCGGACTTTAAGTATTAGTTGAGTCGCAGGTAAAAAGTTAAATCGTTCACGTGATGTCACCGTCGTAAAATGCACAAATCTGTGGGGAAATAGGTCCCGGGTTTCCCCGGGTACTCCTGGTGCCCCACCTTTGGTTAATCACTAGCTTCTCTGTTGGGCCTTGCTTAAGTTAGTCTACAAACGGTTGGGGGCATAATGAATTTCAATACACACAAGACCTTCTTTCTTCTTTACTCTTCTCTCGCATCCATAAAGGAATCAGGTCCTTTGATGGTGACTTTACTGGATGTTTCCAGATAAGTACCTTCAGTTCCTGAGTCGAAGCTTTGCTGTGGTGTGACGTAGTTACTAGTGAAAGAATTTTGATCAGTATTGTGCGTTCTCGTTGTCTTGAAGGAGTCGTGAGATATCATACTATCAGAAGTGTGGACAGTATAATTTGAGGCTAAAGATCCCGTTTGAACCTCCGTTACAGCATTCTCCTGAGTCAGGCTAATATTTTGAGTGAACATCATCGATTGCGTTTGAAGTTGTGATCCACTCAAATGACTAGCTGGTGTAATACTATGCGCCGGGTTTATAGACAATAAAGAATTGGCGCTTTGTACTTCGCTATGCATAGGCGCGGCAGGGGTATCAGATTGGCTTTCCAAGTCTATCGAAAAGTGATCAGTATGCTGAGAGTGAAGTAACGGCTGTGTCTCCCCGATTGAGAACCATTCGTTACACAAGGGACATGTACGCTTAAAGTGGATAAGCCAATTAGAAAGGCATTTTTCATGATACAAATGTTTGCACTTTAGTACAAGTACCCGCAGATGTAGAGGCATAAATCTATCGAGGCAAATGGCACACTTGAACGTGAGGTAATAATCTTGAGAAGCAAACAATAAGCCCCAATTTTTAAACAGGCGTATATCAACTCCATTAATCCATATCTCGTTGCGAGGCTGTTGCAGCTCAATTTCCTGTCCAGCAGGTAAATCTTCGGAAGAAGACAGAATTTGCGTCATATCGCATGTTTGGCCAGTAGCCCCCAAATACTCAGGAAATTTCAGTACCGGTATTAAGTGATCCTGATTAAATATGTAAACAGAGAGCGTTTTCACTAACTTCTCATTAACAGAATTCAGTATCTGTCTATGGCATAGTTGGAACCCGCGTATGCACAAATAAAACACTATTATTGAAACCGTTGGAGAAATAGCGATCAGCATCAAGAGGCTAAGCCAGTTATCAATTGACAAAGTTTTGATGCACAATATTGGATCCTGTAATTCGTAGCTGTAAAGCTGAATATAATCTTCATTGGTGATAAATAGGACGGGAACAGTTAGTAGGCCATCTCTATTGAAAGTATTAGAATACATCGTGATCAAGCTGTGGTATGGCTTGTCATCAGCAACTATGATAGCTCTTGGGTTTAAGTTAGAGTCTAGTAAGTTTTTAACTTTGTCCACAAAAGAGCAGTTCCCTCGTAGGACTATAAGAATTTTATCGTTGAGCTTTTCATCTGGGGACAAGGGAGAACATGCCAAACCTGTAACGAATTTGTAGTTTCCATGGATTGGAGTCCCTAATATGGGGCTAAATGATGCATATCTACCAACAAACTCCTTCGTTTCGTTCGACGTATTAAATGACATGAGCAGATCTACTGGAAAGACTGATCTCATCACACTCGGTCCCAGAATGTCGATCACCGAGTCTGATGCGGAAAGAGAGGAACGTGTCATATGGTCCACTGGGTTACTTTCCAGTTCATTTGAATATTCAGCATGGTCACGACTGCGGTTTTCATGATGTTTACAGAAGTGTGGAATTCGCAACTGTTTCAAGGTATTCTTTGTCAAGTAAAGTGCATCTTCTAACTCAAGTTGAGATGGGATGACTAAATGATAAATGAGGAGGAGAGTCGCCACAATGCTCGAAAGCACAGCTAATCGGAGGGGGAGTATCATTGCAAGCGAGAAAGCACTCAGTGGTTTAACGCGAATCTGGGGATTCTAATGGTCCCTCATGTCTGTACAGGTTATGGCGTGAGATACACTAGAAATCAGACTCAGAAATCTAGAAGTGACCTATATATTTTGTATCAATTTCTCGATATGCAATACAGTGTTCCCAAGTTATTACGTGTGTGAATCTTAGAGTAAATGGGGATGATGCCAATTTTTTATCGCAAATTTTAAGTTTCCAATTTTTCGCCACTTTGATCGCAAGACTTACAAAACGCATGCACGCAACCAAACGACGATCTTCACAACATAATGTTGAAAAAGAGTTAGAGGCATACTAGAAGTTTTCAAAAGCGGAAGGTTAATAATTTTACAGATGAAAAGAAAACCACAAAAGCAGATAAAAAAACAACAGTAAATTAGGATCTCATACACACAGTTCATGACTTGAAACAGGTTGCTCGCAACCACACGCGAGAGGGGGGGGGGGGGGGGGTTACACTTCATGAAACAAATAAACACACTCGCGCCTTATGAAACGTGAAGAATGAGCCTGCTTCCTCATTGTGGTCACTTTCCAGCCGTTATAAGGCATAAAAATCGTCCTTCTAGTATTTGCCTCATTGCACTATCTATTTCCTCTTTCGGTATCCTTATTTTATTATGCAAGTGAACAATTCACGCGATTGTGCATTGCTCTTGACACGAGTCTACGAACTTCTAAAAGCTACGCCTTTCACAGGAAAGAGACAGAGACAACAATAAAATAAGAAATACTAAGAAAAGGACAGAATTAGAAGAGAAGCAAAAAGTTCGAAACGTCTGAAAACAAGCGTGCATGTTTATGTACATAGTTGCTTAGTTGCTCGTGCGCTATTGGCAGATAAGAGGAACCATTTGTGTATCGGAGGAGAAAATATTGAAAGTTGTCTCTATTCCCTAGAGGTGTACCTGACTATAAATATCTCTTTCCTAACTTCTCTTTCATTCCCAGCCAAAGATTTAAAAATTACAAGGTTCTACAAATTTGGCCTTTACACGACTCACATGTAGATTGCGGGTCTTAAATGTTCAACTCAAAATTATTGAACTGTAATCATCATGAGTGCAGCAGCCGGTGCAGAAGCATCCGATGTATGTATTTTCAAGCAGAAAAAGGAGATAAAGTTCAATTGATTAGCTCTGAAGGACTCCAGAATGGCTTACTAACTTTCGAATAGCCGACGGAGATGTTGCAACCTCCTCACCAGCAGAAAGTCAAGCAGAAGCCTCTTGAGGACAAGACCTTGAAAGAAGAATCTTCTGATGATGTAAACACGTCTACGGTTGATTGGACAATTAGCGAGGACTATGATATGTCGAATGTGAAGACCAAGCCTCCTCCAAGACAACCTGTCGATGCAACATTTCAAGGATGGAAAGAAGTTGGCCATTGGGAAAAAGCAGACACATTGACAGCAGAAGATGAAGTGATTGATTTGTTATCCCGTGGTTCTTTTTTAGATACGCTCTTACCTAGCGTGGCATATGGTGACTGGTACCACAATGCTGCCTACTTGATTTTAGGCGGGTTATTGTCCTGGGTTGTCGGTTGGTTCCGTTTTTCATTAGCTCCTGTGTTTTTCATCATGGTTGCTTGTGTTATTTTATACAGAAGCTCCATCAGAAAGTACAGACAGACTTTGAGGGAAGAAGCCCACAGAGAGTTCACCATTAAGTCTATTGAAACCGACTACGAGACTATTGACTGGCTTAACATCTTTTTGGAAAAGTTTTGGCACTTTTTGGAGCCTTCAATAGCCCAAATTGTGTCCGAACAAGTAAACCCAATCTTGGCCTCTTCTCCTGCTCCAGCGTTCATCAAATCATTATGGCTCGACTCTTTCACCGCAGGCACTAAGCCTCCAAGAATTGATATTGTCAAATCATTAGCCGGAACTGCGGATGATGTCGTTGTTATGGACTGGGGATGTTCGTTTACACCTAACGAGTTAGCTGACTCTAGCAACAAGCAAATGAAGAGTAACGTCAACCAAAAGGTAGTGGTAAAGGTAAAGCTATTTGGACTCACAATTCCAGTCGCCGTATCAGATGTTTCATTCAAATGTATGGTTAGAGTTAGATTGAGAATGATGACTGCTTTTCCTCACATTGAGACTGTCAATGTTTCTTTGTTGGAAGCGCCTGAATTTGACTTTAACTGCAGATTGTTGTCCCTGGCTGCGTGGGAAGTTTTAGCATTCCCTGGATTGTATCCATTTATCAACAAAATGGTGAAAAAGTATGCGGGACCGATGTTGTTTTTCCCTCTTTCGTTTCAATTAAATGTCCTGCAAATCATGGCAGGCTTCCCAATGAACTCTGCAATTGGTGTTTTACTTGTTGACCTCAAGTCCGCTCGCGGTTTGAAGAACTATGGAAAACCTAATAACACCGTCGACCCGTACTGTACCCTTGGATTTGGCAAAGAAATTTTAGCTAAAAGCAAAATCATCGAGAACAATTCAAAGCCCGTCTGGAATCAGAAATTGTACATTCCTATTTCATCTACTGCGGAGCCATTAAATATTGCAGTGTTGGATTACAATGGAAAGAAAAAAGATCATCAAATTGGCACAGTGCAGTTTGATTTGGATGTCTTGAATGAGTGCACCAAACAGGATGGCATCACTGTTCCCGTTATCCGTAACAACAAGGCAGTGGGTGAATTCAAATTTGGTTACCATTTCATGCCAACATTGATTCCTCATATGGAACCAGATGGGGCTATCGTACCACCACCTGATTTGAACACTGGTATCGTTAGAGTCGAAGTTTCTGAGGCAAGAAACTTGAAGTCTAAGGATGGAAAACCAGTCTCGACCTATGCTGAGATATTCTTGAATGGCAACAGTTACATCAAGACGAGTGTAGTGAAGAAGAACAATGCGCCTTCTTGGGGTACAGCCAAGGAAAAGATTATCGACAACCGTGCAAAAACAAAGGTTAAAGTTGTGCTCAAGACATCAGATGATAAGACATATGGCACAATCATCACTAGTTTGAATGATTTAATCGATGCATCCCAAGTTGAGGACCCATGGTTCCAATTTGCTAAAGGTGGTGAGATTAAACTTAGCACCACATGGAAATCGATCAGGTTGGAAGGCGCATCGGGTGCTGGTGGCTATACCACACCAATAGGTGTATTGAGAGTGTCTGTCAAGCGGGCGGAAGATTTAATCAATTTGGAGTCTATCGGTAAAGTTGACCCATACACTCGTATTTTGCTCAACGGCATCCAAAAAGCTAGAACTACTCCACAGGACTCGACATTGAACCCAACATGGAATGAAATTTATTACGTGCCCGTGTCTTCGCCAAACCAAAAACTTACCTTGGAAGTCATGGATGTGGAAAACCTTCATGCAGACCGTACTTTAGGTTCAGTTGACGTGAATTTACGCGACCTCATCAATAAAGACGAGAAGGGTAAATACATTGAGTCTGTTGATGATTCGGAAAGAGCCTCTAAGTTGATTTACAAAAAAGAGCCCAAAGGTTCCATTACGTACTCTTTGTCCTTCTATCCTGCGCTACCAGTGATGTCACACGAGGAGATTCAAGAAGAGGAAGAAGAGAAGAGAAAGCAAGAGAAGGAAAAGAAAGAGAAGCTGACCAAAGACGACCCTTCGAAAAATGATAAGGCGAGTGAGAAGAAGAAGGAAAGCAAGAAGAGTGATGAAGAGGATGACGAAGAGGAAAAAGAACATTCTAATAAGCTCAGATTGGACTTGGATGAATTGTTAACTTACACTAGTGGTGTGTTGGCTATCGAAGTTCTCGAAATCGAGTCTTCCAAGACTGATTGCTTCTTACAAATCTTTGCAGACAACCACGGTCTTCCCGATTACGTCACTCCGAAGTTGAAACAGAAGTCCACCAAGATTAGGGCGACTGGAGATATGACAATTAAGGAATTGGAATGGTCGAAGGTCAACTTTAGGCTCGCAAAGAAGGAGGAGCACAACAGAGCTGAGAAACCTCTCAGTGAAGTGACGCTTCCAGTCATGCAACTTTTGAAGAATGGCTATAACTCTCCAACCACCATTGAATTGAGTGGTGCTACCGAGGCTTCGGTCAAGTTTCAGGCGTCTTGGATCCCAATTTTGTACAAGAATGGAATTCCAGCGCTGGACAGCAAGGACAACTGCGGTCACTTGAAAGTAATCGTTGTTGGTGCTGATGATATTCCGGCTGGAGACAGCAATGGAAAGTCAGATCCTTATGTCAAGTTATTCTTGAACACCGATAAGGAGAGCTTTTTCAGAACCAAGAAGGTAAAGAAGACTTTGAACCCTGTTTGGAACGAGGAGACGTCTGTTCCTGTGATAAACAAGTATGACTCTACTATCAAGGTTGAATGTTATGACTGGGATGTTGGTTTGGAACAAGACGACTTCTTGTGTTCTGGAACAGCTAAACTTTCCGACGTTACTACAGAGGGCGAGACTGAGATTGATGTGGAATTATTTGACGATAAGATTGAAAAGGCAGGTGTTGCACATTTGAAATTGTCGTTCAAACCAGATTTCATTCTCAACGTCCGTCCCGAAAGTTCTACTCGTATTGGTGACGCTTTTGGCGCTGTGGGTACCGGTGTAGGGGCTGGAGTGGGTGCTGTCGGAAGCGTTGGAAAGGGCGTCACTAAAGGCCTTGGAAAAGGCGTTGAAAGTGTCGGAAAGGGTCTTAGAAAGGGTCTACACTTGGGCCGGTCCAAAGACGATTAGTTTTACTCAAGTAAAGTTTGTTTTCAATTGATTTAAAATTAAAAAGTGCCTAAAATGTAAGAAGTGTATTTTTGTGAGCACTTGTTGCTCATTATGCAATTATGTATAGTGTGATGACTAGAACACATCACCCAACTTCAAACGTGGCGCGATGTTCATGGACAAAAGTTCCTGGAATAATAACTTTGCTGCGTATGGAATGGTCATCTTAATTACATGCTCAGAGCTCTTACATGTGCTGCACCATGAGCTGTAACCCATTAATCCACAATTGTTGCACACATCTACCTCAAAGGCATCTGAGGATATCATCAACCTTTCAAGCAATAACTGAGAAGCACCGTAAGCGATAACACAATCTCTCTCCATCTCACCCAATCTCAAACCACCATCTCTGGATCTACCTTCGGTAGGCTGTCTTGTCAAAACAGCTCTTGGACCTCTGGATCTCGCATGCATTTTATCCAAAACCATGTGTTTCAACTTTTGGTAGTAAATTGGACCAAAGAAGATGTAGGCTTGCAAACACTCACCTGTGATTCCAGAGTACAACATATCTTTTCCGGAATAGTTGAATCCCTTGTCTACTAAAATCTTGGACATGTCTTCCAACTTGGAGCCACCAAAGCAAGTACCGTATTCTAGTGTTCCATTCAAAACACCAGCTTTACCAGAGATCAACTCTATCATCTTACCGACAGTCATACGGGATGGGAAACCATGGGGGTTCATGATGATGTCAGGCGAAATACCCATATCATTGAACGGCATATCTTCGTGCTGGACGATTATACCACAGACACCTTTCTGTCCATGACGAGACGAAAACTTGTCACCTAATTCTGGTCTTCTAGTCTGTCTTAAAAGAACCTTGATTAATGCCTGATCATTGTCACTAACAGACATCATTACTTGATCCACATAAGAAGGTTCTGGACCCCTGTAGTAGGCAGGCGTTTCCCTGTGAGATTCAGCAGACTGTGGTTGATTGTGATCTCCCAACACTGATTCACCCGCATTTGTTGGCACTTGTTTGTTCGCATACACTTGGCCATTTTCAATCCGCATGCCGACTTCACCCAATCCATCAGGACCCAATGCGTTGTGAGCAAAGATAGGGTCACCGTTTTCATCCACACGCATACCAGCAACGATATCTTTGGTGTGGTTAGGATATCTTTTCAAGACGATGGTGTTTTTACGCACCACCTGGCATCTTCCGAAACCTCTATCGATAGATGACTTATTTAAGACCAAAGCATCTTCAATATCATAACCAGAGTAAGACATCACCGCCACAGTAGCGTTTTGACCAGCCGGAAGCTTATCATATTCAATCAATTCAATAGTCTTCGACTTCACCATTGGCTGTTGTGGATAAACCATAAAGTACAACAAAGTGTCAATCCTTCTAAATTGATTGTACGCGATAGCACCAATTGCTTGCTTACCCATAGCACATTGATATGTGTTTCTAGGAGATTGGTTGTGATGTGGGTATGGAATCAAGCCCGCAACAGCACCGAGGACTGTGAATGGTTCAATCTCCAAATGTGTGAAACGGAGATGTGGATTCTCAGCCATATCTTTCTCATATAAGGCAATCAACGAGTCATTTTCTTCATTCACATCCAAATACTCAACAAGACCATACTTCAAGAAATCGTCGAATACCCAGTCTCCACTCAATAACTTTTTCAAGTGATGCGCTTCAACACGGGGTTGTCCTGTGACTTCATCCACAATAATCAAGGGCCGACACACACGACCACCATCCGTGGCAATATGAACTGCTGCTTGGTGAGAGTTTGTAAAAATGGAAATAAACTCTGACACTTTCCCTGACCTTCTCAAACGACGGAAATCCTTAACGAACTTCACTGGAAATCTGGTTGTACCAACCATAGTACCATTGAGAAAAACGCCGTAGTTGCCCTCCGTATAAATGGTAGCAGAGTCAATGCTATAAATATCCTCACAGCCCAAAATGAAACATAAGCGCTTGATTGGTTCTTCTTCATCATCAGTTGTGATGTGTGTCATCAACGCCAAGTTTTTCACCAAACCACAGGCTTCACCTTCTGGTGTATCCGATGTACACAACATCCCAAATTGGGAAGGCTGCAAAGCTCTGGGTCCAGAAACTTTACGAGACTTTTCAAACTGAGAGGAGATACGAGTCATCATACCCAATGCAGAAATGTATGATAAACGTGATAAAACGTGAGTGACTCCAGCTCTCTCCATCTTGAAACGTTTCAAAGACCAATTACCTGTGGAGATAGCACGATTCATTCCCATTGTGATGTTGTTAGAGTGAATGTTGATCGACAACAAAGCGTCAAATTCCGAGGTTCGGCTCGGCTTCTTCAATATCTTATCAATATTGGCCTTGAAGTCTGTGTTGAACTTTTTGAACAAATCCTCGAAAAGCAAAGACATTAATTGACCAGCTAATTCCAAACGCTTATTACCAACGTAATCTCTATCGTCAACCATAGATGGATTGTGCATAGTCATTAACACCTTTCTGGCCATGATAGCAATGTACAAGGCTTTTTCACGAAAGTTTAAGTCAGACACTGTCAAATGGGCGATAACTGTTGTGGCAATGGCTTCAATACCCTCTTGAAGTTGCGATAACTTAGGAGCACCAGCCCGACGAACTGTTTTCACTCTCTTACCGATATAAAGAAGAGCTTGTTGTTGAGTAAAAATTTCGAGTTTTGCGGCTTCTTCAAAGTTTATAGCGAATAAATCTTGGTATTGCGAGTTAGCACCACAAACAAGCTGTAGTATTTCCATGTCCGAAACGATACCAGCAGCTTTCAAAACAACCACAATTGGAACATCTTCAGCAATGGAATTGTGCTTCAAATAAATTTTTTCGTTCTTGGAGATCACGTATGTTTTCGACTTACGTTCGTGGGTCGAAGACGTGACAGAAGCTTGAACAATGGCTTTCTTTTCATCAGCTTCGACAATGATTCTGTTCTTCGAAAGTTGCTCTTGAATCAAGATAACCTTTTCCGTACCATTGACAATGAAGTATCCACCTGGGTCGATTGGACACTCCTCGAAAACCGCCATTTGATGTTCATCAATCCCATCCAAAACACACTTATTTGAACGCAACATGATTGGCATGCGCCCTATCTCCAAGTCTTTGTGCATAATGATTTTTCTGCCTCTTGTGTACTCAACGTCAACATAGATTGGAGCTGAGTATGTTAAGTCACGCAAACGACATTCATGGGGCGCCATTATAACTTCTTTAGTTCCTGGAGCCAGAGAGGACTTATGTCCCACTCTGATATCTAAGTATTTGAGATAGAATTGCGGATCCACATCAGATAGCACAAGTTCATTAGCACGAATGATCTTTTTCAAGTCAACATCCACAAAATAGTTGAAGGAATCCAAGTGTTGTTTCACCAAGCCTTTAACTTTCAAGAAAGCAGGTAAAAGATTCCACTTGTCCTTCGCAGTGCTTATAGGATCGGTGAGTTTTTTACCTTTGTATTCATCCTGTAAAAGCGGCAGGAAAGCATCATCCATCTGGATATCCAGATCTTCCGATGCCTTTCTTTTTACCATCGCGATCAAGTTTGTATTACTAATTGAAGATCTAAGATGAGTTTAGTTTTTTTCTGCCGATCGCGATGTACGGGTGCGCACATTGCTCACAAACGTCGTTACACACTCTTCTGCAGCTATAAATGAGAAGCAAAGTTCGCTTCTATTAATGACATTGAAAGCTAGAAAATATGAAAGCGACATGAAGTCATACTCATAAGTAATAAAATTAGATGATTTATTACCCTCTAGATCATTCCACAAACAAGAAGCTCGTGTGGCGCAGTGGTAGCGCAGCAGATTGCAAATCTGTTGGTCCTTAGTTCGAACCTGAGCACGAGCTTCTTTTTTTCCTATTTCCCCGTAACGATGCAAAGGTCCTCGAATCTTTTGATAAAACTGCGAAACGAACTGTGATGTGAACGTGCATGCTTGACGGCATGTGGGGTTGCCACCATAAACGGACATGTAATGAGGTACTGCACATTTAGTGCCATAAAGAGACTTGCTTAGAATGATGAGGTAGAGCTTTCAACTTGAAATCATGACGACAGTTGTTTATGAAATTAATGGGAGCAATCCGTTCCAAATCGGAAGACTCCGAAAGACTTTGGATGAACTAAATAGGGAACTAGATATATCTTCATCGGAACTAGAATTGTCCATGAAAGCGATTGAGAATTCGCTACCAGCATCTCTAACTGTGAACCAACTTTTGGAGCTTGTTGCTGAGACCCTAGCACAGCGAGTCGTTCAAAATCCGGATTTTGCTCTTCTTGCTGGGCGTGTTGAGGCCTATCGAGTACAAAGGCTTGTCGTAAGTCCTTTTTCCACCAATTTTTCGAGGCTAGAAAATGGTTCCAAAACTGAAAGCAAAATCAAAATGGATCTCGGTTTGGTCTCGAAAGATGCTGCCGAATTTGTGGCTAGAAACTCCGATTACCTAGATAAATTGGTCCGACCAGAAAGAGACATGAATTTTACATACTTTGGGATGAGGACCTTATGCAAATCTTACTTTTTGCAAATTGACAACGTCGTTGCCGAAACACCGCAATACCTATTTTTAAGAGTGGCTATTGGCCTTCACGGTAAATTGGATGACAAAAACGCACTCCAACGAGTGAGTGAAATCTACGATTTAATGTCTGAAAAATATCTCATATTTTCATCTCCCACTTTGTTTAGTGCTGGAACGAATAATAATTTCTTATCGCTGTGTTTCTTGATGGGAATAAAAGAAGATTCCATTGATGGGATCTTCAAAACGTTACATTCAGCAGCTTTAATTCTGAAAGGCTCCGGTGGTTTGGGAATTCATGTTCACAATATAAGAAGTAATGGATCTGCTATACTGTCATCTAATGGCACCTCAAACGGATTAGTTCCGATGTTGAAAGTCTTCAATAACACTGCAAGATATGTCGATCAGGGAGGAAACAAACGACCGGGCGCATTTGCTATTTACATCGAGCCTTGGCACGGGGACATCATGGAAGTGCTTGAACTTCGAAAGAATCATGGCCCTGATGAATTGAGAGCGAGAGACTTGTTCTTTGCCTTGTGGATCCCAGATTTATTCATGAAGCGGGTGAAAAATAACGGAAAGTGGAGTTTATTTTCCCCAAGTAAAGCTCCTGGTTTAAGCGACGTCTATGGAGAGGAATTCGAGAGTCTTTATCAAAAATATGAGGAAGAAGATCTTGCTTGCACAACCATTGAAGCAAGAAAATTGTGGATGCATATTCTTCAGGCGCAAACAGAGACTGGAATGCCATTTATGCTTTATAAAGACGCATGTAATCGGAAACTGAATCAAATGAATTTAGGGACTATAAAGTCATCTAATCTTTGTTGCGAAATCGTTGAATATTCATCCCCAGAAGAAACTGCTGTATGCAACTTGGCACTGCTCGGACTTCCCACATTTGTAACTGCAAATGAAAATGGTAACGTCGCCTTTGACTTCAAGAAACTCCACAAAGTTACAAAAATACTTGCTCGCAGTCTTGATAGAGTTATTGATGTAACGAAGTATCCCATTAAGAGTGCAAAAGTATCCAATTTGAAACATCGTCCTATTGCGATTGGTGTTCAAGGGCTAGCTGATACTTTTTTAGAACTTCGATTACCCTTTGACAGTGCTGAAGCAGCAACCCTTAATAGCCAGATTTTTGAAACTATTTACCATGCAGCCATTGAAAGCTCTATGGAGTTATCCAAAGAGAAGGGTTACTATGAAAGTTTCGAAGGATCACCAGCATCAAAGGGTAAACTCCAATTTGATTTGTGGAATTATAAACCGGATTTTTTTGATGATTGGGATGAGCTTAAGGAACAAGTAAAGAAGTACGGCTTAAGAAACTCTTTACTTGTTGCTGCAATGCCCACGGCCTCTACATCACAAATTTTAGGATTTAATGAGTGTTTTGAGCCTTTTACATCGAACATTTACAATCGCAGGGTCCTTTCAGGTGAATTTCAGGTAGTCAACAAGTATCTTGTTAAGGACTTGAGAGCTCTTGGAATTTGGAACAAGGCTGTCAAAGATATGATTATTATGAATAATGGGCTGGTCCAAAATATCGATATCATACCTCAAAAGCTTAAAAAGCTCTACAAAACAGTGTGGGAAATTAGTCAAAAGCATATCGTTCGACTAGCTGCTGAGAGAGGAAGATTCATAGACCAACTGCAAAGTATGAATATTCATTTGATGAATCCAACTTTCGGAACACTAACTTCTTGCCATTTCTTTGCTTGGGAGCAAGGACTAAAGACGGGGATGTATTATTTGAGGACACAGGCGGCAGCAAGAGCTATTCAGTTCACTGTTGATAAACAAGAGATAGAGGCGAAATTGAAACTGATGGTGGTACCAGAAGTCTCGACCCTTCCCAAACGAAGGTATATTTCAAGGGAAAGATTTTCTAAGCATCAATTAAGCTCTGAACAAAATAGCAGAAAACGTCTCAAGAAAGCATTGATTACACCTTCACCTGCGGACAGTGAAGGTTGGGATCTGGTTGGAGAATCACAAGTTGTAAAAGAGACCGAAAGCTTTTCTCTGGCTACATTCGAAGCCAAGCAAAACATTGACGATGACTACAATATTCATGATAGTACTCCTTTATCTTGCAATATATCTGACATCGAGGGATGTGACGCGTGCTCTGGTTAAATGTTGGGAGTATATAATGCTAATAGTAATCACTTACAATCACCGAAATTTACGACTAGCGAAGTCGGCCACCTGGTGCATTCCTTCTGCTGTAACGAAAAAGCGCAATTTTGTCTTATCTGACCAAAGAAGCACACCAACTTCTGTAGCATAATTGCATAAAACATCATACTCATTCTGATTTTTGAAGTCCTTAAAAAGATACCCCTCAAATGTCTGAATTCGGTCTAACTCCAACTGCCAAAGTTTTATTTGATCTACCACATTTGGGGGAAGGATTTCCAAACGATGCTGAGCGACACCGGAGTCAGAAGACTTGGATTGTGGTGCTCCACCGGCTGTGTTTATATTATGGCTGGCATCAAATTCAATTTTCTTATCCAATTTCTCCTTTGCAGAAGTTCTCATCTGGGAATGGGCATGAGTCTCGAGAAACTTGATTATCTGGTCTGCAGTGATTCCATTATAAAGTGCTTTCCTGATAGACTCTCTTGTAATTTGACCAATAACCATATTGGCGAAACGTACTTTCAAATTCACAAACAAATTTAATATAGCAATCTCTAGAGGTGAGTTTGTATATGCATAAAGCTTGAAGTTCGTTTCCAAAATAATCTGACCCAGCTGAGATTCACCAGCCTCTGAGGTGACATGTTCCTGGTCCTTCGCTCCAGGGTCTTCCAAGGTTTGATTTAAAGCCATCGACGGAGTTTTCAATCCCGTGGACTCTGAAGTTAACGTAGTGGCCAATCTCGTTGGGAAGAATCTCGTAGAATTTTCCGATCGTTGATAGACGAGCCCATAGTCTCTTAGATCTGGCAACATACTAAGTTGAGTATCACTTAAACTAGAGACCGCATATGCTTTGCCTAACTCTAGCGATCCTAGGATGAAAATGAAATTCAAGACATCGACGGGATCCATATTTAATTCTTGCGTCAAATTAAGGTACTCCAACAATAGAGTCCATATCTGTACGTTGACATCCTGCAACAAGAACTGAAAGCCACTGTTCGTAATCTTGAGACTATACGCGCTCGTACCATGCCCTTCCATGAGGCCCCCCAGTTTCAAAAGCGAGAGTACAGACTTGGAAGGCACAGTCGGGAGTTCCGTTCCCACCATAAAATGCAAAATTGTTTCCCACTTCTGCGATGCAAATTGATCGAGGAACTTCACATCTATTGGATGCTTGTCCGAGCCAGGTACAATTATACCGAATGCATTGGGGGCCTGTGAACCTGTCAAACAGTCTCTGAAGTTGTTTCTGAAAGTTTGATGTAGGCGAACATGAGTTCCGCTCTGGTCTTCCTCTATCAAATGCAAAGCGCGGAGACGCTTGAAAGACTCATACTGAAGTTTGCGAGCTTGAGGTTGGCACCATTTTTCTAGATCTTTAACGGCAACAGGCTTGTCTGTGAAAACCATACTCACAATGTAAAATTTAGCGAGAGGGGGAAGTAAACGAAAAATCGACAAACATGTTGCTGGTGCATCATATAATTTAGATTGAATCACCTTAGGAAGCCCTTCCAAATGCTCATTGACGGTGAGTTTAAACAGATTAGCTGACATGACACACCAGTACTATACGATGGATGTGCACAACTGTAGATAGTAAGACGATCTGAATAATACATGCAGGTCGGAACCTACTAAGAACTGAAAAGGAAGAGCAACGTGAAAGTGAATAAGATAAGATATTAGTCCGGAATTGAAATTTAGCCCCCTTGTACCTGTGGTTTCTAAGTCCACTGCCCATGGGAAAAAGTTTGATGCAAGGAGTCATACTAAGTTAAAATTGTACACGGTGACCCAGGCTATAACTCTAAATGTATGGTAATCTATGCTAACGCTTGAAACATAGACAAGAAAAGATAGAGGCAAAAAAAAAGGCCCCTATAAAAATGAAACCACTCGACGTCACAACAGGCCACAATTTGTGTTTGAAGAAGTACCATCTCCATTCCGCACCTACCACATCGGAATACCCGGCCAGAATCGAGAATGCGATCCAGAAATTCCGGTTATGGATAGGTGCAGGCTTTAGGAGAGGAATGATTGAGAGAACCTAGTCACTACGGAAAACTAAAGGCAGACGAGGCCCCTCTGTACTGACACAAGTTCGGAGATAAAAAAAAAAAGAAAAGAACTTAGATGGAGATGCGCAAAAAGACAGAAGCTTGTACCAGTATTGGGCTAAACTGTCTGTCCTGCATTTCGGTAAAAGATGGAAGGACGTTTTGAGAGTATAGTATGAACGAATGCTTTCACCGAAGAATTCAACCTGTGAACACCATAGATTGTTACCGAATATAATTTTGTTTCCAACAATCTCATCACAATACAACAGCATATGTCGCGGTTCAAATTTATATCTGAGACACCCGAGACCAGCGTCTGTATTTTCTATGGTGCATTCCCCTCAATCTTTTAGCCCGTACCACTTTTTCTCTATTATATGAAGGAAAAGTCAATCAACAGGCCAGAAACACCAAACTCACACATAACCACTAGAGGCGGACAAAATTCGTACCTTGCAAGAAACAGAAATAAAACAACATTTCAAGGGAAATAATTTGGCCCCGCTGCAACAAGCAAATAAAATTTGATGATGCAGACTAATTAACAATTTAGATTGAGCGGGGCGGCCCAGAGCAAGTCCAAGATGCACTACTGCACATTTTTTCTCTTCTTTTCCTGCAGAAAGACACATACCAACCCGCCCGCGTCGCGCAACTCTAGCATCAGCCTCGCAGTTGCTTCTTTGTATCAATATAAAGCAGCGCCTTCCCCCAAAAAAATGCTAGGGCTATTTGCTATTTCCAAACAGTTCTTATCTTTTAATACGACCTAATTTGACGGTATCAGCCTTATACACCACCTCCTTGGGTTTACCTGTGTGATGATCGTTACTCCCGTATCTGAAGTAGAGGGAGAATTCTTCAAGACTTGGCTGCCCTCCATGAAATCTACCAGCAGCAACAGCTGCAACAGCAAAAACCACATTGATACCAGAGACATAAATCTGTTTTATCCGTCTCCTGTCGAGGACTCGGAGGCTTTCATTCCAAACAATCAACCATACTCGTTCCTTCTCGTTGATGATAATGAAATTAATCTCCGGATATTTCGGAGAATGCTCTTGAAGCTTTTTCCGAACGCATCAGTGCGCACAGTACAAGAGTCGGCACTGGTGGAAATAAGCCATCGTACGCTACTGCATTATCACCTTATCTTCTTGGACATCGAAATGCCCATTGTGACTGGAACGGAGATTGCACTGAAAGTACGGTCGTCGCGCGAGTTGGATCAAGTGGGCTTGATTGCCGTAACGACCAAGTATCTCTGTGCAGATTTAGAACTCTACGAAAAGTTGGGGTTTGATTTTACTTTTCGCAAGCCTGTGGAGTACCCTACGAACTATATTCTCCAGAAAATAGAGCAAGTGCTTCAAACAAGATGCGGCGGTCGCGTCTAACGGCTGGTATGTTAGGTAAAATGGGTTGGATAATTCGGGTTATAGATTGGGAAATGTATGGATATACGATTTAAAGTTTACATTTTAGAAGACATTCTATTAGAGCTTGTAAGAGTTGAGAATTGGTGTTGGTCGGAACGGAATCTTATGCGCGCGCGCTTCTAGTGCATTTCGGATGCATGACATCGGACGTGTGCCTAGACCTGCTTCTGGGCTTGGAAAAGAGGCGCCTTGAAAAAAGTCCGCCATACATGCTAAAAGTTGCCCGAAATGTAAAACTTGGGAACAATTAACACTCCGAATTGGGACATGAGTGCATGCATATTTGGCGCCACCCCCCTCGCCAAAGAGAGGGTCTAGTTCAAATCTACAAATTGTTATTTGCTGGCCGGATGTAATATCCGTGGCTAACACTTTGTAGAAAGATTGATAAGACAGAAACATTATTGTATTCGTTTTTATGTTGACAGTATTGTAACATAAACTTCGGTTTCATGTGTTTTTAATTTGTGCCATTATCTTTAGCTTTGATTTCCTTGTTTGGCAGATTTCAATACACACCCAATATGCGCTGTATCGGAACAATACAAATAATCCGTAAAACTCACATTGTCTCCTTCATATGAGGACAATTTGATTAGTCGAAGATGTACCTAGTTTCATGCTTACTTTCGTTTCATATGTAAACAAAGGGTTGCAAATGCCCTTTCAAGCATTCTTTAAGCCTCGTTCACTTTTTAGCAAGAGCACTCATCATCTGAATACACTGATCAATATTCTCTCCACGAGGTGCGCACACTGGAATACATTTCCAGGCGGCATCGTGGCTTTTAACGTACTCGACGAGTTTCTTGTAAGAGTTCCCATTCTCAACCAAATCTGCCTTTGTTCCAATGACCATAACGTTTTTACCCTTCATTCTTTTAGTCCCGATCTCGTTCATCAACGTTTGCAAATCAAGAGCTGGATTTTCCGACTCCAACGACACCACAAAAACTAAGCCTCCGCTCCGTTCAATATGCCTCAAAAAATCCATGCCCATTCCTCGGTTCTCTGAGGCGCCCTTGATGATTCCTGGAATGTCGGCCACGGTAAAAGGATCCTTGTCTATTGTCGTAAATATAGTTCCGATTGTAGGCTGAAGTGTAGTGAACTCCCAATGACCGACTCTGGGCCTAGCTTTAGATATGGCTCTCAACAAACTCAGTTTCCCTGCATTGGGCAAACCCACAAGACCCAAATCGGCAATGAGCTTCAACTCGAGAATGAAGTATTCACATAACCCTTGGCGGCCCTTCTTACTAAATCGCGGGTTCCGCACATTCGTCGTAAGAAAATGCATATTTCCCATTCCACCTTTGCCTCCTCTTAAAATTAATACAGGCTTCTCAGTAGGTTTGTTAAAGTCTAAGCCTAGAACAGGAAATTGGTCGAAAGTCAATTCCTCGGCAATGATTTCGCGGTCGTAGTCTTTTACTTGTTCATTGAGTTCAGCAAAATAATCCCTTTCCCTGTGGTACTCTTCATCCTTTTCTTTGAATATCCAACCTTCACCGGGTTCATAGTCGCCACGGAAAAGTTGTATGTCACTGGCCTCAGTCATCTTCACGCCCATTTTGATTTTGGAGATATCACCTCCAGATTCACGCAATTGGTCTTTCACCAAGAGAGGATCCGGGATCCATCTCATGGTGGTTCCAACAGGAATCTCTAGAATAATATCTTCACCACTTTTACCGTCGAGTTGACTGGAAGTTCCCGGCCTTCCATTCCCTGCATTATAACTTCTCTTTATTTTGTGCAACAGACTGACATTGTTCACAACTTGTACATAGATATTGCCACCATCACCACCATCACCACCATCTGGTGGTCCAATCGGACGATTTGCATCTCTCAAAAATGAAACACACCCGTTTCCACCATTTCCAGTATGAAGGCGAAGAAGTCTCAAATCAACAAAAGTTCGTTGCTCAACTTTTTGGCCCTGCTTGTAGTTGTGATGATTTCCACTGAAAATCTTATGTGAATGGTGGGAATCTCCCAAGAAGTAATTATCCATGGGGATTTCACAGTCTCGCAATCACAAGATCGTCGGTAGATTTGACAGTGTACTCTAGGTTCTTGTATGCTGCGTTCGATTGCAACTGTGAATTTTGATCTCCAAACAAGGAAACTGGACTTTGGAATATTGAGCAAATGGGAATCTATTACTGGTACATCTTCAAGTGATGGCCTCATTGACCCTTCTAGTAATCTGTGAAAAAAGACCGATATTTCGCAAATCGTTGGAATCGAAGCATGGTCAACTTTAGCAAATGGTGTCTGGAAAAGTAGCTGGATAGTGATACCGCACACGTGACCACAACGTGAACATTTCTATGTCTGAGTATAGAAGAAAAAGAACACCAAAGAAATAAAGATAGAAGTGCAACCGACCTTCTATATGAGATAGACTTTTCTAATTCATAGAAATTCAGTCAACTCTTCGTAGACATTCTTCCATAACACATAGAAGACAAATGAGGATGTACGGGTGTGGTACTATCTTCAGATGAGCATCGCGGAAAAGGCTGCAGAATCATAATCCGTTAAACCTAAAATGACGTTTCTGGAACTAGGCGTTGCCAAGTGGCTTGATGAGTCGCTAGCGGCAATGAAAATAAATTCGCCGACTCTGATTCAAAAAGCATGTATACCCGAGATTTTGAAAGGGAAAGACTGTATTGGTGGTGCAAAGACAGGTTCTGGTAAAACCATTGCTTTTGCTGCTCCTATGCTTACCAAATGGTCTGAAGACCCTATGGGAATCTACGGACTTGTTTTGACGCCAACAAGAGAGTTGGCGATGCAGATTGCCGAGCAATTTGCTGCTCTCGGTGCCCAACATGAACATCAGGCTCAGTGTTATAGTGGGAGGTGAAGATATCGTGAAGCAGGCATTAGAACTACAGAAAAGACCACATTTTGTCGTTGCAACACCAGGCCGGTTGGCAGACCATATTTTGAACAGTGGAGAAGAAACCATTAAGGGCCTTCGAAGCGTTAAGTACTTGGTTCTAGATGAAGCCGACCGTGTGCTCAGCAATTCCTTCAGCAAAGATTTGCAGAGATGCTTGAGTGTTTTACCTGATGCTTCCAAAAGACAAACACTTTTGTTCACTGCCACGGTCACTGACGCTGTAAGGTCGTTGAAGAACAAGCCTACACCAGAGGGGAAATTACCGGTGTTTATGCATGAAGTGGAAACTGTGGATAAAGTTGCCATCCCATCTACTTTACTGCTCTACTATGTGTTTGTACCATCGTATGTGAAGGAAGCTTATTTGCATACTATTCTTTCGCTTGAGAAGTATGCCACCGTGAATGTCATTATCTTCGTCAACAGAACGAGGACAGCAGAGCTTTTACGAAGAACATTAAGAAAATTGGATTTCAGAGTAGCATCTTTGCATTCTGAGATGCCTCAGCTGGAAAGAACTAGTTCTTTGCACCGTTTCAAAGCGCAAGCCGCACGTATCTTGATTGCAACCGATGTTGCATCGAGAGGTTTAGATATTCCAACCGTCGAACTTGTCATTAACTACGATCTTCCAGCTGATCCCGATGATTTCATCCATAGAGTCGGTAGAACTGCTAGAGCTGGAAGAAAGGGTGACTCTGTCAGCATTGTTGCAGAGAGAGACGTCGAAAGAGTTCATGCCATTGAGGAAAGAGCAAACAAAAAGATGGAGTTGCTAGAAGAGGTTGATGATGATAAAGTCGTGGGTACCTCTCTAACTAAGATGACCACTGCTAAGAGAGAGGCTATGATGGACATGGATAAGGAGAATTTTGGCGAAAAGAGGCAGATCAACAAGAGAAAGCGCGAGCAAGCTGAGAAGAGCAAAACAAAGAAGAAGAATAAGACTTAAGTTAGTGTACATACATCAAGAAGCAAATATAGATTATGCGGGCAATACACGCGCAAGTCAAGGTAGAAGGTATTATTTCCTTTGAGTGAGTCTCTCCACAACCAAAGAAATATTGATCCCAATAAGAGTCATAACCGCTGCACTCACACAAACCACCATCAGCATATTGTTTGTTGATCTAGTATGTATACGCTTCTGCGAGTACTTTCTGACTGTGCGAAAGTAGTTCCAACCACTGACTATAAGAGTCCCAAAGGCAAGAACCACTAATATAAACGAAACGACACTGTTAAAGGTAGTATCGTCAAAATGGCCCGAGCCACTATCTCCGTCCCCGCTAGAGGTGTCGAGGCGGAAATTCAAAATCATCCCTATGGCAGTGAAGTTGAGCGACGTAGCAAAGCGCACGAACGACAAAAGAGTTCTTTCGCTTTGAAGCACATCACGGGGTTCACTCAGGGAAACCGGTAGGATATGAAATCTGGGGAACCATCTAGGCTGAGAGGTGGCAGGTTCATCCACAGGGTCGAATGGTTCAGGAGAAAAACTTCGAACCTGCTCGAAGCTTGATATGGAAGAATCAGAGGGAATTGATCGCGATTCGTCGTCCTCAGTTATTGTATCAGAAAAAGGATTGTGTAATCGTTGTGTCCGTTCGGGATCCATAAGGCATTAAGGATATCAGTAGAAGTTGTAGAAGCCGCGCATAAGAAGAGACGCCACACCTGAGATAATATTTCATGGAACAGTGGTTATTATACTTGCTCTTGATGGACTCTGCAATTTGAATTTTCGATAACCCCCTTTCCTAATCATAGCCTACGGACACGCATACATGGAATCTGTAAGCTTCCAGTCGAGACACTACGTTCGATACATGCCATAAGTAGGAGCGCTAGTAATGGCAAAAGAGAATGAATGAAAGCAAGAAGCCAGACTCAAGGTTCTATCAGTTTTATTAAATTCATCATGCGATGCAAGCCAAACTCAAATAGTAAACTGAATATTACAGTTTTCATCCTACTTCCACATGTCGTTACAGTAATGTATAAGGTATTATCAATCCGGTTTTAGTGCGCACTTGTACTGTACGCGAAACAGATTGTGTTAGGTGCAAGGAACAAAAGAAAAAAAATAATAACTGATAATAATAACAGAACCTATACGCTGTTCGTTCCTCAACACACAACATGATGAAAGCCCGTGCACAGGTGTGTTCCTCATGTGGACAAAGCAATTTTGTGCGAGATCATCTGGCAAGTTCTGGAGAGTTAACATGTCAGAACTGTGGTACAGTTGCGAACGAAAACCACCATCGTGTCGGAAGTCCAGTTTGGCGAGTCGGCCAGTGGTGCTGCCATGGTCCAAGGTGCCATGGTTGGCGCTGATCAGGCAAGAGCAAATTTCAATATGCGGAACTCGATGGAAAGTCGAGAACAGACGTTGTTAAATGCGAAGAGCAAAATCAAGAAAATCGCTATGGCCATGCGGATCCCCGATTATATTGTCGAGTCAGCAAGCGGGTGGTTTAAACTTGCGTTGGTGCAAAATTTTGTTCAAGGTAGAAGATCCCAGAATGTTATCGCTGCTTGCTTGTACGTTGCATGTCGTCACGAGAAGACACATCATCTCTTAATTGATTTCAGTTCGCGACTCCAAATCTCGGTCTACTCGCTTGGTTCTACATATTTGAAGCTAGTACGTGCCCTTCAAATTCAGCGGTTGCCGATTGCCGACCCATCTTTGTTCATCCAGCATTTTGCTGACCAGCTTAAGTTTGGGCGATAAGACCGCAAAAGTGTGCAAGGATGCAACCAAACTTGCCCATAGAATGTCTTCTGACTGGATCCATGAAGGTAGAAGACCAGCAGGTATAGCCGGTGCATGTGTTTTGTTGGCTGCAAGAATGAATCATATCAACAGAACCCATGCAGAAATTGTTGCAGTGGCGCGTGTGGGAGAGGAGACGATTCAGAAAAGACTTAACGAATTCAAGAACACCACTTCTGCAAACCTTACAATCAGCGAGTTTAGAGACTCTCAGAACTCCAATGACTCATTACCACCTTCATACAAAAAGAATAGGGCAATCGAGAAGAAGGTCCACTTGATTCTAAAAGAAAGGGAAATGGCGTTACGGAGATTTCAGCAGCTTGCAAAGGGGAAGCAGCTAATCAGCACATTGGGGATTGAGTTGGGTGAGAGGATACACAAGGATGGAAGACGGGAACTGAAAGATGCCGATCATACAAGTGAGACACATGACGATGATGCAAACGAAGGCTCGCTGGCTTCTTTAACAGGAACTAATAAACACAAGCAAAATACTAGAACAGCTTCTGACACCAACGAAGAGGATGCTTCAACTGAACTTGAAGGTTCAAAAAAACAAACACAAATCATTATTTCTTCAACCCAGATAGAAGATGAAAGAAGACGAGGACGAAGAAGACGAAGGAAGATGGCAAAAGGAAGAGGACGATGATGAAAGATGAAGATGAAGACGAAAGACGAAAGATGCGTTTGAGGCTTTAACGAACTTCCAGAAAATGATGATCCAGTTAATGATAAAAGACTACGAACAACGATCCGTAACAATCTTGAACAAGAGCATCGCATTCCGTGAACGGAGGCTTCGAGAAACAAGTATAGAAGCGAACAAGTCAAGAAAGCGTTCTCGCAGGTTGGACAATATGAGCACGACTTATTCAAGTAGTGCTCGGGAAGGTGGCGTGTCTAAAGGAGTTCAAATGTTAGAAGAACTAAAAGCACGCGAAAGAATAGAGAGGCACAGATGCCCTCTTGAAGTCTGTTTTGGATGGTGGCTCGTTTGATGATGATGAATTAGAAAGGACGTTTTACGGGGACCGGTTCCTTGCGATAAATCAGAGTAAGTCAGGTGCACAAGGAGAAGGTTCTGATGGTTCATACACTGAGGCGGAGGCAAATGACGACGATGGACTGAGAACCATTGAATTGAATCGACCAAGGAACTTAGTCAAAAATAACCCAACCACGTCAGATTTGCTAAGCAAAGTTCGTGATGATGAGCTTTTGGACGAAAATGATGATGATGAGGAGGTCTTGAGCATCAAGCTTAGTGATGCTGAGCATGAACAAAAACGCCAGATTTGGATTTCTCTCAATCACGATTTTTTGATCGCTCAAGAGAAGAAAAGATTGAAACTGGAGGCTGATGAGTTGACAGGTAATACTTCTGGACAACCTAAGAAGCGCAGGAAGATAAAAGAAGCCAGCGTGGACCCAGTTCTCAATGATACAGCTGTTGCAAATGCTATCAGGCTGATTGGAGAAGACGGGCAGTCCATGTCCCCAGCTGAAAGTGCTAAACAAGTGTTCCTGAAGAAAATCTACTCTAAGAAGATCAACTACCTCAGTATCAACGAGTTGTTTAACCAAAACCCCACTTAAAGATGGAATTTATGTATACTAGTAAAGAAAATGGATATTGGACTATGGATTATACATCATGTATTCTACATATTGTGGGTAAATTGATTGTGCTTTGGGATGTGGGATAATGTACGCATGCCTTATGCACTCCATATCTTTCTATGCCGGTGTGCACTTTTTTTGTACCATCCGCGATGAGGCATTACAACTCATCTTTGTCAAACGGAAAGAATTCACAACACAATGGGAAAGAAGAGAAGAGCAGCAATTTTACCTACGAACATCATTTTACTTCAAAATGTCGTGAGAAGAGATCCTGAATCCTATCATGAGGAGTTTCTCCAGCAATACACACATTATGAATCGTTGAGAGATATCTTTTTGATGAATCCTAGCGCTGATCAAGGTAGCGATTTCGGAGATTTGATTGGGTTTGTTAGTGCTGTTTGTTCCTGTTATCCCAAGGAAAACAGCTAACTTTCCAGAAGAGTTGAAAAATATTCTCTTGAACAACCATAGACACTTATCGCCTGAATTGAGAGAGAAGATTATCCAGTGCTTGACAATGTTAAGAAACAAAGATATTATCAGCTCTGAATCTCTTATCAACTGACATTATTTCCCCTTTTACACGCGTACAGCAGCTCAGCCGCACAAACTCCTCTACAACATCTCAACATGCCAAAGCCGTGAGAAAGCAAATTTATACGACTTTAGTATCACTTTTGAAAGCCGTTAACACTGGAGCCAAAAACCAGAAAATCAACAGATCTACGCAGGCATTGCTTTTCAATTTGCTAGAGCAAAAAGATGCACAAGGGTTGTGGGCAACCAAATTGACCAGAGAATTATGGAGAAGAGGAATCTGGGACGACTCGAGAACCGTCGAAATCATGACGCAAGCTGCATTGCATCCTGATGTGAAAGTTTCTGTTGCTGGAGCTAGGTTCTTCCTAGGTGCTGACAAAGAAAGACAAGAGAACTTTGAAGACGATCTGTCCGATGAAGAGGGTTTTGACATGAACGCATTGAAGCATAGAATGCAAGTGAACAAGAAGTCTTCCAAGAGAGGAAAGAAATTGGAAAGTGCTCTCAAAACAATCAAGAAGAAGAACAGTGCTAAAGGATCCGCTACCTATTTGAATTTCTCAGCCATTCACTTGCTTAGGGACCCTCAAGGTTTTGCAGAACAGCTTTTCGATGGTCATTTGAGTAGCAAAAATGCTAATAGATATGACTTGGAGCAAAAGATTTTATTCATGAGTTTGATATCCAGATTGATTGGTACTCATAAGTTGACAGTTTTGGGCATTTACTCGTTCTTCTTGAAGTACTTGACGCCAAAGCAAAGAGATGTGACAAAAATTATGGCAGCTGCTGCTCAGTCTTCTCACGATTTGGTTCCACCCGAATCTATTTCCATGGTTGTCCGCAAGATTGCAGATGAGTTCGTGAGTGATGGTGTAGCAGCTGAGGTTGCTGCTGCCGGTATCAATACCATTAGAGAAATTTTGGCCAGAGCACCATTGGCGATTGAGCCGCCATTGTTACACGACTTGACCGAGTTACAAGGGCTCTAAGTCCAAGCCTGTTATGATGGCCGCCAGATCATTGATTAGTTTATATCGTGAGGTTGCACCAGAGATGTTGCAAAGAAAAGATAGAGGTAAAGTTGCTTCCATGGAGTTGCAACATGGCGAAAAGAAAGGTTTACCCACCTTCGGTGTGGAAACATCTACTGTTACATCTATTCCTGGTCTTGAACTTTTGCTCAAATGGAGAAAAGAACAGGGATTGGCTGCAAATGACGAAGGTGATGAGGAGAATTGGGAAGTCGATCTGGAAGATGATGCTGATTTCATCGAGGGTCAATGGGTGACATTGGAATCTGATAATGAATATGTTATCTCTTCTGACTCTGAATATGATAAGGAGATAGAGGCTGTTCAATATGATGATAATTCAGATCTTTGACTTGTCAGACGATGAAAATGAGGGTAAGAATGAAGGTCAAAGCGAATCCAAAAATGAAGATGAGGACGACCAACCTGCAAAAAAGAAAGCAAAGATCGAGAAGCCTCCTCTTGATGCAGAACAAGCTATTAATGAGTTATTATCGAGCCGTGCTTTAACACCAGCTGATTTTGCGAAGTTGCAAGAATTGCGCACGGAAGCAGGTGTGGAGAAGATTCTTGGACATACTCAGCATAATGAAGAAGAAGTGGACTCTACTACCTTGGTTGGAAAGGTGAAGTATAAACAATTACGAGAAGAAAGAATTGCTCATGCGAGAGAAGGAAGAGAAGACAGAGAGAAGTTCGGTTCCAGAAAGGGAAAACGAGATGCTGCACACTCCACGACCAACAAGGAAAAAGCCAGAAAGAAGAATTTCGTTATGATGATCCACAAAAAATCTGTGCAAGGCAAGCAAAAATTGTCGCTTCGGGACAGACAGAAGGTGTTGAGAGCGCATATCACCAAGCAGAAGAAGAAGGGACATTGAGGGATTTTGCATTATATACGGTTAAAATACAAAAGCTTTACCAGTGCTCGCTAGGAATAATTTACATTTGCGATAATAAAACAGTGTTTCCGGGATCGGAAGCTTCAAACAAGTTATACATCAAAAACAAGGCAGAATTGAAAAAGACGAGCCAGTTTTTCAAGTAGGCAACAAAAAAGAAAGGATAGACAAAAAATTAGGTTCGACGTCTCGACTCTTGTAACATTATTCGTGAGACTTCTTCTTCTTCAATTTCTTTTCATCCGCGTCCTTGTCCTTTCTCTTCTTGGACTTCTTTGGGGCAGGTGCCTCTTCAGTTTTTGTGTCGGTTTCATCTTCTTCTGGAGCTTCGTCAGCTTCTTCTGCGGGTTCCGAAAAGTAATCAGGAGCAGGTTCTGCGGCCTTCTTGGCCTTCTTTTTCTTTGGAGCAGGCTTCTTTTCCACCTTAGGCGAAGCTGGAGCTTCTTCTTCAGCGGCAGCAGCAGTCTCGCCTTCAGCCTTGGAAGCGTTGTACTTTTCCATGGCCTTCTTGTACTCCTCGTAGTCAGCCTCCCAGGCCTTCTGCAACTTCTCCTTTTCCGAATCCTTCAATTTAGACCAGCGGTCGGCAATGATCTGGTTAAGTTCGATGGCTGGGTGGCATGGTTGGCCATTCTCAAATCTTTCCTTCTTCATTTCCTCACGAACACTAAGGTTGAATCTCAAGTAGGAAGTCAATGGCTTCTTTGGAGCATTTGGGTCTTTTGGTGCACGCTTTTTCTTTGGCTTGACCTTCTCATCGGCGTCGCCAGAGGCGTCCGCAGCAGCGGTCTTTTTGCCTGCCTTGGGACTTCCTGGAGTGGCCTTGGAAGCATCTGGGATAGAGTCAGTGACTGCTTTGACAGCATTGTTCATGGTTTCACCCAAGTTAGCAAAAGACAAGGCAGAAGCTTCTACGCCTTCAATACCTGCAATCTTGTAAAAATTGACAGTTGCAGCAGCGGCATCATTGGCGGCATTGGAAAGTTCAAAAAGCGACGACACGAGAGCGTTTTTGGCTTGTTGAAGCGACATTTCGTGGTGTTTGGGCGTGGAGCTGTTGGGCGAAAAACAAAATCAATAATTGCAGAGGTGAATGCAGCGGCAAGAATCCCTCGTACTTAGGAAAAAATTAACTGAACGGTGCTAGACAAGGAATGTGGCACACAGCAAACTAGTATTCTTTGCAATAACAAAAAAAAAAGTCGGTGGAAAAAACAAAATGGACGGGCGAAATCGACGACGAGAAAAAAAACAGCGAGCGGCAACCTTCGCCCAATTTGTGCGCACACGGAGCGCAGTCAGGAGCGCGTTCGGCACAAGACGCTTCAGGCAGGCACGGGCCGCCCAATGAACAATCGTCATATGGGGGGCCACTGTTGTTTTCTGCTGGGCGCACGCCTTCTCGCGCCTGCACCTTGGGTCAGCGCGACATTTCTGCGGCGCCTTGTCTTTAGTGGTTAGGCCCAATAGGCCGAAATGGTGTTACTGTTTGGACGTATTGCACCCGCATATTGGGGCTTCTCTGCTCATCGAAGTTTATCTTTTGCTGTACTTTTTTTGCTGCTTTGACTGCAATCGTTGTTTTTTTCTTTTCTTCCTGTCATAAGTCTTACTTGGCCTGCTTCGTTGCGCCTTTAAATGGTTACAGACCTTGCACTTAATTGGTTACAACCTTGCACTTATTTGGTTACAGACCTTGCACGGTGTTCTCTACGGCTCATGTAATAATATGTTGATCACGGCATTTCCTGTCATCGGTTACATAAAATCTTCTTTCTTCGTTTCTCTTTTTTATTTTGTTTCTTTCCTTCTTTGGCTGGCTAGTTCTCGCTTGTTTCACTTTGATGTTTGGTGTTTCATTGACTTGTTTTCGCGTCTACTATTCTCGCTCGCGTATTCACCTCGCGTTTTTGTTCTTCGCGCTTGGTTAATACCAAGGTCGCGTTTGCCGGTTAAAACGTTTGCGTTTGCCGTCTGTTTCGATTGAATATTCTCAACATGCCATCTTTTTCACCCCGTTGTTATTTTTCACATCGGATAATGAACGTAATACTTACATCTTTCATGTTTTCCTTGCGTCCGGCCATGCTGTGGAACTGACGTCATCTACTTAGCTACTATTTATCTGAACCTATTTGAATCATGTACTTGATTCAAGCTCGTTTAATCCTCTAAGCAAGTTTGATTTACTCTTTTCACTGTATCTATTATGTCTCTAGAGTCTGATTTCTATGTAAGCCAAGTTCTGCCTTCCATTTGCATGGCCGTGCATTTCCCACTTTACTTTCGTCCTCATCAATATATACAGTTTTACAATCATGCTTACCTTCCTCCGCAGACAGAGCACATTTGCAGTGGCTTGCCCCGGCCAAGGTATTGTATCGAGAGGTTGCTTATCCTCACTTAAGTCTTTCCTTCCCTACTACCAGCATGTGTTGGATTGTGTGGACGACACATTAGGTGAGCATTTTTCGGCCCATCTTCTTGCAGAGCCACCCAAGAAGCAAAATGTCGCCATGGTAGACCCTTGGTCGCAGTCAACAGCCAATGCCCAGCCAGCGATTGTAACGGCTACTTATGTCATTTATGAGCTTCTTCGTCGCCTTCATGGTGTGGATTTGGCTCATCACCCGCGTGTCTCGTACATATTAGGCCATTCTTTGGGAGAATACTCTGCCCTACTCTTGGGCGGTGTACTCAGTCTCGAAAGTACAATTAAAATCGTCCGCCAGCGAGGATTGTTGATGCAGCAGCTTGTAAAGGAGACTCCTTACGGAATGAAGGTTCTTATTTTCCGGCCCGCCAGTTTCTCTCGCGTCATTGAGGTGGCAAAACAACATAATGTTCTCGCTTGTATCAATAACGCTACACAGATTCTGGTGTCGGGTTATCCGCATGACTTAGAGAAGGCGCTTGATGCCATGAACGACCCAAAAAGAGTCATTCTTAAGCTGGTGGATCTACCGGTGAATATTCCTTTCCATAACGCGCTTCTCGCCCCAATCGAGAGTACATTGGCAAAACTCCCATCGGAACTACAAGAGCCCTCAAAGCCTATAGTAAGCAATGTGACTGGCCGTGTTTCACAAGGAGATGTCTATCTCAATACTGTGCGAGCTAATTCTCAGCCAGTAGACTGGAAAGGCTCGATGGAGTTTATCGAAAGCCAAAATGTTACAGGTATTGTGAATCTTGGCCCTGGGGATGCACTCGATGCTATCAACTCTCGTTTCAAGCTCGTGAACTATCCGTTGAAGTCGGCCCAAGATATGGAGCATTTGGCGCGCTCCATTGCGTGAATGCGCCCTAAAAAATTATGAATGGTTGGGGTCAGAAAGTTGGTGCGTGAGTCAGATAGATATCTTTATCTAGCGCGGTTCTACGGCTGACCAGATGAAGCTAGATCCACTGTCAATCAAAGAATAGGCAAGGTAAACCATATTTTATCCAGGAAGAAAGAATAAAATGGTAGGATAAATGAAAAGAAAAATTGTTAATTAAGAAAAATGAATGAAATGATACTGGTAATCTCTTGTCTCTATGTATCGTGTCTTTTTTGTTTCTGACTCGGGCCCCGGAGTCAAGCGCGGAAATTTATAAAGTTTTCGCACTGCTCAACGTGTGTTACATCTTTCTTTCTACTCCATCGATGAGCGCCCAATTGATTGACGGCAAGGCACTCGCCTTAAAACTTCGGGAAAAAATCCATGCGGAAATCGCTGAGATCCAGTCAAAGCACAAGGACTTCAAGCCTAACTTGACAATTATTCAAGTTGGTGAACGTCCTGATTCCACCACCTATGTCAAGATGAAGTTGAAAGCTGCTGAAGAAGCAGACATTGACTGTCATTTGATCAAGTTGCCCGAGACTGTTACCGAGTTTGAGTTGTTGTCTGAGATTTCCAAATTGAACGAAGACATCAACGTTGACGGTATTTTGGTGCAATTACCAATTCCAGCCCACTTGGACGAAACAAAAATCACTTCTTCTGTGATCTCAAGCAAAGACGTCGATGGTTTTGGTCCACACAATGTTGGTGAGTTGGCCAAAAAGGGAGGACTGCCTACCTTCTTGCCATGCACTCCAAAAGGTATTTTGCAATTACTTCAACTGTCGAATGTGGAAATCGCAGGTAAAAACGCCGTGGTTTTGGGTAGATCCGACATTGTTGGCAGCCCAGTCGCCAGTTTGTTGAACAAGGCAAACGCAAATGTCACAGTTTTGCACTCCAGAACTGGTCAAGAGCAGCTCCGTTTCTTCTTGTCCCATGCTGATATTGTTGTCGCTGCCATTGGCCAAGCAAACTTTATCAAGGGCGAGTGGTTGAAAAAGGGTGCTGTGGTGATCGACGTTGGTGCTAACTTCATCCCAGATTCCTCGAGAAAATCCGGTTCGCGTATGGTGGGTGATGTTGACTTCGAGTCTGTTTTGCCCGTCGCTTCTTTGGTTACACCTGTTCCCGGTGGTGTCGGCCCAATGACTGTTGCCAACCTTTTGGACAATGTTGTTATCGCAGCAAAAGCACACTACAAAAAGAACAACGAAACTCCCAAATTCACCAACCCACTTAAGTTGAACTTGCAGAAGCCTGTGCCATCCGATTTCGAAATTTCCAGAGCTCAAGAGCCCAAGAGAATTAACCAAGTTGCTGCTGAGGCGGGTATCTTAGACTCTGAGTTGGAACCATTTGGTTTCTACAAGGCTAAGGTGTCTTTGGACATTTTGAAGCGTTTGAAGAACAAGGTCAACGGTAAGTATGTCTTGGTTACCGGTATTACCCCAACTCCATTGGGTGAAGGTAAATCTACCACTACTGTTGGTTTGGCTCAAGCTCTCGGGGCTCATTTGGGAAAGAATGTTTTTGCCAACGTGAGACAACCTTCCATGGGCCCTACTTTTGGTATCAAGGGTGGTGCAGCCGGTGGAGGATACTCCCAAGTTATTCCTATGGATGAGTTCAACATGCATGTTACTGGAGACATCCATGCCATTTCTATGGCGAACAACTTGTTAGCCGCCGCTATTGACACCAGAATGTTCCACGAAAATACACAAAAGGATGCTGCATTGTTCAGACGTTTGATTCCTGCTAAAAAAGGATCTCCTAGAAAATTCCCCGTGGGTTTCTTGAACAGAGTTAAGAAATTGGGTATTAACAAGACCAACCCAGACGACTTGACCGAAGAGGAGATTTCCAAATTTGTCAGATTGGACATTGACCCAGACACCATTACATGGAGAAGAGTTGTTGACTGTAACGATAGATTTTTGAGAGGAATCACCATTGGTGAAGCTCCTACTGAAAAGGGTATGACCAGAAAAACTGGCTTCGATATTTCTGTGGCTTCAGAGTGTATGGCTATCTTGGCTTTGTCTACCTCTTTGGAAGATATGAGAGAGAGATTGGGTAAGATGGTCGTTGCTGCCTCTAAATCTGGTGTTCCTATCACATGTGACGACATTGGTTGCGCTGGTGCTTTGACTGCGTTGTTGAAGGACGCTATCAAGCCTAACATCATGCAAACTTTGGAGGGAACTCCGGTTTTCGTTCACGCTGGACCTTTCGCCAATATCTCCATTGGTGCCTCTTCCATTTTGGCCGACAAGATGGCGTTGAAACTCGCGGGCACCTCTCCAGACTTGACCGAAGAGGAAAGACAAGAACAAGAAGGTTATGTTGTGACCGAAGCTGGTTTCGACTTCACCATGGGTGGTGAGAGATTTATCAACATCAAGTGCAGAGCGTCCGGCTTAGCCCCAGATGTCATTGTCATTGTTGCTACTGTTCGTGCTTTGAAGGTGCACGGTGGTGGCCCAGAGGTTAAGGCTGGTGCTCCATTGGCTCCAGAGTACACTCAAGAAAATGTGGAATTGTTGCGTGCCGGTTGCTCGAACTTGGCCAAGCACATCTCTAACGCCAAGCGTTACGGTTTGCCTGTTGTTGTTGCCATCAACAAGATGTCCTCTGACACAGACAAGGAACACGATGTCATTCGTGAGGAAGCTTTGAAAGCCGGTGCTTCTGATGCTATTGTTTCCAACCACTGGGAAGAAGGTGGTAAAGGTGCTGTGGACTTGGCTCAAGGTGTCATCAACGCAGCTAATTCCATCGAAAAGGACTTTCCAGTTCTTGTACGACACAGCTCCATCTGTTGAGGAAAAGATCTCCACCATCCGCCAAAGAAATGTATGGCGCAGGCGAGGTGGAATTTTTGCCCGAGGCACAAAAGAAGATCGAGCTCTATACCAAGCAAGGCTTTGGCAATTTGCCAATCTGTATTGCTAAGACCCAATACTCATTGTCTCACGATGCTGCTTTGAAGGGTGTCCCAACGGGATTTACTTTCCCAATTAGAGACGTTAGAGCCTCCATTGGTGCTGGTTACTTGTATGCATTGGCGGCCGAAATCCAAACTATTCCAGGTTTGCCAACCCACTGTGGTTTCATGAACGTGGAAGTCAATGAAAAGGGCGAAATTGACGGATTGTTTTAATGAGATGCCGCAGCGGCGAGAATCTTAAAGTTCAACACTTTACGATGTTACGAATTGGGTAGTGAGTGCATACGCTACTAGAAACCTTGTTTTTTATTTCTTCATCCTTATTGCTAATTAGCTTCAACACTAACGACTAGATACATTTATGTTTTGTAATTGATTATTGATTTGTATTTTTTTCCGCCGTTTATATTCAAATTATTACCGACTAATGCTATATCATAATCTGCAAGTCGAAGACCTACGCTGTGTGCAGGCCACTGTCGCTGAGGTCCTCCATAATACTAGATAAAAAATCTCCTTCGGATACAAACCATTTTGCCCCTCGCAAACAACGCCTTCCTTAATTATCAATGTTTGCTGGTGCAAGAACTTCCGTTTTGCGCGCTGCATCGAGGCCTCTTGCCAAGGCTGCAGTTACTGCTGCATCCAGAACTCTTTTTACCAGAGTCCCTATTTGTATTGCTAGATATCCAGTCTACCGTTCTGCATTTGCCAAACCATCGCTTGTTGAGAGACACTACAGCGTTTTGTCGCTGTCGGAGGCGAAATTGTACAAATATGAAGATGTCAAGGAGCTTGTGACCAACCCTGAAGCGCATCCAGACACCGTCTTGATTGATGTGAGAGAACCAGTTGAGTTTGCCGAAGGCCATATCCCTGGAGCACACAATGTTCCATTCAAGTCTTCGCCAGGAGCTCTTGATTTGTCTGAGGAAGAGTTTGAAGAAATTTTTGGCTTCCCAAAGCCAGCCAAGGACAAGGAATTGGTGTTCTACTGTTTGGGAGGTGTTAGATCTGCTGCTGCTGAAGAATTGGCAAACACTTTCGGCTACACGAAGCGGGGCAACTACGTTGGTTCGTGGGAAGATTGGGTGGCGAGAGAAAATACTCAAGCACAACCTTCTCAGTAAAATTTCTCAGTAAGCCAATCACAGGCCATCTGTACATATTATCGATCTCTTTGCGCTTTCAGAATGCAATTGGATTCAAGACTATTTTTATCCTTATATTCGACAGTATTCCATCTAATACATACGTTGGTAGAAATTAAAATGCAATGGCGATGAGACAGTGTCAGAGTAGAATGGTTAACGTTGGGGCTCTCTAAACTCCAATTGTCTGAATTCCCTACCCAACTTTCTTTTTCTTTTCCTCTCCATAACTTTCTCCCTTTGAGAAGCTTTCATGGTCTCGAATTTGGCCTTTTGAATCATCTTCCTCTGCTCTGATTTCTTCAAGTAGTAAGGATTGACTTGTTCGCCCTTCTTCATCTTCTCCATCTGTTGCTTCTTGTGGTCAGAAATGATCTTTGTGCTCAAGTCTCTGTTCTTCAAAGTGTCAAGTCGAGACTGAAGCGACTTGACCTGTAGCTCGAGATCTTCGATTTCACGCTGTGACATTTTACGGCGAAGCTTATCATTCTTCAATACTGCTTTCATCTCTGCGATTTCCTTTTGTCGCAACTCATCCAAGAATGCATAGTCCTTCCTGACTCTGTTCAAGTCTGCTTTGCCGTAAGCAGCATCAAATCTGATGTCTGTGTATAGCGTGCTATCCTTTGCGCTCTTGAGTCCAGGAATTTCTCTGATTTTTGGCACAGGACGCTTAAAACTGGCCTCTGCCGGTGCATGCTTGCTTCTTTTAGACTTCTTATCCTTAGTCTTTTTGGACTTCTTGTCTTCAAAAAACTGATCATCACTGTCGCTATCGCTATCGTCGCTCTCTTGATTTTTCAGGCTTTTTCTGGATGGCGGTCTTTGAGTTTCACTCTGCTCGCGAAGCTTCTTTTGCGCAGAGTTCAATGCACCAAAGGACAAGGAGGAAAAATCGTCGTCGCTCTCATCCTTATTGTCCAAAACGGATCCTAGGTAATCATCTTCAGATTCTGACTCATCATACAGAGGCTTGAATCTATGTGTGCTCATTTGATAGGAAGAGAAGTGTAGATAACTAGCGATGACCAGGTTGTGCAGATAATTCTCGCTGGTAGTTACTTGGATATCTATCTCTGATGCATACAAGCCATGGCACAACAAAGCATTGCATGGCGTTCTTAATACCTAATTGGATGCTTTGCAGCACTACACCGGGCCAGTATGATTGTTTGTAACAAGCCTTGAAGACGGTAACCACTCTGCTTCGATTATGTGCACATTTGGGTTTAAAAAACTGAAGGAAGGATGTTTGAATTACTGGGTTTTGATCACCTTACCGAAACAATACAACGTACGGTTGTCTCCTTATGCTTAAATGGCCTTCTGAACTCTATTTCTGTTGGTTTGTAAATGCGAAGTGTTTCTCTGACAGCTCCTGTGTATACTGGCTCGTAGCTGGCACAACCATTGTGCCATTTGAAAAATGTCTCTTCGGTTTCGTTGAAAAGCTTCGTATAGCCAAAGAAGCTTCGTATGCCAGCACTTGCTTCAATATGACAAACTCAACAACCACATGGCGTGCAGCAATTTTCTTTTTGCTGTGTAACTTGGACAAAGAAGTTCGCTCCCCGCTACAACGGAACCCAGTATATTTCTTGAGCACTGCACGTGTGGTGCACTGATGTCTGTTTATCCTCCCGCTATACTCCGGGTTTCTACGACTACCGAATTCGGGGCCGGATGGGTATTAGTTGAGAAGATAGAGAAGATGAAGAAGACCCATAGTTTTACACCTTCCTATCCGTGTCGCCGGTAGATACGTAAACACACATGATGACCAAATCTAAAATAGAATCAACTGGCTTAAGTTGATCCACTGTCTTGTCGCGGTTCGGACAATCGAATCGCTTATGTAAGCAAGGACCATATGTGTCCGAGGTATCTCTACGCACCTCATGCAAAAATACCTTCACCGCTGAGGAAAAAAACTTGTCACGTACTTGTTTTCTTCACTGAATTCTAGTTCAAGTTCTACTTCCACCAATTCTTCCAATGTTTTCCAGAGTCGCTCGTGCCTCCAGAGTATGTTTTGAATTCCGCTATAGTTTGACGAGCGCCCAATTCTAATTTTCAAATGTCCAAATGAATACCAAGAGCGTGCCCAAACATGTATCTCCAAAAGATAAGTGTTATTGGGCGTCAAATTGTGAATTGTTTGATTTCGATTACTAACCGCCAGATTTGTCAAAAGAGATTTTTGTCTTTGCATGAATACCGTTCAGCCGCTCTTTTAGAGTCTTACGGTGTGGGTGTTCCAAAAGGTTTTGCTGCCACCACCCCTGAAGGCGCTTATGAAGCTGCTAAATCCTTGGGCACCAACGAATTGGTCATTAAGGCTCAAGCTTTGACCGGTGGTAGAGGTAAGGGCCATTTTGACAATGGTTTCCAAGGTGGTGTCAAGTTGATCTCTTCCCCAGAAGAAGCCAAGGACTTGGCTGGCAAGATGTTGCACCATAAGTTGATTACCAAGCAAACCGGTGCTGCTGGTAAAGAAGTCACTGCCGTTTACATTGTCGAGAGAAGAGACGCTAGAACCGAGGCATACTTGGCCATTTTGATGGACAGATCCACCCAATTGCCAATGATTGTTGCTTCTGCTCAAGGTGGTATGGACATCGAAGGTGTTGCTGCCAAGGACCCAGATGCCATCAAGACCTTCTCCGTCGACTTGAACGAGGGTGTTACTGATGAATTGGCTACAAAGGTTGCTTCCGTCTTGGGCTACACCGAAGAAGCTATTCCAGAGGCTGCAAAGGCTGTGCAAAACTTGTACAAGGTTTTCACCGAGAAAGACTGCACCCAGGTGGAAATTAACCCATTGTCTGAAACCCCAGACCACAAAGTTTTGGCCATGGACGCCAAGTTAGGTTTTGATGACAATGCTTCTTTCAGACAAGAAGAAGTCTTTTCTTGGAGAGACCCAACTCAAGAAGACCCACAAGAATCTGAAGCTAGCAAGTATGGCTTGAACTTCATCAAGTTGGACGGTAACATTGCCAACATCGTCAACGGTGCTGGTTTGGCCATGGCTACCATGGACATCATCAAGTTGTACGGTGGTGAGCCAGCTAACTTTTTGGACTGTGGTGGTACTGCCACTCCAGAGACTATTGAGAAGGCCTTTGAGTTGATCTTGTCCGACAAGAAAGTGAATGGTATTTTCGTGAACATTTTCGGTGGTATTGTCAGATGTGACTACGTTGCTGAGGGTTTGATCGCTGCTACCAAGAACTTTAAGTTGGACATCCCAGTTGTCGTTAGATTGCAAGGTACCAACATGGAGAAGGCCAAGGAGTTGATCGAGAACTCTGGTCTCAAATTGTACGCCTTCGAGGACTTGGACCCAGCTGCTGAAAAGATTGTGCAATTGGCACCAAAGGCTTGAGCGCATAAAAAGTAGTTTTTATATATTCCGGTTAAATGTGCGAAAATGCAAATGTCGCTGTACCATTTGTAGCTGAAGGGCCCCAAACTTGCCGCGCACCTTGTTTTTCCCTGTTCGCACTCTCTGGCGCTGCATATCGTGCCCTCTCGCATTGCCACTACTATCGAAAAATCGCCCGCTTAAACACCAGTTTAATCTTTCCTTAGAACGCACTCCCCACACAGAGCCAATGTTTTTGACAAGATCAGAATACGACCGTGGGGTCTCTACATTTTCGCCTGAAGGCCGTCTTTTCCAAGTTGAGTATTCTCTTGAAGCGATTAAGTTGGGTAGTACTGCCATTGGTATCCTGACGGCGGAAGGAGTTGTTCTTGGTGTGGAGAAGAGAGTGACCTCTCCTCTTTTAGAACTGTCTTCCATTGAAAAGATTGTTGAAATCGACAGACATATTGGCTGTGCCATGTCTGGATTAACTGCTGACGCTAGGTCCATGATTGACCATGCTCGTGTTTCTTCCTTGACCCACGACTTGTACTATGACGAGCAAATTCAGGTGGAAAGTTTGACGCAGTCAGTTTGCGATTTAGCGTTGCGTTTCGGCGAAGGCGCATCTGGAGAGAAAAGATTGATGTCGAGACCGTTTGGTGTGGCTCTTTTGATTGCTGGAATTGATGAAAAGGGTCCGCAATTGTACCATGCGGAGCCTTCAGGAACATTCTATAGATACGATGCTAAGGCCATTGGTTCTGGTTCTGAAGGTGCTCAAACTGAGTTGCAAAATGAGTACCACAAATCCTTGACTTTGAAAGAAGCTGAACTTTTAGTATTGAAGATTTTGAGGCAAGTTATGGAGGAAAAGTTGGATTGCAAGAATGCTCAATTGGCATCGGTGACAAAAGAAGGCGGTTTTCAAGTTTACAGTGAGGAGAAGACCGACGCCCTCATAAAGGAATTGAACGAGTCTCAGGTGGACGACACTCATATTTGATGGAATACATATATAATCATGGTTGCTAGAAATCGTTTATTTGTAATTAGATAACCTGTAGTCTCTCAATAAGACTGAAGAAAGACAGGTTCTCGGATGCAACTTCTTTTAATGCTTCTATGAACACCACAAGTGAGTTATTAAATTTTCGCCAATGTTTAGTTAAAACCTCGTTTAGTCCTGCTATCCTCGAATTCACTAAGGATTCGTTAAATTCAATCTTGGAAAACTTTTCGGGAAAGTCCTTTGCAAAAGACCGTAATAAGTGTTCATCCATCAGAATTAATGTTTTTTTCAACCTGCTGACAGTTATGGCGAAATGAATGATGCAGTCTAGAAGCACTTTGATGCAAGATAATAGCTTGTCACTTGTAACCATCGAATCTCTAACAATATTGTTGAGATATGTTCCAATCTTCTGCGTCATTTCGTACACATCGCAACTATCGTACTTTTTGATGTTCCCAAGAGAAGCCTGGCCGTGACCGGATGCCACAATCTTTTCATCAAACACGCTGCTATTTTTATGTCTGTGTCTCCTCAAGAGATGAATAGATTCCACACGGTTGACTAGAGTAGAATTCTGTTTCTCTGACCTAATCGAAGACTCCAACTTCTTCAAGGATTCCACTAGTGAAAGGTAATTAGGATCTGTGATGGAGAAGTTAATATAGTTTTGAATCTCATTCATAAAATTTTTCATCCTTGCATTTAGTGATCGGCATCGAAGAATCATCTTTCGTACTGGTGACGAGAACCCCTTGTACTTCCACACAGTCGATAAATTGACGTCTTTCCAGCTTTCGTCCATACTTTTGCTTGCAAACTTTAAAATCATCTGTAGCTTAAAGAGTAATTGATATTCAAAGACAGAATTCTCACCAACAATTAGTCCCAAAGGGAAGGGTAATTCTAAATCAATGTTGGCACCCACTATTGCCAAATTATCTATTGACACTGAACTACTTCGATCTTGCATCTCTGCCAGGGATAATTGGCGTCTTTGTAATGACTTGCGAACAATCTTTTTGATTGCGCTTGATGCACTTTCATTCCCTTGTGTGTTGTCTGTATCAATAGACTTAATATTGATGATATCCCTTGCCATATCGTAGAAGCTTGTGCTGTCGAAATTGAATGTTTCACATAAGCGTAATACATCATTAATTGAGCATGATCTCCTCCACGTATCCTGTTGAACCTCTGAAACATGCGATTTCTTCTTATCCAACAAAAATATGTCATTGTAGCATTTGATGGTCTTTGTGATGGAAGTGTGATACTTGTTTCGGGCCAAATCATGAAAGCTTCGATCCAAAAAAATGTCTATCTTGTATGAATCCTTTAGGAGAAACATTTGATGAATATTCTCCATTAAGGAGGTAAAGTTGTACCCTTCGAAAAGAAGCTTCAACAACAAGTTATTGGCCCTCTTGTAATATTGTAATATCTTGAGTGTAATATCTGGTGCATGCAAGCTCTCTATGGGATGAGGAATCAAAGTGCCACTAATAGTGTCAAAAATATGATCTAAGCTAGCGACGCCTGTACTTTGTTTCAATATGCTTAGGTATTTTCCTGTTAAGAGCACCTTCATTTGCAAATCTTTGCTCGCAAATTGGTCTATTATGCCATCTAGTTTGATAACATAAAGCTCATCCCAATATTTTTCAATGTTCGAATAAAATATGTTTGAGGGTAAATTGTTCTTTTTGACGAAAAATTCTTCAAACGGGTCATCCACTTCGCCTCTTGATAGCCATAGGTTAAGCAGATATATATAGTCCTTACTTACTGCGTCAAAAATTCGAGAAAGAAAGTTGAAAGATACCGCATCACCGGAAAATTGGTTCATACGGTTTTGTATGATCTGCAAAACCAACCCACCCTTGCATACTTCGAAACTGTTTGTGTCAGTTGACACGTCTATAGGTCCCATTAGGTGAATATCATTCTTAATTGTCTGTAGAAAACTGTCAAAGTTTGCTGTTCTGCTCGATGTGGCGGAAATGGTGGCGGAGCTGGTTGCTTCACGCAAGGCATAATTTCTCCCTTCACTTTCAGTGTGTACCGCAATGATAATCTCATATAGATGAGAGATTCGGTCAGAAAGTTTGAGAGACATTTCATTACTCATTTGGTTCAATGTGAATGAGGGATTGAACTTGAAAGATTCTTCGAAGTTTAGGACAGTCTCTTTGTATTGTTTGATGAGAATGACAATTTCAGAGCATAGTTTTTGGTTGACTCTGCCAAATCGAGGTTGGTTGTAAACTTCTGAGAAAGATTTGAGCCCGTAAATATACTTTCCATAGCGAAGAAGTTTTTTCGTAATAGCTTTCAAACTCACATCTATGTGCTTAGCGATTTTGTGATCGGGACCATGAATTCTATCATGAAGCAAGTCGGGATTGAATTTGTCGCTGAAGCGGACATAGGTTCCCTCATATCCAAGGAGACCAAGCAATACGTCCTTGATGATAGCGCATTGCTGTGTCTGAAGATCGGCTGCCTCAGAAAGCTGATTTCGAATGATAGGCAAGAAGCTGATTCTATTGGTAGTTCTTTCCATGTATGGCAGTTCCACTAATCGAAGCGTCCTCACTCCCAGGACTTCGTTAGAAGTTCTAAGCAAAGGTGATACAGAATGCATGCTGTCCAAATGCTTTTGTGGAGGAGAGATGAGAAGTGTTTATATTTGGGTCTTGTTTACTATACATCGCGCGTTGATTTCGCGCACCTGGGGTAAAGACTACTCGATACATTCTGGAGTTGAAAAGAAAAGAATCAAGACGTCGGATAAGTATGAATAAACATTTTACAGGGAGATACAAAAATATTGAGATATTACTCATAATCGCTGAAATCGATCTCTTCCATCAACGCCTCTGACGCCTTTTCCGCTTCTTCTTGCACCTGTTTCAAACCACACATTTCCTCCAAATATTCTGTACTTTCTAAGCATTGTTTAACGAAATCCCAACCTTGTGATTTGTAAGCCTGAATAACTGCATCTGAACATGCTGAGCAGTATTTGTAAGCGGGCGTATGCAACTTCGACTGACTGAAGTTATGGAGAAACCCTCGGATTTGATGAGGCACTTCTCCAAATTTGGTCTTGGACAGAACTGGGGCATTCTGTCTCAAATCATGCTGCAATATAGATACAAATAACTCCACAGCAAGGGAGGAAGCCACCAAAGCACCACCGGGGCGGGTGACCGTGCACATTTGATCCAATGTGCGATCTGAAAGTGAGTCTGTAGGGGCAACAACATCGCTGCAATAATAACACCCAATTCTGTCTTCCATGTCCAATGAGCCATACCTCATGACTAAGTAACTATCAAATCCTAGCGCAGCATTGATCACAACTTTATTCATGGCAATGCCAAGAACAGTCGGGAGCCACCGAGACTCCCGAGAGTCCATAAGCAAGAACACAGCATCATGGTTTTCGATAAGCAGCACTAACTGATCAAAGTTCTTATGTGCCTGGGGTTCGGAAGAGCCGCTTACTGGATGTCCTATCATTGGCACTTCAAGGTTGTATCCTGCGGAGTTGACCCCTGGAAAAATTTCCTTAAGAGCTTCACTAGCTCTGATTGCCTTCCATGCACCCTGGTGAGAATCACTAAAACAGTCAGTAAAAGTAAAGAGAGGTTGACGAACAGGGTTCGAATACGACACTCTTCCATTATCGACAAACGTAATGTCCCGCACACCCCAGCCCATGAGTGCTCTTGAAACGTAGGATCCAAGGGTACCAGCCCCAAGGAGAAGGACTTTCTGGCTCTTCATTATATCTAGATTGAGTTCAGGGGCTATACGCCATTTCATTAGTTTTAGGTTCAAATCCACAGCTTGGCTAGCTAACTCCTTTGGGTTGATAAGAGAACCCAAGTCAGCTAATTTTGGGCCTAACTTCCCTTGGATGGTTCTTTCCCACCCTGTGACTTTGGGTGTTTCCAGCGCTCTGAAAGTAGGGTCCAAAGTGAGTTTCAATAGATAAGATTTCCCGTTATTACGATAGACTAGAAGAGACACTGACTTATATCCCTTTATTGCCAAGAAATATAAGTAGTTTTTCAACTGTATCAGTGGATTGTCATCTGGACTAATACAAGAATCCACAAAGACAAATGTTCCCTCATCTTGAGAAGTAATGGAGTCAACCATCACCATTTCGTCGCCATTCTCAGGCCTAATCTGGAAAAACTGAACATAGTTTGTTTTGATGAACTCTTCAATCTGAAATTCGTATTCATTATTGCTGATGCGCTCAGTAACATACCATTGCGAATGGAGAACAGGGAAGGCGAGCCAGTAGTAAAACTTGTACTTTTTAAGGTCTGAGAACGTTAATAAATGAAATCTTTCGGTCACTGTGTTCTGAGACATTCCCTCCCTGAGCTCCTCTCCCCAGGTCCTCAACAATTTGAGCTTATCTAACAGCTTGAATTGTTCTATTGTATTGACATTGTGTAGTAGGCCACTGATACGCCAATTAAGGCTATCCAGTTTCTCGTCGTCAAAACTAGAATAATCCAAGTTGATTATGGGCTTATTCACAAACTTATTCATCTGTTGTGGCGACGCAGTAAACCCTGAAAGGGGCTTCACGCCAGAGTCAAGTTTGTACTCATTCAATTTTAAGTCCGATAGCTTCGTGAAAAAGGATGAATCCACGAATGATTGCACCGGCGTGTATTTCAATGCTTGATGTTCATCCATGATTAGATTGACAGTAGATGACCTAGCGATAAGAAGTGCATTTGCTTGTCTGTGCACTCTCGCCAGGACCTCTATTCTCAGGCACATGCAGACTAATGTCAAATGAATATATACTATATATCACAGGGACAGCAAGTACATTGAACGACTCTCCTACAATTTTTATAAGATCTTCATGCCTGTTTATAAGCAACCCTTCCCAAGTATCGACAATAAACGTAATCTAATCCAATGTCATACCATCGATTTCATCCAACAATTCGTCGATGCCAATTTCTGGTGCAACTTCATCATCGTCCATTTCGTCCTCATCGTCTGCGTCTTGAGGTGCCTCCTCACCAGCCTTGTATAAGTTGATAGTCTTTCTCAATTCTTGATCCTCTTCCAACTCTTGCAAGAACAACTCGTAGTCTCTTTCTGCTCTCTCTTGTTCCTGTTTAGCTTGTCTCGAATCTTCGTTGGCCATTATCTCATTATGCTCACGGGCCATTCTCTTCAACTTCCAGTTTCTGTATTTAGATTTCTTGGATTTTCTGACGTAGTGCTTCTTAATTAACACAACCTCTGGGCAGTTATCGGTGTCCAAAGTGTCCCACAAGTCGGAGTTGAAATTCGTGTTGGTCAAATAGTATCCCATACAAGAATCACCTGGGTGCAAAATACCACCCAAATGCGAGCGCACATAGAAAGTGTTGTCATTGACACCAAAGTCAGAAGCTCTGCTCACAGTGATGTCCGCTAGAACATGTTTGCCTTTCACGTCTCCTGTAGGTTCGACATCCAAAACGATAAATTCCACAAGCTGAGTCACGTCCAAAAGAGAGAAGAATGGGGCTCTCCAGTACACACCTGCTTGTAAATCAGCTGTCTGTAAAGTATTAGGATCCAAAAACTGTAACATGTTTGACACCTTCGAACAGATCACTAGACGAGGAATGTTACCAAGCTGGTTCGCCAATTTTCTAGGGAGAACAACCAAGTCGTCACGACAAATAGGTGCAATCTCGACAGAGAAAGAAAATTTGTAGGAAGAAGAACCAGACTGTGTGTCTATACTGATCAACTCTTCAGATCTCTTTGATTTGATAGGAGCAACTGCGTTCAAGAAATCAAGCATTTTAGTTGCGTGGTTCCGTTGTGAGTAAAAGAAATCCAACCCATCTTTCGTTTCTTGAATCAGAATAGTATCTTGATGCGCATTGTGCTTCAAAATCAATTGCTCCAAGTACAAAAAGGTTCTCTTGTGAGCAACTTTTTGTCTGATCTGAACCGTGGCTCTCCATGTGTTGGCAGTAAACGATTTGGCACAGTCTGGACATTGCATTGCAATAACAACATACTCCACCTCAAACGTTTGTTGAACAATTGTATTTTGCATTGCTTCACCTTGCACAGTCAATTTCACCCTGATTCTTCTGGAGTGGGGTTCAGTCCAGATAAACGAGGCATCAATTAATCTCACTTTGGATAAACCTTTCAAACGGCGCAAACAAATGGCCAATAACTCACGAGATTCCAATTCGGCACGTATCCACTGCTGTGGTGGCTGCAAGAATCTTTCACAGTTTCTGCAAAAACTAATATTTGCCTCTCTGGGAATACCTTCAGTGATATCAACGTTCAACTTGATACAGTCGTAACACATGACAAGACCCAGCGATCCGTCCATAGGGACACCACAGTTGCAACAAAGAACTGTAGCTACCGGGCCCTGCGCTTCATTTTGGATTGGTACATACGACATGTTAGTGGTGAAAGAGAAATATTAATAAGCTCATCTCGAAAAAGTGATGCCTCACTTTCACACCCGTACACCATCTCTAGCTATGTTCGCCCCAGACTGATCGACGTAAATGAGAAACAAATGATCAATAGACGAAAGGAGGTATGATATTGATCTCAGACAGTTATATACTCGTTTTATTTGTTTTTGGCCGACATTATCCGTTTCCTTCGCAGGTTTCACCTAGTGAGTATGTATGTCAGGCTTATGTCAGATACAGTTACAACCAGTAAGCGATGAAAGTAAATTCTAAAAAGTATATTTTAAAAATTCTAGGTGCTATTCATGCCCAAACAGCAATATTATAATGCAATGTCAAGCATTGTATAGCCAGAACCCGAGTGAGATGGTTCGTCTCAAAACCTCATGTTTTTCTACATACACTCCACATTTGAGCTTATCCAACACACTAAACAATGGTTGACCGTAAAAGAGGGGCCACCAGTTCAGCGAACGAGAATTCGAAGCGTAAGAAAGGGGGCCGGTCTAAAGATGTGAAGCTCGAGGATGAAGAAGAGTTCCAAGAAGATGGATTGATGGAGAGTTCGCCAAGCCCTCCACTAGAGTCTGACACAGATACTGCGGTGAAAGATGAGGACATAGAAGAGGAAGAAGATGGTAAGTCGGACGACGAAGCGTTTGAAAAGAGCTCTAATGCGAATAGTGATGCGCTCAAAGAAGATGACGATGATGAGGATAACGAGGATGAGAAAGATGATACAGAAAATAAAGCTGATGGTGAAGAAGATGAAGAAAAGGTGAACGAAAGTGACAATGATGACGAAGACGAAGAAGAAAAAAGACGTATAACCACATTCAATTTCGATGGAACTGAGTACACGTTTAAAGAGAGGCCCTCAGTCATTGAAGAAAGAGACGGGAAAATTGAATTCCGAGTGGTCAATAACGACAATACAAGGGAAAACCTCATTGTTCTCACTGGTCTTATGAACATTTTTCAGAAACAGTTGCCCAAGATGCCCAGGGAATACATTCTGAGATTAGTATACGATCGCTCTCATTTGTCTATGGCGGTGGTTAGAAAACCTTTGACAGTGGTAGGTGGTATTACGTATCGTCCTTTTGACAGCAGAGGCTTTGCTGAAATTGTGTTTTGTGCCATATCGTCTACAGAGCAAGTGAGAGGTTATGGTGCTCATTTGATGAATCATTTGAAAGACTATGTTAGAGCGACGTCTCCAATCAAATACTTTTTAACATATGCCGATAACTATGCCATTGGCTACTTCAAAAAACAAGGCTTTACCAAAGAAATCACTCTTCCTAAGAATATATGGATGGGATATATAAAAGATTACGAAGGTGGTACATTGATGCAATGCTCGATGCTTCCTTCACGCATGCGCTATCTTGATTCGGGAAAGATTTTACTATTACAGAAAGCGGCAATCGAGAAAAAGATAAAAATGAGATCCAAATCACATGTGGTGCGGCCGGGTCTTCAGGTTTTCAAAAATGCTGCGCCGGGTTTCAAGCTTCTGGCGAAGGATATCCCAGGCCTTTTGGAGAGTGGTTGGCTGGAAGAAATGGACAAGCTTGCACAGAAACCTAAACGCGGACCGCACTACAACTTCATGGTTACGCTATTATCCGAGCTTACTAATCATCCTCTGGCTTGGCCATTTGCGGTTCCTGTCAATAAAGAAGAAGTGGGTGACTATTACGACGTCATTAAGGAACCAATGGACTTGTCGACTATGGAGCAGAAACTCGAGAACGACAAGTACGAAACATTTGATCAGTTTTTGTACGATTGCAAATTGATCTTCAACAATTGCCGGTCTTACAATGCCGAAAGCACTACCTATTTCAAAAATGCCACTAAGCTTGAAAAGTTCTTAAACAAGAAGATCAAAGAAAGCGCCGATTATTCGCACTTTTTAGAATAAACAAGATTCCAGGTATCTTGTCGTCATAAGCTCCTGCAGGGTGTCATTTGCGCTACGAAGGCAATGACAAGAATGGAAGGGAAAATCCCATCCATCTATTCTCTTTCCCATGGTTCAAGTGTACTCTCATAAAGAATCTACTGACGTAGCCAATGCCGTCGGCTCATACATCTTGAAGGCTCAAAACGAGGCTCTTCTGAAGAGCACGAATTTTAAGGTTGCTGTCTCTGGTGGTTCGCTTGGTAAGGTGTTGAAAGCAGCATTGATCGATAATAATCAACTTGCTGGTCAAGTCCAATGGGACAAATGGGAAGTTTTCTTTTCGGACGAAAGATTGGTTCCTTTGGATCATGCTGATTCCAACTATGGGCTTTTCAAGACCATGGTTCTCGACAATTTGGAGAGTGTCAAGCCGACCGTCCACACTATTGATACCACTCTTCTCACAGGGAAGGACGGTCAATTGGAGGGTTCAGACAATTCGCAGGATGAAGCAATCGCTCGTGCTTACGAACGGATTCTTCCCAAAGATATCAAGATCGATTTGGTTCTTTTGGGGTGCGGTCCTGATGGCCATACATGTTCGTTGTTTCCAGGACATGCATTGTTGAAAGAGGAAAACGAGCTCATTTCTTTAATCAGGGATTCCCCAAAACCTCCACCAAGAAGAATCACTTTCACATTCCCTGTCTTGAGAAAAGCTGGTGCCATCGCCTTCGTTGCTGAAGGAGAAGGTAAGGCGCCTGTCATTGATGAGATCTTTAACAAGAAGTCTCTGTTACCTTGTAAACTTGTGAACGACCTTGATGTTCCCGTGGTGTGGTTTGTCAACGATGCAGCTATCAAGGGAGTCAACGTGCCAGCCTCTAAATATTAGAATATTTGTTATACAAATATGGGGCTTTCATTTACATAGCTTTAGCCTGAATAGATATGAATTGTGAAACAATAGACTTCTGTGGTAGAAATAAGGTCTGGTATAGAGTCGCACCAATTTAACCACTCAACCCTATTGACCAACCATCGCAATTGAAGTAGAATGGGTATGTTTGTCTATCAATTATGATACGAGGTATTTTACTGACCACGCAAGGTTTAGGCGTCGCATTGTGGCTTTGTCCGAAGAAATCATCTAATGTATATGACAAGTTGGAAACTGTCATGAACTCCTTAAGCACAGTTTTCCCTGGTCAGCCCCCAAAGTTTGAACCACATGTTACAATTACAACCAATATCGCACTCGACTTAGAACATCCAAAGGATGATGTTGATAGGATACTATCAGCGTGTTGCATAGCCCTTGAGTCTCTTCCTAGAAACGGTTCAGATCGGGAGTGGGTCCGCTTGGGTAGTGTAGACACTCAGAGGAAATATTTCAAGAAACTTTACTTCCAAGTACTTCGAAACCCTACTTTGGATTCCTTTGCTAGGATTGTTCGGGAGCTTTTTGTTATATTACCCGAGAAGGTAGAACAAGAACAGAAAATCAAAAACCCACATTTGTTCCAAAAAGACTCTTCAGGCAATCTTGTACGGAAGCGGAAATCTGTTCTGAAGAAAGGTGGCAACAAAGAGGAACCTGTGGAAGTAGCCATTGATATTCAAAGATTGCAACAAGAGCTGGCAGTTGAAGCTGCTCAATGGTCCACACAAGAATATGACCCACATCTTTCCCTAGTTTACAGTGACTTACACCCCATTGATAATGCCCTCTGGCATACTATAAGGTCAAGAGTGCTGGATTATTTGTCAATCGATGACTGTGACCTGAAGGATTGGAATTTGGAAGGAAATGGTGTTTCATGGGAAGGTGGTGTCCTAAAGTTGGTTTACTGTGAGGGAAACGTGAACGAATGGGCAGTCTTGGGCTCTGTAGATTTACACATGTGAAAGATATGTACGTTAAGTATTGTACTTATATATTTATTCATGTTTAGGTTAAGTATAGCGCAACTCATAGCAAGTGGTTTAGTCCTTTAACATCATGATCGTAAAGAAGAGCGTTCAGTTTGGTCATGGTAATGTCGTTAATGCCGGTCGCCTAAAATTCTAATGGTATATATCTCATTGTACTTTGGTTGTATTTTGTATATTGGGATATCTACAATTTTTCTCTATCTGTATCTAAATTTTGCGAAACTTGTAAAATCCAAGAACTTAAGCAGAACTCTTAAAATTCAGATTTTCACAAATTACAGCTTTTAAATACACCTTTGGATAACCAACATGTTTCTCTTTCTTCCTCTGAAATTTCACAACGGTGAATATACAATAATGTAGTTCTTTTCGACATTTCCTAAAATTATTCTAAGTGCACTCTCAGATAGTATAGATCAAACGCGTATCATATCAATAGACATCCACACATGGCCAGTTCTCTACCCAAGCTTGCCCTCAAGGGCTCCTCTAAGATTGTTACAGACTACTTTGAGTTCGCCATACATAGTATTCTTTTCCAGAGGGGTATTTATCCAGCAGAAGATTTCATTACTGTCAAGAAGTATGACTTGCCCATGGTGGTGAGTTGTGACGATGAAGTGAAAGCATACATTAGAAAAATAATGGAACAAGTTAAAAAATGGGTTTATGGTGGAAAACTATCAAAATTGGTTGTTGTCATAATCAATAAAGCAACTACAGAAAGCATGGAGCGTTGGGAATTTGACTTAGATATAAACGACACAGAAGGGACCAATGAAAAAAGCAAACAACAGATACAAAAGGAAATTCAAGCCATCATTCGCCAGATTACAGCATCAGTATCATACTTGCCATTTTTGCAAGATGACGTGTACACATTTAATGTGTTGGTGTACACAGATCCTCAATACGATCCAAAGAACATTCCCACCGAGTGGGCAGACACAAATGGAGATGCAAAAATGATTGATGGAGAAGCAGAACAAGTGAAGTTCACTACATTCAGCACGGATATTCACTCTGTGGGTACTAGCGTTAGCTACAAATTAGGGTAAAGGGAAAATGCCATTAACTACTTAGGAGGGCGCAAAATATTATACTCCGAGTCAAAGCGCCTTCTCTTATTGCTTGTCATGAAGCGGGAGGAGCCTTTTGAACTCACTGCATAGTCCCACTTTCGTAAGTAGTTATCCTGCTTTAGCATAGGAACAATAGATACTGACTGTTCACTAAGAACTTTCAAGTCATTGAAGCGTGACTTAAGATCCATAAATTTAAAAAGCTGTTCCTTTCCTGTCTCAGGATTGATAGCAGGCATATACTCATTCAAAATCAGGAAGTTCATTTGGTGCACATAGTAGTCCAAGATGTAGACGATACCTTCGTTAACCAAAGTCTCTGGACAGTGAAAGTCACCCATACAATCAAGGTTTTCCAAGATTTCGCCGGTTTTCGTGGGAGTTATTTCGCCACCTTCTTCGACCTTAATGTCCCTAGGTTTAAAGTTCAATGTAACAATGACAATCGCCAATGCTATACAGTGAGGTGGGATAACCAAAGAGAGGGGCGTTGACATAATGTCAAATGACACAAGCCACGAGAAAAACGTTAATTTGTAGTCAAGATTGAGTTGCTTTGAAAATATCACCACCAATTGGTCCACTGAGGGAATGTTCGCTGCTCCCCCGATGAAGTCAAACTTCAAAACTTGAAGAAGTTTGAACTCTAAAGACATTATGACTTTTCGCTGAACCTCAAATAATGTCGGCAGAGCAGAGTTGCATGAAGGGGAGTAGTTTCTACTCTCCTGGTCAATATCTCGAAGTCTGTTCGCAACAGTTTGTATATCCTTCAACTTTTTGATGCAATCTTCATTTTTCGTAGCTAAGAAAATGCAAGTATAGGCAACCATATACGGGTCCTTTTCAAATTCAGTCACTGGATCATTGTCTGGATTTTGGTCCTTAGGTTCCTCAAAGGAGTTGAATAAATAGTAGCGCTGGTAGTAATTCATAGAGGTACCTAACACACGCAAAGGGAATTTCAATATCCGTACCACTTGGAATAAAAACTGGTACATTTGATGTTTCCTTTGATTATAAGCCAATTTTTTCACATCAGGTATTGTCGCCGCATGGAGATGTGAGAGTTCAGCTAGCGTAAAAAACGGACGAGAAACTTGTAAAATGGAAGGTATGACTTTATCCTGTTTTATGCTTTTGTTTTGCGAGCCTGCCGACTCTGGCTTTGATCCTGGAACGGTTTCCTGTGTCATGCTGAGTCCAAGTGATGGAGTTTCCAACAAAGAAAGCGAGGGCGGATGTAGAGGTGTACATGTAGAGGATATCGAAGCTGCGCGAAATCACCAAGGACGAATAATTGTTATCATTTTTATACACTTTGCATACTTAAGCAGAGAAAGACAAAGAGACACCCAACTTGTGGACAGGTTCAGCCAACTTCAAGGCATCGAAGGAAGCACCGAGACCCAATCTCACGCCTGGTCTCAATTCTTGAGAGTAAGACACAGCAGTCAAACCGGAGTCAGCAATCTTAGCCTTGACGAAGGTGGTAGCATCCAACTTGTACTTGGTGGCAAACTCGACGTTGACAGCAGAGGACTTAACAGAATCCCAAGTGGCCTTAGCACCAGCCTCAACCAATGGGGAAACCTTGTGGTAGTAAGCGGCAGTGAAGACAGACAAGTTGGAGGTGGAAGTAACACCAACAGTGTACAATGGGTTAGCGTAACCAACACCAACAGAGTACTTGTTGAGCTTGGCGGAAGCAATGTCGTAGCCCAATTCAGCACCTGCAGTGAAGCCATCGTGAGCCACAGTCAAGTCAGCTGTGGCGATTGGGCCCTTGAGCAAGTCGAAGAACAATCTGGCGTTGACAGCAGATTGTTGGTAGAAGAAGTTCAACTTGGCGTTCTTGGCACCGTTTGGAACCACAGAGGTGTCCAATTCACCCTTCAAGCCTGGGGTCAACAACTCAGACAATTCAATCTTGGTGTTCAAGACATTGGCGTTGTTCCAGCCCTGGGTCAAAGTCAAACCAGTAGCCTTGTCAGCGTACTTGGCGTCGACAGAAGCGGCAATGGAGTTGTCCTTGGCAGTCTTACCCTTAACGGTGAAGGCAACACCGTTTGGTGCGGTAGACTTGACATCAACAGCAGCAGAGGACAAGTGGAAAAAGTCCTTGTTCAACAAGTCATTGGAAGACTTTTGGATGTCAGAAAATGCAATTGGAGCCATTGTATGCGATTCGAAGAAGAGTTGTTTCGGAGAAAAGCTGTGGAGGGGTAAAATCGCGCCCACAACGTGGGTGTGTCTCGACTTAAATATGTTGGTCCCAGCGGGTTGGGGCGGCGTGTATGCACTCCCCAGTTGGGCCCTAACTCCAGAGGGGCCCCATTAGAAGGGAAAAATATCGAGAGTGAACACATGACCGGAAACTGAGGCGTACAGACTTGGTACACGCAACTGGAAATTCGTCATGGTCAGAGTGTCATTGGGTACCAGCTGCTGGAGAAAACACACCCGTGCACCAACTCCCTCCATGATTCGGGCGTAACGGCCGCACGTGCGCCGGCCAATAAAAGCGAGGGTTCTTCGGCCTTCGGACCAGAGCAGCCTGCACAATTCCTCCTCTTCTCCACCATGAGGTTCTTTATTGTAAATGCTAATGCTCGTGTTGTCCACGCACTAACAACTTGTCTCGAAGAGGTGTCTCCGTGGATACGTCCTGTGCAGGCCCATGCTTTCCACGGGTCGTTGAACACGTTTCTCAAGTCGTATAATTTGCCTGGAGCAAGCGCTCTTGTTTCACCTGCAAACTCGCTTTCGTATATGGGCGGTGGCTTTGATCGGGCCATTCTCGAAGTGCTCGCAGGCCCTGGACGTGATTACAAAACAATGGAAAAAGCCATTCAGGCGCACACTGCGCGCCAGTACCGCGGCTACCTTCCCTGCGGAACAGTGCACAAAATTGACTTGGTTGACGTCTGTGGCGCGAAATCAGATTTGGTCGCACAGGATGCGCATGCAACGACTTCAAGCGCAAGCCAAATCACCACGTTACTCCAGGCACCGACTATGGTTGCGCCTGGCCCTACGTCGGGGCAATATGTTTTTGACTGTATTTGGAACGTGTTAGTAGCCGCTGAGGGTGAGGAAAATGTCATTTTGCCGGTCTTTGGTGCAGGCTATGGCGGCCTAGATGCTCTGGTTGTGGCTCGGATAATGGCGGGCGCACTCGGGCTCTTTTACGCGCCACTTCTGCCCTTGGAGCGCGCTGCAGCAGTCCTCATTTTCCTCCAAAAAGATTACCATCAATTTGGGCTTGCGCTGGACATAGGCGAGATTGAGGCACATTTGAGCGACGAGGGTAAGAATTTTTTCCCTTCGAGTGTGCCTTGGCCCACACCATGGCCTGACGTGGTGCGGTGTGTGAAAATGCTTCAAGTTGACCGCCCTCTTTTGAAGTAGGCGTCATTAGCAAGCGCGCACTCTTTGGCGCGAATGTTCCATGGCGCGTTACTTTTCAACAGGCGCGTCGTTGGATGGGCCACTGCTCATCCCATGACTTCTCAGCGCTACAAGTACACATTGGGTTTCATCCGGTCGGGTGATCACATTCTCTTTCTCAACCGTCAGAAGGCTCCCTGGATGGGTAGATGGAATGGTGTGGGCGGAAAGCTAGATACCAATGAGTCACCTTACGAGTGTATCGTGCGGGAAACCTTCGAGGAGACTGGCCTTCACCTCCCTCAGTACAAGGACAGAGGCGTTATGAGATGGTTTCGAAACGGCGAAGATCTTGGGGGTGTGCACATCTTCACCGCAGAAATCCTGGAGGCAGAAAAAGACGCTTATAAAACTCCCAAACTGTTCTGCCACGAGGGAATATTGGACTGGAAATTGCTTGACTGGCTCTTGCATCCAGAGAACACAGGCGTGGTAGACAACGTTAAGATTATGCTCCAACATCTTTTCGAAGCAGGTCCAGAGTCGGTGTGGATTTCCACTTACGATAACTCTGTTTTGGAAAGCTGCACATACACCGCAAACTACGTGGAGTAAAACTTCTTGTCTATAGCTAAAAGTAATGTACATTACGTGGTCCAGAGACGGGCCGTACCATCGGCACCAGCACTGAATAACCACGCTTCCTTCGGGTGCCAGGCCAAGTCCAACACACCGATGCTCGATACCACCTTGTGTCCAGTCAATTTCTTCAATGGCACCAATAATGGATTGGTCATGAAATCATCGTAGACCGTGCCGTGGAATACGTGGATCGTGCCGTCGTCAGATGCAGAAGCGAAAAGCGGAAGCTTTCCTTTGTGGAACTTGATAGAGCGCACCGCCTTCTCGTGATAACGCAAGGTCTTGTACGGCGTAGCACTTAAATCCAAGTCGTGCCACAACACACGCTTATCGTAAGAAGAGGCCAAAAGATGGTCGCCCCGTGGGTGTATGTCAATACCTGAAAGCATTCTTGCGCCAGGCATCAACTTCTTGACCAACGTCTGTTGTGCCAAGTCATAAATACGAATGGCGCGCTGAGAGCTCACGAAAAGCTGTGGCTTGAATGGATGGAACTTTGCATCCATGATCGTTCCCTTGGCCTTGCGGAAAGGCGACTGAGACAAATGCTTGGAGAGCTGGTGGATAAGCACAGCAGTGTTTTTGCTTTCGGGTGCTACTGTGACAAAGTAATCACCCTTTCTGTGCCATGAAAGCTTCTTGACTGGCTTCTTGCACTCAACAATGGCCGCAACACCGTACAGGGTTTGCTCAGCTGAAGGAGCATACCACTTAGCCACTTCCGCCTTGGGCTGTTCTGGTGCCTTGGTTTCGACGCTTTCATCGTCATCGTCATTGACGTTGATATCAGTGTCCTTGCGTTTGTTACCGAAAGTTCCATAACCCCAACCAGCCTCAGTCTTGACCCGAGCATTATTTTCAATCTCGAACCCAAAGATCGATGGTACGACAAGCATCACACGTTCAGCTGCTGCCACAGCTAATATAGGCAGCGATGGGTCTGGGTGCCACTCTAAAGCATCGATGCGGTCCTCTGGGTTTTCTTCAATATCAATTACATCAAGCTTGAACACTTGTCTTCCAGTTAACACTTCCCACACTCTCACAGTGCCATCGTCACCACCAGTGGCCAACCACAAACCTTGTGGGTCAATGGACAAAGTTCTGATACGCCCATTGTGACCCTGATACACAGTAGAGCACTTGATGGGGAAAGGACGCAAGTCCTTGGGCGAAGGAAGTTGTGGAATCAAAGACTCGGGGTCAATGTTCAATTTGTTGTGACGAACACGAGGTGCCAAGTACAAGTCCAAGCACCGTTCAAATCTTTCTCTAACCGATTCACCATAGCCGGGAACTTTACGTAATGCCAGATACTTCTGTGGAAGGAAAGACGTTTCTCTGTCGGCAGGCGCAGTCTCCAACCACTGCTGTTTCTCTTCTTCAGTTAACAAATATTCTTCAGGAGGGTTATACGACTCTTCGTTACTTGGAGGTGCCAACTTAGGGGCACGAAGGTTCATAATGTGGGCTTCTGTATTATCCTCATTAGTCCATAAATCGAAGTTATGGAGCTCTTCTTCCACTTGCTCCTTAGCCTTATTTGGAGGAATGATTTTACCCTCACGGATAGCACGAACAATCTTCATGACTCTCTGTGCTTCATGCTTAGAGGGCATAAAACGACGCTTAGGCTCAGGTACAGCTGTCAATGGCATCACCTCAGTCTTAGAAGTAAACCATTCGATGGTTGGCTCGTATGGATTGATGGACTCATCTGTATTCTCATTGTTCTGGATTTTGCGGATCAATTCCAACTCTTCAGTGGAAAGCTTCAACGATTCACCAGTGTTCTGATCCAAAAGACCGGTCCATCCTTCGGGCAATTCAATTTGTTCTAAGAGTTGATCCAAAGCACTGCCCTTGGCAGGACGCATAATACGCTTTCCATTGATATCATACCCGATATGAGGCATCTCTTCATAAGCAGAAATTGGAATGTTACCGATGGTATTGAAGTTCTCAGCATCAGAATCATCCGAGTCATATACTGGTTCGATTTCTTTCTTAAGAATTCTGGGTCTGCCATCAGAATACTTTGTGTGTACTTCTTCGTTGTCTTCACTGGCTATGGTCTTAAGTTTGATTCCGCTAAGTCTGTCATTAAGAGATTCGGGCTCGGAGTGTCCTTCTGAGTCTTCTGAGCTCTCCTCTTCTGAGTCGTTTTCTGACTCTCCTTCAACATCACCTTCTTCCTCACGCAAAATACGATTAAGTTCAGCTTCCTCTTCATCTTCTTCACTGCCCGTACTTTCGTCGTCTCCATGTTCTTCCGCCTCATCATCCTCTTTTTCCTCCTCATCTTGCTCTTTCTCCTCATCATCCTCTTCTTCACTAGAATCATCGCCATCGATGGTCAACATTCCACTGACTTGTAGATCATCTTCTTCCTCTTGAGGTTTTCTTTTTTTCAGATTCACCGAAATTGGTGCTGAAGTGACGTCTTTGCTCTTCTTCGCCATTGGTTCTGATGATTACTTGTCTGAAAAAAATCCAAAATGAGGCATCTCATCTGGTGAAGTAATATACACACTTCCGCTACCCTACTCAAGACATCACTTTGTCACTACCTGTCGCTAGATCATTCTCCAATAAATTTATCCAAACAAAACATTAAAAGTCTTCATGTCATATTTCAATAGTTCTGGAATGCTATGAAGGGAAAATATAGTTAGTACAAGAACAGATAAACAGAACAAAGAAATGGTTTGCTTAATATTCCTTTTCTTCTCTCCATGGTTAATAAAGTACGAGTGGTATAAGCTAGGATCTTACCTATGTCACAAATGTATGTGATTTTGTATCATGTTTCCTTTCTTTGCAAATGTGTCTTTATAAATCAAGATAATGTTTAATCTTGTGAGTCTCAATTCTGCAGTATACATATACTCGCACTGACTCAGGTCATTCTTCTACTCTATTCTTCTCAATACCCACATGTTCCTATCATGAATGCTATCCAAAAAATTCTTTCTATGAACGAGAAAGAGCTAGCTCAGAATGTTTCTGATGCAGCTTCGTGGCATGCTGACTATAAAGACACCTCTTATATTTATATTGGCAACCTCCACCAAGATTTGAAAGATGAGGACATATTGAAGATTTTCTCGCAATATGGCAATCCCACTCATTTGAATATGATCAAGGATAAGGAAACGGGGAAATCGAGAGGCTTTTGTTATCTCAAGTATGAAGATCATCGCTCTTGTATTCTAGCCATAGATAACCTCAATGGAGTAAAGATATTCGATCGGCCCATGAAGATTGACCACACATACTATAGACTTCTTGAGGGACAGAACGAAGATGACTTCCTAGTAAAATATCCAGAACCTTCAAAAGAGGATGTGAAACGCACTGTTGAACACAAAAAGCCAAAGCTCCTACCGTATGTTCCCGAAACCAGGGATGATGATTTATCAGACCCCATGCTTTCTACACAGAATATAGAAGATAACGACTTTGCTGACCCCATGGCGGGTTTTTTGGCGGAATCGAAAACAACGGATGAATCTAAAGATAGACATAGGACTCACAGAAATAGGACACGGCATAGAGATACAGAACTGGAGAGGGACAAGAGGCGCAAATTAACCACTTCTAAAAAAAGTAGCTAGATATGTATTATTATCACTTGGTTAACTTCGAAACAGTGTAGCTTCGATAGAAGGTAAAAAAATCTTTCTTTTCCTTGAGTCCCAACTGCACTGTGTTGAGACCATTTTCAGCAAAGATGACCTTGGAAGCGTTTAAGGAGGCCTTTTCGTTTGGTACAATCCTGACCTTGACGAATGTTTTCTCCCTCTGGGAAAGCAGCTTTCTTATGTATTGGGACTTTGTCATGTGTGGGACGGGGAGAGTCAAAATGTTGGGATACATCCTCAACACGATGGTCTTATACGAAAACCCAGGGATAGACAAAAAAGATTCTGGTATTTGAATGAATGGAAGAATAGCCTTATTGTTTGTTGATGTACCCTCTGGGAAGAAAATTACCATCTTTCCCTCTAGTTCTTTAAACGAGGACAACTTATTATCTTTTGGAAAGCGACTATCCAAGTCTGAAAACATAAAGGAAACATATTCCCAGACGGAGAACCTCATTAATCCATCGGGGCTAGAGACAACAACCACAATTTGTCTGAGAGAATTGACAGCAGAGACCACAAACAAAATGAACACGTCAAGTGGGGAAATCAGATTCACGATAACGACATCGTTCAACTGAGGTTTATGGCGGTTAATTTCCTCTGTTTTAGTCTTTCTTATGCCCTCCACCAGCAAGTCAATGTCCTTGATACCTAGTAACCATGAAAATGCCAACTTTATAGCAGGTTTGGGAGCGATGTATGTAGCCAAATAAAGAAGCACGAAAAGGGGAGCTTTCACGCATACCAACACAGGAGAAACGATGAACTTGAATGCAAAAGACTCAGCACTCTCAGGGGGCATGAAGGGTGAAATCCCGGGCCCCTTATCTCTCCAAGTACTGAATTTCTCCATGAGTGTGCTTTTGCAAAAGTCAATTACAAGTGAGCTGTAGTACGACACACGACCAAGTGCTCCGTTCAGGAAACCAGAGATTACATATCAATAAATACATTTGACATTATATTGACCACATACTAATATACACAACAACAAGGCGACCAGGACGCCATTGCGTCAATTATAATATAGGAAAACCATCAAGAAAAATCAATTTTCTTAAGCTAGTCCATTTACAATTCTTGGGAAGCCTTGTTGGCAGCCTTCTTGGATGGCAACAAGGATTGGTGAATGTTTGGCAAGACACCACCTTGAGCGATGGTGACGTGACCCAACAACTTGTTCAATTCTTCATCATTTCTGATGGCCAATTGCAAGTGTCTTGGGATGATTCTGGACTTCTTGTTGTCTCTGGCAGCGTTACCGGCCAATTCCAAAATTTCAGCAGCCAAGTATTCCAAGACGGAGGTCAAGTAGACTGGAGCACCGGAACCAACTCTTTGAGCGTAGTTACCCTTTCTCAACAATCTGTGGACTCTACCAACTGGGAAAGTCAAACCTGCCTTAGCAGATCTAGAAGTCGAAGCCTTTTCGGTCGATCCTGCTTTACCTTTACCACCGGACATTTTTGATTTGATTTATAAGTTTTGTTAGATGAACAAGAAAAAGAAAATTCAAGTACAGTTGCGGTGCGATAACAAATGCTTTTATATCTAACTTTTACTTTGTCCTTGAGGAGTGTACCCACTTTGCCTTCGCGCGATTCTCCTCCTGCACATGTAGGGGCGAACTCGCTCCCGTTTCTCCAACGCTCCTCTACGCTAAGGTTCCCATAGTTACGCGCGCGTCGGAGTATACCATAATTTACCCACAAAAATGTGTAATGTTGGGCACGCTTCGCACCCTCTCCACGCATACAATCGCGACTTGGGGATATCTTGAATTTCAGGCTATGGCCATTGTCAAGAGGGTCAAGCACCGTCAATCCAGTCACCAGCGCCTCTTTATTCTCAGCCACCGGTAGTAGCAAGCAAAAATATTCCAAATGAGTAAACCTAAAGTAAATTACTATGATATTACAACAGCATGTTGACAAACTCTACATGTACATGGGCAAAACATGTTCACGTGATCTCCAATCAGTGAGTGCGTTTTGCCTTGGTTTCCACTAGTATAAGCGCAAAGGGCCTCCGGCAGATGCGAGGAAAAAAATCGCGCCGAGGGGAGTGTGCTGAAAAATACACATGCAGATGCGAATATTGTTTAGGGAGGTGAGTGGGCGCGAATCGTACAGGATGATTATACGCACCTCGAAACAGCGACGCGGATATTCTCCTGCATTCTTAGGAGTGGCAAGTGGTATATATTTTGGGGGGATTTCGCAAACTGCGATAGCTTCTCTCTTGTTTTTCTGACATCTTTTTTTCAAAGTATCAAACACATATCAATTAATCATGGCTCCAAAAGCAGAAAAGAAACCAGCATCCAAGGCTCCAGCTGAGAAGAAGCCAGCCGCCAAGAAGACCGCTTCTTCTGGTGACGCTAAGAAGAAGACTAAGACCAGAAAGGAGACTTACTCTTCTTACATCTACAAGGTGTTGAAGCAAACTCACCCAGACACTGGTATCTCTCAAAAGGCCATGTCCATTATGAACTCTTTCGTCAACGACATTTTCGAGAGAATTGCTACTGAAGCTTCCAAGTTGGCTGCTTACAACAAGAAGTCTACCATCTCTGCCAGAGAAATTCAAACCGCTGTCAGATTGATCTTGCCAGGTGAATTGGCTAAGCACGCTGTCTCCGAAGGTACCAGAGCTGTCACCAAGTACTCCTCTGCTGCTAACTAAGTTATGGCGTAACGTTTGTGTGAAGGGAATCCAGTCAGTGCCCAAATACTGTGTGTTTGTGTCTCGCTGTTCCGTTATTTCAGTGCATGTCGGTGCCTATTACTGGCATGGAGTGTAATGTATATTTGTATATTAGTAATGGAAGAAT